GTCAATCATAACGCTCAGCAGGTCCAACTCTTATCTAAACCTTGTTAAGTAGCAATGTAGAATCAATTGATTCCATTTTTGAGTGAGATGATTAGATTATATTCACGAACATACTACTAGTACGTATATATGATCTACTCTATGGAAAGAGGGAAAAAGAAAGGCGGTGAACGAATGGCCAGTCGCCCACTAAAAATATTCTTTTACCGCTGTGCTTGATCGGAGGACGAGCTCGAGTATACTATGGTTGAGTAGGTTCAAGTGCTTGTTTTCTTGGTGGCTTCTTTGTCTTGGCTCGAAACTGTATAAATGACCTTGTTGTCTTAGTACAAATAAGTATCTGCAAATCATATTTTGTCTGTCTTCTTGTGGAGTCGGGGATTGGCGCTTACGCCGCTACGATCATCTTACAGTCCGAGGTATGTAACAATAAACAAGGTACATACACAGACTCATTTAACCACCGCAATTCGCTGCATTCATATGATAAGAGGATCTTCCCGCTTTTGTGAATTTGAATTCCGAAGGGAATGACCCTGCGCGAATGCCTCCTCCAACCTCAACTCCTCCGTATCCTTGGGACTATTCGTCGGAGGGGCATCGACGGCTTTAAGCTCCTCCATGGAGACAGCACGGCGTTTCCCAACAAAGATCCTGCCCCCAGGTGCATCTTCCAACGAGCGAACAATGATATCCTTCTCGAAGAGATATTTGATGTCTTCCAGTGGATACCCAGTCGTCTCGGGTATGAAGATATATACCCATGCTGCCATTATAAATGAAGCAACACCGAACACGAGATAAGTCCCATAGGTTATGCGGTTCAGCATGATAGGCGTGATTTGGGCGATGACGTAGGTAAACAGCCAGGTAGTCGCAGTTGCGAGGGACATGGCGGCTGTACGGAGATGGCCTGGGACAACTTCAGAGCCGAGGACAACGGGAGTAAAACCCCAGCCTATGCAGAAGAAGACGCCGAAGAGATATGTGGCGACAATGGAAACGTACGTCCCTGGCACAATGCCATGGTTGGGGTGAGCACCAGCGTACCCGCCAATCCATAGCATCATCAAGCCCTGCGCCAGACCACCATAAATCAGGGACCTCTTCCTACCCCAACTTTCGATGACGAAAGCAAGAGTTACCCATGACACGACGAAATTTACGACACCGTATACTCCAGTAGCAAATAGCGTTGAAGAAGTAGATGAGAAACCGAGGCCGGCAAATATTTCAGGGGCATAGCAATTAATTGCGTTCGTGCCAGACCACTGCTGGAAGAAGGTGGCAAGAGATGGGATAATGCAGCGCAGAAATATGATTTTCGACTCTCCCATCTTGCGGAATTGTGTGAGCAGCGGCAGTCTGTGCTTCCCGATGAAATCGGCGCGAATCTTGCTGAGAGTCAACACGACAGCATCATCATCCCGATCCTTCCTCGCAATATATGCGAGGGCTGCAGCCGCTTCCTCATAGCGGCCGCGTTCCACAAGCCAACGGGGAGACTCGGGTTGAAAAGGCATAAAAAATAGCAAAAGTGCCCCAGGTACAATCTGGGCGATAATGGGCAACCGCCACTGCATTTGTCCTGGTGAGATATTGAGAGAAACGCTGTAGTTGACCCAAACTATACACGATCAATTCAAATTGTCACAGGTCTGGAAGTGACACCCACAAGCCAGCATATTTCCAAGTTGCACAGCAACCTCGATGCTGCCGGTGCATCGACCACGTATGGCTCTCGGGGCACATTCAGATACGTATGTTGGCACCAAAGCTGACGTCAAACCCACTCCCACACCGCCGAAGAAACGGGAGAAATACAAAACTTTCAATCCGACAGCCGGGGACGTTCCAATTCCAGCTGTTGACTGGATGATGCTTGCAATGAGGTAGATAACTCCCGAAGCCAATAGAACAGGCTTTCTCCCAAATCTACTTGCAAAGTAACTCGAAAATAATGCCCCAAAGCTAAATATATGAGTCTGATTGTGGTAAGCGGGAAACTGAACTGCACTCACAATCCGCCCCCTTGCAGGACCGAAGCTATATTCGCGCTCAAGCTAGCGCGTGCAGAGGCTGATTCCGATGACAGACCGAAATATTCTTGAAATGATGGCAATGCGAGCACGCTGCCTATTAGATCAATCTCCCAACCAAAGCGGACAAATCCCATGGTTGCTGAGAACGCAAGAAAGTAGGCATTGCGGTACTGAACGATATCCTGAAGCTCCCTTTTCAAAGTCGTAGCCATATAGAGCAGAGAGCGTAATGTCATGAACAGGAGGGTGTGCGTATCTCACCCAAAGGAGAGCGTGCAATGCCCCATATCATAGTGTGAATGGCTGTCTTAAGGGATGCCAGCTTCGAACTGGCAAACCCCATTTGTACACTGGCTGCACTCGGTATTGCTACCTGCGTGCGGACTGTCCGGACATGCAAAATCGACAGCTATGGTTAGCTTCCCCACAACTTTCTGAAAGGACCTTAGTAACCATGCCTTACGCATGATTAGACTATTTGAAGACGAACGAAGCTTCATTTGAGCTGGCGATAACAGTCCTTGTGACCCCAAAATTTGGCCGGTCATTAAAATAGCGCCTAAAGTCATGAAAAATAGCGCAATCGACTTCTTCTACAACCTCAAATATGATTCTGGTATTAAAAATGAGAAAGGTATAAAGTTCAACTCCGAAAAAACATTAACTCTCACCTGCTCGTGGCGCGCTCGAAAAAGACCCAAGCGAAGCACTCCGTTGTCAGACCATGACAATTCCGAAAATGAAGACCTAAAGGGTGAAGCTTCGGAGAACAACTAGTCTGCTTGAAACGCAGCCCCACCAACTGCGAGGATCTCCCCACATATAAAATGTCGAAGCTCCAAGCAGGTGATGACGCTGCAACTCCAATTTTAGGCACTTACAATATTGATGTTTCTGGGAGAATATCAACAGTGTTCAAACGATCATCCAATCAAGCCAAGGTACGAGCCTGGAGAGTGGAGCTTTGAAGAACAACTCTACGTTCTGTTCGAAACGCAGCGCCGCCACCTGCAAGGAATTCCTCATATTTGACATGATACAACTAAGAGCAGGTGATGACGCCGTGGGTCCGATGTCAGGAACTGCCAATAGGAATATTGATGTGTCTGGAGAGCATTAACCGCGTCTCTGAGGTGCGAACCTGGAGAGTGAAGCTTTGAAGAGCGATCCTGCGATCTGCTCGGAACGCAGTGCTGCAACCTGCCAGGACTTCCTACATTTCAATCGTCTGAAGTTCCTGGAGGTGATGATGTTGCGACGCCGATTTCGGGCATTACCGAAAGGAATGGGAGAACATTAACAACGAGCATTCAACAAGTACAAGGTGCGAACCTGGAGAGTGAAACTTTGAAGAGCATCCCTGTGATCTGCTCGAAACGCAGCGAAGCCAACTGTAAGAATATCTAGAACAGCCTTCTAGAGACTATCAGAGGTAATGACGCTGTGACTCCAATTTCAGTCATTAATACCTTGGTGACCTTTCTCGGAGAACATTAATATAAACAGCAAATACCCAACTAAGTAGAGCTTCGGAGCACGATCCAGCGATCTGTTCGAAATGGGGCATCATTTGAAAACAATGGTAGGCGATGATGCTGCAACCTCGATGAACGCCCGATATTATGCGCTGCCCAAAGGAGTAGGATTTGGGGCAGCAGGCGATGTCGGAGGCACTGCATTGAGTGAGTGAAGTTTGGAAGGCACCGATGTCATCTGCACGGATCTCTTGAAACAAACTTGTTGCTGGGCATCAGTTGCGAGCCTACGACTCCAATGGAGTGATTACGAGGGTGACAAAGATAGCGGAACTGACAAGGATACATGGTCTGTACGTTTGTTGACTAGATCTGTATTCTGGGAATGGCGCACACCGCAGACTCAGATGTGTAAATCTTCAATAAATGGAAGACACTGAGACGCACCAATAACGAACTAGATCCACTCAGCACTGGTGTCATATACGGGCAAAGGCGACGAGACGCTTCCGTGAATAGGAATCAAATAACTCCCCCATCATAGCCTTTTCGTTGTTTGCCCCGCTCTTTAGACTTCGCATCACGTCCCTGTCTCCGTTTGGATGGACCTGACTGTATCAGTGATCAATTCAGTTGATTCGTTTAAATCAGAGAAAACAGAACGTACTTCAGATATACCGGTAGCATTTATCACAAACTCGCCAATCTCTCGCGAGACAAAACTGAAAACATTTGAAAGTATCACTGGTTCGTTGAAATGGCCCATTAGCTAGGGTTTATCGATGGGCCGGGTATGAGGAGGTTTGTGTTGAAACGAATGTAGAATCAACAAACGTAAATAACACGCTTGTCGCGTCTTGTTTAGTTGGTCCACATTTCAATCTGCCCCAGTCATCGTCTTTTCTAGCCTTTGTCAATTCATATATCTTTTCAATACTTCCTCCTGGTACACTGGAGAACGAAGGTGCTTCATTTCCATCTGGGAGTGCTCCAGCTGCCCCATCCCTCATCCCCTCTTAAGTTGTGCAAGTCCTATCGTCACCGACAACGCAATCCGTCCAAACTCTTCCCTTCCCACCCACATCATATCAGTGTCCACTGCCGCCAAGGCACCTCCCTTCCTTGCGGCTACTCCGAGCATCTGCACAGTAGCTATTTCCAAGGGCAGCTCGATATGGCAAATCATGGGGAGAACAGATTGATGAACTTGTTCAGCGCTGCCTCTATTCCCACGCATTATCATTGTTTGATAATTTAGACAAAGTTCTTTTACCAAACAAAGTTTGTTTTCAATTATACATCGAGTGACAGACATAACGCCATCTACCTTCTGAAGGATCAACAACGAACCCACATTCGCATCTTCACGCCGTGTCCCAGTTCCGATTAGGAAAGTTCGATGACGCAATAAATTCTTTCATTGAGCTTGATCGACGTCGCGGCAAATACTGCAGCGGTGGCGCAGCATTTTCCTAGTGTCCTGTTTGTTTGCGTCGGTCAGATTTGTGTTACGTTCTTTGCTTTCGGCTCTCTTCGTGATCGTCAGTGACAATGCGCCTAGCAACGTTTAACGTGTCGAGGCACTTGTTTCTACCATGTCCTCAACGCATACTTCCATCCGCTGTCGTGCTGAGACGCACGCTCCCAGTCCTTGCTCGCCGTGCTAATATTTCTACTGCCGATGAACGAACACTTATCCAGGATGCAGTGTTACTTGACTCTCTAATAGGGCCTTTATCAGGCCCCGACTTGAAGACTTCATCGCTATCAGATATATTACCTCCCCCCCATGCCCCCAATTCAGAATTCAACTCTAGACGCTTCACAAATGCTCATTCCGCCAGCATCCGATCCCCTTCTTTATTTCCTCGGATCTTTCCTGCTTAACCAAGAAAAGCGTGCAAGGGCAGAGCGCATCGTCCCCGTCCCCTCCTTTATATTCACGCTCTTACCCGCACGCCGCCGCTACCTATCCTTCGCCATGCTCTCATCACTGCTTCTCCCGCTGTCAGGTGGATATCACAGAAGCGCTCAGGAAAGAACGACGTGAGACCTGCTGTGCTTCCAAAAAAAAACAGCATATAAGGGCAATTGTTCGTGCTGTACTAGTCACCAGCAAAAACAAGAGTGGGAGGACGGTGGAGGAGCGTTTAGCACGAGAAATCATTGCTGTTGTTAACGGAGACAGCAAAGCTAATACTGACAAAGAGCTGGCACACAAACAAACTGTGGTCAATAGGTATGTGCAACATCAACGTCGGGTAACTCTCATTGACACATGAGGCGGCCATCATGCAGGGGCAATGCGCTCGTGAAGTGAGGATCTTGTATGCTCACCGTATTTCCCCCCTTACTGTAATGGACTGCCGAATCCAACGCAGTCTAATAGCATGGCTCCCCAGCTTCTTTAATATGACGCAGCGAGTATCATACCATTTCAGCAATTCTGATTTGGTACCAGGCAGAAGCGCTGGGCGATAAGGAGATGAACGTGTCGGGAAATCGTGTACTAGCTGCGCTTTAGAGCTCATTGAATGCCAGTAGTCATCCCACGTGAGTTTGCAGATTATTCAAGCAAGGGTTGACTAACATCACAGACTAGGTATTGATGAGAACAAGTGAAGGCAAGTGATCGGCCGCGATTATCAGTGCACTGGCATGCGGGTGACGGCTCAATGATTATCAATGTCGTTCAAAGCCAGCTCGACCTAACCATGGAATCTTAATATTCTGAAAGTTTGCTGAAGAGAAACAAATTTATCGCGCCTGTGATGCATCAATTAATCAGTTTGACATTTTACCACCTTGAGGTGAGTGTTTTTGAAGTCGCATTTGCGCAATTTACTTACGTGCAGCTGTTATGCCGGATATCACTGCTACTTCTCGATGATTCATACCTGCAGACTCGCTTGACTCCTGATCATGTTTCTCGCTGGCCTTGCTTAATTGGCAGACAATGACCGGTCTGTGCGATACGTGTGCAGTACAAGGACTTTGACTCGATATTATCTGATGCGAAGTCCACTAATACTAGAACCGATTTCTATGACCGCAGTCTGATGAGTCGCAGATATGTCGGAGTGGCATGCTCAAGTATCTTCAGCTGCTCATGCATTGTTGCAGGCATCGTCACTTTAGCCAATCACGGAGTTTCGGGAGTAACTGTCACCACATATGAAGGGACTCAGTTGCACTTACAGGGGGAGATATTGGCCCTGACACTCAACTTAATCGTCACGATATGCACCGAGTCCATAAGCTTCGTACACGGTATCTCATTGCGCTCTGCGCTAGCCTCAGAGTCTCAGCTTCGTTTCAATACCAATCTGCGCCTTGCTTAATGGTGTCTCGGTTATCCTCTTCATTATATCCTACAGCTCAGCCTCATTCGTCGTATGTGTCGACCTTCAAACGACGTCACACACATGTGGAGCAAGGTATTGCTTACCTCTCCTCTTTTTAAGCGTCGCACTCGTGCGAGCAGTCAAGCCTTGACAACCATTAAATGTAGTTGCAAACGTGAGTCACAAAGGAAACTGTCTTCGATTCACCGTCCATGACGAACGGTTTGGATGAAACGCAGAGTTAATGCGGAGAATGCTATGGCTTTCGAAAGTATTGATGAGTTAGACTTCAATAAATCGACGATGCAGAGTAATTATCCGCACGCGCGCGTTTCTGACCAAGCCTTTTTCCACCGAGAGGTTTCGTTGAATGGTGTAAATGCAGTTCTGGTAGAGATCCAGGCGATGAGGAGATACTCCGGGATGGGTCAACATTGCAAAGTAATCAGGTATGTGTTCTGGTGCACTCAATGGTGCGTGATCGGCCTCTGATGGGACCGATATTTTTCCGCGCATTCAATAAATGGATTCCGTCTTCCGCAGAAGCCGTGTTAGCGCCAAATGTGAATACATTTACACGAATATCTCCGATTTCTGGAGTGGCGATGAATCCGTCATAGGGCCAGAAATTAATTTTATCGATCTGATATCTGCTTCCGTTTTGAAGACCAAGAACGCCGTGAAATGAAGCAGAGGTCGCCATAGTACTGAGCAAAGAGCTGCAAAAAGGAGACGGAGCATGATAGATGCGTAACAACACAGCACGTCGCAGCAGACGGAAAGAGCTGTCGGAAAGAGACAGAACGCAACAACTTGAACACAGCATGACGTGATGGACGTCATCGCCGGCGGGATCTCGTGCTGATATATGTTGTAGATAGACCAATGGACGTTCGGGCTTTCATTCTTTTTGTGTAACGTGGCTGACAATGAGTCAATCTTAGTGTTCTTCAAGTTATCATCCACGCAGGTTCTGATTCTGGGGCTCCAATAGATTCATCCTCAACTTTGTTTGCGGGAAAAGTTCAGTTTTCACGCTTGTTCTTGCTGAACATTCACTCATGGATGTATCCTTCAAGGTCTATCTTAAGTTGTCACAGCCGACTGGCACCAGAATATATTAGAAATATTGGTGGTACGCACTGCGGATTCAATGCCGACAAATGTCTTATCGCACCCTTGATGTTCACTCATGGACAGTTCTTCGAAGGTTCATCTCAACCTCTGAAGTGCACTGGCCAAAGTGATCACACCAACAGAATCCAAATCTGTTTCTCTTGGACTGTGCAGGTTCGAAACCTGTCGACAAGTTATTTTTCTCTCAAAACACGGTAACACCCTGATATTCACTCATGGATGGTTTCGTTGGAGGTTCATCTAACTGGTCTTAGCTTAGTGGTTCCCACAACAGAATGGAAATCTGTTTCTCTTGGACTGTGCAGGTTCGAAACTTGCTGTTCAACAGGTTCGTTTTTTTATTGGAACACACCTTCAAGATACGCTCATGGATTGTTTCCTCGGAGGTCCATCTCAACTACGTCCTGGCCATAGTGGTTACCACGACAGAATCTAAATCTGACAGTGCCGGCGCAGGTTCGAAACCTGCCGATGACAAGGTTTCCCTCGCTATCTTGAAGGTTTCCCATCTTAACTGGTCTTATGAGCCAGGTGGTTTCCACAACAGAATCAAAATCTGTCAAACCTGCCGACGGCAAGGTAGTTTTTCCCTACCAGAACATACTTTAACATTCGCTCATGCACAGTTTCATTGGATGTTCATCTCAGCTGGTCTTAGCCAAGTAGTTACTGTCAATGCAACAGAATCAAAATCTGTTCCTCTTCGACTGCACAGGTTCGAAACCTGCCGAATGAGCCGTCTTTTTCTATCGGAACACACCTTGACGTTGACTCATGGATGGTTTCCTCAGAGGTCCATCTAACTGGTCTTAGCCAAGTGGTTACCGCAACATAGTCAAAATCTGCTTCTCTTGGAGTTGGTTCGAAACCTACTGACAATATTTTTGTGGTGTATAGATCCTCGGAGGTCTATCTTAACTTAGTAGGCCCAGTCATTGCGCCGAAACCTCTTTTATGTGATAGTCTGTCGATGGCTTCAGCTTTTCTTCAGAAAGTTTTCATCCATAACTTATAGGCGTTCAAAGATAATTCGACCAGAATGCGATGCCGAGAACTTAAACACCATTCATATGCTGTAGGTGTTGATTCCATCAAGCTTTTTGGCTGTTTATTCGCTGTAAGTTATTCTTTGTTCATCGCTCTCAATTGTTAATGCACTCACGACCCCAGATCTGACCAACCTTTGCAAGTTACGACCACTGGTAAACATGTATTGCCCGAGCTTTCCACTTCACTAAGATTCAGATGATGTGAACTTGGCAGTGGCCCTTCATCGGACAAACCTCTCGACGGAAAGGAATGTCATCTTCCGACTACTAGTAAATCCAGCCCTCTAAGTTCAACAGTTGTGCTTATATCCATTGTCAGAACCTGTCTACTCATTCTCATCACACATGTAGCACATTGTCCGACAGCAGATTTTCCGCAACTTTCTCGATTGTTGCCCTAGCTCGCTGATGATGCACAATTAGTATAACTTTGATGCATTCTCCGAATGATAGTACGTGACATTAGTACTTGTGGGACAAGGTTGCTGCGCTCGGCCTTGATCTAGTACTGTTCGTCTACTTGATCTTTCTGTACACGGCCATCGCCAGGAGCTGGCTTGCCGCCTCCTACTGGCATCGTGTGTGCAATCGAGACCCGTCATTATTGCATCGGTCTCAGCACAAGTTGATCTTGCGTCGACGCAGACTAATATTTAGACATTGACGCGCCTAGTACATTCCAATTTGATACTACTACATACTTCGTCCGCATGTTTCGAGTCCTTCATTGCACGGGTCCAGGGTTCAGCGCTACGTTCCACAGATCAATCTCGCTTTGACACGCTGTCCTGAAGATCCTGGTCAACTTCTTATAAGAAATGTACCTCCAGCTCTCATAATTATTCTTGAAGAAATCTACGTAGAGATAGCGTCAGTTGAGTAGAGTTACATGGCACAGTAATTCCTTACTGATTTGTTCGGTTGTGGACTTGTAGTGCTTGGCGTTCTCGACAACCCAGAGTTTGTACCATGTAGTGTCTGGAAGCATGGTTGGATCAGTTGGAGGCTCGTGCACTGCTGGAAGATGTTACTGACCTTGGTGGATAGCATTCTGCTGAAGGTCACGAGCGATCGCATAGTACGACTAACGATCGAGTCAGCGATTGGTATAAATTGACCTCATGTAGGATACCCCTCACGAACCTGAATGCCAGGGACTTGAGCGAGCAAAGAGACGACCCAGTTCTCATCCTCCGCAGTGTCAGAGATGAACTTTGTGTACCTTTCAGTCGCCTTTTCCCGCTTGGCAGCGAAGACGACTGTGTCTGGGATGTTCAGCTTATCAGCATCGGTACAGGTTTGGAGGGCGTTAGGAGCCCATTGCGTCAGTGTGTTGTTGAGAGTCCTGGTCAATTTCCCGTATATCGTTGGGTTGGGGGCTTTTGCTGCGCGATCGGCATTGTATGCTATGAGTTGCACGCAGTAGAAGAAGTCTTGCTGTGTGTAGAGAGTGGTGAATCACGGTGTGAAGCATCGACAGGTATCAAGTAACGTACGATCATGTACCATTTGAAACCATCGAGAACGGACTGGTTGTCTGCGCTTGCAACACGCATGTTCTCGACGAAATCATTGTGAAGCAATTGGTTCCAAAGGTCTTGGTTGTCCCGAATGAGACGATTGACGAGGTCCCTGTGGATATGAGGTGAGCACGGTGAGCCGATATAAAGTGCGAGGACATGCTCTTCGGGGATATCGTCATTGAGACCTGCATTGAGTTGGCCATCGTGGCTAAGGTCTTGCGCGGCAACATCATGGTTAGTCGCTGACTCGTTGAGACGGTGGTTTGCTAGGGCGGGATAATCTGACATGGTGATAGAGTTTTTGGGAGTGGATTGAAAGCGAAAATTCCTAGGGCATTTATACGTGCATGAAGATCGCGGGGGCGAATAACTTGCTACTATCCATCAGAGGTTAGGCTACCTTGAACCTGGTTCATCAGATGATCCGGATAGAAACGAAGTTCATAACTGCTGGATAAGTCACTCAATCCGAGACCAAACCCTGCATGAGGTATCTCCCTGCCGGGAAGCCTGTCATTTGGGAGTAAATGTGCCTGGCCGGCATCGGGGTATGGGGGGACCGTAAACCGCGTTGGATGACATTTTACGTCTGTTGACACACAGGGGAGTATATTGCCGTTCAACGAACCGAATATGAGATTGTAATGCACCGCGAAGTATCTACCTGCAGGTGCAGGGAAGCTCAAGTGGCAAATGAACCTTGTTATCCGAGTATGGCCTCCGAATTACCAGGGTCTGGGATCATGAGCCGAATGTGGGGTTATATTTTGCAATAGCGGGGATTAATGTGCCCATTGTCCAGGGAACCGAATGAACGATGTAATGATCACCTCGTGCCCAAGCCAGAACTAAGGACGGCTTTTGATATCACCCTTACTCGATAGATCTGATTGACTTTTCATGAGGGACGTGACTAGTATGCAAGATCCTGATAGAGACTAACCGATCACTACTGCCAGACTCCAGTGAGGGAGCAAAATTGGGTAGTCGGATGGGTTTTGGTCCGTGCGCGGGCGCCTATTATTGCATTGTTGCCCAAAAGCTCACTGCGTCCCCACAGACCTGTGCACGTATCCACCGTGTTAGTGTACCATCATCGATTAAGATCTGAGTCACAGAACCCTGCTGAACATCGGATGAGGATACTAAGTACTAATAGCAGTGGCATACTATGTTTAAACATGAGAGTCGTAGTAGATGACACGGATCTGAGTATCTTCGAGTTAACCCACATACTTCCAGTTGGCATCCGACGTCCATAGTGAATCATGCCAATGCATTATTATCCTTGCATCATTTGACTGTCATCTCGGATAACACTATCACCAAGGATGTACTGCATACCGCTGGCCACTAGTGACGCTCACCATGGAACTCAGTACTCATGAGGTTCACGCACTTGACAGGTTCCCGATCGAAGAGTAGATTAAAATAATGTAAATGATACACCTAAAATACAACAGCCCATGCTGTCCAGCGAGACAACAGTAGTAGAACAATCAAGGATAAGCCTACTTCGCTGATGAGCTCGAGAACTGCAGATGTAATGGTGAGTAAGAGAGATAGACGATATGAAGGTGGAAAGATCTGACCTTGGTGACACTCTTTGTGCCTTCCGAGATGGCGTGCTTGGCAGTTCACCAGGTAGAATAAGTCGTACAGATGTTTGGATCTCCCGAGAAGATATCGTCGATTTTTTGGAGTAAGCGGCGAGTTCTGGAGGGAAGGAGTTAGGAATGATCAATAGGATGATCGGAGAGTACATACTAGATGCTTCAGTTTGCGATGCGCTCGAAATGTCGTTGACAAAGGAGTTGAGGATAGCATGGCCTTGTTGGAGATACCGGTATCAGGGTGCACTTGTCTCAACACTGGGACCAAAGTCAGACTGGAAGAGTAAGAGATGTCGATGGAACATACCCTTGTAGATGTAACTGGAGTAGGTCTCCTTGCGAACTTTACGGCGCTTCTTCTTCTCACCATCAGCCCCCGCAGCGGCGGCAGCAGAAGTCTTGGTAGCCTTCTTAGCCTTGTCGGTAGTCTTTGCGGGTGCCTTTGAGGCAGCAGTGGAAGCAGGGGCCTTGGAGGCGGTGGTTGAGACTGGTTTAGGTGCCATTTGATGAAGTTGGTGGTGGTGGGAGGTTGTTGTTGAGATGTGAGGTAGTGTGAATGATTATCAAAACTCGTTGGGCGTTTGTATTTATCGTTTGTGACGCGTGTGGTCTTATTTGGTAACCCGATCAACGCGTCCAAAAATCTTTGTTGATCGCTGAACCTTATTTTATAAAATCACGTGTGCCCAGTATAAATACAAGCGGCCATTGATCGCGGCTCCCCTATTTTATCCTCGTCCTTCATCATCGCCGTCGTCGTACTCTGTACATACACTCTCAAAACACTTTAACAACCCTCTTCAATCAATCTATCATGTCTGGCAAAGTCGGCGGAAAGGCAAAGTCTGGTGGCAAAGCCTCTGGTGAATCTTCATCCAAGTCTCAATCGCGTTCCGCCAAAGCCGGTCTCCAATTCCCCGTCGGTCGTGTTCACCGTCTCTTGAAGAAGGGCAACTACGCACAGCGTGTTGGTGCTGGAGCACCTGGTAAGTCCATCACTAAATTCAATCCCTCACGCGTTTGTTCTAACTTGGTTCAAAGTCTACCTTGCAGCCGTATTAGAGTACCTCGCCGCTGAGATCCTGGAGCTCGCCGGTAACGCAGCCCGCGACAACAAGAAGCAGCGTATCGTTCCTAGACATTTGCAACTCGCCATCCGAAACGACGAAGAGTACGCAAACATTTCTCAGTCATTCCGCAGTGTCTAACTCGCTTTTTCCATAGGCTGAACAAGCTCCTTGGAGACGTTGTCATTTCACAGGGTGGTGTCGTTCCTTTCATCAACCCTGAACTTCTGCCCAGTAAAAGTGCAAAGGGCAAGAAGGAGAGCCAGGAAGTATAATCTTATTCGATTTATTTTCGTTCTTCGGTGTAGGATGTATTTGTATTTTTTTTATAGTACTCGGTCTTATATATCATTTTCTCACTCTGGAACAGCATCTCGTTGATCCTGTTCTCCTAATACGTGGGATGTGTACATGGCACCAGCGCGTCTGATTTCCGTGGCAGTCACGTGCCCGTTTCTCGTACCACAATGAAAAGTCTGGGCTTAAAAGAGTCTTTTAATCCACGTCGTCCACCGCAGTGGCTGCCGTTGCAATTTCCAGGTCGTTTCTCTCATTCTGTCCCAAGTCACAAGGAAACGTCCAAATAACATAGAATTCGCAATGGGAAAGACACGATCAGGAAGCGCGGATGCAGCTCCCGAGCAGCCCTCACCAAAGCCACAAAACAACTTCACGAAATGGATGACACGCATAGTTGCATTGCTGCTTCTTGGTGCAACATTTACCTGGCTTGATGGCAATAAAGGTCAGTCACTACTCCAACTCTTCTACCGCATCAAGTGACCTCGACTACAGGACCGGTGGTATGTCCTAGAGCCCAAGTTCCTCCACGAGCTTGCCCAAGAAGCCGTCCTCGTCTCACCGAATGACCCCCAAGGCATGATCACCCACATTCTCACCAACCTCACCTCTACATACCCACAACTCGACTCCCCTGCCATCTCCCTTAACATGAACGCCTCTGAGTGGGTATTCAGCAACGCTGGAGGCGCAATGGGCGCAATGTACATCATCCACGCGTCTATCACTGAGTACCTCATTATTTTCGGTACCCCCTCTAGGCACGGAAGGACACACGGGGTTGCACACTGCAGATGACTACTTCCATATTTTAGTCGGCGAGCAGTGGGCGTTCAAACCAGGTGCGTTGGAAATGGAGAGGTACGGCCCTGGGGACATGCATTTCCTCCCGAGGGGTACTGCGAAGCAATATAAGATGCATGAGGGGTGCTTTGCGCTTGAGTATGCTCGGGGTACGTGGTATTTCGAGATGGCATTGTCGTTTTGTCTCAATTTTTTTTTGGAGGCTGGATCCCGTTGATGATGCCCTTTGGTCTTGCGGATACTTTCACGTCTACCCTAGATCTTCCGACGTTATACCACACCGTTCGCATCACGGGCCGGGAGATGATCAAGAACTTGCTTGTTGGCAAGATATGATTGATATAAGCTATATGAGACATGTTGGTTTCTGATGACATCTGTGATATGTTATAATACCCCTAGACAGAGATCTTGTGCTGGTCGTTCTACCACGCGGTAATGCCATTTATTAGGAACCTCGTATATACTTATTGTTCGCTGGCAGAATTGTGCGAGCCCTTGGTATCCGATGTCTAATCATCCATCCTGCTTTTTATTGTAAGGTGCACCTGAGACATTGAATAAGCCCCGACTTCGATTGGTGAGCATGCCTGTAGTTGAGGTTGCTTTAAGTGCAGATGTATTTAAAGAAGAATCATTGGAAGGTAACGAGTCGACTAGTGACTTCGCAACAACTTACGTGAGAGAGGTATATACGAGAGCATGATTACACCACAAGAATATCAGGGTAATATCTACAACAGCTTGATGTACAGTGAGGGTATAGAATCCACGATCAACGACTTGTAAAACCAAAGCAGACGACAGAAATACAACATAGCAGAACTACACACCAATATGAATGAAAACTATCCTCTGCTCAAGCGGCACTTTTTTCCTCACAGCGTTGGTAGCCCGGTTGAGTGCCCAGGCCGCCTTCGTACAGTCCATCACACCATCCTTGAACATCTTCTCGTAGAAAGCTTCGACAACGTGTTTTGCGACAGCGTCATCGACCACCCACAGCGTGCCAATGACACTCTTGAACCCAGAAAATTGTAGTCCAGCTGCGAGGTGGATGACTTCGTCGGGTGTCTTCTCATCACCAACAGCGGTATGACAAGCCGACAAGAATGCGAACTCAGCATGAGGAATGTCTCTCTCCATGATATCAAGCAGCGTCAGAGGTTTGTCTCTCATGGCGAAACGTGAATAGTAAGGCTGCTCGCAGTCCTGCTTCCCATGACAAGCGAGGTGAATCCAAGTGTTGCGTTGCAAAGCGTCGAGTACACCTGCTCTCGTGGCGTCGTCGCCAGAGACAGTGATGGGGTTGGCCGTCGTGGGAACGAGCTTGCGGACGAGCTCGAGCTCGCTGTCGATAGTAACGAGCGCCTTGCCTTGCCCTGCGCCGGGCTCACTTTGTCCAATCACAGCGAAGGACGGAGTGACACTTGTCTTCATCATCTGTCTAGATCTGATTAGAGCCGAAAGTGTCGGCGTGTAAGAACAGATGTAGACGTCTTCCAGGCATAGTTCCCGCCCACGTCCGTCTGCCTTCTTTCGAAAGGGGTGAGCTGCGTGGAGAGGAATAGAAGTGAAGGTTCCAGTTGGACACAGCCAGATTCGAGAGCCGCTCTTACTTTGAGATCGCGTTGGAGAACGATGACGATGAGCAGCATAATGTCGTCCCATACTGTCTGCAAGAGGACTTGCAATTCCTTCCTCGTCTCCTCTGGACGCATACAAGATGCAATCCGTATTTTCCTGGCAAAGTCATTCTTGAGCTTCTCCAGATGTGTGAGAGTGATGCGCGGGAAGCTAATGTGGTGGGGCTCTCCTGACGTCGGGACAATGATGGCGCTGCAGGAGTATTGACTCGCAATGAGGATGATGACTGGGCCATGACGCGCTGCGGCTTGCAAGTCTTCGTATGAAGGCGGGAGCAGGAACCGCGAGAAATCTTGAAGATCACGGATTTCAGCTACCGCTGCACCCCACTCCTCCTGAAGTCTCCTGTACTGTACTGCTGCTCGATCGGCAGCAGCTCTGTCAGCACTGCCGACGGAACCCTGAGCATCAGACAGGTGCTCGTTGATCTCTGAGAGCCTGAGAGCTAGTTCCGGACTCGCAAGCTTTAGGTCTTCCAGCGGTGTCCTGAGTCGAGAGGCCAGCGACCACTGTAGGCCGCGACCCTGCTCCAGGAGCTCAACTGCTCGTCGCAGATCGTCACGACGTATGGCACAAGAGGCTGCATCGACTGGCAATGATTGTGCACCGCAGAAAGTGGTTGCAGCCTCACGCCGTGAGATAACTGATGATCGCGTCATCATGTGGTTGTCGAAAAGCTCCAAGCATATTTGGTATGCTTCAAGCGTAGAGTCATGTTGAGAATTTTCAGCTGCGTCAACCCAGCACAGAGCTATTGCAATCCGGTGGGGAAAGCCTTGAGTAGGGTGTCTCGCTCCCAGTCTGAAGTTATCTACAGCAAGCGATAAATCAGCAGGGTTGTTCTGTATCCGGTAACGAGCCACATATGCATTCTTCAGCACCATGTAGCTGAAATATCTATCTGGGTGCAATGAGGGTAAAACCACCAATGACTTTTGGCAGAGTCGAATGGCCTCCTCGATATCTTCATTCTTCCCAGTTTGGTTGAAACGAGAACGGAGCCCCGAGCTCATATTGAAAAGAGCTACATGGTGAAGTGGGTGGCCATGTTGCTGTAACTGAGTCCCGGAACAGGTCGATGGCCTCGTTGAGATACTCGTTGGCATCCAATTCATTATATATAGTTCTGAGTGTGCTGGCAAGGTTGTTAAGCGTGTAATTACGATTTGGATTCCCGGGCGGGCACAACGTCAGTGCCTCGCGCTGGAGGTTGATGGTTCTATCACGATGGTTGTGCCCAACAGGGTGCAGGCGCAGCACTTCTTCGTACAAATATATGGCCTGGTTGAGGTCATTGGAATGGCCTTGGTGATTGAAGCGATGATAGAGTGACACGGCCAAGTTATTCAAGTAGAAATCATGTCTAGAATGTTCCTCAGAGCACAGAGAAACAGCTTCATGACCACGTTCTATGCACTCGTCTAGATCATCAATGGTGCCGCGTTGTTGAAAGCGTACCATGAGAACCCATGCAAGCTTGTGGAGTGCTTCTGGACGGTGTTCGTTGCCCAAAGGACAGAGCTCGAGCACATTTCGTCGAAGGCGAATGCCTTCATCAGATGCGTCAATTGGAAATCCGTTGCATAGGCGGACCACACGATCAACGTTATGCATGATGCTACGAAGGTAGGTGCCCTCTGGACAGAGGGCCAATAGCTTGCAGAACAGTTGCACGTATTCATGGATATATACGGCAGTGTTATCCTTGCCGTAGCGCCAGATCAACGCTTTAGTGAGGTGGTATATAGACAATGGATGATCGGGATGGCCCTGCGGACGCAAGACAAGGGCTTCGCGGAACAGAGAAGTGATAGACTCAATGTCTTGAAAATCCTCGTGTATGTAGCCTTTAAGGCGGGCCCACGCGAGGTTGGTGAGAGCCGCTGCCTGGTCAGGATGGCCGATCAGACATTGGTCTAAGACCAACTGAAAATGCTGTACGGCATCGTTCAGGTGAGAGACCGTCTTGCTTGTCACGTATGTGGCAAATTGTTCATGGCCCGCATCCGTGTTTCGAGAAAGCTCACATTCAACGATGGACTGTAGCAGGTGTTCCGTTGACAAAACCAACAGCACAGAGGCTGATGTCACTCACGTCAAGCAGTGCGCTGTCCTGATTGTCGCAAGGATGTAAAACAGCGGCCTTCAGAGTAAGGGAAGAGTGATCGCCACAAACGGGCGGGAAGGAGATGTCTACGAGTTGTGAATATATGCGCGTGAGGGAGGAGGGTTACTTACCGAAAGGCTCATTTCCATGATCGAGCAGCTCATCCCACGATGTTTTGACTTTTCCAACGACTTCTCCATTGCCTAGCATTCGACCGAGCTCGTATGAAACCCTGATCTCCAGCGATAACTCAAGCACCTCGAGCAATGATCTACAAATAGATGATCAGTCCTAAATCGCATATGAAAATCATTATAAACTTTACAAAATTACGATATCGTCCAATACTCCAGATTTGTCGGATGATACTACTCGGATGGCTGATTTCCAGCGCCTCCTCGAATCGACATTAATGGACACGTAAAAGCCTGCAGGTATGCGCTCGGAAGGAAGTGGAAGATTGTTTATCCTGATGACTGTAGTAGGGCGAGGATAAGGCACAAAACGCATACGAAGGTGATGTGACCCACGTTCAAGTCTGATATAGTGGCCTTCCCAGCTACCGGGCATGATGGTGGAATGGCGCATAATGACAAGGAGGACAGAGGGTGGGCAGAGTGGTGGGTGGAATGCTAGTGGTATGGGGGTAGGGATATGGGAACTGTAAATGAAGTTCAGGTGAGGAGTGGTTGAGAGTTCAGGTCATGCTGCACGTGTATTTCCATATTGTCGAGGGCTGTTCGGCACAATAGACGCTTGTATGATTGCACTTATAAGCACGGAGGCTGAAATATCACCGGTCACCAACCAGCATTGCCATTAGCGGGGTGCAAAAGAAGTAGACAATAATGTCAAGGTCAATCAACAGCGAAAGCGGTAAATCGTCGTTGAAGAGGACATGCGAATCTCAGAGCATCTCTCGAACCAGATCTGTTTATCAGACGTATGATATATCGAGCACAAGGCTAAGGCAAAATGCAGAACCCGGTGTGTTTCATAGTGCAAACAACATTGAAAAACGACAGATCTAGACAGAAAACCCGATGCATTCTATAAGAGTTGAGTCTTAATGCCATGGGGGAGAATGTTCGAATACCAGGTGTGTACACGGGACGCACTTGAGTGCTTAGCCGCATCAGCTCATGATGAAGCACTTTAAGCGGACTTTGAAATCCACGGCACTGGCCATCAGTGAATTCATGCTTGAGATTGTAGGCGTGTGAACTATAGAAGAATTTAATTCTGCTCCTGCTAAATATAACTATTTACACTGAGAATTTTGACTTCTTGGTACAGCCATGGATACCAGCGGATGTAGACTATGATGAAGAGTTTTTGACAAGATCATGACATTGGGTCATCATGCATCATGCCTGGCTAGGGATAATAGAGTACTTACGTCAATGTTTCAACCTTGTGGGGTAATATCATTTTCTGTTATCAGTGCCATGGAGCAAGAAGGCCACATTCCGTTGCACAGCAGCTAATTGAAAGCGAAGGTGCTCAATCTAGAAGGAAATCATGGTAAGTGAATGGTAACATGTAGATGTATTGAACACCGACTTTCACAGGCGTTACGGGCCTCACTTAAGGTCGAAATTTGAATATGTTTGATAAGAATGTCCTACATACTGTCAAATGGAGGAAAACAAAAAAAAATGGTACTGGACAAGTACAAAAATTGAAATTTAGTTACGGTAGTGCAGTAACATATCACGATCATGCTGTTTCAGTATAAACCCATGTCCTCACACACCATCTGGCCAATCAATACCAGGAGATATGGAGGTAGGATACCTGACCTCGCCTTTGTGTCCAGCCCAGTCAAAATCGATCAATTGGACTTTGCCGTCCTTTGTAATCATGATGTCTGGCTTCCAAATATCACCAAAAACAAATCCCTGCTCATGACTGTAATCAATCGCTTTTGTGAGGTAGTGGTGAAAATTTTGAGGCAGTTTCGATACACTATAGGCTGTCATTCCGTCCACGTATTCCATGACCACCATCCGCAGTGTGCCATATGATGGCATGTCAGATGAGATATTGATTAGTCCATAGTACAAGAGCTTCAGCGCGAACCCTGCTTCAGCCATCACATTGTGGATGTCCTCACCATACCTGCTGACAAACTTCACGACGACATTGATAGGGTACGCCCCAACTGTCTTTGCCAGGTAAGTCACACAGGAATAGAGTTTAAAAGTCTGGTTAAGTCCGGTCTTTTGCCTTATTTGGAGGCAACCGGACCAGGACTGATAAAGACCGATATTTTAGTCTTTTTCGGTCCTGCAACCGGTTTTGAACCGGTTGCAACCTCAATAAGTCCAATAATAGTGTAGTACCTTTCAGGACCTTTCCAACAGTGGTCTGATCATGTAAAACAGTTAAGATTTGAGAGAGATATGAGCATTTTAAGAATACACCGCCCTAGAGCATGAGGCAAATATGAAATGTGTTGTGATTGCTTAAGTGGCTTAACAAAAGTTGTGCTTGAAGTCTAGACGAGTCTAGGACTAATCTTATCTTTTCAATAGGTTCACACATAAGCAAGGTATAAGCTTAACAAAAATCATTATCAGGCTTGTATTTGAAATATGAAAAATATGAAAGTCATTATAAGGCTTAGGTATCCCAACACTAATTGTAGTCCTAGTCTAAATGACTCTATTGCTAGTCTCATCTTGTCAAACATTCAAGGTTTGGGCAAGTTATAAGCCAATCTTTAATTTTTATGCCAACATCCTTCAATTTTGTGAGCCTTTCTGGTAATGCTCATATCTTTTTCAGATCTTAACTGTTTGACATGACCAAACCACCATTGGAATTGCCTGATTGACTACTATAACCCTACAACCCTAACCCTAACCCTAATACCGGTCGCAACTGGTTTTTATCGGTTTTCAAATTTTCATAAAGGTAGGCAACCTGCAACTGGACTTTTTCTGAAACCAGGCAACTGCAACTGAAGTCCAGTCTTTCATCAGGGAATTGACCCAAAAACGACATAGCATTATAAAGCTCCATCTAATATAAAATTCATATAATCTCTAATAATCTCTATCATAATTGCACTCAGCCTGACAAAGCTTTAGATAGGCAAGGTTCCGCTGGGGAAAACCACCAATGATACAATTATGATACACATTGCAAATATCTGTCATCCTTGACAAAGGTTTATAATGTCAGGCTGCCTCAAACAAAACTGTCATGAAATTGCCAAAAGTCTTAACACTGACACTCATTTTATCATTTTATATATCAAATCAAATTTTAATTGGGGTTGGGTGTGTACATATGTGGTATTGATACAGGAGAGAAGAGAGACATAGTAGAATAGAAGGTAGAGAGACATAGAAACATATCAGTTACCTGCCTCAAGAGAGAAAAGAAGAACCACCAGGAAAGGCCAGGAAGACCAGAGAGGAGGACCAGAGAAGGCCAGGGAGGAGGAGGGCCAGGGAGGAGCCATGAAGGGCCAAGGAGGGTCAGCCTGAGGGAGGAAGGCCAGGGAGGAGCCAGGGAGGGCCAGAGAGGGTCCAGGTAAGGTCAAGGAGGAGCCATGAAGGGCCAAGGGGGAGAACCAGGGAGCAGGAGGCCATGGAGGAGCCATGAAGGGCCAGGGAGGACCAGGGAGGACCAGGGAGGACCAGGGAGGACCAGGGAGGACCAGGGAGGACTAGGAAGGACCAGGAAGGAACCATGAAGGGCCAGGAAGGAGGGCCAGGAAGGAGGAGGGCCAGGAAGGAGTCATGAAATGCTAGGGATGAGTCATAAATAGTAGGGAGAGAAGGATGTTGGCCTGAAGGGCTAGAAGAGGTGCATAGTTAGAGTGTGAATGAGATGAGAGAAGACAAGTGTCGAAAAATGTGAACCACAACTTACATAAGCATCATGTGACATGGCTCCTGTAGTGCAATGTCATGCAAGCAGTGGTAGTAAAGATCAATTGGTAGAAAATTGTTGATACAATTATAAGACATGACATATCTACATCAGAATGTTGGTTTTTTTTGTAATCCTTGTTCATTTAATACCAATTTGTCATACTTATTAACAAGCTTTATCTTTGTATATAACCTTATATAATTCAATGGATTTTTGATTTGATTTTACCAACTAAATCTAGGGAAAGCAAGTTTGTGCCAATTTTAAGATGGCCAAGACACATCAAGGTGATATGTCTGACATAGTCATATCTTAATTCATATATGTGTGGCACCATGATAATGATATCTAAGGCTAAAACATGACATGTAATAATGATTATTGATTACCAATTATATCCAGTCATATCAACTTCAGGTTGATTTCCTGATGTTTAAAGTCCAGTTTTGGTCCAGTTGCCAGTCTTTTTCAGTCCAGCAACTGGACTTTAAAACACTACACAGGAAGGGCAACTTTCAAGGGGCTCTTGATATGTGAATCCCACAGAATTTCCATCACATATGTAGGTATTTGGGGTAGGGAAAAAGTGAGAGTGTCGAACAGGATGTGATATGTCATAGAGCGGCTCCTGGAGCTTGAAGATATCGTCATACCATTCTTTGAGCATGGTAACTGATTGTTCGAGTGTATGAATGATGCGAGCAACTCAAAGGCATTGATCGTGGTCGATTACAGAATGGGCCGGGATCCAGATGAGATCTGTAAGCTGTTGAATGATGCATTTCTCTGTAAGAACGGCGCCCAGAATTGCTAGCCAGGGTCCAGCATGAGCAACCAAGAATGTAGGACAATTGCATCTTAAATGAAGTTCCGAATTCTATGTAACAATTAGTAAAGTGAGCTTCAGAGTGTTGAATTGTTGTACCTGCTGACTTGAGATGCACAAAAAGGAGAAAGAGGCCTGGACCGCAGGGTCCGAACCTCCATCTCTGATCCCGTTCTTCTCCTCATTTACAATCAAGCATATCAAGGTATGCTGATGAGAAGTAAGAACCGAAGCATCGGGAATGCATTTGCCATCATGAGTGCACGCATGAATGAAAGGCTCTCCGATTACCTTCTCCAGTAGAGAAGTAAGATTCAAGTTTCATGCATGCTCATTTGAGTGTATGGTTGCAAATCTACACATGAGCTCTTGAACGGAAAGTAGTGTCTCCTCAGGTACGTCATATGTAGGATTAAATGCTTTGCTTGAGAAGTAAGTGAATGCTGGGTTGAATAACTCAATCGGTAGCACATGCATGTCAGCCGGGTTGTGTTCAGTGCAGCGGCCGTCATATATTTTGGTAAACCCAGACCTGGCCTGGATCTCGCGATATTGCGTGGATTTGGCAGCTGTTGAAGGGTTGGGACCAATGGTTCCTAGGTCAAGAACGTTCTTGAACTCTTTTAGTGGGCTATATTGTGAGCGGGTCAACTTCAAGAACAAGTCAGTATAATCTTACCTGTGTTAAGCCGCACTACAATGTTGGTTGCGTCTTCAATCATGGTAACACCAGCACCCCCAAACTCGAGTAACTGCACTGAATGTTATGATAATATGGATATGCTCATACTCTGATCCATCCATAAACACTTTGGATAGTTGAACCATCAAATTCAGCCGTACGCCACCCTTGACTTGATCCCCAATCGTGTTGAGTAAGTGCAGGTCGTTCATGTTGATCTTAACCTTTCACAGTATCAAATCATCAGTATCAAATATTCAGCATCAACGACTCACCTGCCATAACACAAGAGAATCAGTATCAATACAATCAAGTTGATTCTTCTTCTTGTCCTTGATAGCATCCGAAGCCATACAGCTAGAATGATACATCCAAACTGGACTATAGCCCTAAAACTGGGATACATCATTCAGTCTAACTATCCATGATCCACATGGATATATCCCTTGGTAGATCCCAAATGCTAGCATACACAGCCGCATTTTGCGCATTTTTGAAACTCAGCCATACTGTGCCTACATCAGTTAAAAATACATTGCTTCTCATATTAGGGCCTTCCCATTATCCCCACACCGCATTTTTGGCCACCTACTGTGGGAATTTCCCCACTACACCAAAAACATCACCTATTTTGGGAATCTCCACAATATCAATTATTCCCACACCCTTTCCACTTCACTGCAGCTTCACCACCACACCACAATAGGTCCCTGTGCATATATAAGTAGTAGTTTAGTATATATGTGTATAATATAATGTAATAGACCGCTTTTTTGTCTATTTGTGTGCCTACTCCTACTCTAGAGTCCTTTCAACATAGGATAGGATACAAAACAATTTCGCATTTTTGCCCCTTTGATAGGGAAGTGTTCTGGAATGTTCAGAATATGTTTATGAGGATATATGAGTAGTTTTCCATCTTTATTTGACCCCCTGAAGTGTCCTACATCAATAGATATAGCACATATGCAAGAAATCACAGAATATCTTTCCATTTCATTATTTCTAGGTGAACATATTCGGAAAAATGATTCCTCGGATCTATTCAACAATAGAAACAATGTATCAGGAGCCCAGGACTACAGGATAATCCTCTGTTGCATAGTGTGCCCTCCTTCTCCTGGTGGTCTACCTTGTGTGAAATTTTTTCCTGTAGAAGCGGACCTAAATTGAGGTGAGGGGTCTATTTCTATGTATATCTAGAGTAGATCTATCATATAGCTAGCCCAGGACACCCATAGGATCTCTCTACAGGAACAAAAAGATAGAAAATCGCATTTTTGACATTTTTGATGTTTTCAGTATCTTACCCTTGCATCTATGATCCAACCTGTTCATATATCATTAGAATAGTGTATATACTTACTTGTATGATGGAGATCAGTTCAAAATAGGTTGTAGGTTTGAGATGCTGCATATGCTTGCTATTTCTACTGATAAGGGGTCAATACCTTCAAAACATCGAACTTTAATAATCAGAAACTTGGAGTACATTTCAAATATATTCAGTATCATACACATAAATTTACAGAACAATCCAATAAGAATTGAGTGCTGAGGAAGCGAAATAGATAAGAAATTGAGTGTGGGAAACTTCAAAGACCCAAAACATCGAAAATGGTCAGTTGAGTAGTAGTCAGACTTTAATCCTAGGTCAACACACATTTACACTACATCCCTTCCACCCATCCTCTACCCTCAGGGCAATATGTAGTATAGCTTCCTTAGGTAGTTTACTATCCATCCTACATAATTTTAATGAAATCTTCGACCTGTATCAGCTATAAATGTAACTTTGTGTCAAAAATGACAATTGTCACTTTTCACACATATGTTCTTTTGCCTGTCATTCAGTCAATCATTCATGGATCTTTATAAAATATTAATCATATCATGAGGGACATATATGAGAGGTATCCCAGGTCTCTGATCACTTATCACAGGCTTTGCTATCATATAGGCATCTAATCAATAGAAAAGCCCCGTTACATTATATCTCAAATTTCCACCCTATATCTAGCTGATCCTTAACATGAAACACATATTTGAATGTACTACTGATTATATATGAACATGGCTGACCAGATGTGCAAGGGTAAGATACTGAAAAACATCAAAAATGTCAAAAATGCGATTTTCCATCTTTTTGTTCCTGTAAAGAGATACTATGGGTATCCTGGGCTAGCTATATGATACATCTACTCCAAATATACATAGACATGGACTCCCTGCCTCAATTGAGATCCGGTCCTACAGGAAAAAATTTCACAGGGGGTAAACCACCAGGAGAGGAGGGATGCACTACACAAGAAGATCTTTCTCTATGGTCCTGAGCTCCTGATACATTCTTACTACTATTGAATAGATGTTGGGGACAATTTATCCAAGTTAAGATAGCTAGAAACCAAAATGCGAACCTGTTTTGTGTTTTCCAATATATACACTGTACCTATTGATGTAGGGTGCTTCAGGGGGTCAAACAAAGATGGGAATCTCTTCATATATGCTTCTAAACATGTTCTGAATATACTGGGATACTTCTATATCAAAGGGGCAAAAATGCGAGGGTGTTCTTTACCCTATCCTATGTTGAATGGTCCCTAGAGGAGGAGCAGGCCCATAAATGAATCGAAAAAGCGGTCTATTATATTATATTGTACATATATATACTAAACTACTACTTAGATACAAGGGGGGGCTATTGTAGTGTAGTGGTGAAGCTGCAGTGGGGTGGGGAGAGTGTGGTGATAATTGATATTGTGTAGATTCCCAAAATAGGTGATGTTTTTGGTGTAGTGGGGAAATTCCCACAGTAGGCGGCCAAAAATGCGGTGTGGGGATAATGGGAAGGCCCTAATATGAGAAGCAATGTATTTTTAACTGATGTAGGCACAGTATGGCTAAAAATACAAAAATGCGGAGTGTGGGAATGATGTGGAAGACTGCAGTCCACCAAAGTGGGTATGTTTTTTGAATTACCACATGGAATATATCCTGGAATGACAAAAGGCTGAGTTTCAAAAATGCGAAAAAATGCGGCTGTGTATGCTAGCATTTGGGATCCACCAAGGGATATATCCATGTGGATCATGGATAATTAGACTGAATGATGTATCCCAGTTTTAGGGCTATAGTCCAAAAGGATATATCCATCCACCTACATGAGGTGAGCGTCCTTCAAATGGCCCACAGTGTTCGTGCTTTCAATATCGACAGGACAGACTTATTGTGGGTCATCCCCAAGGACCCAACAATTGAGTGAGAGTGTCTTGGACATGAATGTTTGAACAGAGAGATGAACTGTAGCTACGAACACTTGTTAGCTGCTGAGTTTATGGCCGATGTGTTCAACCATGCGCGTTGGTCACGTGATTTGAAAGTAATTACACTTCGTACTAGTTGGCTACTCTCACAAATAAAAATCCACGAGAGTCCAATTGTTTGGAACTCATGGTGGGCCCAGTGGTGGCCTGGAAGTGAGTGATCGGCAGAGAGCGATTTGACTGGGGCACCGCTACAACCGTGGCCCGCGGGCCAGGGTGTATCCTGACCACAGCATAACTTAGGAACTGTTGTGAAGACAAAAATAAATGACTACAGACACACATATGCGGTCCGCAGCATGATCTGTGAGATGGAATGCCACTGCAGTATGCCTCCAGATGGCCATAATGGACGTCGTACAGGACACGAGGTAGAAACGAACATGCTTCTACCACATGGCGTAGTCCTTCAATATGGGGTGAACATTCATTACTTTGCAACCAAAACGACCATGGACATGTCAACCTGCGTGTTATTATCATCTGAAGGCTCCACTGCATACACAGCTCTTGTCAATGCTGGCCTATCTCCACGTCTCTTCCTCGAAGTTGAGGCAAAAGAACGACTTCTTGAGTGGAAGAAGAAATGGGAGGAGGGGGAGAGGAACCGCGTGTCACTAGAGGATAAGCTGAAGAAACTTCAAGTTGAGGCGGAGCAGCAAATTTCCGCCCCAGACAAGGACACGAAAATTATCTGGCTTATGAACACACTGAAAAAAGCCAGCAAGGAAGCCGATGAAATCCAGATCAGGTTACTACTGGAGCAAAGCGAGAGAGAAAAGGTTCAGCAAGAACGCTCCAAGCTTGAAGATGCGGTTCAGAAGCTGCAGCAAGATCTCAGCTCATATCAGCAGCAGCTGCTGATGCGAGAGAGTGAGAATAGAACCATGAGGAACGAGCTGCAGGCCCTGCAGACCAAATTCAACGACCAAACAGTCCTTCTTAACGACTGCACACGGAAGCTACAGGGTGCGCAGGGATTCCTGAGCAAAGCCGATACGCTGGCAGAGCAAAGTCGTGCTTATTCAGGTATGTCTAGTCCTTCGGTTTGCAATTCACGAGAACATCATACGGTTACATACGCAATGGTTAACTCCAAAACATATGCATAATTCAAATTTTGACGAACATGAACTGATAATTGCCTCTTTGCAGGCGTGCACCTTTGATAATCTCTTCATGTATCTAATTCGTGATTTGTGTCCTATTTAATTCTTTCCAAATCACACCTAATGCTTTTCTACACACCGAACACTCCCAACCACCACCAAACCTTCAGAAAGGACGAATTCTACGTGCTGTTGAGCTCTGCAGGCCCCGGAGTGATTACACCTCAGGGACGGAATCAACACCTCCATGGAGTCCGTGATCACGCAAGAGCACATAAAGTGCTCGCGGCTCGTTTTAAGGGGATCAGCCAACATATGGCTGATGCGCTCCTGGTGAACCCTTGAGATCTTGGAGTGCGTAGGGTCTCAACATTTCGAACGTATTTGTGTGATTGATGGATGTGTTGTGCCATGCGTAGTATGTAGCAGCTGCGATGAATTGCAGGTTGGCTCTTTTAGAGTAGGAGAAAGCTTCAAGGCACGCTGCGTTACACAAGGTCGTGGCGGCTCACACCTCTCACAGGTAGACTGTAGTCCTTGCCGGGATACTGCTCTAGCAGGTCAATGGCCAAAACGCCGTATGTCAGAGCCTATACATCCCCAAAGATAAGCACAAGGAGCTGCATGACAACGCCCGGAAGCGTTTCTTCTTGGATGTGAGTGGTGGATGAGGGATATGGTACCGACAAAGACATCCCTGCTCCTATTCTCGCCTCCCTCGATTGACAAAGCTGCAAAGGAGCATGGCGACGTCAAGCTTGCGGTGTACCCAGAAGTTATTCTCACGACTGCCATTGGACGTGGCAGCCAAGCAACGCTTGCAGTTAGCAGGTAACGTCAGGGGAGGAGTCGAAGAGGTATTTGTGAGTCACGGCATAGAACATGTTTCACCTTGAGATGCTGTCGTGGAATAGGTGTCGAGAACATTGATCTACTCGTGCCTTAGAGTTTCTATAGACCAACTTGAATAGTTATTGTTTTGTCAATGCTGGGAATTTGGAGCAAAGCGAGCTCGATCCGTACTTGCCTTGCCACTCAGGACACGGCCGAATCCTCGGTTTATAGGAATAAAATACGTCAAATACTCGAGCAATTAACGAAGTTGCAAAGACTCTTCTAAGCGTACTAGATATAAAGAGGGGATGCTTGGGGTATGCCTCACAAAGTAAATACAATATCAAGGTAATCTTACAACAGCCTTTAACAGGTACACCGATGGGATGAAAGAGAGAAAATCAACAACTCGAAAGCCTATACCAGACGAAAGTGACACGACATAGTATAACTACACACCAATATGAATGAAAAGTATCCTCTGCTCGAGCGACACTTTCGTCTTCACGGCGTGTGTAGCACAATTGAGTGCCCAGGCCGCCTTCGTGCAGTCCATGACACCACCGTCCTCCAAATCCTTGAACATATACTTGTAGAAAGCTTCGATAACGTGTTTTGCGACAGCGTCGTCGACCTCCCACAGTGTGCCAATGACGCTCTTGAACCCTGAAAATTGCAATCCAGCTGCGAGGTGAATGACTTCGTCGGGCATCTCTTCATCGCCCACGGCGGTATGACTCGCTGATAAGAACGCAAACTCGGCGTGCGGAATATCTTTCTCCATAATGTCGAGCAGCGTCAGAGGTTTGTCTTTCATGGCGAAACGTGAATAGTAAGGCTGCTCACGGTCCTGCTTCCCATGACAAGCGAGATGCACCCAGGTGTTGCATTGCAAAGCGTCGAGTGCACCTGCTCGCGTGGCGTCGTCGCCGGAAAGAGTGGTGGGGTTGGCAGTCGTGGGGACGAGTTTGCGGACGAGCTCAAGCTCACTGTCAACAGTCAAGAGAGCCTTGCCTTGCCCCGCACCCGGGGAACTTTGCCCAATTACAACAAATGACGAAGTCGCACGTTTCTTCATCATCTGCCTAGATCTGATCAGAGCTGAAAGTGTCGGCGTGTAAGAACAGATATAGACGTCCTCCAGGCATAGTTCACGCCGTCCGTCTGCCTTCGTTCGAAAGGGGTGAGCTGCGTGGAGAGGAATGGAAGTGAATGTTGCAGTTGGACACAGCCAGATTCGAGAGCCGTTCGTTACTCTGAGATCACGCTGGAGGACGATGACGATGGGGAGCATGATCTCGTCCCATACTGTCCGCAAGAGGACTTGCAATTCCTTCCTCGTCTCCTCTGGGCGCATAAAAGATGCAAGTCGTATCTCCCTCACAAAGTCATTCTTGAGCTTCTCCAGATGTGTGAGAGTAATACGCGGGAATTGAACGTTGTGTGGCTCTCCTGACGTCGGGACAACGATGGCGCTTGCATGAGTATCGACTCGCAACGAGGATAATGACTGGGCCATGACGCGCTGCCACTTGCAAGTCTTCATATGAAGGAGGGAGTAGGAACCGCGAGAAATCTTGAAGATTGCGAATTTCAGCTACCACTGCTCCCCACTGCTCCTGAAGCCTCCTGTATTGTATCGCTGCTTGGTCAGCAACAGCTGGGTCAGCGCTGTCGGCAGAACCCTGAGCATCAGACAGGTGCTTTTTGATATCTGAGAGCTTGTGAGCTAGTTCCGGACTTGCAAGCTTCAGACCCTCCAACGGAGTCCTGAGTCGAGAGGCCAGTAACCACTGCCGGCCACGGCCCTGCTCCACGAGTTCAACCGCCTGTCGTAGATTGCCACGACGTACGGCACACGAAGCTGCATCTATTGGCAGTGATTTTGCACCACGAAAAGCGGCTGCAGCCTCGCGGCGAGAGATAATCGATGACTGCGTCATCACATGGTTGTCGAATAGCTCCAAGGACATTTGGTATGCTTCGAGGACAGAGTCATGTTGATGTACCTCAGCCTCCTCAACCCAGTGCAGAGCTGTTTCCAGTCGACACGGAAAGTCTTGAGTGGGATATCTCGATGCCAGTCTGAAGTTCTCTACGGCCAGCGACAGATCGGCGAGGTTGTGTTGCACTCGGTAACGAGACAGGTAGGCATTCTTCAGCCACGTGTAACTGAAATACCTGTCAGGGTGCAGTGAAGGAAAAGCCAACAAGGACTCTTGGCAGAGTTGAATGGCCTGCTCGACGTCTTCATTCTTCCGAGTGTGCGTGAAATGAGAGCAGAGGGTCGAGATCAAATTGTGAAGAATTTTGTGGCACTCTGGATCAACATGCTGTCTTAACCGAAGCGATTCGCGATAAAGATCAATGGCCTCGTTGATATCTTCGCTGGCTTTCAATTTGTCGGATCTAATTTTGAGCGCGAGGGTAAGGTTGTTGAGCGTGACGTCACAACGTGGATGCCCAGGGGGGCATAAAATCAGTGCCTCGCGATGCAGGCTGATTCCTCTGTTTATGTCATCAATGTCACCACTTCTATTGAAACGGGTGAGGAGAGCGCCCCCTAGGTTGTTCAACGAGTAATCACGAGATTCGTGCCCAACAGGGCGCAGGCGCAGTGCTTCTTCGTACAAAGAGATAGCTTCGTCGAGGTTGTGAGAGATGCCTAGATGATCAAAGCGGGACCGGAGTGAATAAGCCAGGTCATTCAGGTAGGAATCGCGTTCAGAATGTCCTTCAGGGCATAGAGAAACAGCTTCACGATGACATTGTATGCACTCTTCTAGATCAACAATGCTGCCGCGTTGTCGAAAGCGTGTTATGAGAGCCCATGCAAGCTTGTCAAGGGCTCTGGGACGGTCCTGATGGCCCAGAGGACAGAGATGGAGCACGACTCGCCGAAGGTGGAGGCCTTCATCGGATGCGTCTATTGGAAGGTTGTTGCATTCACAGATCACATAATCAACACCATCTGCCCCTGCCGCGATGCTACGAAGGTGGGAGCCCTCTGGACAGAGAGGCAGCAGATTGAAGTACAGTTGCGCGCATTCCTGGATATAGACGGCGGTGCACTCTTTCCTGTAGCGCAAGATCAACGCTTTAAGGAGGTGATAGATGGATAGTGGATGATCAGGGTGACCCTGCGGACGCAATGCAAGGGCTTCACGGAAGAGGGCAGTCGTAGAGTCGATGTCTTGAATATCCTTTAGACGATAACCCTCAAAGCGGGAACACGCGAGGTTAGTGAGAGCCACTGCGCGGTCAAGATGGCCGATCGGACACCGGTCCAGAACCAACTGAAAATGCTCCACAGCATCTACCAGGTGAGAGACGGTCTTGTTTATCACGTATGTGGCAAATCGTGCGTGGCCTGCATCCGTGTGTCGAGCAATCGAGCATTCATCAATGGACTACGGTTGGTGTTCCGTCACATAAGCCAACGGCACAGAGGCTACTGTCACTCACATCAAACAGTGCACCGTCCTGATTGTCAGAAACATGTACGACAGCGGTCTTTAGTGTGAGGGAAGGGCGAACATCACGGACAGGTGGGAAGGAAATATCTGCAACATGTTAATAGGTGTTCATGAGCGAGAAGCAAATCACTTACCGAAAGGCTCGTCTCCAGAATCGAGCAAGTCCTTCCATGGTGTTTCAAGTTGTCCGATGACTTCACCATTGCCTAGCATTCGATCGGCCTCAAAGGACGCCCTGATTTCCACTGATAATTCGGGTGATTCGTGTGACGATCTACAAACGGATAATCAGTCCTCACATCGCATCCAAAAGTCTCCACTTTACAGGGCCACAGCCTCAGTGTCGTCCCACACTATAGATTTGTCGGATGCTAAGACTCTGATGGTTGATTTCCAACATTGAGTCGAGTCCACATTGATGGATACGTAAATGCCTGCAGGAATGCGCTCAGAAGGGACTTGAAGATTGTTTCCGCCGACGACTGTGGATAGAGCGTGAGGATCACAAAGCGGATACGAAGATATGGAGTGAGTGGCGCACCTTCAAGTCTGATATACTGGCCTTCCAAATTACCAGACATGATGGTGCGATGAAGCAAAACAACAAGGATCGAGGATAGGTTGAGTGGTAGGTGGAGAAGATGGGGGTTAGAGATATCGCGGTTGTGAGTGAAGCTTGGTGGAGAAGTTGAATGTCCACGTGTATTTCTATGTTGAGGTCAGTTCGGCACGATAGACTTGCGATAGACGCTGGTAGCCTGGTATGATTGCACTAAAGTTCTTCTTGAGTATTTTAACTTCGCTTCTTGGCACAAATGCAGATCAGCGATATTTACTATTCGTCTGAGCCCAGAAGTGTCTCATTGATTGTATACACTACACAAGTGCAGTATATGGATCTGTTCGTTGCCGAAGGTCGAGAAAGTACTGATGCGGGCAGCTATGTGGCACATGGTCAAGACAAGGTGGACGCAGTGACAAAGGCCGTGGAGAATATGGACATAGTTATAAAATATAAGGAGATGCTTGATTGTCTGATCCTCATGCGGGATGTGTTTGTGTGTCGAGAACTAGCGAACTTGGACGGTGACAATGAAGAGAGCTAAAAGCAAAGATACGTATGCTGCACCTGTATTAAAACTAATGATCATTGGCGTGTGGGAGGGATGTACAGCAAAGAAAGAGCACGAGACGAGCCAACAACGGAAGTAGGTTTATCCGTACGCTTGTTGTACCTGGTGTGGCAGTATTGGTATCAGGAGCAGGAGGTGTCGTGGACGTCGGTGCGGCAGCATGCTGGGATTGCGATGGTAATGACTGAGCCTGGCCTTGTGATTGGCCGTGTGGCTGCTGTGTTTGTGTTACCGTCCGCGGAGGTAGCGACTACTAGTGTCTGTATAGAAATCATCGAACTCCAGTTATTGGAAATAAACCCGAATAGATACATACCCGTTTGTCCCGCGTTGCAGCAACTTCAACGACACGAGAGAAAACAGATCGCCTTGGACGCTGCTGGAGTTCGGTTGCTTCATGAATATTAGAGGGAGTGCGGCGAAATAGCGTCGAAAGGTGGGCAATGAGCACACTTGCATTCCCAAAAGATGGTGCGAGAGGGCGGCGGTGGCGGGAATTGTGGCGGGGATGGGTAGAGGAACGGTTACCGTTTGTTGCGGAGGACTGAGATCAAGAGGTCAAAACAAGAAGTGATTTTGAAACGCTACTAGTGACGCACATGGTTATATCGCACATTAGTACTATCAAAAAAGCCAGATTGATAATCCTCTTCGTCACGTGTGGCATCGGTCTAGAAAGCCGATGCTTACAGCAATAGAACAGGCCGAGAAATACGCCACGTACGTCTATCAACTCTACAGCCTGCGAGGACATTAGCATTGTGTTATCAAAAAGTCTCGGGATTTAAACGCACATCAGGAATGGGCAGTAATAGGTCTTTGAGACCAGCTTCTTTGAGGACGGCGAGAACGTCCCAGACGTACACATTGTTGTTCTCGCCACCAGTGACTAGCAACTCTCCATCAGCTGAAAAAGCTGCACATTCCACAGTAGTACGGTGTTTGTGCTGAAGGGGTAGTCCAACTGGGAGGTTGGTGTCGAGATTCCACAGACGCGATGTTTTATCATCTGACACACTTGCAAGGAGGCGGTCGTTCCGAGATAAGGAGATGGCACGGACGACTTTTGTGTGACCTTCAAGAATGGCGGTCTGCTGCCAAGTGGTTGTGTCGAATATCCTGATCGGGCCACGGGAGGCAGAGATAAGTCTCTTTCCGTTCGACACCCATGCCAAACTGAAAACTGCTTGATCGTGTTCGAGTGTGTCAAGCAGGTTGCCCGTCTTGGCATCCCAGATTTTCACCGCATGCTCATTGTGTCCTCCTGTGGCCATTTTTGTTTCATCGGGCGAGTACATCACCACATGCACAGGACTCGTGCCCGGTCTTGATTGGACCGATGATGGTTTCTTCGCTATTGATATTCCATACTCTTGCTGTCCCGTCCCATGACCCGCTCACGACCCGCTCGCGATCGGCACTCCAGCACACTGACAGTACTGCCGTAGTGTGCCCTGTCAATTTAGCGATGACCTTCCCCGTCTCGACATCCCACAACCTCACTGTCCCGTCTGTGCTTCCACTTGCAACAGTGTCACCGGTCGGAGACAATGCTATTGTGCACATCGCCTTCTTCTCCCCCTTATCGCGCCAGCCCTCCCCAATCTGTGCCCCGCTCTCCAGGTCCCATAGTCGGAGTGAGCCGTCCCACGAACCTGTAATGATACGTCGTCCCCCAGGCAGGTGCACAGCACCTCTTACCCAGTCGGTATGGCCTTGCAACTTCTGACGGGGTACGACTATCGGTGTCTCGCTGGTCGAGGAAGACATGATCGGCACTCAGAGTCTCGACTGCAACAGATTCTGGACTGCGGTATGCGGGAAAAGTAGCCTAAGGTATCGGAATTAAAAGCTCCGGGCTGTCCGGCGAAGGCAAAGATTGCTAGTGAGTTCGATGGGCCGTTCTTATTTCACATCAATGCTTGTCAGGAGCGCACGACGCATAGTTCGTGAGACAGCTTACTTACAACAATTCAGTCCTAACCAACAGGACGGCTTCGGGTCGTATGTAGGTGCTGCTGAGCACGTGCTTTGCGGAAATCCAAAGTCGCTGGTAAGCAAGCGGTCAGCTTCGCTTTGCAGATTAGCATATCGCTCACGAGAAACGCCGTATAGGAATTCTCACCGATGTACTGTAATCAAAAATGCAGGGTGTTGACTGTTGGCTGAGCTGAGATAGTAGGAATAGTGAAAGATGCCATCCGTTCGAGTCGTCTTTTAAGGTGCATCCCATGTGGTATCATCGTGTTTGCTTTACAGCTAAGCGCCCAGATCTGATATCGGCAGCGCCGGCATATGCATTTTTTCCATACTGAAGGTGCTACGTCGTCGGTTGTACATTGTAGGAGAAGTGTACGGACCCTGGAATGACACGCTCGACATTTGCATGCTTCGAAATTCGAACGCTTCAGTCGGCACAGCAAAAACCAGGCATGAGGAGATTGGTTAATTGATCACTAAGTCGATCCAGGCTTGGCCGCTTTTGCAGTTACAGATGAGAGAGGTATATGCGAGAGCAAGATGACCACACCGCCAGAGTATCCGGGTAATATCTACAACAGCTTGATGTACAGTGAGGTAGAGAATCCATGATCAATGGCTCGTAAAACTATACCAGACGACAGAAATACAACATAGCAGAACTACACACCAATGTGAATGAAAACTATCCTCTGCTCAAGCGGCACTTTCGTCCTCACGGCGTTGGTTAGCGCGGTTAAGTGCCCAGGCCGCCTTCGTACAGTCCATCACACCATCCTTGAACATCTTCTCATAGAAAGCTTCCACAACATGTTTTGCGACAGCATCCTCAACCACCCACAGCGTGCCAATGACACTCTTGAACCCGGAAAATTGGAGTCCAGCTGCAAGGTGAATGACTTCGTCGGGTGTCTTCTCACCGCCAACAGCGGTATGACACGCCGACAAGAATGCGAACTCAGCGTGAGGAATGTCTTTCTCCATGATATCAGAGGTTTGTCTCTCATGGCGAAACGTGTCACATCAGACCGGTCGACAACTCAACCGAGAGATCATGCAGACGGCAGCTTTCATTTCGGATTCCTTCGATTTCGCTCGTAAATCTGAACAGAGGCAAGTTCATATCCTGAGGCGGTGAAGAAATGTATTTGTGGAGTATCGATATTCACCATGACATCTTTGGTGGACGACAACTCCATCCTGGGTACTAATACTGTTAGCATCCTGCGCAGCCTATATACATCTTGACCGCATCGAGTTCGAATATGGGCTGGAAGAAATGTGCGGAGTGGAGAGGGAGCGCGGGACACTGTCGAATGATCGTTGTAGTCATCAACATAGTCCTTTATTACGTATGGGAAGATGCACAGCACATAGCGCTGGTCGCAGATATGAGCGCTTCGTCTACACAGCAATGAAGCTGTAAAGCAAACATGAGGATGACACATGAGACACAGCCTTAAAAACGCCATGAACGAACGAATGCCCAACTTCCTCAACTCCCAACCAGACACTCGTTGATATCCAGTGATTACGCACCAGGCTTGTCTGAAAGGTGTTTCCTGTGAGTGATACTCTAGGCTCCTCTGTCGATTGAAGCTGACGACTTGCTTACCAGCGACCTCGGATACCCAAAAAGATCTGTTGCACATCATCGAATCTAACAGCACCTGAATACGTCGTCGTCCAAAAGCTGTCTTGTGGGAGAGGATTGGATATTGAATCTTGTACAGACTTGTCTCGTGCGTAATGGCGTGTGCGGTTCTTACAACTATCAAATTGAAAATAAAATAAAATATAGGCCCCTCGACTCACCAGAAGCCATTTTCGTTGCCATATAATTGGTCTGATTTCAAGATCCCGGTAGACTTCTCGTATACACAGGCCACGACTTGGCATAGTTGAGATTCCGAGCGCGGAGCATGTCTTCCTCCACCAGTAAGACGCCAGTAATCACGCCACGCCACACGATGCAAGGTCATACCGACTGGGTAAACGGTGGTGTGCACTTACCTGGCAGCCGACACATTATGACATGTTCGTCGGACGGCTCACTCCGACTATGGGACCTAGAGAGCGGCACACAGATAGGCGAGGACTGGCGACATGAGAATAACGTAGGATTGCGATCCATGGCATTGTCTCCAAACGGGAAGATGATTGCAAGCGGAAGCAATGACTGGAAAGTGAGGTTGTGGGACGTCGAGACGAGGAAGGTCATTGCCAAATGGACAAGACACACCGGTGTTGTGTGCACATTGTGCTGGAGTGCAGATGGTGAGCGAGTAGTGAGTGGATCCTGGGATGGGACGGCAAGAGTTTGGGATGTCGACAGCGGCAAAACTGTCCTGAAAATCAAAACCGGACATGGTTTGGTGTGTGCGGTGATGTACTCGCCTGACTCAACAAAAATTGTGACAGGTGGAAACAAAGAGCATGCGGCAAAAATCTGGGATGCGAAGACGGGCAAGCTTCTCAACGCACTCAAACACGATAATGAAGTTCGCAGCTTGGCATGGTCGTCGGACGGAAACAAGCTTTTCTCCGGGTCATACGGCCTGATTAGGATATTCAGCACTGCCACTTGGCAGCAGATTGCCATCCTCGAAGGTCATACCAACCTTGTCTACGCCATCACCTTGTCTCGAAACAACCGCCTCCTTGCAAGTGCATCAATCGATTCAACAGCGCATCTATGGAATCTCGACACCAACCTCCCAGTCGGACCATCCCTCCAGCACGAAGAGGTTTTACACTCCGCAACCCTTTCCGCTGACGGAAAGGTGCTAGTCACTGCTTGCGAAAACGAAAAACGCGTACACATGGGACGTTCACGCTATCCTCAACGAAGCTGGTTTTGAGGACCTACTTTCCATTGATACCAATGTTGTGAGTGTCAACATATTCGCCCGCTCTCTCTCGCTGACAATGTCTGCTGTTAGGCTCCAAAAGACAAATTGGAACAGAAGGCATCTCAAGATGATTCACGAATACAGCACACACCCCGCTCTTCACTCGATGACGAGTCGTTTTTGGAAGTACGTGCCGTGTTTACAATCCTTCTCATTCATTATAACAGTAATATTTCAGGCTGATGCTACCCAATGTCCTGACCAGTTTGGCGGTGTCGATGAACTCTCACCAACGTTCTTTCACGGCATGGAAGTCGATGTTGGTGTGCGTAACAAATTTCTATTATTTAATCCTTATTTAGACCTCCGTGCTCTCAGTCCTCCCCAATGGGTGGTGCACATCCCCATTCCTCTGCAAATGTACTTCTCGCTCGCCTTTTCTCGCTCCTCCACCGCTTTCGACCCGACGACGGTGAAACGACCGAACTTCCGCAAACTTCAAGGCCTTCGACGTTCCATCTACACGCACTCCTAGCTCGCCTGTCCTCACTTATTCACCGCTCTTCACCTGAAAATGATGCACCAGACGAACTTCAGCAACCCTCCACGCCTTCGCGGTTAGATCCACATGTGTTCCTAGCTCGGCTTTCCTCACTTTTCTCCCGATCTCGACTCGGCACAGATGAAGAAGCCGATTCCCATCCTACAACACCTTTGAGTTCACATTCAGATGCATTCATCAGCCGGCTGTCCTCACTCTTCCGCTCTCAACCTCACATCAACGAAGAAATCAAACTCCCGCAACGCACAAGTCGTCCTCGCGTTGTCGAAGTGGCTGCAGTGCAGGACAGGCAGGTATATATCTCCTTGGTGCCTTTACAATCGCCCTGGTTTAATGATTTCGGTTCAGGCTTTGGTTGTTGCTCGGCGGCCAGAATATGAGAAGGCAAAACGAGCACATCGGCAACAAACCCAATCGCACGGCCAAGCCCAGGCGGCGTCATCGCACACTCAGCCTGCCGATACTTCAACACCTCCTGCTCCAGGTACCAACACTACTACAGCAGGTACAGCAGCCGCACAGTCACCACCTATCCCATGGTGGGCTCAGATCGTGTTGTTTCTCTGCTGTGCATCTCCGCCACACACCAATGGTCATTAATACAGTTGATTCTGCACTTGTATTTCTTTCGTTATGTCTTTCAGTACACCATCAATCTTTTTTCCTCGTCGTGGGACTCGTGCAATGCATCGGACACGATCATGCTGATTGTTGTGAGCGAAGGACGGACGGTGTGCTTCTTGCTCTCCTTTGTCTCTTTCCCCCTACTTTTTCACAAAAAGGCCTGGATTAAACAGGAGTCTTCTACTATGACCCCAGTCATCAGACAACGGCATTACGACCGTGAAACAGAATGTCTGTGTTATACCTGACCTCGTGATCAAGGATCTGTTGAGCGCCATCTCGTAAGTCTGAATGGGTCTTTAGATGCATTCCGAGGGCAGACGCTGGATTTTTTCAGCGTTACGGTCATCACTATACATGTAGACTGTTAAAACTCTCAAGGTAGCTGGCTCTGACGCGTTTCACAATGATTAATGTGTACGACCTGTAGTCATCTTGGGCGTCTACAAATCAACAACTTATCTGGATGCCAAGTTCATCTCCGAACACGTTTCCATCCTTGTGCACTGTGAAGACACGCCATGGTTCGAATTTGGTTCAAGTGTATCAACGTTTCGTCGATCTAGTGGAAGATACAAAGCCCGGGACGTTCCGCTAGGTTATGTTTCGAACTCCGTCAGGACCTAATTACCACACCACCTACTTATGCCTTTCTCCTACCTTATCACCACTACGTATCATAGCTGGCTATAAACTGTTAGATGTATTGGATCGACATTGTGTAATATAGACTTTTGGTGTACTATAATACCGGCCAGTCTGAGAATGCCCTCTGAGCTCGCTGTGTGCGACAGCAAGTATGAGGGTTTCGGCAACGCGGTGGCACGGTATTACCGGATTTGGCGTATTTACGCGCTCTGTATTACCAGCTATAATGTCTTAGGCTTCTAAGTCACCTTAATTTGCTAGTCTGGACCCCCGGTTCTCACAAATGACACTTTAGCTCAATATAAGGGTGAGTAGGCGCCTTATGTACCGCTTTACTAAATTAGAAAGGTGGGAGAAATGGGTGCACATAAACACATGTGTTCGCCACCTTAGTATTTGATTGAAGGACTGACTCGGAGGAGAAATGATCCCGAACGAAGAGGTGTAAACCGAACGAATATCTAGGAGTAAGTAAAAGGGTGGAGTAGAGACGGAGGACAATAATAGAACATGAAGGAGTGGCACTGTGCAGTTGCTATTATTCATTGGGTCCTTCGATCACGAGACGACGTCTGGTGCCGACTGCCGAATCTGAGTAGTGCCTAGCAATAAGGTTGCGCAAAAAGCCACTCGGCTCTGTAACACGACGGGTGACTCCATCTGGGATGTTGCTCGTCGAGTCGCATGGATGGTTTGCGAAATGCATCCCATGACTCTTCCATTGATTCCCGTTGATATTCCACCAGCTCTCCATGTCCCGCTCGTGCTCCCATCCTTCGACGACGATGATGATTGGGACTCTCTTATGGCAGATCCCAGAGTAGAATTTATTGTAGGCCTCAACGAAGGTGCGGGGGCGAGTCGCGCGGCGCACGCAGTACACCAGAAGGCCGATGCTATCCGACCTAGAGCTCATGAGCTCACGCAACAGGCTCTTTAACAGTTCCTTTGCCTCCGCATCTGGTACTGTGCCTGCAGACCCCTCATTGAGACCTGGGGTATCAATCAGGACATATTTCCTGTCGGAAATTTCTACTGGGTAGCGTTCAGGGGTAGAAGTGCATCCATGTGCGTCATTGGATGTCTCCGCAAGTAAATGTTGGGTGGTTCCGTTGATGAGCGAACTTTTCCCTGAGCCGGCTTCGCCGAAGATGACAACATTTCTGTCCAGACGGCGCGTATGCTATATTTTATCAGTAGGGTTGCGCAGTTCAAGAAGTAGGCCACATACTTCGGGGATGCTCGATCGTGGCGCGTGCGGAGTTATTTTAATACTACGCTGTGCTTTCAACGTAAGAGATATGTCCTGGTTATTGATAGCCGAGAGGGTCACTTTGGGACCGGTGTGAAGGAACGAGGATATAGCTTAAGGCAAGGATTAAGGACTTACTGGACTGTCCGTCGCATCCGAGCAATTGTTCAAAAGTAGTCTCGAACGCACGTACATGCTCAGGTCCAGACTCGTATAAGGCACGAATTTCGAGGTTAATTTTTTTGGATGTGGGGGAGAAGATGGACATGAACCACTGGAGAAACTTCAGGGAGGGGGCGTGGATGTTGAGGGTTTCGTTCCAAGAAACGCTGTAGTCTGCCTCTGCAGCCTTGATGGTGGTGTTCCACCGGCCATCGGAGGTAGAGGCACGGACATAATAACCGATGGGCGTGCGGTCAGATGGAACAGAAGAGTTCGTGCCTGCTACCACTGCATGTACGGTGTGAGAAATGGACAACTGAAAGATGGTCTGAGCACTATACCTTCCAGAACTAAACCAGGTCCGCTACGCATGTTTGACATGGGTGAAAAGGGGCGCCAAGTAATTGACGAAGGAATTGGAGAAGATGCCAGTGGAACTTACAATATCGCGACATGCAAGCTATATGTAAATTCCAAATCTAAAAAGGCACCCCGCTTTTGGTTTAACCAGATTCACTTCAAGCCTTGGGCTCGTCTTTGCTTCGATTACGCACTCATCGACATCACCGAGTCAGCCCTATACCGTACATAGCAGTTTTGACGTAGTTGCAACTTCTACGTTGTCTATGAACGTGAGATTCGGTTTTCATTTCCAATTAGAGCTATAACTCACTATCTCTCTGAATAGATGGTTACTAATCAGATCCTCGAGTCCAGCACGAGTTTGCCTCGAGTTGTTCGAGAATCTGGCTGGCGCCGTTTTCAATACCACAGGGTCACGGTTGTGTCTGAAGGATCCGTGCAGGAAACGTGATTTCTTGCAAGTCTGCATTAGAATTTGGCGGGTGTACTTTTCAATAGTAAATACCACAGGGTCGTCTGAAGAATGGCGCAAGAAACGTGATCTCCTGCAAGTCCACGTCAGGATCTGGTGGGTGTCATTTTCAATACCACTAGGTTGTGTCCGAAGGATGGCGCAAGAAACGTGATCTCCTGCAAGTCTGCATCTGTCTTTGTCTATGATCACTGACGCGCGTCCTCGTGAGATTCAGTTTTCATTTTCAGTTGAAAGTTCGAACCATAACTTACTATCTCTTTCAAATTCAATAGGGTTACTAATCAAATCCTCGAGTCCAGCACGAGTTTGCCTCGAGTTGTTCGAGAATCTGGCGGGTGCCGTTTTCAATATCACAGGGTTGCGTCTGAAGGAACGGCACAAGAAATGTGATCTCCTGTAAGTCTGCGCCTGTCTTTATGACTCGCATCGGCAAACACCCGTTAGTAGCCGTTAGTGGGAGAAAGATATATCTAAGTTACTGGCTAATTAGTCAAAAACTCCGTATCATATATATATGGTATCATGCAGTGTAGTTATCCAGATATAAGTATCCTTTGTGCCATTATCCATTGGAGGTTGCGCTCGGCGAGCACACGAGGCCACTGGCAGCTGCAGTTGCCCGCCATCATAGAACTGCCGCTAGATCTAATTTATAAGGTACAATCTCTGGGACACCGATGATCCGAGTCACATTTTATTTCAGCATCGGCGATTCCAAGATCTTACTCACCTGTGGTTCCCAGGTACCTGATCTAATTAGACCTCATACCCAGTGAACACTAGACATTCTGAGACTAGTCACTACTGTAACCTGGTTTAATGGTTTCGGTTCAGGCTTTGGTTGTTGCTCGGCGACCAGAATATGAGAAGGCAAAACGAGCAAATCAGCAACAAACCCAATCACACGCCCAAGCCCAGGCTTCGTTATCGCACCCTCAGCCTGTCGATACCCTTCAACATCTCCTGCTCCAGGTACTAATACTACAGCAGGTGCAGCAGCCGCACAGTTACCACCTATCCCATGGTGAACTCAGATCGTGCTGTTTCTCCGCTAAGCATCTCCATCACACGCCACATGATGGTCGTTGTGAGTGAAGCATCATGACGATTCGAATATTGCTGACAGGACCCGAATTGTTCGAGATGGTATTTGATCTGGTTTGTGACGTCAATTTCAACAAAGCCGTGGGAAAGTCTTTCTTTAAACGGCGACTGCTGCTTCGACCACTGGGTAGTGGGAGCGCCAGGTCCATAACAAGACCCTTCAGAAAATGGGTCGGTGATTTCGTGTTGTGCTTGAGATACGAGTATCATGGCACCATCTTCTATCGCTATCCTTGGCGGTGGTCTAACCGGCCTTTCCGCTGCCTTTCACCTTTCACGTCGGTTTCCAGCAGCTCAGATCACTCTTCTGAACAAGGATATTCACTTTGGCGGATGGATACATTCTAGGCGCGCTAGAATCACACTTAAAGACGGTCGCGAAACCAGCGTGCTTTTGGAGGCTGGCCCGCGCACTCTTAGACCAAATTCAAAGAGTGTTCTCGAATTGGTGGGTAATAAGCTAGTCTAATACAACCTCCCTTTCGACCTTCTCATCGGGCACGTCCCAGACTAGATTAACCTTCTGGACCTATCACCATCTCTCTTAACTCTCCCGAAATCATCACCGGCCGCTCGGAATCGCTTCCTGCGTCTGCCTGGCACCCAAGGTCTCCTTCGCATTCCTTCATCTCCGTTTAGCCTTCTTACTTCTGGGCTCTCACCTAAGTCTTCTTCTTTGCATTCCCCCCTTGGCCATATCCTTCTTTCAGCTATCGCACGGGAGCCATTTCGCCCATGGAATAGGCCCCTTATGATTGAGGATGAGTCGGTTGACGAATTCTTGAGTAGGCGTTTCGGGAGCGAATTCGCAAGGATCTTCGGAAGTGCGCTCGTGCACGGTATTTATGCAGCAGATTCTCGAGAATTGAGCGTCCGCGCGGCGTTCCCGTCACTTTGGGATGCCGAGGAACGCGGTCGTGGCTCCTTGGTAACTGGGTTTCTCCGGCCGTCTAGAGTCTCAGCAACAGCGGAGGTCGACAACCCCCCATATCAGCTAGGGGAAGTATACGAGCAGATGCGCGGAGTATCTGTGTATTCGTTCTCGCAAGGGATCGGTGCGTTGGCAGACGCACTCTTGCGAGAGTTGAGGACACGTCGGAACGTGCGCCTACTTGGCGGAGTGTCCGCGACGGGACTCCGGATGAATCCAAGAACTGCGCAGTTCGAAGTACGCGTGTATCTCAAATAGATAGACTTTTGCTAATAACTACCTGTACGCAGATAACGACCTCATCTTGTGAGACGCTGCGCGCAACACACACTATTTCAGCTCTGCCTCTCCCGAGCCTGAAAGGGCTACTCTCACCCAAGACGCCATTGCCACACCTAACTGCAAATCCTTATTCGTCGGTGACAGTCGTGAACCTCGTGTTCCTTGCACCTCCAGGACATGCACTCCACCCCGTGGGATTTGGGTATCTTGTACCCCGAGCATCATCTGAACATGCGGAAAACGCAATCCTGGGGTGCGTCTTCGACTCCTCGTCAATGTCGGCACAAGAAGCGTCGTGGAGCGCGGATATTGTGAAAATGACTGCGATGCTCCGCGAGCCTGTGACCTCAATCCCTCGCCTTGTAGAGATGCTCTCTGAGCAGTTGGGCGTGCGTCTCCCTGACCCACTCATCGTGAGGGTGCATGACAACGCACATTGCATCCCCCTGCTGCGTGTAGGGCACCTCCAGCGCATGCGGGAGCTAAGCGGCGTACTTCGGGGCGAGCCGTGGAGCGGTAAGCTAGAGGTGATCGGCGCCGGCGTAGGGGGCGTGAGCGTTGGTGACTGCGTAGAAGCTGGAAGACGCGCGGGTAGGAGTTGGGCATAGGGTTTATTCATCGCCCTTTGGACTGAAACGGATGCTGTATGACTTCTACGTCAGGCGTGCGAGCTGGACGCTGAAAGGTTCCTCATAATTACCGCATACGTGTCCTTGTCATGTCACAATTACTGCCACTGACCTCACTAATTTTGGCCTATAGTTATCATTTAAACCAATAAGAGTAATAAGCGCTTGCACAGCGTCGAGCTGTTATTTCGGACGGGGCTGACCGTGAAAACAACAAGGTTTGACATGTTTGACACTCATTGTATCGGATAGGGCAGGGACGACATCCAATACGTCCGCAGTGGAATAAGCACCTCTATGAACCTATTTCTGCAGATGCTGTACTTTATTGTGACCTTTTTTTGCCAAAGTTTTCTTTCTACAAAGAACCAAGCTGTGAACCCTCGTAAGCGTCATTGCGCGCAGCCCCCAGGACCAGAAGGTTCCACTCGAACGGACCTGGCAAGTGTGCTCCCCTCATATAAGGTGGTTTATATGACTGGGTATCTGGTCAATTACGACAATCATCACATCCTCCCACTTTTATTATCCACCTTGCGCTGCGCCTTCTCGAGCTAAGGTTGTGCACAGTCTGCGTTTTTATTTAAACGCTTGACATACACATACCATGGAACGTCGTCCGTGTGCGTAGAACTTGTTCCTTTCTTTCCCGTCAGTGTTGGACTGAACGCGCGTTATCTTATAGTCGACCCATCCGAGTCTCCGCCCATTCCAGACCCTTCATCCGCGCCTTTCCCGTCATTTCCTATGCCTGTGCCTGTCATCAATGTGCAAATGCCTAGCCCTGACGCACCGTACGGACAGCCGTATGCCTCAGAGTATCCATACGCATCTGAATATCCATACACCCCCGAGCCCCCATCTGCTTCTGAGCATCTCGCCTCTGAACACCCGTACACCCCCGAGTACCCATATCCATTCCAGCCACCTCAGCAACCGTATCATGTCCCTCGCGTATCACTGCCACTTAACCTTGATCCGCCGCTTGAACCGTGGGTCCCAAATATACCGGGGCAGTCGGACGAGGAGGAAGTTGACCCCACAGCTGAGCCTGTGTACATTCCTACCACTGAGCATGTGCAGACAGGAGCGTCTGTTTCTCGCAGGCCATCCCGCGTACAGCGTTTGGCTTCCTTCTTGGGACTAAGGCCCAAGGAATCGACAGCTTCAGGTCATTCCTGAAATTACATGCATCAGGTACTTAAAATTATTGGCATAAATCATCGTAGCCTTCACAATGTTCAGTCACAGGTCGTCCTAGACACCTGGAGAGTCCATACGTATATATATCGACAGATTGATCTTCAGTTATACTGCTAGATACTTGTCATATGTACATGTTTCTTTTCATGAAGTCCAAGTGAAATAAGATCCACGTTGTAGCAGCGATGTGGTATGGAGTCAGCTTTGAAGCTTTGAAAAACCGCAGATAAGCGCCTATATATACTCCGTGAATTGGTTTGTGTGCAGGACCGAAAGCACGCTCGTCGTCAACTTGAATTGCTAGTAACGAATGATGTGTGAGTGAGTAAACAAAAGATGGAACATTAATGTTACACTCACCGTTCCTCGGAAGAAATCAGGTTCTGTATTTTGTGTGCTGTCATATCGACCTTGATCGGGGATCCCCATCTAGGTGACAGTGGTCAGTAGCGACAAAGAATGAGGGAGTGAGTACATGCACAAAGAACAAGATCGTTTTGCGTAGCCGCGCTGCATTCTTGTTGGAAAGTTGATGAATTGGGTGAGATGATAGCCTGGGAGAACATTAATGAAGACTTACCTATGGACAAATCGAGGCAGTTAGCCTTCGTAGTGTTGCTCATAGCATCCATCATGTGTTGGTGCGATTCGACGGCATCAAGTCTACCCCCAGAAAGGAGAGCATGACATAGTTTCTGGTATGCAGTTAGCCACAAAGACTCGAGGTTCCACTCGAAAAGCCGTCGAAAGCACGGGGGTAGACATGAAACTTATTTTTGGGTGTGTGATATCAACGTACCAGCGCCAAGTCCTCATACAGAGAAAGTGCTGGTTCTGACAGCAGCAGTGAAATGGCCGGCAGCTTCGTCGTGATGCACACCATCCAAGACATCAGTTCCTAGCTGAACATGAAGATACGCCTGACGTGATGTTGCGGAGATCAGTGTCAATGCGTGAACCTCGAACGATGAATCGATGAAACCCACTTCCACGACACGACATACAAGAGTATCGTTACTTGAACAAGTATCAGCTAGATCTCAGACGCGCAGAATTGCCTCCTTGTGTTCAAGTTGATCTGCATCAAAAAGTGCGATAGCCTGGAAACCTAAAACAAGCATGATGCATGTGTGAGCAGATTAACTTGCCTTCGTCAATAGAAGACAATGGTTTGTACTTAAATCTCCGTTCGTAAACACGGACGCGATGTCAAATGCTTTGATCCCATCTTAGTACCTCTTCCAGTCTGTGAATGAGGGCCGAAGGGTGATGGACTAAGTACGTGATGGCGTCAGTGTATCTCACCTTGAAGTTTGTATCATCAAGCGCGTTGTCCCAGTCATGTTTTCGCGCCCTGACGGAAGAACGATTGGCATATGAGCGGCAGTTGAAGTTGGCACCGGTAACCGGCGTAAATATATCGTTTTAGCTCTGCGGCGGCAGGGAAGTCTCCAGACTGTCACAATGGACCAGACATGCATTTAAATGTATTACAAACTGTTGTGTTTATGCGCGTAAAGCATGGTCACAAGTCACTTATAATAGAGAGCGAAAAACTTGGGCTTCAAGGGGACATACGTTGATTTTGTTACATGGGGTACCCTAAACACGACATAAGAAAATGGAAGGACGGAAAGTCAGATTAACCCAGTGACTGAGTACCGTGATGATCTAGAAAGACTCGGAGTTGAGACAAGTGTTCTTTGAAATCGCTTGGCAAATACGAACCAAAAACGCCATCACAAACGCGGACGGTCCCCCCTGGCTATTCGGAATATCCCTTGACACATGTCTATTACATTAACCCCCAGGACATGCATGAGGCAAATATTGCATCAACAGTTTTAGTTGTTTGTTTGCGGTATATAAATAAAGAAATTCTCTCTCATCCACTTGGATAACGAAGTCTAAATATAGATGTATCCGCTCAAAACAATAATCCAACCCCCAGAACCAATCCACTACTTTGGATGCCACTGATATCATTGATTTCGCCACGGGACCTTCGAATTCACACTATCAGCCACTAAACACACACCCAGGCTCCTCAAAACGTCTAATTTCTCTCTGTGCGTCGATTGACTCTCAAAGCAACACGTTGTCCACGTTGCACATTCTCTATGACACTCATGCAGTCAATGCAAAGAGAGATGTCAACGTTCTTTGATTGGTGGCGTCTCGAAATATATGCATGATGCATGCAAAAGAATGAGAGAAAGATCGCGTGTACAGGGTGCCCAAGATGCCTCCGCTGTACATGTGTCAATGTGATTATAACTGCGTCCCATCATTTCTATAACTCGCATGGGATCTGAAATTTGAACCCAGAATATTCTGCTGTCTGCACCAGGCATAAATATTATCCAAACGCCGATGGAGCTCTTCGTCTTGGTGCTACTGACTCGGAGTTCGCCTAATCTGATCGGACTTGACTCACGACTTCTGATCACACAATGTCAATGCCAAGTGACAGGCTAGAGCACAGGGTACTGAGCCATGTGGATAGGTTATCAAGTCATGTGGAACTCTCGGTATGTCTGAAATCTTGTGCTCTGCTGAACAAATAACAGGTGATTCATCGACCCCGAGTTTTGTATAGGAAACCTGAAGATGTACAACTAAGACCTGAGCAAGCAATTGCGCGGCGGGAAGCGTTCATGGCTCTAGCTTCCTTGAAGCGATTGGTTACAGGTTAGTGGAGTGTTTTGAAAACTACGGCCAAGTGATTGATGTTGTGAACAACCTCACAGCACGACTTGAATGAAATTTTCACGTTAATTTAATAGATGTGTTATGAATGCTAAGGTCATGATTGCATGATCAGACCTCATAGATGTAGGCATATCTAGTACTTGCTTGTACCTATCCAGATTGGGATTGGCTGACACTATCTATACGGACCCAGCCATCTTGTCGTTTCCGTCATGCGTTACTGCACGAGAACCAAAGTGATTGATTCCGACTTCGATAGGAAACAATAGGTGTTCAAAGAACCATAGGCAAACCTTGCGTCATTGCCCGGACCGGTGGGATCCTGTGATGCTACGCAAGTACTCGGGACCACCCAACGCCGGGCGCAAGATCTTTGGAGTTGTCAAACTAGGCTAAATTTCAATATTGTTCCCCAGGTCCTGTCATTTCGCATCTCCGCTATCATCTAGATGTTATATTTGGCCAAGGAATATAAAATCTGAACGACTGATGCGGGAATCATCCAAACTCTCAAATGACGGATTTGAATGAGCTCAAGGTTGAAGTCCTCTTGGACATCATCAACTCCTCTGCACGCAAAGCAATACAAGAATACAAGAAAAGCGGACATGGGGTTCCTGGTGCTGACTCGACCACTTTTCACCCCCTCGATCTGGCGACAGACACACTTGCCCTTAGGAAGGCAATTAGGCTGCTCGAAGGTGCATGCCATCAATTGAGTGCGGTATTGGCCCCCCCACAACACACGGTATACAATGTAAGTGCCGATCATATTTGACTTCTCCTTTGGAACTCATTTCCTTAGTTTGTTCATGATTACACTTGGGCATGCACAGACATTGCCATCAGAGCGCGCATTGCGGATGTTCTGGATCAACACCCGGAAGGTCTTAATGTGGATGCGTTGGCCGACGCAGTCAACCTCGACAAGACCAAAACTTTACGTGTATTACGAGTCTTAGCTCTCAAGGGTTGCTTTAAAGAAGGTAATATATGTCATGCTGCCAGTCCAGAATTTTCTTTGAAACCGTTGTTACACAGTTGAACAAGAAGTCTTTGCAAACACCCGACTCTCGCTCATACTCAAGTCAACGAGCAACGTTGGGTGTATGGTTCGGGTTCATAAAGACATCCCGAAATACGGTGCAAATCTCTATGACACTATGACTGACCAAGAATACGCAAGATCACATGAGGTCGACAAATCACCCCGACTATTTTCTCTCAGAAAGGAAGGTATAAACAGCGGCTACTGGGAAATGGACGTGAGTTTTGCCATCACACTGCCTTTCTCTACCTTAACATATTTTATAGGGTGAGACACGCGATGTGCGGGCGAAGTCATCCACCTACAGGCGACGACTCACATAATCTTATGCACAGATATTTCAAAGAGGCCTGGTGGGTCATACTGAGATCTTTGGCTCTTCTGCTGTGCTGCATCGTAAGCTATCACCTCATTCGGTCGTCAGAATGATTGTAAAGCATCTCGTAAGATTACCCTTGGGACACTGTATCATCCATGGTGGATATTGGATCTGGAATTGGAGGAATTTCCATTCCTCTGGCGAACATGTTCCCTCACCTCAGAATAACCAATCAGGATCTCCCGGGAATCGTAGAGCAGGCTCAAATTGTGAGTTCAGACATTCGGTCTATATAATTATTCTAGCGGACAAGTCATTGAAATTTGGTTAGGCATGGGACAAAGATGCCCCTGGGGCAATGCGCGACGGGCGCGTGGAGTTCGTGCCATTCAATTTCTTCGAGGAATCACCTGTCGTCGGAAAGGATGTCTACTATGTAAGTGGCTAAGTTTGTTCCCATTCAGCTTGATAATTTGATATAGTTGAGGAACATTCTTCACGACTGGCCCGACGCTGAGTCAACGACGATCCTCCGTAATATTCGCAAAGTAATGGGACCAAACAGCCGAGTGTTAATTCGTGAGTCGGCTGCGGTTTTCAACTGGTGTTTGCTTCAGGATCAATGTCTTGTGCTAGATGACTTGTGTACTCTTCCACACAGTCGAAGAGCCTGGCGTAGGAACTACCGAGTTTAGCAAGGTGAGTTTTTGAGCTTAGCCTGATAGTGTATTTCTGTATTCATCATTATAAGGCGCCTGAACCTATGTTATTGAACTTCGGGGCAGGCAATCACACAGCGTACCAACAAGACATGACCATGTGGCTTATTTTTAATTCCAAAGAGCGAACCTTGAACGAGTTGAAGATAATTGGGCAAGTTCATTCCATATCTGAATACTTGGCAATGGTTGACTTGTTACGATTCACGATTCACAGGGCCAATGCTGGTCTAGTAATCACCAGGGTTTATGACCTTGTAGGGACGATGGTCATGGAGTTCAGGATCGCGCAGGACTGATCCTGAATACAATTATGTGGAATCTATACTCTAATCTTCTTCAATCGATTACGCCATGAAGACGACAATGACAAGGGAAGCTCAGACTGACACCAGGATTTAAACAAGCGGTTTGCGCAGCAGCAGGCAATGACGGCTCGATGATACCATCGTTTGGCTGTAAGTTGATGTAGTGACTCCGGCCTGCCGATTGATGACGAGCATGACGAGTTGGACCCTGGACGATCTTCTCCTGCTAAGTAAGTACACGTATACGAGTGTAACAGAATGTCAGTATCCGCGTGACCGTTATGCTCGGGATCAGCCTGGCTTATACTACGAGTGGCGTACCTCGTCAAATTCCCCCCTTCTCGAGGACCTACGTCAGATTGGTTAATTTTATGCATAGATATTCAAAGAAGTATGATGGGCCATAGCGGTTTGCTGCATGGTGATGTCGGCCTCATGTACTTCGTTGGTTAATCGGATTGGCGATATCGACGTGTGAGATCACCGTCGCGAAAGGTCAAAAGGTCAAGAAGGGTGATGAACTTGGGATGTTCCGTTTCCGCGGCTCTACTCATTGCCCCGTTTTTCGCGGGGCAACTGAGGCGACCTTTAAACCCCACCGTCGGGACAGTGCAGGATATTACCGTAAACCAAACACCTGTGTACCTCGATCCCGTTCCCGACAGTACTTAGCCTGTCAAGGAATGGTATCACAGGTAGATAGCTGCTAGTTTCACGTTAAAGATTTGTACCTTGGAGTGGTGAATCATGTATGCCGTACATCATGTCTTACAACCTGTTTTTCGGTTTTGAATTGAATGCTATGTACTTTGTTGGGATTAGCAGGACCATAATCTGTATTCCTTCAAGCGTCGATCAGATATACGAGGGATGTCTGTTGTTCCCTTATGTATTCTGTCATTTGCCCCTGGGAGCGGTGACGGCGCACACCAAGATCTTATGGGGAAATATATGATGGTCCCTCAACGGGTTGAACGTCGTATAACAAGAACTGTCCGAGCGTGCCATTAATATTCTCGGGTCTGTACCAGAAGCAGATGGGACAAATCAGGTGGACATCCATATCGTTGGCGTGTCCCGCAATCATTGTTAGTGTGGGGGTTAATGGGACATCCTTTTCGTGTAATTGGATAGATCGATCCACCATACGGGTACCGCATAGACCTACGTACTGCTTGACTCCTGTCAAAGTGTCAATAACTCATATACGCTAAATCCACGCGACTGCGCATTTTCTGGGCAATGAAGGCAACAGAACTGCTACCTAAAATTAATACAAGGCTCCAGCGAGAGGACGGTGCACAGAACCAACAAACTATGTCACAATAAGACGAGCGATAGATCGGTACTTGCAGGCAAATACTCACCAACATATAGAGCGTGACGTTATGTATCGCGAGTTTATGCTTCTGGTCTTGCTGTCGTAAGGAGATATTTCTTGGGCCTGGGTTTTGCACCATTCTTCTTAGCTGCAACTCTTGCTTTTGCCCTTTGTTCTTTTGCAGATTTCATATCTTTGGGTGCAGTAGTGCGGAGTTGCTTGATATGAGTAGGAATCAAACATTTCGAAGAATTGGGCTGGACTGGAGGCACAAGCCAGGGTGCGCTGATTACAGGTACAGATTGAAGCATATCGCGAAAAATAGGTAAACACGGGGCATCTTCCTATTGAAGGCGTCAGAAGTAAGGATCCTGACATTTCAAACGCTTACATGAATGGCTATTACGGCCGCTCGTCTCAGACCAAGCGCCTGTGCAAGTGCGGACTCTGAGCCCTTTGGTAGGACGATCAATTTCAGGGGCTGTCGAGTTCCTAGAGGGTTAGATCCAGAGCGCGTAGAGTTGCATCCTGCTACAAGGTGAGGGATGTGATCCAACAAGATCGGAGGATTGACATCGGCACGGCATACGAAGACAGCAGCAATGGGAGAAGTGTCGGGGAATATCGGATTGGTATGAGACGTGGTAGTGAGTGTAACCGATTGTCGGACAGACTTCAACTGCGATTCAAGTCTCCTTGTCACTTCATTGATACCGATGGTCATGTGGCCCGACGACGGAGAATGTTTACTAACGGCCGGAGATGGCAAAGGAGTGGAACCCACGGAACATGCAGAGGTTTTTGAACATACCATCGAGTCTGGGCTCGGGTTTGTCCCCTCCACCGAATCTGCAATTTCCGATCGGGTTAGAGCTTTCCTAGCGCATGCCTTGGAAGATTTTCGACTTCCACTCCTCACCGCGCTTTCCACAGTTGTTACGAGTGTCGCGAGGAACAAGTTTTGCGCGTTTGACGGGATCGAGGGCCTAGCTTGAGATGTTAGACGCGTTGTAAGTTGGAGGAGATCAAAACAACCATTGTATTCGGAATGGATTTTCAAGGACACTTTTAAAAACTTCCTTTCGTTCTATGGTTGCCCGTGCCTTTGCACGATTTGACGTATGGGTGTGGCTCCGAGCTGCTTTATTGGACATCGGTTACACTCCAAAGGGATCAACCCAGTTTACCGTGACAATGATTGTTTGGCTGAAGTTTGGTCCTGTGTGAATCGCAGGGCATTGCCAAACAACTCGCTCGTGCTAATTTCAACTAACATAATATACTACTGCACACTGGTCATCCGCTCTTACAACAGAACCAGACCTAGGCTTCAAGTTGAACGAAGATGTCCCTTACTACGTGCTGTACACGATGCGATCGAGTGAACAATATCAGGCGTATAAGAATGATTCGGATCTGTTGTAAGCGCCTCCATGATTCTTGTATAACTTGAAATTTCATGGTTTAATTTTCACGTAGGTGAAACTAATCAATGGTGACGTACCACAAAATAATCAAATTCGAGGCAAGCAGAAAGTCTGAGATGCCTTGGAAATATCCATACATGCACAGGGTGCACAGGACCGCGATCTACATGCACCCGTGAACTTCAAAAGCTATTCGTTCTTAGCTTAGAACGGGATACGTTCCGCTCAAAAGCATTGGCGCACTGTAACGCGACTGGTTCGCAACGTATTGTTAGTAATTACCCGTGGACGCTATCCTCTGTTCGGTTTCGGCTACGTTAGCACCGCCACGCGATATAATTCGCATTGGAACATGCTGGACTTTCCGGGTGGTATCTTACCCAGCTTTAAAAGTTAGCATCTGTCATCTCCCTACCCTCTTCCACCGTCAAAGAATATGCTGAACACTTCATGCATCATTCATGGAACCTAGCCACATCAATGCTACCTGGGTTGGACTCGCGGGGGCCCAATAAGGAGAGGCCGCATCATTGCAGGCTATGCTAAATGCCAAAAACGTTCCGTGGCAACGTCTTGTAAGAGATGAAGACACATTTGTCAGTAGCGAGATCTACGAGTACGCTCACGGCATTTGACGTTCCCCATCTTTCTTGCGATGGCTCTTTAGGTACGACTACGGGTACTTGAATATAAACGGCTGTAGGTTTATTGCACTTATTCATGGAATGACGATCTTTCCACGAAGGCTAGGCGATCCAGCGTTCGTCCCTTGATCTCGACAAAGCACCCATATCTGCCTTGCATGAATGTCAGTACGTTGGAATACGTGGGGAGCGTTATCGCCACGTGCCAGAGTATTTCACAACTGGCCCTAGGCAAGAATTCTCGGATACGATCCATCAAATACGCTTTATCTCATGTTTTACAACCGGAGCCACGGCAATTATTATTCACCGAACTGCTAATATGTCGAGCCATTTTCTGCCACTAGGCAAGTACATTTGGATTTTCTTCTAGATCATGGGTGAGATTCCGTTCTCTGCACAATGTTTCTATTATATTTTATATCTCCATTTACTTCTCCTACACGGCGATACGTTTCTCACGTTTACTAGCCCTCTTTCCTGACCCTGTGCTCTTCCTGCATATCACAACGTTAGGATAAACTCACAACGTAGTCTGGCAGGCTATGGATATAAAGCTCGAGAATGCACTCCTTCATACTCAGTTATCCTTCCAGCCTCAGGATCCTTACAAGATATGCCTGGCTTGATTTCATCTGTTCGGCGCTTTGATCGCACTAACTTCCCAGAGGATGTCTGGGACGCTCTACGGGACTGGGAACAATGTCGCTCGCGCAAATGTGATCCTTCCCCACGCCGAAAAGGTTTCCAGTCACCAAGAGTTCCTGCCCGGTTCCGAGCAGTTTTGGCTGGTCTACTCGGAGCCTACACCTTCTAACATCAGATTTATACTATCCTGCACTGAGGGACCATTGGGCAAATACCCCCTTTTCATTGTTCCCGTTGCCCCCATTAGATTGACCCCCGAACTCCTCCAAGACCCTATGGAGGCGTTCTGCGAGGCGCTACTGAACGAGGTTGACTTTAGAAGGCAGAGGGTGTTTTCTGTCTTTTCTGTCGAACCAGTCGCCAAAGCGTTCGCTAGCGCATGGGAGAAAATCGCAGAGATCAGATGCATAGATGAACCATACTACGATGCATTTTTTTCAATGTGTACTCCTGAGACGTTGGTCCGCGATGGCCCTCAATCAACGGATGGGGAAATCGAATTACGTCTTGCTGTATCGCAGGATGCCGTCAAGATCTCTACATTGTGTCAAGAATTTGCCGAATACTTCGGTATGTCTGCTGTACCACTCCCTTTTAAGCAGGCATTCATCGATGAAAATCTGTAGCCTCCATTCTTTCTCTCCGACAAACAGGCTTCTGAAGAGGCTAGGCTCTTGATTGAAAACGGGCAAGTCTGGGTATACGAGATCAAAGAGGGAGGTGGAGAAACTGATATCGCGAGTATTGTCGCTGCCACGCGGCAGTCAGACACTGTTGCTGCCATCACAAAGGTCTACACGCCAGAGAAGTGGCAGCGTAAAGGACGTGCCGAAAGGTTGGTTCGCCGTGTCTGCAGAGAGTACGAACTATCGATTATGAGATCGTACTATGATGCTAACTTCTGCTCAACCAGGTTATTGAAGACGCACGAGCAAGTTGTGCTATACGTTGATGCCAAAAATACCGGAGCTCAGAGGTTGTACAACAGAGTGGGCTTCCGTGACCTTTGTGGAGAGACTCCCGAGCACTGGCTTGAAATTGGTTTTGATAGAGGCGAAGTCGAAGTCGGTCACTGGTAGATTTTAGCATATTGCTTGTTCCCCACGTTTATCTGACATTTTAGATCTTGTCTGTAGCATTAGCCGCCTTATCTGTCTGTCCCTGCACTGTATTAATATTGTTAATATTGTTAGCGTTTTGATTATTGTACATATACCTATCTCGACATGTTCAATGTAATTGAATCATTACTGTCTCCTTGGTTGAACTACTGGCCAGTCAAAGACTCGCGTAGGGCACGCCTCGCAACGAGAAGTCAGAGAAGGATTAGTTAAAACTGGTTTCAGCAGATTTGTTATTTCCAGTAATTATAACACATCCCCAAATTGTGGCTCCAATGACATCATGGCACAAAATTCTGGCTTTGGCGTTTAGAGATATCTTGTACACGTCATCAACTTTTACGGCGCATCGGGAGCGTCGTGAATGCCGTTCGCTCCTCAAAGTGAAATAAATGCGAGGAGACATCAATTGAGGACCCAGGGCCTTTGCAAAGGGTGTCGTAGCTCATCATAGTCCATGGTCGTGAGGGACATGATTCTGCACGCATACCCTTCGAATCGGGACAGCCACTGAAAGAGATAGTCTTGGATAAACTGTACTAAAATATTGACATTTCCTTTGATGATATGCTAGACGGACGGCAGAACAATACTGTCTGGGAAATTTGTCTTTGAAACGGCGATTACTCGATACAGGGTAATGATTGGGTTCCTTCCCGCACTAGCGCTCAGATCACGGACCGAGGGCGCGCAGAGACAAGTTCGGGATAGCCACCGATATACCCAAGTGCAACCAACTCAGTCAAACTGCGGGAGAAATCCAACTCGCTCTGCGCTCAAAAAGAAAAAGTTAGAAAGGATACACAGCAAAGCTTAGAAAAAGAAGGCGGACTTCACACTGGCAGCAAAGTATATTTTAACGGAGCATACGGACAAGATGGGGCGCACAATGAACATAGAACACTAGAAGCATAAGGAATTGAGTGCAGTTGAAAGTCAAATACAACAGATAGAAAACGATACGATATGGTGCTTCTCGCAATGCGGCGCTGGGTCAGGACAGCGAATGGGTTCTTCTAGCCTGAACCGCCAGCACCGTTGCTCCCTTTACGAGTCCTGACAACCTTATTTCTCAACGCTCGCTCCTTCAGTTCTTTCTCTCGCTTTTCTAGATCATGCTGCTCTAGTCCTCCTTCCTAAAAGTCATCATCAACGTTGGCTGAGCACAAGTAATCAAGAAGGTAAGCCTACGTCATCCCTGTCCGCATTATCCCACTTATTTCGCCTCGCTTGACCCTTGATTTTCAGTTCACCTCTGGCATTTTGCGGAAGGGGCTCGTCAGTGATTCTCAGTCTATCGACATCCATACGCGAGGGTGAAGGACTACGCCTTGCAGGACGCTTTCCCTTTCCGCCATCACCGGCTTCATCGCGAATAACTCGTCGTCTGACAGGCGAGCGAGAGGCGCTGCCCCGCCTACGAGGACTCGGACTCCTGCGACGGGCGTATCTCGGCGCAGACCGTGACTGGCTCGAAGCGAGAGAGGGCGAATGCGATAGCTTACGACGCTGAGGCGGGGGACTTCTGCTATTTCTTTCTCGCCCGAATCTCCGTGGAGGTGAGCGTGAGTAACTGGGAGACCGTCTCCGTCTCCTTGGTGGCGGAGGCGACAAAGATCGAGAGTCAACCGATGGCGAACGTCTGCGGCGGCGAGGAGAAGGAGTCAAAGAGCGGCGACGACGAAGGGGAGGTGAGCGCGTCCGGGATCTACGTGGCGGCGGAGGGGAGCTTCGGCGGTACACAGGACTGCGGGATCTGGAACGCCTCGGAGAACGCGAACGTCTGAGGGAAGGAGGCGGGGATCGGGAACTCCTTGCGTCAAATGGAGAGCTTGGAGATGGGGAGCGCCTGCGATGTGGCGGTGGACTGCGAGATATTCTGCGGCCAGGACGCTATACCGTATAAGTTTTGGAGGATCTCAAAGAAGCACGGAGTGGACTTACACCGCCACCGCGTCCACCCCAACCATTATCTCTGCCTCGGCCACCACCTTCAAATCCGCCCCTGCCCCTGCCTCTCCCCCTTCCGCGTCCACGGCCTGCACGTTCACCTCTTTCCTGGTCTCTTATCTCGTCGAGACGGACCCTCCTGTCTCTCTCACCTATAGCACGTACGTCACCCTCGCGGGCTTTGCGCATTTCCTCTTTCTTCTCCTCCACAAACGTTTGTGGCACGCCTGCGGGATGCTCCTGAGCTTCCAGCAGTAGAGACCAGAGAGCAGTCATGAACGAGGGCGTCGATGCCGTGAGGAAACCTGTCAGGTTTATTTGCATTTTCTTTGGGTCTGGAGTCTAATGGAAAATACAATGGATACGTAAAAGTCTTGGACATGTACTAAAAAAGCTTACGGTGTGATTTGGGTCGTCGAGGAGACCCATGGCATACTCGACGACCACTTCATCCTCAAAGCCAACGAGTTCTGTGACTTTTTTGGCGATCCATGGGCGTATGACGTTGAGATTTACTTTTTTGAGGTCCACCTGAGGAACGAGATGGGAATTAAATTGAGAGCGCCAGACTTGGGTGGTGCCGCACCTTTTTATCGAACTCTGGTGGAAATTTCATAGACTTCAACAACTTCAACTCTTTGTCAGAGAAGCGACGGTCCTGGTCTGCAGAAGTGCCTTTGAAGAATCCTGTTATTCAAGGCATGAGCAGGATCTCGGTGAAAGGACTCAGTGAAAGGAAACTTACCTGCATCGGCCATGACTTGACCAGAGCTTGGTTGATAATTAACTTGGGAGCGTCGAGGAGTGCTAGTGAATACTGAATGTTTGTACAAGTTTGGAAAGAACCTCCCACGTACCCGGCTAAGAAGCAACACCTGATTCAAGTTGACCAAGTCACGGCCGGTACTGCGCAGCTATTGATTTTCTCGGGAACGGTCAACCTTGCTTGAAATTCTATACGATGATCACTCTTGTGCCAACTACTGATGCACTCGATCTTTATGCAGCAGCCAAATAAGAGGTTGGATCTGTTCGAGAATTTACATTACCCTGAGGCTGATTTGCATTTTGCATGAGGACCTGGTACGTCTTGGCGATTCGGTACAGTCCCGACGGTTTTATATTCTTCTGCGGTCGAATTCTAGTGATGCCAAAAAACCAGACATATCATCAATGCAATTCCAAAACAGACCTCTGACCAACGGTCTAAAATTCTAGATTCCCAATTTGTCACTGTCTTGCAATATCGCAGACTCATCATGATAAGCTGCTCTCGGACTGCAGTATGAAACAAGTATTCAGTATCGAATGTCCAATAGTAAGCCGTCTCGGGGTTTTGGATATTCGGTCCGCTTTCGAAGGTCTCTGACACGCTGTGGTTGGACTGGTATGTCTTTGCGATATGAAACAAGTCACTCATCAGCAGGCCCGGGTATAAAGGAGGTGCAGGCGAGCACTTCATCTTCGACTCCTCTTCTGTGTTGTGCTCCATCCTCGCTCTCATCTTCTCGACGCTGTGCAATCACCTCGCACTCTCACCTCAAGCCGCTTCACGTTGTCATTATGATTGACTATACCAAGGCAATCCCTTTCGTCTTCGTCCTCGCACCTATCCAAGACGCACGATACGCTACTTATTCTGGTATAGCCAATCCAGCAGCATGCACCCTTTCGGCTTTCGCACAATCTTCTCCTGGTTCTGATGCCCCCCACGCCCTCAACGATTCATCCAGCTCAGACGACACAACATCAACGACGAATCAAGATGATACAACGTCACACACCTTCTCACCTTCATTCTCGTGTCGTGTTGTCGAGCTTTTCATCATACTTATTAGTCAAATCGGTTTCCTCGCACATCAATTCCTACGAATCTCTGACGTTGTTGATGTTCTCTCCTCCTCGTTTGCGACTCTCGAGCAGACCACCGACCTCGAAATCACGAACCTCTGTGCCACAATGGAGTTTGTCAAGCAAGATGTCGATTCCGTCAAAGATCAGACTCTTCGTCACGAACAGGTAATGGCTCTCGAGGCTAAAGAATTCGCCACCGTCGTCGCCAATCAGCAACGCCAAATTGACGACCTCGGAAAACAACTCCACGAGGAACGCGAACTCTCGAGAGATATTAAGAAGATTCTCGACAAGCTTACTTCTCGTGTCTCGCGCGACAACACGGAGCTTGACGTTTTCCGCGGGCGTCTGCATGACCAACTCACCTGCCAAATCAAGAACCAAATTCAGACGGAACGCGATGTTATTGACCTTCGCAAGGAACTCGATGCCTTCCACGAACGCCTGCATGGCCAACTCATCTCTCAACTAAAGGATCAAATCCGAACGGAGAACGACATTGCCGACCTTCGCAAGGATATCCCGAAGACTCTCTCTCTATACCACACGAGGATCTCAGCTCTGGAATTTGCGTCATCTCAAGCTAAACCGCCTCCTTCACCTCAAAGTGTTGTTTGTGACTCCGAACCCGTACGAAGTACTACGTTTGTGGATGCCAGCCCCCTTCCGAAGCGAGTTCTTCCTGGCTTTCAACATCTTCCTGCACCAACGAGCGCTGCACCGAAGAAACAAAGGTCAGGTATCTCAATCGCTGCTAGATCGCTTCGGTTCATTGATCGTGAATCAATTTACATTCGTACGTCTTCTCGTCCATCAGATGCGACGTCTTATTTAAATGACAGGTACATTTGCAGAACCATCCGCATTAGTCGGATCGAAGGCAGCTGGAATCCCCATGAAGTCCATCTCCCCGAAGATGCCACCGACAGTTGATTCCGTCAGACGTCCGGTTACTGTCAAGTCTTCAATTTCCAGGGTCCTGCCGAGCTCGAAGATTCCGACGCCTGGCACGAGAGTATCATCCGCGCCTAAAGGAGTCCTCTTGAAGAATCCCTCGTCCAAATGTAAGGAGTTCTCGCTATTATAGTTCACGATTCTAAAGACGAGACGTGCATAGACTCATCTTGTGATAACCGTGCACCCCGGGAGTCCCCGGCTCTCAACAAGAGTGGTAGTGCCACCAAGGGCAAGGTGCAGGAGCCTAGAGTTCCTTCTCTCAGGAAGAGCGGCAGTGCCGTCAAGGACAACACGAAGGCGCCTAAACTTCTTCAGAAGAGCCGCAGCGCTGCCAAGGGCAAGGCGCGGAAACTCAGTCAGTGCTCTTCTTCTTACCTCGCTTCCTTTGTCCTGACCCACTCCTTAGGTAACAACCAGGTGTTGCCTCCGTCCTCGTCTCCAGTCACTCCCGCCACTACATTGCGTGCCACGGACTCGACGTCCCGGCCCGACGACGCATCGCATGGCATTGCTAGTCAACCCCTGTCGTCGTCGCCATCCTTGGAAGCTCTGGATGTTGCTGTGCAACTCCACTCGTTGGGCGATTTGTGCGATCCATTGCCTTCTCTAGATTCGATGTCCTGGCTCGACATCGCATTGGATAGTGTTGCCGGTCAACCCCTGTCATCATCATCATCCTTGGAAGCTCTGGATGCTGCCGTGCAGCGTCACTCGCTGGGCGATCTACGTGACCCGTTGCCTTACTTGGACTCGATGTCCTGGCTTGATGAGTTCCACGAGGTTTCAAGTCAACCTCTTCGCCCGTTATCTTCCATGGAAGCTTTGGATGCCGCTGTGCAGCTTTCATCGCTGGACGAATTGTGCGGGACGATGCCCTCGCTAGACTCAATGTCCTTCCTTGACGATGACGCTTTTCCTGTCCCTCTCTTCAAGAGTATGTATTCTTACTGTTTTATGGGGATGCTCTGATTCGAATGTTTCCCCCACAGATCTTGGCCGGAATAAGGCACCAAGCATCAATTATTGCCACCGAGAACCTCTTCGCCCGTCACCTTCCATGAAAGCTTTGGATGCTGCTGTGCAGCTTTCATCGCTGGACGACTTTTGTGGGACGATGCCCTCGTTGGACTCGATGTCCTTCCTTGACGACGATGCTCTGACGATCCCTCCCTTCAAGTGTACGTGTGTCTTTTTTCCTTTTGATGTGTCTCTGATCCGAACGTTCTATAGCCCTTGTCCGGAGTAAGCCTTGAAGCCTACATGCTTATTTGGCTTCTCTTGGTATTCCCGCATATTTGAGCACTGCCAGTGTATCGATACATCCCCATTCATGACTTTGCTATACCCCTCTCATCCCCTCCCATTCCTCAGTTGCATCCCTATTTTTCTATTCTATCAGATACCATTTCTTCTCGTGTCGTTCCATTTGCTTGCTCTCTCTCTTTCCTTCTATCTCTATCATTTTCTCTGTGTTGTAGCAGTTTCTTATCTGTATTTCTTTCTCTTTATAGTATCCTCTATCTCTATCTCTACCGTTACTCTACGATTTCCTTTCTGCTTTATCATATCATTTTCCTCGTTTTCTATGATATCATGATCTAATATTTCTGCTGGAAAATGTAACCGTGCATTATGAGGCGCGTCGGCTTCTCAAAAGTTAGTGTTCATCTCTCAAGATCTCACGCGTCTTGAAGCTTCAAACTTTCAAGGCTGACATGCTTTTCCGCCGACATGATGACAACATGAATTCAAATTCACATACTTACTACGCTATTGGCATCCTCCGAGTCGTGGCACCACATGGGCGATTTTTGCATTCCTTGGGGTGCAGAAGCTATAGTCAGAACTTCCTCTCCAGGTCTACACCCACAAAGCAGACGTGTTGCACGGAAATGCAGACGCTTAGCCAGGTTGTTGAGAGGTGATCCGTCAGAGCACTGAGCCGGTTCCAGATAGATATATCTAACGGTTCCAGTTCTATGTACCTTAGCTGCCACTGTCACTGACTGTCATCCACCCTAGTTACTGACCATTTTTCTCTTTGCTACTTAAGGATGGCTAGACGCTACACCCGCACCTCAGTCTTTCTTCCATTGACTGAGGTGCGTATACCATTCACATTATACTATACATGATACTTACTAGCGCCCTACAGACTCGCGTTACCTTAGTTCTCGCTCTCTAACAGGTTATGAGCCCTGCCTAAAGGGTAGCGCCATCTTCTCCTCAAAATCTCTCATTCCCGCCGATAACACTCGGCTCTGACGTTACCATGTCGTCTTCGGACTCCCTTCCCAAAACTGAACGATATCCGCATGAGAAGCTCACCCTCGACGGATCCAACTATTCTCAATGGGCCACTGGCTTTAAAATGTGGTCCGGCGGCATTGGGCTATGGCCATATGTCAACGGCGACGAGAAGGAGCCATCCCCCCCAGCCACACTCACGGACGTGGATCAAAACATCATTCGCGCAGAGAAACACGCTGAACGAGTACAAGTCTATAAACAACGCCGACTTCTCGCCCTCAGCGCTATGTCCACGGCGATTGATGCGCAGGACTTCGTCCACCTCCGCGATATAGATGACCCGCACATGGCGTGGATTGCTCTAGAAAAGAAGTACCCTCCCCCAAAAGGCTATTCGATTCAATCAATACCTGGACCGCCTGTTCACCATTCCCAAGGCGCATGATAGTTCCTCCATCGCCCAAACTATGCAAACCCTCACCGTGCTAAAATCCGACCTTGCAGCTCTCTCTGTCACCACAGCAGTCGCACCCTCCACTTCCAGTGTCGTTACAACTGCGGCAAAGGACGAGTACAAGATCCCGGACGCGATCTTCGTGCACGTCCTGTTGCGCACCCTACCTGACTACTACGACCCCCTTCGTCAAACCCTTGTCAACAGCGATACTTCGCTGGACTTCAGCGATGTCGTCAACCGCCTGAAGACTCAGGAATTACACCGCGCTGGAACCAGTGGCAGTGACCATGTGGCCATGCTGTCTGGACATCGAGGAGGAAACTCCTCCAACCCCAAGACCAGTGATCGTGTCCCGCCGAAAGGTTTTGATGAGACAAAAGGAGATGGGTGGATAGTAGGATGGCGACCTAAGTGCGGCCATTGTCAAAAGGCCGGCCATGTCTGGGTACAGTGTCGCGCATGGCTCTCTAAGGACGACAAAACTCCAAAGTCAGCACCTCGTCCTTCCTCCCCTGCCACAACCGCCGCTAACCCGGTGCCCTCCCTGCCAGACCCAACTGACGAGTCTACCATACCACCTCCATTCGTCCTTACGCTGAAGGATCACTCAGCCAGTATCTCATCAGCCCTTGCTTTACCGGCTGGGTCCTTCCACGTAGACTCTGCCTCGACGGCTCACATGGAGCCTGAAATATCACGCTTTTCTCACTATACGAAACTGCGTGAACCTATCCGTGTGACCTTAGCTGATGAGCATGTGGTGTTAGCTCCAGGATGGGGTAAAGTGAAACTTGTACTGCGGTTTGGTGATTCGTTGACGGAACACGAGCTCGAGTTCCTGCATGTCCCCGATTTGCGCTGTACGCTCATTTCGGTATCCACCCTCGCCTCTGCTCGTATATCCTTCGCGACTACTTCTGAAGGAGGAACGCTGCGCTCTAACAACGGCAATGGGCCATACATCGCCCATGTGCACCAGAAAGACGGATTGTATCTGCTGGATGCAACGTACCATATGGTTGATTCCACCCCTGCACACGCAATGCTCACAAAGTCCATGCCTCCATCTCTTAATACGTGGCATTGTCGCCTTGGGCATGCTGGTTTTTTCGACCATTATGAAGGCCACGGGACATGTCAGCGGGATGAACATCGATGAGACCACCCTGCATCATGACGTCGGCGGCGCCGACACGATACATTGCGTGTCCTGCGTTATGGGAAAACATAAACGGCTTCCCTTTCCTACCATCGCACGCCGCGCTAAAGCGACAGCTGACCTCATTCACTCTGACGTTTGGGGACCGGTCAACATCACCTCCTCTACCGGTGATCACTACTTTGTGGTGTTCACTGATGACTACACAAGGTACTCCGTAGTTTACTTGATGCGTGCCAAATCCGAGGTCTTTGATCGTTTCCGGAATTTTATCCCCTGGATAGAAACACAATCTGGGGGGGCGCGTCAAACGGCTTCGCAGTGACAACGGAGGCGAGTACATGTCGAGGGAGTTTCTGGCCTACCTTGGGGAACATGGCATTGAGCATGAGACCACCATGCCCTACACTCCCCAACAGAATGGCGTCGCGGAACGCGGACACCAAACCATCGTCACCCGTGCACTCAGTTCGCACCACCTGAGTGGTTTCCCGCGTTCGTTCTGGGGCTGGGCGATTCTTAACTCAGCCCACATCAAGAACATGCTCCCTTCCTCATCTCTCGCTGGTCGCACGCCCTTTGAGGCGTTCTATGGTCGCAAGCCGGATGTTGGCTACCTTCGTCCATTCGGTTGCCTTGCCTATGCGCACATACCAGAGGACACTCGTCGCAAGTACGACTTTGTCTCTCGTCGCTGCTTCCTACTCGGCCATGTGCGGAATGCAGGCTACACTCTCTGGGATCCCTCTACCAAACGCGTCGTGCGTTCCCGTCACGTCCACTTCGATGAACACGTATTCTACGGGGATCCTGCTTCCTCACCCCTCGCTCCTCTCCTTCTTGACTCGGCGGATCTCCCTGGTGCCACTTCATCGGTGGGAGGTGTCACTCAGCCAGTGGGAGCACAGGCTGGTGAGCCACCGCTATCGACCCCTGCTGACTGCGTACCACAGGTGTCAGTGGGAGAACGTGACAACCCACCTGACCATAACGATCCGCCAACAATCCCTGGCCCAACCGAACAGATAACACTGCTTATCCCCCCACAGCAACCTCCAGTACCTCCTCCTCCTGCACCTCCTTCAGATGTTCCGCGTCGCAGCACTCGTTCACGCCAACCGGTACAAGCAGGTCATATCGCACCCTCTGGGACCAGCGCAACGGCCATACCAACGCGACGAGTTCCCGTCGCCGAACGCTGGACATATGTACCAGAGTCCTCGACCAGTCAGCACGACAATGACAGTACCGAATCCGCAATGCACACAGCTACCGAACCTCCCAAACGCTCAAACATAATCATACCCGAAACCATCAACAAAGCTCGGTCGTTACCTGAGTGGCCTCAATGGTCAGACGCCTGCAAATCTGAGCTGCAGTCAATGCAGGACCTCAAAACTCACAAACTCACGCCACTCCCAGAAGGACGCAAAGCGATTGGTTCGAGATGGGTATTCACGGTAAAAACTGACGAAGAAGGCAACATCACACGTCACAAGGCACGCCTCGTTGCGCAGGGATACACGCAAGTCGAGGGGATCGACTATACAGAAACGTTCGCGGCTGTCGCCAAGTACGACACGGTTCGTATTCTCCTCGCCCTCGCGGCGAAATTCGACCTTGAACTAGACCAGATGGACGTACGTACTGCCTTCCTCAACGCTGACCTCAAGGAGGACATCTACCTCAAGCAACCGGCTGGTTTTGAAGACCCTGAACATCCGGACTGGGTGTGGAAGCTGGAGAAAGCGCTTTATGGGTTGAAGCAGGCGGGGTATGAGTGGAACCAGACGCTGGATGAGTACTTGCGGATAGAGGGGTTCAGATTCGTAAGGAGCGAAGCTGACCACAGTCTATATGTCCTCCACGAGGGGGACAAAGTCATATGGCTAGTCGTCTACGTCGACGACATGCTTGCAGCGTCGAACTCTCGCGATTACCTGGACAAGTTCAAGACAGAGCTAAAGCGACGCTTCGACTTATCAGATCTCGGTCCCGCTCGCCACTTCCTTGGCATGCACATTACGCGCGACCGAGAGAAGAGGCTCCTCACCATTAGCCAGAAGGCTTACCTTGAGAAGATTCTCAAGAACGCCGGCATGACACTGTGCAATCCCGTCAGTACGCCTATGACACCTGGAGTAACCTTGCAGAAGGCCACTCGCCCCCCAACGAGTGAAGAAGCAGACGCCATTGCGTCGATCCCATATCGCCAAACTATCGGGGAACTCAACTACGCTATGCGAACCACTCGCCCCGACATCGCTTACCCAGTTTCATGCCTCTCCCGATACATGGAGAATCCCAGTATCGACCATCATCGTCAACTCAAACATCTTCTCCGGTACATTCGTGGAACTACGGATTTAGTACTTATCTTCGGCTCGTCAAACGAGGGACTCGTTGGGCACTCGGATTCGGACTATGCTGCAGATCGGGACGATAGCAAGTCCACCAGCGCTTATGTTTATCAACTCTTCGGAGGGCCCATTAGTTGGAAGTCGCAGAAGCAATCTGTGGTCGCTACCCTCGACCACGGAAGCCGAATATATCGGTCTATCGAACGCTTCACGCGAGGCCTTATATCTGATCCAGCTTCTACATGACTTCCGCCTCGACCCTGAACTCTACGACCCCGCACTCCTATATGGAGACAACCAGTCCAGTATTGCACTCTCGAAGAATCCAAGGTTCCACGAAAGAGCCAAGCACATTCGCGTCCACTACCATCTCATCCGTGACCTCGTCGACACAAACAAGATCGAACTCCAGTACAAATCCACCTCAGAGATGATTGCTGATAGTCTAACGAAGGCGTTACCTCGCCCAGCTGGGGTCCAGCATCGGGAAAACATGGGACTACGTCGTCAAGACCTGCCAGGCGCTCTGACGAGTGGGAGTGTTGAGAGGTGATCCGTCAGAGCACTGAGCCGGTTCCAGATAGATATATCTAACGGTTCCAGTTCTATGTACCTTAGCTGCCACTGTCACTGACTGTCATCCACCCTAGTTACTGACCATTTTTCTCTTTGCTACTTAAGGATGGCTAGACGCTACACCCGCACCTCAGTCTTTCTTCCATTGACTGAGGTGCGTATACCATTCACATTATACTATACATGATACTTACTAGCGCCCTACAGACTCGCGTTACCTTAGGTTAGCATACATGAACTAGTCTTTCTTCCATTGACTGAGACTCGCGTTACCTTAGTTCTCGCTCTCTAACACAGGTCCAGTACAATTGGCTTACAATTTGCAAATAGAAATTTTCAATTGAAAAAGAAGCTCGCTCTACGTGCGTGATGAGCGCTGCGCTGAGCCAGTAGACGTGGCGACGCGACTCCATTTGGTACCTAGCGCCAACGGTCGCGATAAGGCTATCACCGGCACCAACGTCCATCACTCCTACAAGGCCTCAACGTTCAACTTCTGCCACAGGTCCGCGCCCTCTCCATTTATTCCGACGAAGTGTTAGCACGGCTGCCCAAGACCATTGAACGACTTGTCCACGTCCGAGAGGGATGGTACATCCAGTGATTCTGGCATGTTGAACGGTGGATTCCGAATCCCCGTGGGCTCGCACAGAGCAGCTTCTCGCGGTTTCTTCCTCCCCCACTCATCACGGACCGAAGTAAGATGAATGTGCGAGCGTGGGGGACCTGGTGGAGTGGGTGGAGTTTCCTTGGTCATTGTACCTTGCTGATCAGATCGAAAGATCGAGAACGAGAGTTAACTATAAGGCGCGACATGTTTTAAACCTGAATATCAGTTCCCTCCTCCTTGCAATACATGCTCCAAGTGGAAGAACATGCCTCAATCACCGCTTTCAAATTCGATCGAGTCCAAGCAAGAGGGTGGGAACGGCAATAGTGTCTCTGACTCGGACCTGGTCCTTGCTGGATCGGAAGGTCGCGTTGGATTCAGAGGCCTTTTTGAAAATAAGTTCATGTGAGCGATTTGGAGATATGATGTGGGTATGAACGATGGGATACATTTGCGGCGCAGACTTGGTATATCGTTGTTCTCAACTCTTGGAGGATTCGTGAGTTATTTGTTGCAAGATAGATGACCGTTAGTAACACAATTGCCTTGTCAACAGCTCTTTGGCTACGACCAGGTGAGTTGAGCAATGTCTTCTTATGATAGCTAGTGTCAGGTACACGTCTGACTGCGCATCAGGGAGTCGTGAGCAACGTGCTTGCCATCGAGTCTTTTGGAGCGAAGTTTCCCGCGATCTACACGAATGCAACGTTGAAGGTAAGGGTAATATTCCAATAGATGCTGTACCTGTCTGAGTTCCACTACTTTTAGGGATGGTTTGTCTCCACACTTTTGCTCGGTACGTCAACGTGACATGCTGCAAGCGTCCGTCAGTTGATCCACATCCGCAGCTGCCTGCGTCGGAGCTAATGTGAACGGCCCCGTCTGTGACAAAGTGAGATCTATTATTTAGCGAGACAGTACAAGTTGTGATGGAGTACGACTCAGATCGGGAGAAAGGTAGACATAATATGCAATGTGGTGATCTTTCTTCTCGGTAGTTCACTCCAAGCAGGTGCCACGTCTCCCGGCAAGTTCTATCCCGTTCACATTTATCAGTTTTGCTGAATATTCTTTTGCTAGTTTATCTGTTTGCCGGTCGCGCTGTTGCCGGTTTGGCAATCGGTTCTTTGACGCATGTTGTTCCGATGTATCTCGCTGAGATATCCAGTGCCAAAATTCGTGGATCTTTAGTTTCTCTGCAGCAACTCGCTATCACATTTGGCGTGAGTGAAACATTCAGTACTGAGGTTATGCATTTAACACCACAAAATGTAGATTCTTGTTAGTTGTGCGTGGCAGTCTACTTTCATATATTCGTATGCGCTCATTACTCGAAGACTGGATTGCATATGGCACATCACATATCGGTGGGACCCGATGTGCTCCTGACATACCATACACCGGGGCGCTTTTGAACGGTAGACCTACGTTCGATCCTTACACCGATGTCCCTCCTGGTGGCTGCACTGGTCAAACTCAAGCGTCATGGAGAGTTCCCCTTGCGTTCCAAATATTTCCTGCTTTGGTGTGTTGACTATATCTTCTGCTTTCCACTCATACCTATGGAAGTGCAGTGTCTTGGCATTGGCATGCTCTTCATGCCATACTCTCCCCGTTGGCTCGTTGAGCGAGGCCGCGAGGAGGAGGCTCTGGAGGAGCTGTCGCGTCTTCGCCGGAAGCCCGCTGACAATCGTTTGGTTCATACTGAATTCCTCGAGATTGTGGCTGAAGTTCGTTTTGCGAGAGAGGTCATGAAGGCGGCATATCCTAATGCGGGGTCAGTCAGGCAGATAATCAATAAATACTTGGAATTGGTCTCTAGTTGGCCAAAGTCCAAACGTATAATTGTTGGTTGCCTTACCATGATGTTCCAACAATTTATGGTAGGATTTCAAATCAGTCTCTCTTATCATCTAGTGATTTGTGGTTTGCCAGGGGATAAACGTAAGTCGTGGTTCATCCTTCTGGAACCAACATCACTTACATCGCTGAAGGCTCTCATTTATTACGCGCCTACGAGTGAGTTTTACGAAAGATCTTAATTGTTGAATTTAGAGTTGACACCCCATCCACAGTTTTCGGCCAACTCGGCCTTGACCCAAACACTACCTCCCTATTTGCCACTGGTGTTTTTGGAATTGTTAATGTGAGTTCACAGTATCGACAATTTTACGTATATGCCTCCTGATTTTTTTTCCCAAGATGCTCGCTACTTTACCTGCTATCGTTCTTCTCGATAGTTTGGGCAGGCGGCCTTTGTTAATCTCTGGTGCCGCCGGATGTTTCATTTGTCTGGCGATCGTGGGTTCTCTTGTAACCGTTTACGGCAAGGACTGGGAAGCACATGCAGTAGCGGCTCGCATCGCCATTGGTAGGTGCACTGTAATTACCTACAGGATATGTTTAACTATCTTACAGTCTTCGTGTTTGTCTACGATGTCAATTTCTCTTACTCGTGGGCTCCGATTGGATGGGGTGAGTGGCTCGTCTCACCTTCTTCTAGGATTTAATACATTCGCTAGTAATTCCCAGTGAGATTTTCCCGTTGCACCTCCGGTCCACTGGCATCTCCATTACTACATCGACCACGTGGTTATCAAACTTGTGCGTGGTTTTATTACCCTCCTCCGTCTTTTTGGTGTTGATGTACTTTAGTGTGGTTGGGCTCATTACGCCTATAATGTTGAATGTGGGAGGGATGGCGTACTTTATCTTTGCCGGATTTTCTCTTGCCGCGTTACTCTCAGTTCGTACGTCAAATCCCAAAATCGTGTCAAATAATACGCTCAACTCGCTTTATAGTATTCTTCTTCCCAGAGACCAAGGGTCGGGTAAGTTTTTTGCGTACGCGTGTCCTGTCGGACGTGGCTGACAACGGTGCACAGACCTTGGAAGAAACGGATGCTGCGTTCGGTGATAATGTTACTGACAGGGACCGAGAACACATGGAGGGTATTTGCCGGGAGCTTGGACTGCCCGACCGGGCGCTTCTGAATGCATAGTGGCGAAATTTCTGGCTGGCACAGGTCATGTTCCCATTGAGTCGATTCATCCAACATGTATATTTTGCACTCCTTTTCCCCTTTGTACCTCAACATCATGACCTCCGCATGTTCTTTGCACGGCATCGTCAGTATTGAGAACGCAGCACTGTATGCTCCTCTTTAAAACGGCTTTTGAAGACGGGTGGTTTCGTGCCGTCTGGAACTCTTTATATCAAACTGTTCAGTTCCTATCGGTGAAACTATACTACGTGCGTAAGCACTATTTCCATTCCCGCCCTATTTCTATGTCTATTTCCAAATTTACCAGATGCTAAAATCATCTTCGCTACGCAAGATCACATCTAATTCTCTGATCAAATGACGACCTATCGCTCAATTCAATCGCGCAATCGTATCTGGAGCTGTTCCTGACTCCGAGTCCTTCACACTTAAAATTCAGGCAGCGGACACTGATTATACCTGAATTGGCTAAGGCAGTAAGTACTGGAGAATCACTGCTTCCTAAATCTTGCCAACTCTTGGGGACAAGAGTGCATGGGTGGATGGCGACCTCGTCCGGTTACTTTCTATCTGGATATACGGTAGTACGCTCTTAACCTTAACCCGAGACCTCTTCCCATTCCTTGAGCACGAGTTTGTAGTAACGCAACGCGACTGCTCCAGTAATTCAGCAATCACCCACAAACTGACAATATTCCACAGACGGAATATATAAGCGTTTAATGGCGCATAAAACCAGGAATTAAAATCCGGATCAGTGACTTTTCAAAATGTTCACCTCTCGCACCGTCAAGGCTGGCATGCTTTTCCGCAGATGTTACCACGCACATACGCACACCTATGGTGTTACTCTCGTGTCACCATGGGCCGAAGCTTATGTTTTGTTTTCAGTACAAGCCAAGCTACAGTCAAGTAGTAGTCTGCCTGACGTTTTTCCATAGGCTCGCGCTAATCTCGTAGCCAACTCCGAGGGGAGACCCAGCATGATTTCATTTTCCAGGAGAGCATATATGACAACCTAGCGTGCATGATTCAACTAGGTTGACATAGGGAAGAGTGATTAACACATTATATAAATACACAGTTGCTATCATCTCAATCTTTTTCAAATTCCTACGCCCCTCATCACTAAGCCATGTACCTGAACATAGGCGCCTATGCAAGTGTCAGGATAGTTCCATTCCGAGGCAGACGGTATTCACCTTATCCGCCAATTCGCTTGTATCCACATTGGCACCTGGGTCCGGACGCCCATACTCGCGATCGCGTCTCGCGTTATCGTACTTGTATGATACCCACAGCACTAGCGCGCAAACAGTGGCAAACGCCTCGAGGCCGCATGATACAGCGAAGCCGAGGCTGCACCGACAGCAATCAATCAACACATGCAGACACAGGGCGAGCGGAGAAGGACGGGACGCACATGTACTTCGGGCCGTCCGTCGAAGGGTATATGTGCGAGCCGAGGATACTCCCGCATTGCCCAATCGCCATGAACATCGGGATGCCCGTCGCTTTCTTGGTCTCAGAGCCGAGATTGTGTGCAACTGTTGAAAACGTGAGCTGTTGTGGAGATTGAGTGATAAAGAGCGTACACCATGCGATGATTAAGCCAATGGCAGTGTATGTCCCGCTCGTGATGCAGAACACGGCGAAGTATCGCACGTGAACATTGTTGGGGACTGTGAGCAAAAGAAGGTAGCCTGAAATGACATGAGGGATACTCTGAACATAAACCAAACTAGGTACCACCTACCAATAGCACCGACGGCGCAGGAACCTGCAACCGCCAAGCCACGATCTTGTATGCGATCGGATGTGTAGGACGTTAAACAGAGGACGACAGCAGCCACTGCATATGGTGGTACCGTGAGTAACTGAGCGAGCGCGTTGGCTGGAACGAAAATATCAACAAGGAAACCCTTCATCAGACCACAAGGTAATACACACTGTACCCAAAAGTCTCGATGATCGTTGGCAAGAATGCCGAAATGCTTGCGAGAGCGCAATTCACACCAAAGTAAATCATCCCGCCAGTGTATATACGCCAATCGAGGAGAGCTATCATGATGTGTTCTAGAGCAGTACAAGTTGATGAGGCCTCGCTGTAGTGCGAGGATAGTGAAATGGCTCGCCTTTTTTGATCACAGCGCCAACATCCGCGGTCGTGCCCCTGTTCATGCGTTCCAGTTCAATTTCTCTTTCTCTCGCATTCAAGTATCTTGTGCTCTCCGGTCGGTCAGGGAGCGCGAAGAAAGTCAGAACACCGAGAAGAAGAGCCGGGATTCCCTGAGAACAATTCGAATTGTTAGTCAATAAGTCTACAAGGGACAAAACACATCTAAATCACGCCTGGGACTGAAAATTAATTCTGATGGGTGTTTTATAGTATTCCGGAAAAGGCACTAAAAACACTAGTACCACTCGCATGCCTGCCTCTTAGAGGAAAGGTGCAATGCGAGACAGGCTAGCACAGCGAACATTGCGCAGTGTAAACGGGATCAGCATAGCGATCCTCCTGCACCTCTCAAAGGCCAGGGAGACTCGAAACATTGAGACACAACAAGATCCAAGAATGTAGACCACCGCAGCACTCGACCAGATAAATGGGAGTGGATCAACGTCTTGAATACCACTTGTCCCCTCAACAAACATGAAACACTGGTACTAACCTCAATAAGGAACAGGACTTTCCAGTCCCACTCTCCCCCTACACCAGCGATATATGGTCCGTACCCCACTTGCTGCACACCGAACGCGATGAGCCCACCGAACGCACCCGCGACCGCCGCAAAACCAAACCAGTATGCCATGCGCAAGCCCATTTCGGTGCGAGTGTAGAAGAACGCTTGGATGGTTGTGTTATGAGTCCCGTCTCTCCACGGGTCTATTGCGTGATGCATGACTTACAAAAATAGAGTGGAATTGCGGGGCCAAAGCCAGCTTCAAATACGCCAAGCCCAATGCGAGCGGCTATGAGACTTCCAAAGTTGAATGTCGTCGCCTGCAGAAGAAATAGCATGCATCATGAGTAACAGTTCGGGTTCGAATATGGCTAATAAAGAAGACAAAGAGAGTGCAAAATGGTTGAAGGTGATCGAGGCCAGGTAGATAATCAAACAGGGTAGTCTGCAAGGTTCATTTTATCTGCAGATAAGACAGGTCAAGCATCAAGTCATCAACACACGTCAAGGCTTGACCTGAATTTTACGGCAGAAACTGGCCGCTCCGACGCGCCGCTAACTTACTAGTGTTGATAAATACGTCACAAGAGGAATTGTTCATGGGGAAATGAAATATACGGATAAAGAGGAGCGGCAGTACGACCCACCATTAACGTGGAACATATACCCCACCCAACAGCCGCGCCCGCTATCCAATAGGATGGTGGAAACAACTTTGAGATTATTGTTGCAGGAACTTGACAGATAATCTGGGAGGTAACAAATCAAAACTAGGGCGATGAACTATAGTTGCATTACTGACATATGAAAAGAAAAATGCCGAGTTGACCCAATCGTACAGTATACCAGTAGGGTCGCCACCAAGGTTCTCCTGTGTGAGTCCCTGAAGGCGTGCATTTCCAAGATTCGTGCGATCAAGATCTGATTCACCATCAGTACAACATGCCAGCTGGCTATCATGATAAAATTTCGCGCACAAGCAAAGAGATAAAGCAGGCATGTTATGGGTAAAATCCTGCGGTCGAGCTTGCGCACGAGCCTCTTCTCTTCATCAGATGTGGCGATGGCTTTATTGCCGCCAGCGTCGCTTGTAGATTTAGTTTCCCTCTCATCGGAAGATGGGCGTTTTTCTTCGTCCAACATAGTGGGCCGAGGTAGACGGAGCAGTGACTTAAGCACGTGAGTAGGGTAAGTAGCGAGCTACTTCGCGATATTAAAGATGCTGCACGAGCGCTTGCAGGGGCAAGAGAGTAAGAAGTATGAGACCCGAAGACTTCAAACGTTTATAACGAAATCGCGCAAGTCATGTGGACTGTCATGCCAGTAGCCGCGGTATCTGTGGGTAGTTCAAAAATAAAAAACCAGCTAGCGCTGCATAATACATGGCAGCTGATGAGAAGAAATCTCACGCGAAATTCGTCTAACTTGCCCCGCTGACCCCGGATCAAACTTTGAACTATTCCTGGAGACTATCCCCAGAGGGCAATCTTTGTCGGGGAGGCATGGGCGCACGGGCAATAATTAACTGAGCTGCTCCGCTGCCTCTCCGGCTTCGGAGTCTTGACTGCTCCTGCGGACATAGTCATCATCCAGTTCTGTCGGTCTGAAGACATGCACCGAACTGCCCAGAGTCGTTGAAATTTCAAATGTCAGCGATATTGTATGCCAATAGGTACTTATTGCATGAAATGACGACATTCATCCAAGGCGATATAGTGTAGTGGTTATCACTCGGGATTCTGACAAGTGCTGATTTCCCGAAACCCAGGTTCGAGCCCTGGTATCGCCTTTACCTTTTGATTTGAAATTTCATCTCGACCCACGCGCTAACGTTTCCGACGTCATCTCAAATTTAAGCCCGACCAGTGTTTCTCTTAGCACAAAGTACTGTTGCCATTAATGTTAACCTTTCGAACGTCATCTCAAAACCCGACCTTGAGTGCTTCTCTCTCTAGTACGTAAGTACTTCTCGCCTTTGTTATGTAAATGTTTCCATTACCGCCTCGACACCCCCACTCATGAGTCATATAGCATCGTTCGGTTTTTCTATGCAGCGCACTATGCAATATATTTTACTCTGGCCTTGTGCTATTAGAATGAGTACTACGTCTCGAACAACCTGTGATGAGAGTATTAACATGTTCGATCTGCATCACGGCACACTTTGAGAGTGAGTGACAACACATCCTCCAACTGACATTAGCGTGTCGCTTTCACTTTTGGCTGACCTTGACATTGCCACTTGCTCTCCCGCTAATCATAGTTTAGCCGCCTCAGCGCTTAGTGCAAACCACACAAGCGCCCCAAACCACCCTCAACAACATGGAAATACATGTGTAACATTACCTGAACCCTCGACCCCTTCCTCTCTCACCCAAACTTCATCCACAGTTCCAATATCCCTGTCACCACCTTTTTCTACCACCCTTTCTGTCTACCACCCAACCCATCCTCGATCCTCGTCGCTTTACTTCATCGCACTATCATGCCCGGTAGCTTAGAAGGCCGATATATCGGACTTGAAGGTGAGTCACTCCACACCACCTTCGTATCTGTTCGGTGATCCTCGCTCTCTATGTCCAGTCATCAGTGGAAAAAATCTTAAAGTCCCTTCCGAGCGCATTCCCGCAGGCATCTACATATCCATCGACCTCAAGTCGGGCAGGCGCTGGAAATCAGCCGTCGGTGTCTTATCATCCGACGAATCTATAACGTGGCACGATATTGTGAACTTGTACATGTTCATCGAGACTTTCTGATGCAACTCAAGGACTGATCTTTTGTTTGTAGATCGTTAGATGCGTCGCCTACGTTATCAGTGGAGATCATGGCTTCCTTCGAGCTCGATCGCATGCTGGGTAATGGAGAGATTGTCGGAAAGGTTGAAATATCATGGGATGCGCTGCTCAATCACGGAAATGAGCCTTTCGGTGAGTAACCTCCTTCCCACTCATGTGCGTATACTCACATCTTGTAGACATCTCCTTCCCATCTGTTCGTGGCGTTCACCTTTCCCTCACACTAAAGGCCACAGTTCTACAACATTGCGACAATCAGGACAGCGCACTGCTTGACGTGAGTGACATTAGCCTCTGTGTTGTTCGCTTTTGTTGACGGAATACCTGCTATAGTCCATCGTTGAATGTCAGATTGCTCAAGACACGGATGCGGGCCATGAACAATTTGCCACATATGTGACAAGCAAGACGGTCTCTCACCTGAACGATGCTGTAAAGCATTTTCAGTTGGTCTTGGACCAATGTCCGGTCGGCCATCCTCACCGGGCAGCGGCTCTCACCAACCTCGCGTGGGCCCGCCTCACAGGCTACATTCGAAAGGATTTTCAAGACATCGACTGTACCACTTCTCTCTTCCGCGAAGCCCTTGCATTGCATCCGCAGGGCCGCCCCGATCATCCCTTATATATCTATCACCTGACCGAAGCGCTGAACTGGGGCCACGACTATCAACACACCACCGCTGACATCTGTGAATCGGCCCAACTTTACTATGAACTATTGCCCCTCTGTCCAGAGGGCACCTACCTTCATATGATCGCGGCAGGGGAAAATGGCGTCGATTATGTGATCTGCGCATGCAACAATCTTCCAATAGACGCATCTGATGAAGGCATCCACCTTCGACGAGTCGTACTCGAGCTTTGTCCTTTGGGCAGCGCACACCGTCCAAAAGCACTCGACAAGCTTGCACAGGCAGTTGAAGCACGCTTTAACGAGTGCGGCACCATTGACGATCTAGCAGAGAGCATACAACATCGTCGTGAAGCCGTTTCTCTGTGCCCCAAGGGACATTCTGAACGTGACACCTACCTGAATGACTTGGCCATATCACTTTATTACCGTTTCAATAACCAAGGCAACTTAGATGACCTCGATGAGGCCATCTCTTTGTATGAAGAAGCGCTGCGCCTGTGCCTTGTTGGGCACAGATCTCGTGATAATTCATTGATCAACCTAGGACTGGCCCTCCTCAACCGTTTCAACCAACGCGGTGATGTTAATGACATCATGAGAGCAATCAGCCTCCAGCGCGAGGCACTGACATTGTGCCCGCCTGGGAATTCATATCTTAAATCCGCGCTTAATAACCTTGCCGGCACGCTCCAAACCAGATATGAGAATTTGGATGCCAGCGAGGATCTCGACGAGGCCATCGACCTCTACCGGGATTCACTTCAGTTAAGGCCGCATGGCCATCCATGTCGCCATACAGGTCTTTTCAATTTGAGCTCGGCGCTCCGTTCTCGTTTCACGCAAACTCGGAAGAATGAAGATATCGAGGAGGCCATTCGACTCTGCCAAGAGTCATTGGAGGCTTTGCCTTCACTGCACCCGGATATATATTTTAGCTACATATGGTTGCATGAGGCCTACTTGTCTCGTCACCAGGTGCAACACAACCTTGCTGATTTGTCGCTTGTTGTAGAGAACTTCAGACTTGCATCGAGACACCCTACTCAGGGCTTTCCAAAACGCATTGCATCAGCCCAGAAGTGGGTTACTACAGCAGAGCAGCACAATCATACATCTGCACTAGAGGCCTACATCACATGTTTCGACCTTCTTGACGGTCATTTGGTAACACGATCATCGACAATTTCACGACGCGAAGCTGCCGCTGCCTTCAGCGGTGCTAGATCACTGCCTGTAGATGCAGCATCATGTGCTATCCGTCGTGATGATCTACGACATGCTGTCGAACTTGTGGAGCAGGGTCGTGGTCAACAGTGGTCGCTGGCCTCTCGACTCAGGGCTCCGCTGGAAGACCTGAAGCTTGCAAGTCCGGAATTGACTCACAGGCTCTCAGAGATCAACAAGCACTTGTCTGATGCTCAGGGTTCCGCTGGCAGCGCTGATCGAGCTACTGCTGATCGAGCAGCGATACATTACAGGAGACTTCAGCAGCAGTGGGGAGCGGTGGTAGCTGAGATCCGTAATCTTAAAGGTTTCTTGCGGTTCCTGCTCCCGCCGTCGTATGAAGACGTGCAAGCGGCAGCACGTCATGGCCCAGTCATCATCCTCATTGCGAGCCAATACTCGTGCAGCGCCATCGTTGTCCCCACATCAGGAGAACTACACCATGTTCAATTCCCGCGCATCACTCTCACACATCTGGAGAAGCTCAAGAGTGATTTTACCAGGGAGATACGACTTGCATCTTTTATGCGCTCAGAGGAGACGAGGAAGGAATTGCAAGTCCTCTTGCGGACAGTATGGGACGAGATCATGCTCCCCATCGTCATCGTCCTCCAGCGCGATCTCAGAGTACCGAGCGGCTCTCGAATCTGGCTGTGTCCAACTGCAACATTCACTTCCATTCCTCTCCACGCAGCTCACCCCTTTCGAACGAAGGCAGACGGACGGCGTGAACTATGCCTGGAGGACGTCTATATCTGTTCTTACACGCCGACACTTTCAGCTCTGATCAGATCTAGGCAGATGATGAAGAAACGTGTCACTCCGTCGTTCGTTGTAATCGGACAAAGTTCACCGGGTGCAGGGCAAGGCAAGGCTCTCTTGACTGTTGACAGCGAGCTTGAGCTCGTCCGCAAGCTCGTCTCCACGACGGTCGACCCTACCACTCTATCCGGCGATGATGCCACTCGAGCAGGTGCACTCGATGCTTTGCAACGCAACACTTGGGTGCACCTCGCTTGTCATGGAAAACAGGACCACGAGCAGCCTTACTATTCATGTTTCGCCATGAAAGACAAACCTCTGACGCTGCTCGACATCATGGAGAAAGACATTCCCAATGCTGAGTTCGCATTCTTGTCGGCGTGTCATACCGCTGTTGGGGATGAGAAGACACCCGACGAGGTCATCCACCTCGCAGCTGGACTCCAATTTTCTGGGTTCAAGAGCGTCATTGGCACGCTGTGGGTGGTCGACGACGCTGTCGCAAAGCATGTTGTCGAAGCTTTCTATAAGAATATGGTCAAGGGTTTGGAGGATGGTGATGAGATGGATTGTACGAAGGCGGCCTGGGCACTCAACCGCGCTACAAATGCTGTGAAGACGAAAGTTCCGCTCGAGCAGAGGATGGTTTTCATTCATATTGGTGTGTAGTTATATGTCGCATCTCTTTGATATCATACAGTTCTTCAGGTTATTCTCTTTCGTCTATGCTATACTTCAAGTTGTAGGAATTACCGGATTACCCTCTGTGTCGCACTCGTGCATGATTCAAATATTCATCCATCATCTGGGCCAGGTGAAATTGAGGCGGTCCTGCCGCGCCTGTGACGCGGCACTGACAGAGATGAGTGAATTGCCTTATTTGTGCTGTGTTGATTTAGGTTCGGTTTGAAATTCCATTCGGCTCATCGGGGCAGTGAGTGGTTGTACTTGCTCGCTCACCTTTCGAACGTCATTGATATCTCAAAACCCGACATCGAGTGTTTCTCTCCTCTGGTACTTCTCACCTTTGTTCATTACCACCTGCCACAACACCCTCGATCATCCTACTCCCAGGCGGCAGCACGCCACGTACTTGGAAGGAATGAATGGTATTGCCTTTTTTATTCGCGCGACCAGTACTGTGTTCCACCTACGGATTCCGATTGACTCTCCAGGTTTGACCCGCTCACCTTTCTGACGTCATCTTAATGACTTCGAGTGTTTCTCGCTGCGACAAATTCAATTATATTCCTTCCCCTGCATTACGTCAGACTTGTATAGCATCTTTCTTTTCTGTCCAAATCGTTTTCAGCCCATACAATTGGGTCCTGCATTTTGCCTTGACCTTGTGCTACCAAAATGAGTACCACGTCTCGAACAACCTATGATGAGAATCACAGCACACTTTGAGACTTGCAACATCTCCACCAATTGCTGACATTGGCGTGTCGCTTTCACTTTTGACATTAATGTTATGCTTGTTTGGCTGCTTCAGCGCTTAGTGTAACTACACAAGCGCTCCTCAACAACATGGAAATACACGTGCAGCATCACCTGACCTTCAAACCTTTCTTGTCCTTTCACCTGAACTTCACACAGTCCCCGTATCCCTACCCCCGTCTTCTTCTACCACTGGTATTCTGTCCATCACCCAGCCCATCCTCTCTCGTCATTCCACCATTATGCCCTGTAGCTGGGAAGGCCGATATATTAGACTTGAACGTGGGTCCCATATCGCCTTCGCATTCGTTTCGTGCTTCATCCTCACCCTACTACAGTCATCAGGGTAAACGATCTTCCACTTCCTTCCGAGCGCATACCCGCAGGCTTTTATGTGTCCATCAATGTCGGTTCGACGAGTCGCTGGAAATCAGCCATCCGAGTAGTATCATCCGACGAATCTGACGTGTTGGGGGATATCGTGATTTTGTAAAGTCCATAACGACTTTCACATGCGATTCGAGGACTGACCATCCGGTTATAGATCATTACGCAAGGTACCTGAATTGTCGCTGGAGATCAGGGTATCCTATGAGCTCGGCCGAATGCTAGGCAATGGGAAAGTCGTTGGAAAGTTCGAAACATTGTGGGATGAGCTACTCGATCATGGAAACGAGCCTTTCGGTGAGTAACCTCCTTCTCACCCATGCGCATCTACTAACATCTCATAGACATCTCCTTCCCATCCGTTGATGGTGTTCACCCTTCCCTGACTCTGAAGGCCACGGTTCTACATGATTGTGACAATCAAGACAGCGCACTGTTTGACGTGAGTGATGTCAGCCTCTGTGTTGTTGGCTTTTGTTGACGGAACACCTGCTGTAGTCCATCGTTGAATGTCAGATTACTCAAGACACGGATGCAGGCCATGAACGATTTGCCACATACGTGACAAGCAAGACGGTCTCTCACCTGAACGATGCTGTAAAGCATTTTCAGTTGGTCCTGGACCAATGTCCGGTCGGCCATCCTCACCGGGCAGCGGCTCTCACCAACCTCGCATGGGCCCGCCTTCAAGGCTACACTCAAAACGATCTTCAAGACATCGACTGTATCACTTCTCTCTTCCGCGAGACCCTCGCATTGCGTCCGGAGGGCCACCCCGATCATCCATTATCCATCTATCACCTCCTTAAAGCGTTGATCTGGCGCTACGGCAAGGAGAACTTCATCGCCGTCTATATCCAGGAATCGGCACACCTGTCGTGCAAGCTATTGCCCCTCTGTCCAGAGGGCACCTACCTTCGTAGCATCGCGGCAGGGGCAAATGGCGTCGATTATGTGATCCGCGAATGCAACAATCTTCCAATAGACGCATCTGATGAAGGCATTCACCTTCGACGAGTCGTACTCAAGCTTTGTCCTTTGGGCAGCGCACACCGTCCGAAAGCACTCGACAAGCTTGCACGGGCAGTTGAAGCACGCTTTAACGAGTGCGGCACCATTGATGACCTAGCAGAGAGCATACAACATCATCGTGAAGTCGTTTCGCTGTGCCCCGAGGGACATTCTGAACGTGACACCTACCTGAATAACTTGGCCGTATCACTCTATTACCGCTTCAATCACCAAGGCAACTCAGATGACCTCAATGAGGCCATCTCTTTGTATGAAGAAGCGCTACGCCTGCGCCCTGTTGGGCAAAAATTTCGTGATTTCTCATTGAACAGCCTAGGAACCGCCCTCCTCGCCCGTGTCAACCAACATAGTGATGTTAACGACATCGTGAGAAGCATCAGCCTTCAGCGCGAGGCACTAACATTGTGCCTGCCTGGGAATCTATATCGTGCTAACACGCTCAACAACCTTGCTGGCGCGCTCCTAGCCAGATATAACAAATTGGATACCAGTGATGATCTCGACGAGGCCATCAACCTGTGCCGGGATTCACTTCAGGTAGCGCGGCATGAGCGTCATATCTATCTTGTCGGTTTGAGCTATGCGCTCTGTACTCGTTTCACGCAAACTCGGAAGAATGAAGATATCGAGGAGGCCATTCGACTCTGCCAAGAGTCGTTGGAGGCTTTGCCTTCACTGCACCCGGGTAGATATTTCAGCTACATGAGGCTGCAGCAAGCCTATTTGTCTCGTTACCGAGTACAATGCAAGTCTGCTGACTTGTCACTCGCTGTAGAGAACTTTAGACTGGCATCACGAAATCCCACTACAGGATTTCCGGACCGCATCAAAGAGGCTATAAACTGGGCCCGCCAAGCAGAGGTCTACCGACACGACTCTGCCCTCGAAGCATACCAAACATGCTTGGAGCTTGTTGACAACCACATAATGACGCGATCAACGATTATCTCACGGCGCGAGGCTGCAACCGCTTTTCGCAGCGCCCAATCACTGCCAGTAGATGCAGCGTCATGTGCCGTATGTCGTGACAACCTGCGACATGCAGTTGAACTAGTGGAGCAGGGTCGTGGCCAGCAGTGGTCGCTGGCCTCTCGGCTCAGGACTCCGCTGGAAGACCTGAAGCTTACAAGTCCGGAACTAGCTCACAGGCTCTCAGAGATCAACAAGCGCCTGTCTGATGCTCAGGGTTCTGCCGGCAGCGCAGATCGAGCTGCTGCTGATCGAGCAGCAATACAGTACAGAACACTCCAGCAGCAGTGGGGAGCTGCGGTAGCTGAGATCCGTAATCTTAAAGGTTTCTCGCAGTTCCTACTCCCGCCTTCATATGAAGACTTGCAAGCGGCAGCACGCCACGGCCCAGTCATCATCCTCATTGCGAGTCAATACTCATGCAGCGCCATCGTTGTCCCGACGTCAGGAGAGCCACACAACGTTCAATTCCCGCGTATTACTCTCACACATCTGGAGAAGCTCAAGAATGACTTTGTGAGGGAGATACGACTTGCATCTTTTATGCGCCCAGAGGAGACGAGGAAGGAATTGCAAGTCCTCTTGCGGACAGTATGGGACGAGATCATGCTCCCCATCGTCATCGTCCTCCAGCGTGATCTCAGAGTAACGAACGGCTCTCGAATCTGGCTGTGTCCAACTGCAACATTCACTTCCATTCCTCTCCACTGCAGCTCACCCCTTTCGAACGAAGGCAGACGGACGGCGTGAACTATGCCTGGAGGACGTCTATATCTGTTCTTACACGCCGACACTTTCAGCTCTGATCAGATCTAGGCAGATGATGAAGAAACGTGCGACTCCGTCATTCGTTGTAATCGGACAAAGTTCACCGGGTGCAGGGCAAGGCAAGGCTCTCTTGACTGTTGACAGCGAGCTTGAGCTCGTCCGCAAGCTCGTCTCCACGACGGTCGACCCTACCACTCTATCCGGCGATGATGCCACTCGAGCAGGTGCACTCGATGCTTTGCAACGCAACACTTGGGTGCACCTCGCTTGTCATGGAAAACAGGACCACGAGCAGCCTTACTATTCATGTTTCGCCATGAAAGACAAACCTCTGACGCTGCTCGACATCATGGAGAAAGACATTCCCAATGCTGAGTTCGCATTCTTGTCGGCGTGTCATACCGCTGTTGGGGATGAGAAGACACCCGACGAGGTCATCCACCTCGCAGCTGGACTCCAATTTTCTGGGTTCAAGAGCGTCATTGGCACGCTGTGGGTGGTCGACGACGCTGTCGCAAAGCATGTTGTCGAAGCTTTTTACAAGAACATGGTCAAAGGTTTGGAGGATGGTGATATGATGGACTGTACGAAGGCGGCCTGGGCACTCAACCGTGCTACAAATGCCGTGAAGACGAAAGTGCCGCTCGAGCAGAGGATGGTTTTCATTCATATTGGTGTGTAGTTCTATGTCGCATTGCGTTGATATGGTACAGTTCTTCAAGTTATTCTCTTTCGTCTATGCTGTACTTAGAGTTGTAGGAATCACCGGATTACCCTCTGTGTCTCACCCGTGCTCTAGCCATCTTGTTTTCGCTTTCACAGTAATGTTGTCTGTTCTAGAGTCTTCAGTAAAGTCATTTGTTGCTCGATCACAACGCGTGTATTCGAATGTTAGCGATGTCGTTTTCAGCTCGGAAACGAGTTGACCTTCTAATCATCCTTCAAGTCCTTCTGGAATCTGAGTAGCTTATTCTCAATTTGAATTAAGTTCTCCGTTATGCCCTCTTCATATGACATGAATGCAGTAGCACTGTAGATCCGTCTATATTCATACACAGGCCTCAAGTTCCGTCGAGTTGTCACGACCACATACGATAACGATGTCTGTAGGCGCCCATGGCCCCAAAAAACATTGCATTGATTGAATATTGGGTGACGCGGCGACAAAACGTGTAATAACTACAAGATCCGTGTGATGAACTGCTGATTGTGAAGAGATACACCAAAAACTTCGAATGAGTACTGCCCACAGCAAAGCAGTACGACTACCAGTTAGAAGGCACCAAAGAACATATTTCATACCATTTTTCTATCCCCTAATTCAATTTGACGCTCAGCACAATATTACATGTGAATCCTCTGGTTTATGGACAACAAGTGTTGGCGATCGCGTGTTTGTGTTTAGGTGATTGGGACGGGACAGAAGGACATGATCTCTTCGTAGAGGAGCTCTTTGAGCTGTTCACGGCTGATATCGTCCTTGTGTACCGCCGAATACGATCACTATACATGCGCGCTTGTCAAGCCCAGTACTTACGGTCGAATTCGAAGAACTCTGGGTCGAGCGGTGGTGCAACTGGTTCGTCATCGGGATCGTGCTGAATCACAGGTAAGCTTGTGCGCGCGAGGAGCAAGAAGTACACATACATATGCTTCAAGATATGGGTGAGCCAAGACCTCTTCAACTGTTATGCGTTTCTTGGGATCAAATGTCTAAGAGAAGCTTGAGCTACCACTCAAATAGATGAGAAGATCGTAACTTACGAGAGTCTTCGCCAGGAAGTCTACAGCCAAAGGATTGGCTTGGGGAAGATTTGCGCAAATGGCCGGTGTTTGGGGAAAGGAAGAGCTCGGATATAATCTCGCGATCTGCGTGTGGTAATGGCGTAAAACTCGTCCAGCGTCGGTGTACCGAGAACATCCAAGATTGTGGTACCGAGCCCCTGAGATCATGTTGACGTTCAAGCAATATACTAAAGCTATTGACGTCTGGTCTGTGGGGTGCATTTTGGCCGAGATGCTTTCCCGGAAAACCTGTTCCCTGGTAGAGATTACCACCACCAACTCACTTTAGTGTAGCGACATATTCGGTCATAAACCCGGTTTCCGTCCCTGATGGTTCGGCGATCTTTCTTTACGGATCGTGCCAGCTCAAAGTTGCAGACCTTGAGATCACAGTTTGCGTTTAGAAGGAGATTTGAGGGTTTGAGATCACGGTGGATGACATCAGCAGAATGTAGAGTCTCGAGTGTGCGCAGGGCCTGATAAATGAAATATTGAGCGTGGTCATCTGAGAGGTCTTGCGTTCGGATAACACGGTACATATCTGTTTCCATCAGCTCCTGGATCACTGTGTGAAAGTTTGAATGACATGTGGGTTGAATGTCGTATTTTGTACGCACGATAGACTTCTTTGAAAGCGTCTAGAGAGGGAGGCTTGATGATGTCCAAAATTGAGATGATCTTCAAAGTTCTGACTGGGCACGTAAATATGACGAATGGGAGACGTGCTCACATTCTCGCTTACGCCTGCTTCACTGAGGAATTTGAGGAGTTTTAGTTCTCGCAGTGTCCGCAAGCAGAACATGGAATGATTGAAGGGTGCGATCTTCTGATGGCAACCTTGCGGCCACTGGGTCGGTGAACAGCCGAACAGACTCGGACGATACCATATGCGCCCTCGCCTACGACACGAGAACCTGATACTGAGTACCTATTGAGAGACATATTTTGTTAAATCAGATATATAAAGAACATGGATCACCCATAGTCGCTTCCAGTTTGTAGGCGGAAGAGATGCGACAATTTGACACGGCGGTATCTTAAGAAGTGATAATCTCCCTGAATGTGAAAACCGACGTTCAGACACAAAAGCTCTAGGACAGAGAGCCGCGATATTACAAACATGATCCCCGTAAGATATTCCAGGAAGACTACACATCCAGAGATTGCAGAGATGAAAGAGTTGGCGGTCTAATCGATTCAAATCGACGATCACGTTAACAGCTACTGATACAGAGTGAGAAGACCTATGTTCATGATCTTCCAAGGACTGACGCATATTCTGACAATGACGACGACACAACGGATGTTGATGTAACTGTCGAGCCCGCACTGAATAGAAATCTGAGAAGAATACGCGAGGCCTACCGGACACACGCATGCAACAACCTGCACAATCGACTATAAGTTGTCGGGCGAAAGTATATGCTAGGTTTGTCTGAAACACACCGTTACGCTCAGCTGCGATGAGAAAAATCGAAGGCCGCAAAGAACACTGCGGAACATGCGGCAGGAGCTTCGTTGTATTGAGCTCAGGGTGGAACAAGTCACGAAATTTTCTGCGCTGTGTGTTAGTCAGCTGTTATACGGTGACAATGTCAAGAATAGAATAGAAAGAAGAGCTGGACTTACAGTGCCCACGATGCACGATGTAGAACTGCTTACTGAAAAGTCTAAGAAGAGGTTGAGAACGGCAGAGTACGTTCCTGAACATGCAAGGGTCTGGCTAGCTAAAGGCGATCGCCTCCTCCATCTCGGCCAGAGGAGAGAGAGGTTAACCGTTATAGAGATGCGAATTACGTTATTTGTACTTTGTTGATTTCCCGTTCTGGTTTTTCCAACGTCATCTCAAAGTAACTCAAAGCCCGACCTCAAGTGTTTTTGGCCATGCATTCGACCCCCAAATGTTGCCTTAGTTAAATGTTTCCTCCACCTGCCATAACACCCTCGATAATCTTACCCCCATGGCAATCAGACTCGTATAGCATCGTTCGGCTTTTCTGTGCAGCGCACTATGCAATATATTGGATCCTACTTTTTGACTTAGCCTTGTGCTATTAGATTGAGTACTACGTCTCGAACAACCTATGCATATGATGAGAAGTAACGTGTTCGATCTGCATCACGGTACACTTTGAGACTCACAACACGTCACCCGACTGACATTAGCCTGTCGCTTTCACTTTTGATTGATCTTGGCATTGCTCTCCTGCTAATCCTAGATTAGCCGCCTCAGCGCTTAGTGCAATCCACACAAGCGCCCCAGACTACCCTCAACAACATGGAAATACACGTGTAGCATTACCTGAACCCTCGACCCTTTCCTCTCCCTCTCACCCGAACTTCATCCACAGTCCCCGTCCCCATATCCCTACTTCTCGTCTTCTCCCACTACTCATTCTGCACACTATTCAATCTACAATGCTCCGTGGCGTTCGTCGTTTGTTTCATCCCACAAAATCTATCAGACTTGAAGGTCAGTCATTCCATATCACCTTAGTGTTTCTTGTAGTCATCTCGCTCTACTTACAGTCATCAGCGGCAAAAATATCAAAGTCCCTTCCGACCGCATTCCCGCAGGCATTTACATATCCTTCAATGTCCATCCCAAGAGACGCTGGAAATCAACTATCGGAGTACTAGCATCAGACGAATCTGTAGCGTGGGGCGAAACCGTGACCCTGTAAAGTCCATCGCAATTCTCGGATGCAACTCGATGACTGATCTTCCGTGTGTAGATCATTATCCAAGTCACCAAAATTATCAGTGGAGATCAGGGCTTCCTTCGAGCTCGATTGCATGCTGGGCAATGGAGAAGTTGTTGGAAAGCTCAAAACATCATGGGATGCGCTGCTCGATCATGGAAATGAGCCTTTTGGTGAGTAACCTCCTTCTCACTCACGCACGCACATATACTCACATCTCATAGACATCTCCTTCCCGTCTGTTCGTGGTGTTCACCCTTCCCTCACATTAAAGGCCACGGTTCTACGTAATTGCGACAATCAGGACAGCGTCCTGTTTGACGTGAGTGATATCAGCTTCTGCGGTGTTGGTTTTTGTTGACGGAACACTGCTGTAGTCCATCGTTGAACGTCAGATTGCTCAAGACACGGATGCTGGGCCATGAACGATTTGCCACATACGTGACAAGCAAGACGGTCTCTCACCTGAACGATGCTGTAAATCATTTTCAGTTGGTCCTGGACCAATGTCCGGTCGGCCATCCTCACCGGGCAGCGGCTCTCACCAACCTCGCGTGGGCCCGCCTCGAAGGCTACATTCGAAACGATCAAGACATCGACTCTATCACTTGTCTTTTCCGCGAAGCCCTTGCATTGCGTCCGCAGGGCCACCCCGATCATCCATCATCCATCGATCACCTCCTTAAAGCGTTAATCCAGCGCTACCGCAAGGAGCGCACCGCCGTCTATATCCAGGAATGCGCGCAACTGTCCTGCAAGCTATTGCCCCTCTGTCCAGAGGGAACCTACCTTCGTAGCATCGCGGCAGGGGAAAATGGCATCGATCATGTGATCCGTGAATGCAACGATCTTCCAATAGACGCATCTGATGAAGGCATCCACCTTTGTCGAGTCGTACTCGAGCTCTGCCCTCTGGGCAACAAACATCGTCCAGAAACACTAGATAAACTTTCACGGGCTTTCAGCACACATTTTGAACAATGCGGCAGCATTAATGATATAGACGAATGCATACAACATAGTCGTGAAGCCGTTTCTCTGTGCTTCGAGGGACATTCTAGACTCGAGACCTACCTGATTACCTTGGCCCACTCACTCCAGTGCCGCTTTGATCATCAAGGTAACTCAGATGACCTCAATGAGGCCATCTCTTTGTACGAAAAAGCGCTGTGCCTACGCTCTGATGGGCACAGATATCGTGATTTCTCGTTGGACAACCTAGGAGGCGCACTCTCCAAGCGTTTCCTTCAACGTAGTGATGTTAACGACATCATCAGATCCATCAGCCTCCGGCGCGAGGCACTGACGTTGCGCCCGCCTGGGAATCCATATCGTGATTCCACGCTTAACAACCTCGCCCTCGCGCTCAAAACCAGATATATGAAATTGGATGCCAGCGAGGATCTCGACGAGGCCATCGACCTCTACCGGGATTCACTTCAGTTAACGCCGCATGGCCATCCGCGTCGCCACATAGGTCTTTTCAATTTGAGCTCGGCGCTCTGTTCTCGTTTCACGCAAACTCGGAAGAATGAAGATATCGAGGAGGCCATTCGACTCTGCCAAGAGTCGTTGGAGGCTTTGCCTTCACTGCACCCGGATAGATATTTCAGCTAGCGGGTGGCTGAAGAATACTTATTTGTCTCATTACCAAGCGCAACACAACCTCGCTGATTTGTCGCTCGCTGTAGAGAACTTCAGGCTGGCGTCGAGGCACCCTACTCAGGGCTTTCCAAATCGTATCGCAACAGCCCAGGACTGGGTTGCCATAGCAGAGCAGCACAGTCATACATCTGCATTGGAGGCCTACATCACATGTTTTGACCTTCTTGACGGTCATTTGGCAACACGATCGTCAACAATTTCACGGCGCGAAGCTGCTGCTGCCTTCAGTAGTGCAAAATCACTGCCTGTAGATGCAGCATCATGTGCCATCCGTCGTGACAATCTACGACGTGCTGTCGAACTCGTGGAGCAGGGTCGTGGCCAGCAGTGGTCCCTGGCCTCTCGTCTGAGAAGTCCCCTTGAAGACCTCGAGTCGACAAATGCCAACCTTGCTCACGAGTTCTCGGAGCTCAGCAAGCGTCTTTCTGACGCTCAAGCTTCCGCCGGCAGCGTTGACCGAGCTGCTGCTGATCGAGCAGCGATACATTACAGGAGACTTCAGGAGCAGTGGGGAACAGTTGTAGCTGAGATCCGTAATCTTCAAGGTTTCTCACAGTTCCTGCTCCCGCCTTCTTATGAAGACTTGCAACCGGCGGCACGTCATGGTCCAGTCATCATCCTCGTTGCGAGTCAATACTCATGTAGTGCCATCGTTGTCCCCACGTCAGGAGAGCCGCACCACGTTCAATTCCCGCGCATCACTCTCACACATCTGGAGAATCTCAAGAATGACTTTGCGAGGGAAATACGACTTGCATCTTTCATGCGCTCAGAGGAGACAAGGAAGGAATTGCAAGTCCTCTTGCGGACAGTATGGGACGAGATCATGCTCCCCATCGTCATCGTCCTCCAGCGTGATCTCAGAGTACCGAGCGGCTCTCGAATCTGGCTGTGTCCAACTGCAACATTCACTTCCATTCCTCTCCATGCAGCTCACCCCTTTCGAACGAAAGCAGACGGACGGCGTGAACTATGCCTGGAGGACGTCTACATCTGTTCTTACACGCCGACACTTTCAGCTCTGATAAGATCTAGGCAGATGATGAAGAAACGTGCGACTCCGTCATTTGTTGTAATTGGACAAAGTTCACCGGGTGCGGGGCAAGGCAAGGCTCTCTTGACTGTCGACAGCGAGCTTGAGCTCGTCCGCAAGCTCGTCCCCACGACGGCCAACACCACCACTCTCTCCGGCGATGATGCCACTCAAGCAGGTGCACTCGATGCTTTGCAACGCAACACTTGGATGCATCTCGCTTGTCATGGGAAGCAGGACCGCGAGCAGCCTTACTATTCATGTTTCGCCATGAGAGACAAACCTCTGACGCTGCTCGGACATCATGGAGAAAGACATTCCTCACGCTGAAGTTCGCATTCTTGTCAGCGTGTCATACCGCTGTTGGGGATGAGGAGACACCCGACGAAGGTCATCCACCTCGCAGCTGGACTCCAATTTTCGGGGTTCAAGAGCGTCATTGGCACGCTGTGGGTGGTCGACGACGCTGTCGCAAAACATGTTGTCGAAGCTTTCTACAAGAAACATGGTCAAGGGTTTGGAGGATGGTGATATGATGGACTGTACGAAGGCGGCCTGGGCACTCAACCGTGCTACAAATGCCGTGAAGACGAAAGTTCCGCTCGAGCAGAGGATGGTTTTCATTCATATTGGTGTGTAGTTCTATGTCGCATCTCTTTGATATCGTACATTTCTACAAGTTATTCTCTTTCGTCCATGTTGTACTTAAAGTTGTAGGAATTACTGGATTACCCTCTGTGTCGCACTCCGAGTCCCGTGCTTCAGCTATCTTGTTTTCACTTCTGCAGTAATGTTGTCTGTTCTAGAGTCTTCAACAAAGTCATTCGTTTCTCGATGACAACGTGTGTATTCGAATGTTCGTGACATCATTGCCCGCTGACTCTGCTCGGCGACAAGTTGACCTTCTAATAATCGTTTAGGTGCTTCTGGAATCTAGGTACCTTATTCTCGATTAAGCTCCCCTGTTTTGCTTTCCTTCATATAACATCAGGTCGCAAGTTCCGTCGAGTTGTCGCTATCACACGCGGTAACTATGTCTGTAGGTGCCCATGACCCCAAAAACATCGCATAGATTGAATATTGGGTGACGCTGGCGACAAAAACGTGTATTAACTACAAGATCCTTGTGATGAGTTGCTCATTGTGAAGAGATACACCAAAACATCGAATGGATACTGTCCACAGCAAAGCGGTACGACTACCAGTTAGAGGGTTCGTCATCGGGATCGTGCTGAATCACAGTTAAGTGCGCTCGAGGAGCAAGAAGTACACATATGCTTCAATGGATGGGTGAGCCAAAGCCTCTTCGACTGTTATGCGTTTCTTGGGATCAAATGTCTAAGAGAAGCTTGAGATACCACTTGAATAGATGAGAAGATCGTGGCTTACGAGAGTCTTCGCCAGGAAGTCTACAGCCAAAGGATTGGCTTGGGGAAGATTTGCGCAAATGGCCTGCGGTTGTGGAAAGGAAGAGCTCGAATATGATCTCGCGATCTGCGTGTGGTAATGGCGTAAAACTCGTCCAGCGTTGGTGTCCCGAGAACATCTAAGATGAAAGTGAGTTGGTGGTGGTAATCTCTACCGGGGAACAGAGGCTTTCCAGAAAGCATCTCGGCCAAGATGCAGCCCCACAGACCAGACGTCGATAACTTTAGTATATTGCTTGAACGTCAGCATGATCTCAGGGCTCGGTACCACCGTGTAGCGACATATTCGGTCATAAACCCGGTTTCCGTCCCTGATGCGTTCGGCGGTTTTCACAGATCGTGCTAGAAGTCGCAGACCTTGAGATCACAGTTTGCGTTCAGAAGGGGATTTGAGGATTTGAGATCACGGTGGATGACATCAGTAGAATGTAGAGCCTTGAGTGTGCTGCAGGATCTGATAAATGAAATATTGGGCGTGGTCATCTGAGAGGTCTTGCGTTCGGATAACACGGTGCATATCTGTTTCCATCAGCTCCTGGATCACTGTGTGAAAGTTTGAATGACATATTCTGTACACACGGTGCACTTCTTTGAAAATATCTAGAGAGGGAGGCTTGATAATGTCCGAAATTGAAATGATCTTCAAAGTTCTGACTGAGCACGTAAATATGACGCATGGGACATGGGCTCACACTCTCGCTTACGCCAGCTTCACTGAGGAATTTGAGGAGTTGTAGTCCGCAAGCAGAAGATGGAATGATCGAAGGGTGCGATCTTCTTGATGGCAACCTTGCGGCCACTGGGCCGGTGAACAGCTGAACAGCTGAACAGACTCGGACGATACCATATGCGCCCTCGCCTACGACACGAGAACCTGATACTGAGTACCTACTGAGAGACATATTTTGTTAAATCGGATATATAAAGAACATGAATCACCTATAGTCGCCTCCAGTTTGTGGGCGGAAGAGATGCAACAACTTGATACGGCGGTGTCTTAAGAAGTGATAATCCTGCTCGAATGTGAAAACTGACGTTCAGACACAAAGCTCTAGGACAGAGAGATGCGATCTTACAAACATGATCCTAGTCCAGGAAGACTGCACATCCGAATATTGCAGAGATGAAAGAGTTGGCGGTCTAATTGATTCAAATCGACGATCACGTTAACAGCTACTGATACAAAGTGAGAAGACCTACGTTCATGATCTTCCAAGGACTGACGCATATTCTGACACGGACGGTGACCAATGACCCACAACGATGTTGATGTAACTGTCGAGCCCCGCTACTGAATAGAAATCCGAGAAGAAGTACGTGAGGCCTACCGGACACGCATTCAACAACCTGCACAATCGACCATAAGTTTTCAGGCGAAAGTATATGCTAGGTTTGTCTGAAACGTACCGTTATGCTCAGCTGCGATAAGAAAAATGCGAAGGCCGCAAAGAAACACTGCAGGAACATGCGGCAGGAGCTTCGTTGTATTGAGCTCAGGGTAGAGCAAGTCACGAAATTTCCTGCGCTGTGTGTTATCAGCTGTTATACGGTGACAATGTCAAGAATAGAAAGGAGAGCTGGACTTACAATGCCCACGATGCACGATTTAGAACTGCCTACTGAAAGTTAAGAGGTTGAGAACGGCAGAGTATCACCTACAAAAGGAACATGTCATCAGCCTCCTCCATAGGTGATAGTAAAACAGACGGATATTGTAATGATCTCAGAGAGCTATGCATCAACTTACATCGTGCTCATCAGGTTTTACTGCAAGATGACGCTTAAATTAGTTAACTCGGCCTGCACGCGTCAAGAGTGTCGCCAATGATCTCTTGCAGAGCTGTAGGGCTCAGAGTACTAAACGTCGAAGTCAAATTGTAGAAAAATGTGAATTTGCATTCAGCTCATGAAATACGGATGTGCCTGACCACTCCACGATGTTTATCACTGAAGTTGACGTTAGGCTCGAAGCGTTCCTCCACGAAGGTACTAGTCGAAAACCAAAAGAACACAAACACTTTGACCATGTTCGGCGAGAAAGTGGAGGAGGGATTATGTCGCCGTTGACGGGGGGCGCAGCATGACCGGGCACTTGTATTGTAAGTCCGAATCGGAGAACTGCTAACTCTCGGAACAAGATCAAATCACACCTCGAGAAAATGGATCGTATTTTTGCCGGCATATCATCACAATCCCTGATGACGGAAGTAAAACTGTTGATCTACCTATGAAACAAGAGGGACCACAAGCACTGCGGTTTAATTGAGTGAGCTGAAAGGTCGAACGAGGTCATCGCTTTGTACACATTCAAAAAGTCACTGCCCACGGTTGAAAGGACTCATGATCGATCAGCAATAATCGATCAATTGGGGAGGAAAACTGAAGTCGAATCAATAGAAGCAACCTCAGCAAACAACAAAAGGCATGCAACATCACTCACCATGTCCGTCTCGCACAATAGAATGTTAGTCCCACTGGTCGCACAAGCTACATGCGAAGTATCAACACACGCATCACGGGACGCAGTGGCAGACACAGCCCCTTACCGGTAGTATACCCACATACGCGAATGCAGGATGTGAAGTGACGGGTGTAGTAGGTTGGGAAGACACCATGTTGGAGCTAACATTCCGTCAAGGATTTCGGTCCGGCCTATTATGAGATTGGTTAGTGGGTATTTTTGATGGGTCTTTCTCTTGGAGGGTGGGTGGCAGATGAGTGAAGGGAATAGAGGAGGGGATGGAAGGGATGTACGTGATAATACCTGAAGACCACCGAGTTTGGGAAAGGCGTGTGGACGAAAAGATGATACTATGTGGAGTGTATTAGTACTCTTGCCCTCGTTCATCCATCAAAAACGAGAAAGGAAAACGTGGGAGGGCAAAAGAGCAAGTTGAAAGTTGAACGAAAGGACAGACTGTTCCTGAGCATGCAAGGGTCTGGCTACAGTGCCTAAAATAATAAGGTTGAATTACCTTATTTGTACATTGTGAAACTCAGGTTCTGGTCTTTCCAACGTCATCTCAAAGCCCGACCTCAAGTGTTTTTGGCCATGCATTCGACCCCCAAACTGTTGCCTTTCTTAATGTTTCCTCCACCTGCCATAACACCCTCGATAATACCCCCGTGGCAATCAGACTCGTATAGCATCGTTCGGCTGTTCTGTGCAGCGCACTATGTAATACATTGGATCCTACATTTTGCCTTAGCCTTGTGCTATGAGATTGAGTACTACGTCTCGAACAACCTATGATGAGAGTAACATGTTCGATCTGCATCATGGTACACTTTGAGACTCACAACACGTCACCCAACTGACATTAGCCTGTCGCTTTCACTTTTGACTGACCTTGACATTGCTCTCCCGCTAATCCTAGTTTAGCCGCCTCAGCGCTTAGTGCAAACCACACAAGCGCCCCATACTACCCTCAACAACACATGGAAACACACGTGTAGCATTACCTGAACCCTCGACCCTTTCCTCTCCCTCTCACCCGAACTTCATCCACAATTCCCATATCCCCACCACCTTCTTCTTCTACCACTCATTCTGTCTACCACCCAGCCCATCCTCAATCTTCGTCGTTTTGCTTTATTGCACTATCATGCCCGGTAGCTTAGAAGGCCGATATATTAGACTTGAAGGCGAGTCACTCCATACCACCTTCGTATCTGTTTGGTTATCCTCGCTCTCTATTTCCAGTCATCAGTGGAAAAAATCTCAAAGTCCCTTCCGAGCGCATTCTCGCAGGAATCTACGTATCTGTCGATCTCAAGTCGGGCAGGCGCTGGAAATCAGCCATCGGTGTCTTATCATCCGATGAATCTATAACGTGGCGCGATACTGCGAACTTGTACGCGTTCATCGAGACTTTCCGACGCAAGTCAAGGACTGATCTTTTGTTTGTAGATCGTTAGATGCGTCGCCTATGTTATCAGTGGAGATCATGGCTTCCTTCGAGCTCGATCGCATGCTGGGTAATGGAGAGGTTGTTGGAAAGGTTGAAATATCATGGGATGCGCTGCTCGATCATGGAAATGAGCCTTTCGGTGAGTAACCTTCTTCTCACTCATGCACATATACTCACATCTCATAGACATCACCTTCCCGTCTGTTCGTGGCGTTCACCCTTCCCTCACACTGAAGGCCACGGTTCTACGTAATTGCGACAATCAGGACAGCGTCCTGTTTGACGTGAGTGACATCAGCTTCTGCGATGTTGGCTTTTGTTGACGGAATACTGCTGTAGTCCATCGTTGAATGTCAGATTGCTCAAAACACGGATGCGGGCCATGAACGATTTGCCACATACGTGACAAGCAAGACGGTCTCTCACCTGAACGATGCTGTAAAGCATTTTCAGTTGGTCCTGGACCAATGTCCGGTCGGCCATCCTCACCAGGGCAGCGGCTCTCACCAACCTCGCGTGGGCCCGCCTTGAAGGCTACATTCGAAAGGATTTTCAAGACATCGACTCTATCATTTCTCTCTTCCGCGAAGCCCTTGCATTGCGTCCGCAGGGCCACCCCGATCATCCATTATCCATATATCACCTTCTTAAAGCGTTGATCTGGCGCTACAGCAAGGAGCGCACCGCCGTCTATATCCAGGAATGCGCGCAACTGTCCTGCAAGCTATTGCCCTCCTGTCCGGAGGGCACCTACCTTCGTAGCATTGCGGCAGGGGCAAATGGCGTCGATTATGTGATCCGCGCATGCAACAATCTTCCAATAGACGTATCTGATGAAGGCATCCACCTTTGTCGAGTCGTACTCGAGCTCTGCCCTCTGGGCAACAAACATCGTCCGAAAGCACTCAACAAGCTTGCGCAGGCAGTTGAAGCACGCTTTCACCAGCGTGGCACCATTGATGATCTAGCAGAGAGCATACAACATCGTCGTGAAGCTGTTTCTCTGTGCCCCGAGGGACATCCTGAACGCGACACCTACCTGAATAACTTGGCCCACTCACTCTATTACCGTTTCAATCACCAAGGCAATTTAAATGACGTCAATGAGGCCATCTCTTTGTATGAAGAAACACTGCGCCTGCGCCCTGTTGGGCATAAATCTCGTGATAACTCATTGATCAGCCTAGGAGACGCCCTCCGCGTCCGTTTCAACCAATGCGATGATGTTAACGACATCATCAGATCCATCAGCGTCCAGCGCGAGGCACTGACGTTGTGCCCGCCTGGGAATTCATATCATGATATCATGCTTAATAACCTTGCCCTCGCGCTCAAAACCAGATATATGAAATTGGATGCCAGCGAGGATCTCGACGAGGCCATCAACATCTACCGGGATTCACTTCAGTTAACGCCGCATGGCCATCCACGTCGCCATACAGCTCTTAACAATTTGAGCTCGGCGCTCTGTTCTCGTTTCACGCAAACTCGGAAGAATGAAGATATCGAGGAGGCCATTGGACTCTGCCAAGAGTCGTTGGAGGCTTTGCCTTCACTGCACCCGGGTAGATATTTCAGCTACATGCGGCTGAAGAATGCCTATGTGTTTCGTTACCGAGTGCAACACAACCCCGCCGATTTGTCGCTCGCTGTAGAGAACTTCAGACTGGCGTCGAGGCATCCTACTCAAGGCTTTCCGCGTCGAATTGAAACAGCTCTGCGCTGGGTTCACACGGCTGAAAATTATCAACACGACTCTTCCCTCGAAGCATACCAAACATGTTTGGAGCTTTTGGACAACCATGTGATGACGCGGTCGTCGGTTACCTCACGGCGCGAGGCTGCAACCGCTTTTCGCAGCTCCCAATCATTGCCAGTAGATGCAGCCTCCTGTACCATTCGTCGTGATGATCTGCGACGAGCAGTTGAACTTGTGGAGCAGGGTCGTGGTCAGCAGTGGTCGCTGGCCTCTCAACTCAGGACTCCGCTGGAAGACCTGAACTCTGCAAATGCGGAACTAGCTCACAAACTTGCAGAGATCAGCAAGCGCCTGTCCGATGCTCAGGGTTCGGTCGGCAGTGCTGACCGAGCTGCTGCTGATCTAGCAGTGATACATTACAGGAGACTTCAAGAGCAGTGGGGAGCAGTGGTAGCTGAGATCCGTAATCTTAAAGGTTTCTCGCGGTTCCTGCTCCCGCCTTCATATGAAGACTTGCAAGCGGCAGCACGCCACGGCCCAGTCATCATCCTCAGTTGCGAGTCAATACTTGTGCAGCGCCATCGTTGTCCCGACGTCAGGAGAGCCACATCACGTTCAATTCCCGCGCGTCACTCTCACACATCTGGAGAAGCTCAAGAGTGACTTTGCCAGGGAGATACGACTTGCATCTTTTATGCGTCCAGAGGAGACGAGGAAGGAATTGCAAGTCCTCTTGCGGACAGTGTGGGACGAGATCATGCTCCCCATCGTCATCGCCCTCCAGCGTGATCTCAGAGTAACCAGCGGCTCTCGAATCTGGCTGTGTCCAACTGCAACATTCACTTCCATTCCTCTCCATGCAGCTCACCCCTTTCGAACGAAAGCAGACGGACGGCGTGAACTATGCCTGGAGGACGTCTACATCTGTTCTTACACGCCGACACTTTCAGCTCTGATAAGATCTAGGCAGATGATGAAGAAACGTGCGACTCCGTCATTCGTTGTAATCGGACAAAGTTCACCGGGTGCGGGGCAAGGCAAGGCTCTCTTGACTGTTGACAGCGAGCTTGAGCTCGTCCGCAAGCTCGTCCCTGCGACGGCCAACACCACCACTCTCTCCGGTGATGATGCCACTCGAGCAGGTGCACTCAATGCTTTGCAACGCAACGCCTGGGTGCACCTCGCGTGTCATGGAAAGCAGGACCGCGAGCAGCCTTACTATTCATGTTTTGCCATGAGAGACAAACCTCTGACGCTGCTGGACATCATGGAGAAGGACATTCCTCACGCTGAGTTCGCATTCTTGTCAGCGTGCCATACCGCTGTTGGGGATGAGAAGACACCCGACGAAGTCATCCACCTCGCAGCTGGACTCCAATTTTCGGGGTTCAAGAGCGTCATTGGCACACTGTGGGTGGTCGACGACGCTGTCGCGAAACATGTTGTCGAAGCTTTCTACAAGAACATGGTCAAGGGTTTGGAGGATGGTGATATGATGGACTGTACGAAGGCGGCCTGGGCACTCAACCGGGCCACGTGCGCCGTGAAGACGAAAGTACCGCTCGAGCAGAGGATGGTTTTCATACATATCGGTGTGTAGTTCTATGTCGCATTGCTTTGATATGGTACAGTTCTTCAAGTTATTCTCTTTCGTCTATGCTGTACTTAAAGTTGTAGGAATTACCAGTTTACCCTTTGTATTGCACTCCCGTGCTCCAGCCATCTTGTTTTCGCTTTCGTAGTAATGCGGTATCTTCTAGAGTCTTCAACAAAGTCATTCGTTGCTCGATGACAATTTGTGTATTGGAATGTTGGCGACATCGTTTTCTGCTGACTCTGGGACGAGTTGACCTTCTAAGCATCGTCCAAGTCGTTCTGGAATCTGGGCACCTTATTCTCAATTACGCGCCCCGGATCTCTTCATATGTCATGAATGCGGTATACCATGCATCCATTCATACTCACACAGGCTTCAAGTTCCGTCGAGTTGTCGCTATCGCCATGACTGTGTGTAGGCACCCATAGTCCCAAATATGATCACATAGATTGATATTGGGTGACGCGGCGACAAAAACGTGTAATAAATACAAGATCCGTGTGATGAACTGCTGATTGTGAAGAGATGCACCAAAACATCGAATGACTGGACAGTAAAGCGGTACGACTACCGGTTAGAAGGCACCAAAGAACATATTTTGCACATTTTCTATCCCCCAATTCAATTTGACGCTCAACACAGTATCACATGTGGATCCTCTGGTTTATGGACAACGAGTGTTGGCGATCGCGTGTTTGTGTTTAGGTGATTGGGACAGGGCAGAAGAACATGATCTCTTCGTAGAGGAGCTCTTTGAGTTGTTCCCGGCTGATACCGTCCTTGTGTACTGCCGAATACGATTAATATACATGCGCGCTTGTCAAGCCCAGTACTTACGGTCAAATTCGAAGAACTCCGGGTCGAGCGGTGGTGCAACTGGTTCGTCATCGATATCGTGCTGGATCATATGTAAGCTTGTGCACTCGAGGAACAGGAAGTACACATACATGTGCTTCAAGATATGGGTGAGCCAAAGCCTTTTCGATTGTTATGTATCTCTTAGGGTCAAAAGTCTAGAGAGGGTTGAGCTACCACTCAAAAAGATGAGAAGATCGTGACTTACGAGAGTCTTCGTCAGGAAGTCTACAGCGAAGGATTCGCGTTGGGGAAGATTTGCGCAAATGGCCGGCGTTGGCGGAAAGGAAGAGTTCGAATATAATCTCGCGATTTGTACATGGTCATATTAATGGCGTAAAACTCGTCCAGCGCTGGTGTGCCGAGAACATCCAAGATTCAAGTGAGCTGGTGGTAATCTTGCGCGTGACAGTTTCAGATCACCTGACTTATCATGTGTCCTGTCACACCGTGTCCTCTTGCCCTTGTGAAAACACTCATGGATGATGGAACCAACTGTATTGTTTCACCTGTGGATCAAGTACCTCTTGACTTTCGAGGATGAACCTGTTGGTGATCACCTTTCCGGCGTCATCTCAAAACCAGGTCGAGTGTGTGGGTTTTGTTTTCGACCCCAGTCTCACAAACTGTTGCCTATGATGTTAAATGTTTCCACGACACTCTCACGATCATCCTTCCACCTGCCACAACACCCTCAATAATCCTTCCCCCATGGCATCAGACTCGTATAGCATGGTTCAGTTTTGCAAATCGCTTTTACCGGACTATTATGAAATACGTTGGATCCTACATTTTGCCTTAGCCTTGTGCTACTAGATCGAGTACTACGTCTACATTGAGAGCAACATGTTCGATCTGCATCACATCACACTCTGAGACTCGCAACATGTCCTTCAACTGACATTGTCGTGTCTTTCATGTTTGACTGACAACTATTGACATTGCTCTCCCGCTAATGCTAGCCGCCTCAGCGCTTAATGCAACCATATAAGCGCCCCAGACTAGACAATAACATGGAAATACACGTGCAGCGCGACTTCAACCCTTCCTCTCCCTCTCACCTGAACTTCATCCACAGTTCCCATATCCCCACCACCGTCTTCTTCTACCACACATTCCGTCCACTGGCCACCCAGCCCATCCTCAATTCTTGTCTTTTTCTTTCATCACACTATCATGCCCGGTACATTAGAAGGCCGATATATCAGGCTTGAAGGTCAGTCACTCCATACCACTTTCGCATATGTTTGTTGTTCCTCACGCTCTATCAATAGTTATCAGTGGAAAAAATGTTAAAGTCCCTTCCGAGCGCATTCCCGCAGGCATCTACGTATCCGTCAATCTCGAGTCGGGCAGGCGCTGGAAATCAGCCATCGGAGTCTTATCATCTGACGAATCTATAACGTGGCGCGATACTGCGAACTTGTACATGTTCATGGAGACTTTCCGACGCAACTCGAGGACTGATCTTTTGTTTCTAGATCGTTAGATGCTTCGCCTACGTTATCAGTGGAGATCAGGGCTTCCTTCGAGCTCGATCAGATGCTGGGCAATGGAGAACTTGTTGGAGAACTTGAAATGTCATGGGATGCACTGCTCGATCATGGAAATGAGCCTTTCGGTGAGTAACCTGTTTCCCACTCATGCGCGTATACTCACATCTCGTAGACATATCCTTCCCGTCCGTTCGTGGTGTTCACCCTTCCCTCATACTAAAGGCTACGGTTCTACATAATTGCGACAATCAGGACAGCGCACTGCTTGACGTGAGTGATGTCAGACTGTTGTTCGCTTTTGTTGACGGAACACCTGTTGTAGTTCATCGTTGAATGTCAGATTACTCAAGACACGGATGCGGGTCATGAACGATTTGCCGCATACGTCACAAGCGAGACGGTCTCTCACCTGAACGATGCTGTAAAGCATTTTCAGTTGGTCCTGGACCAATGTCCGGTCGGCCATCCTCACCAGGCAGCGGCTCTCACCAACCTCGCGTGGGTCCGCCTTCAAGGCTACATTCGAAAGGACCTTCAAGACATCGACTGTATCACTTCTCTCTTCCGCAAGACCCTTGCATTGCGTCCGCAGGGCCACCCCGATCATCCATTATCCATCTATCACCTTCTTAAAGCGTTGATCTGGCGCTACCGCAAGGAGAACTTCACCGCCGCCTATATTCAGGAATCGGCACAACTGTCGTGCAAGCTATTGCCCCTCTGTCCAGAGGACACCTACCTTCATAACATTGCAACAGGGGCAAATGGCGTCGATTATGTGATCCACGCATGCAACAATCTTCCAATAGACGCATCCGATGAAGGTATCTACCTTTGTCGAGTCGTACTCGAGCTCTGCCCTCTGGTAAATGAACACCGTTCAAAAGCACTCTACAAGCTTTCACGGGCTCTCAGCGCACATTTTGAACAACGCGGCACCATCGATGATCTGGCAGAGAGCATACGGCATAGTCGTGAAGCCGTTTCTCTGTGCCCCGAGGGACATTCTGAACGCGAGACCTACCTGAATGACTTGGCCTACTCACTCCAGTCCCGCTTTGATCACCAGGGCAGCTCAGATGACCTCAATGAGGCTATCTCTTTGTATGAAGAAGCGTTGCGCCCGCGCCCTGTTGAGCACAAATTTTGTGATTTCTCACTGGACAACCTAGGAGATGCCCTACACACCCGTTTCAACCAATGCGGTGATGTTAACGACATCATCAGATCCATCAGCCTCCGGCGCGAGGTACTGACATTGCGCCCGCCTGGGAATCTATATCGTGATTACACACTTAACAACCTTGCCGGCACGCTCCAAACCAGATATGAGAAATCGGATGCCAGCGAAGATCTCGACGAGGCCATCGAGCTCTACCGGGATTCACTTCAGTTAAGGCCGCATGGCCATCCACGTCGCCATACAGCTCTTTACAATTTGAGCTCGGCGCTCTGTTCTCGATTCACGCAAACTCGGAAGAATGAAGATATCGAGGAGGCCATTCGACTCTGCCAAGAGTCATTGGAGGCTTTGCCTTCACTGCACCCAAGTAGATATTTCAGCTACGGGTGGCTGCAACAAGCCTATTTGTCTCGTTACCGAGTGCAACACAACTCTACTGACTTGTCACTTGCTGTAGAGAACTTCAGACTGGCATCACAGCATCCCACTCAAGGACTCCCGGCACGCATTGGAGGGGCTATAGAATGGGCTCGCCAAGCAGAAGTTTATCAACACGACTCTGCCCTCGAGGCATACCAAACGTGCTTGGAGCTTTTGGACAACCATCTAATGATGCGGTCAACGATTATCTCACGGCGCGAAGCTGCAGCCGCTTTTCGCAGTGCACAATCACTGCCCGTAGATGCAGCCTCATGTGCCGTACGTCGGGACGATCTGAGACATGCAGTTGAACTCGTGGAGCAGGGTCGTGGCCAGCAGTGGTCACTGGCCTCCCGACTTAGGACACCACTTGAAGACCTCCAGTCCACGAGTCTCCAGCTAGCTCGCAAGCTCTCAGAGCTTAGCAAGAGTCTTTCCGATGCTCAAGGTTCCGCAATCAATGCAGATCGAGTTGCTGCTGATCAGGCAGCAATCCAATACAGGAGACTTACGGAGCAATGGAGAGCTGCGGTAGCTGAGATCCGTAATCTTCAAGGTTTCTCGCGGTTCTTGCTCCCGCCTTCATACGAAGACTTGCAAGCGGCAGCGCGTCATGGTCCAGTCATCATCCTCCTTGCCAGCCAATACTCGTGCAGCGCCATCGTTGTCCCCACGTCAGGAGAGTCCACACAACGTTCAATTCCCGCGCATCACTCTCACACATCTGGAGAAGCTCAAGAATGACTTTGCCAGGGAGATACGACTTGCATCTTTTATGCGACCAAAGGAAACGAGGAAGGAATTGCAAGTCCTCTTGCGGACAGTATGGAATGAGATCATACTGCCCATTGTCATCGTCCTCCAGCGCGATCTCAGAGTGACAAGTGGCTCTCGAATCTGGTTGTGTCCAACTGCAACCTTTACTTCCATCCCACTCCATGCAGCTCACCCCTTTCAAACGAAAGCAGACGGACGGCGTGAACTATGTCTGGAGGACGTCTATATCTGTTCTTACACGCCGACACTTTCAGCTCTGATAAGATCTAGGCAGATGATGAAGAAACGTGCGACTCCGTCATTTGTTGTAATTGGGCAAAGTTCCCCGGGTGCGGGGCAAGGCAAGGCTCTCTTGACTGTTGACAGTGAGCTTGAGCTCGTCCGCAAACTCGTCCCCACGACTGCCAACCCCACCACTCTTTCCGGCGACGACGCCACGCGAGCAGGTGCACTCGACGCTTTGCAATGCAACACCTGGGTGCATCTCGCTTGTCATGGGAAGCAGGACCGTGAGCAGCCTTACTATTCACGTTTCGCCATGAAAGACAAACCTCTGACGCTGCTCGACATTATGGAGAAAGACATTCCTCACGCTGAGTTTGCATTCTTGTCGGCGTGTCATACCGCTGTTGGCGATGTGAAGACACCCGACGAAGTCATCCACCTCGCAGCTGGACTCCAGTTTTCAGGGTTCAAGAGCGTCATTGGCACGTTGTGGGTGGTCGACGACGCTGTCGCGAAACATGTTGTCGAAGCTTTCTACAAGAACATGGTCAAGGATTTGGAGGATGGTGAGATGATGGACTGTACGAAGGCGGCCTGGGCACTCAACCGTGCTACAAATGCCGTGAAGACGAAAGTTCCGCTTGAGCAGCGGATGGTTTTCATACATATTGGTGTGTAGTTCTATATCGCATTGCTTCGATATCGTACATTTCTACAAGTTATTCTCTTTCGTCCATGCTGTACTTAAAGTTGTAGGAATTACCGCATTAGCCTCTGTGTCTCACCCGTGCTTTAGCCGTCTTGTTTTCGCTTTCGCAGTAATGCTGTCTATTCTAGAGTCTTCAACAAAGTCATTCGTTTCTCGATGACAACGTGTGTAGTCGAACGTTCGTGACATCATTGTCCGCTGACTCTGCTCGGCCACGAGTTGACCTTCTAATCACCGTTTGAGTGCTTCTGGGATCTGTGTACCTTATTCTCAATCAAGCGCCCCGTTTGCTATCTTCATATAACATCAGGCCCCAAGTTCCGTCGAGTTGTCGCTATCACACGCGGTAACTATGTCTGTAGGCGCCTATAGCCCCCAAAAATTGCATAGATCGAATATTGGGTGACGCGGCGACAAAAACGTGTAATAACTACAAGATCCGTGTGATGAACTGCTGATTGTGAAAAGATACACCAAAACATCGAATGAGTACTGTCCACAGCAAAGCGGTACGACTACCAGTCAGAAGGTACCAAAGAACATTTTTCGTACATTTTTCTATCCCCTAATTCAATTTGACGCTCAGCACAATATTACATGTGGATCCCCTGGTTCATGGACAACAAGTGTTGGCGATCATTTGTTTAGGTGATTGGGGCGGGACAGAAGGACATGATCTCTTCGTAGAGGAGCTCTTTGAGCTGTTCCCGGCTGATATCGTCCTTGTGTACTGCCGAATACGATGAATATATATGCGCGCTTCTTAAGCCCGAGTACTTACGGTCAAATTCGAAGAACTCCGGGTCGAGCGGTGGTGCAACTGGTTCGTCATCGGGATCGTGCTGAATCACAGGTAAGCTTGTGCGCTCGAGGAGCAAGAAGTAAACATACATATGCTTCAAGATATGGGTGAGCCAAAGCCTCTTCAACTGTTATGCGTTTCTTGGGATCAAATGTCTAAGAGAAGCTTAAGCTACCACACAAATAGATGAGAAGATCGTGACTTACGAGAGTCTTCGTCAGGAAATCTACAGCCAAAGGATTGGCGTTGGGGAAGATTTGCGCAAATGGCCGGCGTTTGCGGAACGGAAGAGCTCGGATATAATCTCGCGATCTGCGTGTGGTAATGGCGTAAAACTCGTCCAGCGTTGGTGTGCCGAGAACATCCAAGATTAAAGTGAGTTGGTGGTGGTAATCTCTACCAGGGAACAGAGGCTTTCCGGAAAGCATCTCGGCCAAGATGCACCCGACAGACCAGACGTCGATAGCTTTAGTATATTGTTTGAACGTCAGCATGATCTCAGGGGCTCGGTACCACCGTGTAGCGACATATTCGGTCATAAACCCGGTTTCCGTCCCTGATGGTTCGGCAGTCTTTACTGATCTTGCCAGCCCAAAGTCGCAGACCTTGAGATCACAGTTTGCGTTAAGAAGGAGATTTGAGGGTTTGAGATCACGGTGGATGACATCAGCAGAATGTAGAGCCTTGAGTGCGCGCAGGGTCTGATAAATGAAATATTGAGCGTGGTCATCTGAGAGGTCTTGCGTTCGGATAACACGGTGCATATCTGTTTCCATCAGCTCCTGGATCACTGTGTGAAAGTTTGAATGACATGTGTGTTATATGACGTATTTCGTACGCACGATAGACTTCTTTGAAAGCGTCTAGAGAGGGAGGCTTGATGATGTCCAAAATTGAAATGATCTTCAAGGTTCTGAGTGAGCACGTAAATATGATGAATGGGAGACGTGCTCACATTCTCGCTTACGCCAGCTTCACTGAGGAATTTGAGAAGTTTTAGTTCTCGGAGTGTCCGTAAGCAGAACATGGAATGATCGAAGGGTGCGATCTTCTTGATGGCAACCTTGCGGCCACTGGGCCGGTGAACAGCTGAACAGACGATACCATATGCGCCCTCGCCTACGACATCGAGAACCTGATACTGAGTACCTATTGAGACATATTTTGTTAAATTAGATAAATGAAGAGCAAGGGTCTGGACACACCGACGTTAAATCTAACTTTCCTGGGTGCAGGTGGTGCTTGGGATGTCGCACCGTGTTTTGATTTTGAGGGTGCTGGAGCCACAGCTGGAGCCTGTTGAGCGTTTTCAGGCATCTAGATGGGTAAATGGGAGAAGGAGGGAACGTAGAGGAGTGGGGAACAAGAGAAAGACCTATAAGCGAGGCACAAAGTATAATCTTGTGTCGTGTAGAAGGTGTGTCCAAGTTTAGCGGTGAATAATAGGAAATAACAATGATTCGTGCAAAATGAATACAATAAGTTCTTGGGTTCCGATTGCCACCAAGACAACCAAGTTTGTTGTCAACTGCTACTTACGACATTTGCTATAGCGATAGCAGCAACCTCGTGCTCGACGGCCTGAGGCAGTCTGATAACAGTCTGCTCCTTCAAAGTGGGTTCGGCTTTCAAACAGGCTACGACGCTCAGTCCGACTACAAATCACTTTCAAAGGCCTCTTCCAGGTTTTTTTCGCCAAAATGAATTAGCTTCTGGTGTTCAATTGTCTATGATGGGTGCTGCGGATGCGAGGACACGCAATGTCTTGACTCGGATAACCACAAATGGGCCGCTGCGGATACGATGATTGATGTGGATTCAAGGTCACCTAGGTTTCGAGGCAGATTAGACTAAGCTCGTGACTATTCTAGGGTCCCAAGTGCGCTGTTTAAGCTATCGAGGTTGCCACTCGTGGGCTAATTGGTCTCGAGCCTAAGAGTATCGACAGTAAGTACTCCGAGTCGTTGTCCTGATCAACACGTGTTCACTGTTAACAGGATCGAGGCCTGGATATTGCCAATCTGTCTAGTTCTTCGTCCTTATATGAGCTTCCTGCGGAGATTATCCTTTTAATTAACTGGTAAATCGTTCAAGGACGGGGGCGGCGATGTGCGATCATAGCATAAATATGTATTCAAGCGACGTCATGCATATAACATGTCGACAGTTCATGATGAAATGTAGTCCACCCTAAATCCGACAACTGCACATATCCTACCGCCGTGAGCGCTTGAGCGTTGACAGTGGGCTGGCCTTACAAACCATTCACCACACACCAATGCGTGCCCAGAATATGTCTTCTTTCAAACGTTTACTCCACATACGATCCTCTCAAGTAGCATCATCAGCGTAACCTTCTTTGTCGGTAGCAGAAGAGTCCTTCGTACTCGAACTTAGCCAATAGGCCTGCTCCTCAGGCTCTTCATTCATGTTTTCATCAATCTCACTCTCATCTCTCTTCAGATGACCCTCATCTGTTCAGCACAATTTTCTCAAAAGGATACGTCATGGCATGGGCATCCAGTGGTGTGACTGGTGTCGGCCAATCCCCTCCAGCTCTCGCAAGGTTCACTTGTCCGCTACCACTGAACTTCATTGTCCCTCGTGGTATTGGCGTAAGGAACATCTCGTTTGTAAATCTCATTGTTGAGAAACAACTTGCCAAATCCTCTTCCGGTGCACAATCAAGCACAATCAAGCATCGTGATCCCCAGCTTAATCTGATACAGCAAGTTAACGCAATGATTTCCAGCGGGCTTGTGTTCTAATTCAAAAATAATTCACGTGGGCTTGGACCACCCCGCTATGAATAACGCGGCCTATCTAGATACTGACAAGATTTCTACACCGTCAAGAATTTGCCAATGCTACTTCGGTATGTCTGCTGCACCACTCCCCTTTAAGCGAACATTCATTGATGAGAATCTGTAGCCTCCATTCATTCCCAGTTCCGAACAAGTTTCTGAAGAGGCTAGGTTCTTGATTGAACACTTGTGGGACTTGCTGAAAGGTTGGTTCACCGATGCCCTAGTGAAGACACACAAGCTCATTGACTCGCTCAGGAACAAAGGTACACAATCATTCATCGAGTATCCAATCGGATTACCTGATCCCGGGCTTAATTTGAACAAGGTCATTGAACTCCGTCGTCGGGCCGCTCTTGTGTTCTATCCCCTGACCATCCTGATCGATCCTCGTCCCTGAACGACCTCAGCATTAGCCTTCAAGACAGATTCAAGTAGCTGGGTATTTTGGCTGACCTAGATGAGGTCATTCAATTCCATCGAGCTGCATTGGCGCTCTGTCTCCCAGGCCATTCTGGTAGATTCTTGTCTCAACGACCTTGCCGTCAGCCCTTGAGTCAGAGTTGAGTAGCATGGCGTCCTAGTTCACCTGGATGAGGCCAGCAAGCTCCGTTGAGCTGCGTTGGCACTTTGTTCTCCCATCCAATCTCATCGATCCTTGCCCCTGAACAACCTTGCCATCGCCCTTCAGGTCAGGTTCGAGTAGCGGGGCGTCCAAGCTGACCTGGATGATGCCATCGAGCTCCATCGAGATGCACTGGCGTTCCGCTCTCTTGGCTATCTTAATCGATTCTCGTCTCTGCATGGCCTTGCCATCAGCCTTCGAGCAGCGAAGTATCCAGGCTAGATAAGGCCGTGGAGCCCTGGAGGACGAGAACGGAGAGCCCTGCGTAGGGGAGCTGGTGAGCCGGCTCTCGATCGACTCGGAGCATTGGGTGCACTAGCACGATGAGATATCGGCGAAGAGACGCGTGAAGGCAAGGGAGCTGGAGAGACCACACGAGAACGTGGGCGCGGAGGTGGCGATGTGGCACGGAACGCGGATGACTCTCTTACTGTAACTGATGCTTCCGACTTCTTTCAGAACAATGATAATGCTACGGCTATCGGGGAAAAGCCCTACCAGGGTGAACTTTTATAGCTCGAGGGCTATCAATGTGAAATTGCGGCACGCTTGGTCGAAATCGCCAAGAACAAGTTGAAGCATCACAAACTTGAAAATCCTATACCCTTCCTGGCGCTGGGTGAAACTTGCGCCTTCGACTTTCGAGCTGTCTTTGGTCAACACGCACTGGCAGTTGACAGCTTGCCACTTCAAGCTTTGAATAACGCCGTAGATGGACATGATGATTGAGATTAGTTATTGGGGAGGCAAGAGGAGAATACGAGAAGTAAGTTGGTCTAATCTGATTGTAATATCATCTATATGCGCGTTCCTCAGGGTAATACGGGCTTGGCATTCTGCTGTCCCGGGCACCACACGCGCTCCTATTGTAACCCTGTCTCGCCAACTCGTAACCAGTCATGTGACTACCACTCTGGAACTTTCATCGCAAAAGGAGATGTTCCGCTCGTTTCCGCCCACCAAGAACAGCACCAAAGTGGCGACGCGCGTGCAGTAAATACTTAAAGACAAAAAGTAAATCACATTATGCAGTACATAGATGAATGCGAAGCAAATCACGAACCTAATCACGTGTATTAGACGCCTTGATCCGACAGCAAATGAGAACGAGCCAAATCATCGAAATGCGCACGTCATCATGGGAAAATTGTCAATCGAGTGATGAAGACTGGGTGCAGACACCGACAAAAAGACTCCAACTGGATGATGCTGAGCAGCGGTAAACCAAGCCCTAGATAATCCGCGATACTCAAACAACCTCCGAAACAGAAAGGAGGAGACGACAGACACACCATTGGCATCATCAGCTAAGACTCTAAGTATTTGCTGATCGGTTACAACAAGAGAAACGGGGAGGAACGAGTGCGAGAGGAGAGCTCACAGCGGACGACGAAGACCCAGCCATTGCAACAGATCGAAAGTAAGCAACAAGTCCCTCAAAGCAAGAGTCACAGAGGTTAACTTCAAGGACTGCAATACGAGCCCCTCAAAACAGGACTGAGCGTGAGAAGTCGTATACATATAAACCAAAATGAGCGGGAGATCGTGAGGCGGAGGAAAAAAATCCACATACCTGTACCCTGAGACGGGTCCAGGAGGGTCCGGAACCCTTTATTACTTGTTGACCCCATCACTCCATCACCTCGCTTTCAACGTTCGGAGTCAAGCAGACTTCATCGGTGTTGATAACTTGGTCGGAACACTCAGCAGTCGATTAAGATACAGATCACAACTGCCGATCATCATCTATCTTGCTGCGGTCGATCCTAGTCGATCACTTAAACATATCACTTGCCCTCTTGGAACGTTCACCCTCTATTTGCTTTATGACAAACTCTACCAATGTTGGAAAACAGAAGAAGGCCTTGCTCATCGCAGTCCAATCTGTGCATAAAAAAGGCTTCCTTCCTTTGCAGCATGCTCACGAGGGACGCTGAATCGCTCAAACGCCTCCTTAACGGTGAGGTCGTACCGTCTCTTGGACCTGGATTATTCTTCTGAATCTGGATCTTCATTACGATGTTCACAGATAAATTCAATTACCCTAAAGCGAATGTTGTCTTGATGAAGAATGATGTGAAGGTCCCAAAAGATCTCTGGCCCTCACGGGACAACATAGTAAGGACACTCAATGACTAAAGCTCGCCGAAGTGACTAAATTACCGTTTGGCAGCTCAAGGAAATCACTCAATTAGTTACAAGTGCATCCGCAAATGACTATTGTTTCTTTTATTGTAAGTGAGAAGTGTCTCGTCAGTTCGCAAGTAATCAGAATGGAATGGACAAGATACCGGTCACGGAGACCAAGTAACTTGCAAGCACAACACGGAAACAGATGGAATGGACGAAGGCTCTCGTATGTTGACATTAGGACGAGATTTCGTGTCGAGACCAAGGATACTTCGTAAGCACTCCGCCCTTTCATTCCTTGAAATGTCTGACTCATTTTTGTATGATCATCAATCAGCAGTCGTCAAACCAACAACCTCTACCGTGTGACCGTGCGGGGAATCCTTCGCTGATGTTAAATAGCATTCTTACAACTGATCCCCAGTTTGATGTGAACGAGGTCATTGAACACCGTCAGGCTGCCCTTACGTTCTATCCCCCCTGACCATCCTGGTCGATCCTCAGCCCTGAACGATCTTGGCATTAGCCTTCGAGACAGATTCAGGCAGCTGGGTCTTTTTAGCTGACCTGGATGAAGCTATTCAGTTCCATCGAGATGCATTGGTGCTCTGTCCTCCAGGCCATTCTGGTAGATTCTCGTCTCTCAACAACCTTGCCGTCAGCCTCCGAGTCAGAGTCGAGCAGCGTGGCGTCCTAGCTGACCTGGACGAGGCCATCGACCTCCATCGAGCTGCATTGGCACTTCGTTCTCCTGTCCATTCTCATCGGTCCCTTGCCTCTGAATAACCTTGCTATCACCCTTCGGGTCAGATTCGAGCAGCAGGGCGTCCTAGCTGACCTGGATGAGGCACATTGAGCTCCATCGAGATGCACTGGCGCTCCGCGCTCTTGGCCATCTTAATCGATTCTCGTCTCTGAACAGCCTTGCCATCAGCCTTCGAGTCAGAGATTCGAACAGCGGGGTGTCCAGGCTGACCTGGATAAGGCCATCGAGCTCCATCGAGCTGCGTTGGCACTCTGTCCCCCCTGGCCATTCTCGGCGACCATCATCTCTCCAAGACTTTGCTATCAGGCCTTCGAATCAGGATTCGAGTGCAGGGCGTCTTGGCTGACCTTTCGAGGCGATTGAGCTCCAATGAGCTGCGTTGGCACTGTACCTACCCCCCCCCCCCCCCTCACCATTTGTGATCGGTTCCTCATCTCTGAATGGGGGGACCTTGCCCATCAAGCCTTTCGTCCACAGATCCAAGGGAGTGGGAAGAGCCGCACGCGAACTGGACCTAGATCAAGGCATTGAGCATCACACGAGGGCTGCACTGCTGCAACTGCCCCCACGCATTCTCATCGAATCCCTTGTTTCTCAACAGCTTTTCCATCAGCCTTCAAACTCAGATTCGGGAGCAGCGGAGTGTCCAGGGCTGGAGCCTGGATTGAGGGCCATCGGAGCTGCCCAGCGGAGGCTGCACTAGCGCTGCTATCCCGGCTGTTCATTGTGATCCACTCGTCCTGGTCTGAAATGGAGCTTGCCATCTGCCTTCGAGACAGGATTTTAAGCAGCAGGGCATCTTGGATGGACTTGAATGAGGCCATCGAACTCCAGCGAGCTGCACTGGCGCTCTATCCTCCTGCCATCGTGATCCCTCATGGCTGAGTGACCTTGCCATCAGCCTTCGAGATAGATTCAAGCAGCGGGTCATCTTGGATGACCTGGACGAGGCCATCGAGCTCCAGCGAGCTGCATTGGCGCTCTCCTCCCAGACATTCTGATTCCATGTCTCTCAACAACCTTGCCAATAGTTCAGGATAGATTCCAGCAGCGGGGCATCCCGTCTGACCTAGAGGAGGCCATTGAGCTTCACCGAGTTGCACTGGAGCTCCGTCCCACGGGCCACTCCGAGCGTTCTTCGTCTTTCAACAACCTTGCCAACAGCCTTCGAGACAGATTCCAGCAGTGGGGTACCCTTCCTGACCTGGAGGAGGCTATTCAGTTCCATCGAGCTGCACTGGCGCTCTGTCCCCCGAGCCATTCTGATCGATCCATGTTTCTCAACAACCTTGCCATCAGCCTTCGCGTCAGATTAGAGCAACGGGGCATCCTGTCTGACCTAGAGGAGGTCATTGAACATCACAGAACTGCGCTGGCGCTCCGTCCCATAGGTCATCCAGACCGGGCCACATCTCTCAACAACCTTGCCAACAGCCTTCGGGACAGATTTCGAGAATTGGGGTGTCCTGGCTGATTTGGATGAGGCCATTAAGCTCTATCGAGCTGCACTGGCACTCTTGTCCTCCTAGCCATTTCGGCCGAGCCCTCGTCTCTCAACAACCTTGCTATCAGCATTCGAGATCGATTCGAACAGCGAGGTGCCTTTTCTGATTTGAATGAATCCATTGAGCTCCATCGTGCTGCCCTGGCGCTCTTCCCCCCCTGACCATCTTGATCGACCCATGTCCCTAAACAATCTGGCCAACAGCCTTCAAATAAGTTTCAGTGGAGAGGGCGTCGTGTCTGCCTTGGATGAGGCCATTGAGCTCCATCGAGCTGCACTGGCTCTCCGTCCGTGGGTCATCCAGACCGACCCTCTTCCCTCAACAACCTCGGTCTCAGCCTTCAAGATAGATTCAAGCAGCGGGGTGTCCTGTCTGACGTGGACGAGGCTATTGAGTTCCATCGGGCTGCATTGGAGCTTTGTTCTCCCGATCATGCTGACCGATCCGGGTATCTTAGCAACCTTGCCATTAGCCTGCGAGACAGGTTCGACCAGCAGGGTCTATCATCAGACTTAGACGAGGCCTTTAGTTGTTATTTGCAACTCCCTCAAGTATCTCATGAGTCTCTCGTGGCGATCTTCATGCTGCGAAGACATGGGCCGCTTTCGCAGAGGAGCTACAGCATGGCTCTGCATTGGTCGCATATCAGACCGTACTGAAATTCCTGGATCAGCATCTCGCTATCTTGTCGTCTTCTTCACGCCTTTTCGATGTCGTCAGGGAGGCAACTTCGTCCCTTGCTATAGATGCTTTCTCGTGCAGTATACGTCATGGTGCTTTGATGACTGCTGTCGAATTGGTGAGCAAGGCCGTGCAGTTTTCTGGACCCATTTGGCACAGTTTCGCATACCGCTCGATGAAATTTCTGCCTCAGGTGCTGCTGGCGAAGCTTTAGCGGACGAGTTCAAGCAAATCAGCTTTCGTCTTCGTAAACATTAGACACATCTACCGAAGACCAGTTCCCACAAGTCCAACAACTGACTATGCAATGGGATGATGTCGTCTCACGCATTCGCACAGTGCTGTCTGACTTCTCCCAATTTCTCCTCCCCCCTCTGTTCTCTGACCTTCGGAGGGCGGCAGAAAATGGCCCAGTCATATTGTTAATGCAAGCAAATACAGTTGTGATGCTCTAATTGTCATCAGTAGCCAAGATCCCGTCCATGTTCCACTCGATATCGGACGAACCGAAGTCTCCGAGTTGTCATCAGAGTTCCAGTCCCTCGCAGAGCGTGTTGGTTCTTCCCATCATCAACTTGAATTACCCAAGATTGTCGGCATCCTACGGAAGCTTTGGTTTCGTATCGTTAGTCCCATAGTTTCAAGCTCTTAGGGGTCTTATTCAGCCCGGCTCACGCATCTGGTGGTGCCCCCACCGCTGAATTCACGCTACGTCCTCTACACGCTGCAGGACCCTACAAGAGGAAAAGTCATAATTTGTCTCATTCTTCTATATATCCTCCTACACCCCAACCTTGTCGGCACTCATCCGCGCAAGACCGCGGGTGTTTCTCGAGATGTGTCCCCGCAACATTTTGTTGCCATTGGCCAGGCCAACCCGGACAAGGGAAGGGACTCCGATGTGTCGCTCCCGAGTTAGCTGTTGTCGCTGAGCGTGTCGCGCCCATCGCGTCCTTTACACCGCTCGCGGACAGCGATGCAACAGTCCAGGGAGCACTTGATGCATTAGACCGAAATCAATGGCTTCACTTGGCCTGTCATGGGGTGCCAAATCGACAGCAACCATTTGAGTCTTCATTTGCGATGCGTGACGGACCTTTGATGATCAAAGACATCATCCGGTCTCACTGGCGGGATCCAGAATTTGCATTCTTATCAGCCTGCCACACTACCGTGGGGTGATAAGTCGAGCCTCGATGAGGCGATCCATCTCGCTGCAGCAATGCAGTTCTCCGGATTCGCAGTGTGATAGGCTCCATGTGGTCTGTCGACGACGAGGTTGCACGCCAGGTTGTGTCTGCTTTCTATGACAACCTGGTTGATGGTTCGGGGAGGTTGGATTGCACACGTGCTGCGGTATCATTGCACAAGGCTATGAAGACGTTGCGCAATAAGATTCCCCTGGAACAGCAGATCGTGTTCATTCACATCGGTGCCTAGCTTCTTGAGACTTGTTCGCCATATTTTGGGTGTATTCTCTGTAAGTAATATCATACCCTATCGGCATACTACACGCTCATACTGCATCTAGATATCGTTCGCTCTCTGAATCATTCATGCAGATGAATGACTTTTACGGATACTTGGACATTGGCGTTTACAGTACACACTCACAATTCGTTAGTAGTCGTTCTCGACTGCATTCCAAGCCAAACGCTACCGAAGTCGAAGTCGATGGTCCCAGCACATAACTTTCCTGCGTCACATCTCATTCATCTGCTTTCGCTCGCATTGTCCTGTTGCTCTCAGTATTCATTCATCTGCTTTCGTTTGCATTGGCCTGTTGCTTTTATTCGCTGGTTATTCCACCGCTTAGTTAATATTGATTGTGGAAGTTGATTCCCGACTTCACGCGCGCACGAAGTGGGGAAGGTTACTATCACCTGATTCGGAATGCACAATCGATGGGTAATGCACAATGCACTTCAGAGCTCACAACTCAACACCTATTTCATTCGGAACAGCTGTAGAACAAGTATTAGCATATTCTCAATAAACCTACCAATTCAAAATTTTAAAATCGACGTTGTGGAGCCTTCCCAAGATGAAACATTGCACAAGTGTACCTACAATGAGTGATTTTTGGACACTAAAATGAAGATCCACCCAGATCCCATTAACCTATCAACATAGAAACTTCAACATATATAAAATACACCCATTCTGAATCTACCCCAGGTGTTTCTATGTCAATAGACCGACAGCGCAGCGTGCTATTCACGATTCATGAGTGCAGCGTGACAGTCAGGCTAAATCAGGAAATCACACTGTCGGCTTGGTTGAGTCTCCGCTTTGTTGCATTTGGCAGAATCGGTGGCGTTGTCAAACGGTGTGGCTTTGAGCGCTGTCGGACTTTAGATACTCTTGTGTATTGGCGTGTATTGGCCGTGGTGCCGCGCGTGACATAGCGTGACGAAATTGTGCATTTCTATTGTGTTTTCGACATCTCAACTTCCGCTGCTGCCGCTGCAACAAGCTCGCAACAAAATAAAAAAATTCTTGTTGGGCCTAATGCGCAGAGACCTAAGGTATACACTACAGTAGATCCGATACGAATATGTGTTGTTTTTGTGTTGCTATTCAGCAATGAGTGTAAATTGTGCATTTCCCGTCGAATGATAGTATGTCATATGCACGAAAGGTCCAGGCACCTGTATGCAAATGCGCCCCTGAAAAAATTCCTTTTTATAACAACTTGGGTTGAATTCAGGCCTCTTCCTTTGGTTTGGTTGCATTTAGTATGTAAGCCATGTCTTGTCGCTCTCTCCCCCGTCCTCCTTGCTGTCTCTGTCCTTCCCTGTTGCAAGTCATCTCCTGTGGTTGTCGCTTGTTTGCTCATTATTTGCTCAGATCTCTCACAATCACGTCGCCGTTTTTGCGCAAGAGTCCTTGCACAATGCACCCGCGCACACGTGCTTAATCTTGGCAGCTTGATGACTGTGGGCCACCCCATGATGTTGCACACGAAATACCCTCATACTCAGTTTTTTATGATCCCTTGTATTACCCAATGTATCATTGCGATGTTCTTGCCATGCATAACAATCACTTTCTGTGCATGATAACAGCGGACCCTTGTAATTCATGCCTTGAGCTGCCAAATCTACCTTCCGCCGACATTAATATTGCTGGCGGTGAATTGCAAAAGGATTTACAAGCCTTCCTCGATTTCGTTCGCGGGGAATGTTTGTCCATTGCGGCGCAGGATCATTACTCTATTTCTCAACACTGACTGCATACTACGCCTCCATTGCAAAATAAGTTACAAAACATTCCTCCGAATCTCGCTTGTGGGGAATATTTGTCAATCGTGGTACATTATTTCTCGCATTAACGGTAAGTACAGTACTAGTGTCAGGTCATCGGTTCGAGGGTCCTTGGTTGTATGGTTATGTTATTCTAGCACCTGCCTTGAACGCAGCGCGGCTCATATACCCCTTTGTCCGACATTTCAGCTCCAACGAGCCTCTCTGCAGTGGCTATTTACTCTGGCGATATACTCGAGCCGAAGGCAATGAGACCTTGTCAACAGTGGAAGCGGATTTCATGAATATTGTGGGCTGAAGGCCGCAGCCTGTAGAACAAGCCACGGTGATCAGGACATCGCTTTACTCTGGTACTCTCTAGGTACTATCATGAACGGAGCCGATGATCAATCATTCCTTTTACGAAATTCTCGGCAGTGACTACTACGCTCTGACTCGTAGCGGCACTTACGGAGAGTCGTACAATGGCGTAATAGGACCTTTCGAGACTCAGATCGAAGGATGAATTATCTTATCAATCTAATAATACACCCATGGTAAAAAAGAGTTACATCTTTTTCCTTGCATTAAACGTGTCAGATGAATGCACAAACCCATTTAGGCAACTTTCTCAGATCAGAGGGTGTCACAGGCCCAGTACTAGTCACTGCCGAGAAACCTCGTCCTATAGACAAACATTCCTCGCGAGCGAACGCGAGGAATGATGATGGCTCCTTTTGGATGGGAGTGCCAGAGTGGATCAGACTTGTATTAACTCTGTATGGTTGGCCAATATTGAATTACCTAACACGATTCAGGGGCGTGTATGATGCTCGGGACAGCAGAATGCTAAGCCTGCCTGAGAACACATAAATGATGTTACGACGTCAGGACTGAAGCCCAACTCACTCTCGCCTTTTCCTACTACTTATCTTCCAAACAACGAATTCAACCATGTCGATGCACGGTCGTGTGATAAACGTCAAGTATGACGAGCCTTTGACGTACGACGACGGCGGTGACGAGGTCAGTGGGTAGCTAGGGATGAAGTTCCGGCCCTGGCGCTGACGAGTGATATCAATAGTGGACCGGGAAGTATAAATGGGACGAAGCGACAAAAACGTATCTGGTGGTGATCAAGTTCCCTGGCGAGGACGCTTACTTGGGATGGGACGTAAGTCTCTGCGAGAAGCGGTTCCGATGCGAATCTCACCTCTTTGCACAAATTTGCAGGAGAACATGGAGATCGTCTCGACCGACAGTGAGTACTGGTGGAACCTGTTCATAACACAAGGCAAATTAGCGTGCGTATCAGGGTGTTAATCAAACCTATTTGCTGATGTAGACATGAGTGATGTAGGTTCCGGGTCCCCAACAAGTCCGGGTCCAGTGAGGGTTTCTACACCTTGCACACGGAAGCTGATCTTTCGGTGATACTATTCACTGATTGTTGTACCTGAATACTGTCACTGCTGACACTTGTTATGCACTTGCAGATGATCCTCAAGTACCACGTGGGGGACCCCACTGATGCGCAGCTGTGGACGTTGTCAGATCCTGTCAATGAATGAAGGAATGAATACTTAAGTTGAAACCGAGAATTTGCTTAGCTGTGTCGAGTATATTAGTGGAATGAAACCTTCCATTGTTGCCGAGATTACTGTTTTGTACGATTTATCTGCACGCCAAAGACTCAGGCTATACTACCTCCCTTACAAAAGTCCAACGTTGAGTGTAAGTGCACGTATGGCAAATGAGTCTACCGGGCTGTGAGGCCTAGGGGCGGGCCATCCTGCTGGTCTAAAAGTCAGTGATTATTATATAGTGGAGGATGAGCGCACAGTAGATTTTTTACAGTATATAACGTTAACCTGAGGTTTCCGAGGTCTTATCACGGGCCGCATGCTGCTGCCAGTGGTACTACCTTGAAGCACTTACATAACTGTAATACCCCCAAGTTGGAACAGGTAACACATCACCGCCCGCGAGCGAACACGAGGGGTGTCAGTGATCATCGGCTCCTTTCGCAATGGAGGTGCCAGCATTGAATTACTTAACACGATTCAGGGGCCCGTATGGTGCTCGGGACCGCAGAATGCTAAACCTGCCTGAGAACACATAAATGATGCTACGACGTCAGGACTGAAGCCCAACTCACTCTCGCCTTTTCCTACTACTTATCTTCCAAACAACGAATTCAACCATGTCGATGCACGGCCGTGTGATAAACTTCAAGTATAACCAGGCTTTAACAGACGACGACAGCGGTGAGGAGGTCAGTAGGTAGCTAGGGATGAAGTTCCAGCCCTGGCTGACGAGCGACATCAATAGTGGACTGGGAAGTATAAATGGGACGAAGCGACAAAAACGTATCTGGTGACTATCAAGAATGATGACTATGGCACTTACTTGGGATGGGACGCAAGTCTCTGCGAGAAGCTGTTCCGATGCGAATCTCACCTCTTTGCACACATTTGCAGGACGACATGAAAGCCAGCATGACCAACAAAGTGTACTGGTGGAACTTGTTCACCACACAAGGCAAAATGGCGTGCGTATCAGGGCGTTAATCAAACCTATCTGCTGATGTAGACACGAGTAATGTAGATTCCGGGTCCCCAACAAGTCCGGGTCCACTGAGGGGTTCTACACCTTGCACATGGAAGCTAATCTTTCGGTGACATAGTTCATTGACTGTTGTACCATACTGTTGCTGACACTTGCTATGCACTTGCAGATCATCGTCAAGTACCAAGTGGGGAGCCCCACTGATGCGCAGCTGTGGACGTTGGCAGACAATGAATGAATATTCAAGTTGAAGCTGAGGATTTTGCTTAGCTGTGTGACATGTCCATTGTCGAGTATATTAGTGGAATGCAACTTTCAATTGTTGCCGAGATTGCTGTTTTGTACAAGCGATGGTTTGTCTGCACGCCACCGTGACTGGGAGGAGACGCTACCTTCCCTGCCAAGGCCATATCACAGGTTAATTTCTGACGCGCGCTGTTTCAAGAGATGTTGAGGCTGCCATTCGATTGGTCTCGAGCCAAGATTATCAAGAGTTCCCTACCGAAATTGAGTGATAGACCATGAATATTATGAATGTTCTGATGAAGGACGAGATACCAGGTGTTACGATACCTGGGAGTATCTCCCGTATATTCCATGGCACCATGACAGATTATGATGAGGTGTAGTCCAAGCCAGTCCACCCTAAATTCGACAACAAGTCCAGATAACTGCACATGTAGGTATACAAAATCTAGTCTACCATGAAATAGATGAGTAGCGGGAGTATGTAGGTACACTATCCTACTTACAAACGATTCGAGCTCTACCGCACGCCCCCAACGCGCGCCCAGAACATGTCTTCTTTCAAACGTACGATTTCTTTCCACGTACGATCCTCCCATGTCGCGTCACCGGCATAACCTTCCTCGTCGGTAGTAGAAGAGCGCTTTGTACTACTTGTGTCGATAGATTTCCCATGTGTGCTGGAATCCTCAGATGCACGCCTGGTTTGGCTAGCTTCGGAGGATGGGTTGACAACAACGGCTTGCGTGGTGGGGGGAGAAACATCTGCGGACGCTCGCTTTTCGGGATACGGATGTCTGTTCATATTCGCATCAGGTAAGGGGTTGGAGGTTTCGGTGATGTCATGCTTGGTTGTGGAGGGCTCTACAGCGTCCTCGCCCGCCACAGCTTTCTGTTCACGGGGAGAAGACGCTTTGTGTTCTTCTTCCTTCTCAGAAGCAGGCGCATCAATTTTCGATGGGACCTCATCTTTGCTAACTTCAGCCGAAGGCATTGGAATTCCTTCCTTTGCTTCGACCTGTGAAGCAGTGGGAGGTATAGGAACTGCCCTTCGTGCGGGAGCTCGCCTGGGGACGGGCGGAGCACTATTTGGTACAGGTGAAGTGGCCCTAGAGGATGAGAACGGAGAGCCCGTGCGTGGGGGAGCTGGTGAGCCGGCTCTCGATCGACTCAGAGCAATAGGTGTACTGGCACGATGAGGTATCGGCGAAGAGACGCGTGAAGGCAAGGGAGCTGGAGAGGCCACACGAGAACGTGGGCGCGGAGGTGGCGATACGGCACGGAACACAGGTGACGTAGGTGTCTCTGGCAGGGGGATGGTGTGTGGGGAGGGTGGGCGTTCTGGCTGTAAAGCCGGGGCCTGGGGCTGTGTTATTGTTTGCGGAGAAGACAGATCCGCGGAAAATGGGCGAGCAAAGGACATTTCATCAACGGGAGTGGTGAATGATTCCTGAGAACCGGACGTCCCAGGTTCAGAACCAGCGTTTCTGTCAGTATCATTTGAAACGGCAGCGGGTGTGTCGATTGAATGGCCACGCCCTTCACTCCTTCTGGGCAGGGGAGGAGGTGATTGAGCAGGTGGATGGGGAACAGAAGGGTGGGCAGGTGGTGGCGGCGGCGGCGGAGGTTTCCTCGCAAGTTTCTTATCCTTTTCCTCGTCCTTCTCCTTCTCCTTGTCTTTTTCCTTCTCCTTCTCCTTATCTTTTTCTTTTTCTTTCTCCTTCTCCTTGGAATTTTCAGTCCAGCTAACAGCCCTCTCCCCAAGCGCGCTCGCCATCTCCCAAAGCCGCCTGCGCCGGGGAGGTACAGGAGGCTTCTCACTAGCAGGGATCGCAGATTCGCTCGCAACCGGAGAAGAGTTCTTTTTACTTGACTCTTGGGTATTTTCTGTCCCATTCGCAACCGAAATCACAGGCTTCTTATCGGGTATAACAGGCTCCTCCTCCCATATACGCTCGATGACGCATGTGCGGACGAAAGCCCACAGGGAACACGTACTTCGGAGGCGCAGGAGACAGTAATTGGATGTGCACAACGGATAGGGTTGTTGTGTTTGAGCAGAGTTTGTACGGGTTGCCCCCATGGGGTTCGCTGACGGCCTGGATATGGGCAGCGTCGAGGTGGAAGGCGTCGAGGTGTGAAGTGGTAAAGAGACAGGCGCGATAGCTGGGGCAGGGGTGGCAGGTGCCAGACGGAATACGTATACTTGCTCGGGCTGCTCGATATCTGCGTCATGTCCCACATGACTTGATGAGGAGTTGGAAAGTGCATTCTTGAACCAAAGGTTGCCATTCGTGAGGCGGCTATTGTTGCGGCTGCGCGTGAAGGACGCAAGCGGAGAGATTGGGGGTATTTCGTGCGATTGGGCACGTACGATTGCAGCACCGCAAAGGGCACATGAAATGGAAACGGGTGTGTTCGTTGGGGAATGGGGGTACAGCTCCTGTACAAGCGATGAAAATGGCACCGGCTCAACAATGAGCATCCCCGTGTGGATCGCTGCTAGAACGGACCGCCGGGAGAGCCAGTTTAATGAAGGAGCCAGGTCTAGCCGGACGGTCGGTTCTCTAAATCAGGATGAACAGATGCATCGGAGAACAGGACGCGTAGGTCACTTACGAATCCTCCGTGAGCAACCGTGCAAGGAAGGGTAGACCAAGAAGTGTGGAGATAACAGGTGAAGTAACCTGTGAGACCCGTAGGCCCCGAAGGTGCGTCACAAACGCAATGAACTCTGCGTAAGGGACATGCACTGTCACCAAGCGCATTTTCCGTACATCTCCCGGATACTGATGAACCGCGTCCCGCTCAACCCACTTGCCCTTGGTCATACTGAGTCGCGCCTCCTCCGCCTGACGTTCAGCATCCTCTTTATCAGCCTGCAGAGCCTGCATCTGGGTCTGCATCACTTTGACAGCTTCCTCAGCTCCCTTTAGCGCCTCCTCCGCCTCGCGCCCCTTGCGTTCGCTGTTGGCCCGCGCCAATCGCGCTTCTGCGACCATCGTGTTCGCCTGGTGAAATAGCGATGCACTAAGATCATCGAGTTCCTTCTCAATATCACTCCTAGCCGTCTCTGCTTGCCCACGCTGGGCAGCTTCTTCCGTCGCACGTTCCATAAGCCTGTTCAACTCAGCAGTGACATGCTCTTTCTCGACGAGCAGCCCTGTATCGAGCGCAGCGAGATGGTGGGTGCGCTCGAGCTCAAGCGATGAGACTGCGACAGTCGCATTTCGCAGAGAGCTCTCAGAATCGTGTAGCTGATCTTCGAGGTCGGAGACGCGGTCGTAGGACTTGACGAGCTTGCTGTTGAGCTGGGTGACTTGCGAGAAGAGATCGGTGACTTGGGAACGGAGGGATACGATTATTTGGGCTTGGGCATCTGAGGCATCTTGGTCTTTTTGGTGTTCTTGGTCGATGGGCTCGGCATTGATGACTGTTTCGTGCGTTGGCTCTGTCGATGCCATTGACGATATGCTCAAGACGTGGCGGCGATCGTCAAACTTGACCAAACAAGAATTTTGCTGGTGTCGCCTAGGAACACGATCAAGTACTACATACTAAGGGTTAAACTTGCTTTCATAGGAGCCGCTAGCTAAGACTTCACATCAGCAAACACAATGAAAGCCCCTGAATTCATTAACCAAATCACTACCAAAACACGACAGCAAGTAAAACAAACGAGTACGAGGGTGGTTTTCATATTATATTACGTCCACCACGCACGTCTACATGGACAAAAGCAAATGAAATAAGCTTAGGACAACAAGTATACCACGCAGATGAGCACCCCTCACCCCTCCGAACCACCATGCACATATGTTCTTACTGTTTGGGGGGTGGAGGGCCGCCACGACCCCGAGGTCCACCACGGCCCCGGAACGAACCCCTGGACTCGCCGTTAGGCGCGCCACCCCGTGGCCGACTGACAGGCCGGTCGCCACGCTCCTTCCTGGTCTCAACGATGATCCGGACACTGCCCTCGGGACTATCGAAGCGCAATCCACCCTCGCCACCAGAGTTGGTGGGAAGCGAGGCAATGATTGCTTTCTTAGCAGCATCAAGGCTGTTGAACTCGAGGAAGGCACAAGCTTTGCTGCGCACGATCTCGACATCCTTGACAGTACCAAAGCGGGCCAAAAGGGTTATCAGTTGCTGTTGCGACACGACCTCAGTGACACCCTAATGACAAAATGTTTTGGTGAGCGACATGTATGAATGGTTAGGGGGAGGCATACCTTGACGAAGCACTGGGAGGTTGTGAGTGCATTGGCAGAAGCGATGAGCGAGTGAGGGTGCGAATGTGAGTGCTCTCTCCGTGGAGTAGGAGAAGGGGCACTGCCAACCGGTGGTGCTGGAGATGCTGCAGAAGCAGGGACCTCGGACATCCCTTTTGACTCAGTAGCTACCTGTGCGCCCCAGCGCTTAGAGTCGGCGGCAGCAAGGCTGGCCCACGTTTTTGGTACTGCAGGTTTTGGCGCAGGGGCTGGTGGCTGAGGAGCGGGTGCCTGTTCAGGAGCTAGTGGTGGGGGTAACCAGAGCGGGAGGTGCAGGCACTGGTGGCGGCGCAACAAGCGGTGGAGGAGCAGGCGCTTGTGGCGGCGCAATCAGAGCGGGGGGTTCAGGCTCTGGCTCAGCTTCAGGAATGGATGGCTCAGGAGTGGGCTCCCGTTTGATCTCAGGCTCGTGATGGATACCGTTGACCTCAACTGGAGCACGTTCGGGCTCAGGGGGTGGGGAGATGGGTTCAGGTACCATAGTGGTTGGCTCTTCGACTTCGGGTTCAGGAGCAGGGGGCGGGGGAGTTGGCTCGCGAGCTGATTCAGGTGCAGGTTCAGAAGGTGCAGTAGAGGAAGCCTCAGGTTCGCTGGCATCATCTTCGACGGTCTCCTCCTTCAGGAAGCGGAAGATGTCATTGAGGACGAAATAACCGTTTGGCTGCTCTGCAAGGAAGAAGGTCTGCACGAACTTGCGCCAAGGGTCACCATGATTTGACATTTCACCGATGACCTGAATGATGATACCACCATTGGCACTAGACTGGGCGTCGACTGAGTGGATGTAGACCTTGCAGTCATCGAAGCCAAGAGAGGTAATCTTATTATGGATTTCCTACGCGACTTGTAAGATTTTAAGAGGATGAATAGAGAGAATTAGTACACACCTGCTGGCCAAAACATGCCTTGACATCCTCGCCCTCTGTACCATGGATGAAGGTTGAGGTTTTTGTGTAGAAGCAATGCAAACGATTGGGCTGCTTGTTAACAAAAGTGTAATACTGAGGAACAAATTGCCATCCGACTTCAGAAGGAACGACGTTCTGATGAATCTGAGAAGGAGATGAAGTAGCGGATGAGCTGGTCATTATGAGGGAATGATGCTAAAACTTTTTTTTATAAATAAAAGGACTGAAAATCAATGATTTTGATACTGACCTGAAGGGAATCAAAAGTGCGTGATGATGAGGAGTCTAAAGATTACAACGAACAGACGCAAGCCACGTTAAATCACTGGCGGGAGATGCGAGAGACAGCGTAGAACACAAAAACCACAACAGTTCAATTTTACACCGGTATTTGCCGATTGCTGACAAATCACGTGGCGTTCCGTTCCCGCACATTGTCAGTTTCAGATTGCGGGGCACTGTGAAATATTTCAGCCCGGCTAATATTCAGAGTGAATGACCTGACCCGGTGGGTCACGCTTCTAGATGCTTTTCTATTACTAGGCATTTCGCATCAACAACTCGAGATTTAGCGTTGATCGAGCAATACACGGTGCAGCCTAATCGACGGTAAATTTGGAATTGAACGCAATGAGCATCATGTGAGCCTTGCGGTGGGTAGCGAATATTATTGCCAAGCAGAGCTTGGAGCCAAGTGGAGAACAGGTCTGACAAATAGATTCACTTGTCCCAGTGGGGCAACCGCTCCAGGGGTCTTATCCACTTCGATATAGGTTGGTCGAATCCATCACCTACTTAGCGCAGCAACGATGCAAGCCAGTATTTCTCCAACGCTTCCTCTCCTGCTGTTCTTCATATTTTCTTTCTGTTTGTCCAATAATGGCGTGCACGCCTTCGGAGCAGGCAACATTCCTTCGTAAAGCAAAGTTCATTCCCTTTCTTCTTTCATTGACGATTTGGCAGATATGCATTTGTCGAAGGCAAGGCATTTAGGCACGGGGATATCGTAGGCGATCTCCAACTTGATCGAGTTCTGGCGTACTGATCATCGCGCTGTCTAGGAGGATACACTTGCAGATCTCATAAAGAAGGGGGTTGGTGGATTCGCGCTCTCCAGTCTCATCGGAAAGGGTCCAAAGTTTGGTGGCCTCGACATTAAGCGCGTATACTTTGGGTGCATATTTGCAGATGCCAACTTGTATTTCTTCGTGATCTAACCCATCAGCATATAGCAATTGGTTGAGAGATTACAGTCAGGTAATTCAACTCTTCTAATGTTTGAAAGTGCGGCAAGTTCATGACGTTTGATAGGCTGTTGACATCAGTACACTGAAGAAAGTGAACTTGCAAGTATGTTGTGACAACTGCCCACCGATGTTCATAACATCATTCTACGAATCTCCAGACGATCCTGAATTTAGTTATGGTGCTCGGGTTTATGGTATGTGCGATTGCCGCCCCTAAAACTTGCTCTCACTCTATTTTAGGCCAACGGGTATGCTACTGGCGAATTTGAAGTCACGCCAGAGAGACTCGGTGCCTATTTGCCAGTATGTGCCCCCTGGCATATCTACCACACGACGTATTAACGCGCACCACACACAGACAGAACATATTGATAACCCGAAAGGTTATGGAGAGGGAGAAGACCCTCGGCAGTACGACCCCAGACTACGCGGCCCTGTCCACGTACATATTATTTTTTTACCTATCACTTACCCTACTCACCTGTATCATTCTTGCCAGCCTGATGAACTCGCCATCGATCCGCAGACGGGAATGAAAAACTATATCGCAAATGGTTCGTCTCTTCACCAGGATTTCCTTTTGACTTCGAGTGGCTCACAGATGTGATAGAAAATGGTCATTGGGATACATCCAAGGCCCTCGTGCGCAGAGTACTCCAGCAGTGCATTTACCTCGGCAGGAAATACAAGAGTTCTGGAGATAACGCGGATCAATACGAGGCGTTTAGGCTCCTTGGACAAGCTGTAAGTTGAACATTCATCTAAAAATCTCTACCTGTGACGCATATATGCACCGAATATGTGGGATTACTGTGCAATATACATTGCGGCATACAGTCCTGCCCGTCGCTCATCATCGTTGGTGTCTTCCGTTTTGCTATGAACAACTCACATTGGTTTCATTGCAATACTAATTAATCTCATCGAATAGCTTCACACCCTTGAAGACTTCTCTGCACACTCCAATTTCTGCGAGCTTGCTCTTGTTTCCATGGGACATACCAATGTATTCGTGCATGTTGGTGATGCTGTACGAGTGCGCGCACACAATGGAAAAATGGTCGCGCCAATCGTTACAGGTGAGTATTTTCACGCTATGGCATCGTTAAGAAATAACCCCGCTCACTGGGCTGCTATCTAGGGACCTTCGGATCGAGTGACTTTATTTACAGCTTGCTTGGAGGTAAGCACAGATGATCTTTCATCGTAATAGCAATTAATTGAACTCGCATTCGTGCAGAGGCTACCGATCACATCGTGAGATACATGACTTTGGTATATTAACACATCAAAACTTCTCACTTTCGTTCTCTAGAGTGAGGCTTCCGTCACGGAGCTTAATAAAGAATTTGATCGTGCACGCTCCAAGCCTAATTCATCGAGTGACATGCTCCGCGATGCTTTCCTCAAACTCCCTGGTGGAAGCGGCGATAAGATGGGTCGCGACATGGAAGGCATCCAGCGCATGCGCGCTGGGATAGAACGTGGTAATAAGCGCCCTGGGGATATGAGCCCACAAGAACTGCATAGCGTGTTGTGGCAGGTGTTGAGCTTCAGAGATTCCGGTACGCCCTTGATTTGACGCTCCTCACACGGTATCTCACTCTTTCAAAGTTATGAAAAGTATATCGGGGACGTTAGGTGAATTTCGTTTTTTATGACAAGTTCCCCTGGTGCTGATGGATGCTACAGAGAAGATCCCTGGGCTCAACTCGGTTATCGAGAAAATTCAGGATTCAATTTCTGGTCGGTTCATCATCGATTCGTTGATGGATAGGCTGTACTGATGGCTTCTCAACAGTGTTCGTTTTCACTACTTTGGAGGTAAGGAATTCACCGAAAATGTGTCCTCTCCGCTGCAGTCGCTGATTACCCGGAATGTAGCCCTTTTTGAGGCCGATAATGCAGACCGCGACGGCCGGACTATCATCGGCCTCATCAGAGGTGATCGATAACCATGATCAATATGAGGTGAGTCAGAGTGTTTGATTCGCGAATACTTCCGTATCCCTCCGTGTTTCGATCTCGAGTGGCCCCGTTTTTGGCCTCGAAGCTCGGCTGTTGTCGCATTATTCTTAACCTTCATTCGGAATATCGCTTATCGATCTCTCCCTTCTTTCTGATTTTGATGTCAACATCAGCTGACGTTTCTTCCTCTGACAGGTGTTCAACGATCCGTATGCTGTGAGTTCGAACAACATCGACACGTGCCGCAATAATCTCTTATCACCCCTTTACCCCACAGAGCGACCCCACACATTCTTTCCTTAGCAAAGATCACTTCGTACGTAAACCCCGTTCATCCTCATCTCGAGGAGCTACGCAATATTACTTATTCACCAAATGTAATGCTTCTAGAATTTGATCCTAAATGAACCTGCCGGTAATATCGCAAAACTCATTCTTGTGAGTTACTTTCCCAACATGAAACAGAGCTGTGTTCAGTATTGTTTGCGGATAGAAACATACCGTCAATTTGGTTACGAAGGCCTGGGATGACAGTTCATTGAACGTGAATCAGGTCACAGATGAGGCTTTGCAGTGCCTGTATGTCCCTTTCCTTTCATATTCTTGGCACAGATCGATCATATCCGCAGCTTCCATCCCGACTTCCAACAGTCTTCTTCCGTAATCCAGCGTGATATGTTGGAATACATGAGATCGTGGGTTCAGAATCTCGGGCATAATCAGCACGCCATACTTGCACGTCTTACGAAGGAATCAGTGAGAGCGCAGGACAACACTCGGTTAGCTGCCGATGGGAGTGCTCCCGCTTCTCATGCGCAGGCGCAGCAGGGCATTCAGGGTCTCGTGCATGGAATTCCCGGTGCTACGCAGATGCAGGGTCTGATGAACATGGTGGGTGGATCTGCAGGGACGGGACGAGAGGGCGGCCAATCCAGTGGGCAGCCGGGTTCTTACTACTCAAGGCCAGAGACAATCGCCTCGTATGGGACTGTGCAAAGCACCAGCTCGAGCTACGCGCCTCCTTCGGCCCCGCTAGCACCGTCAGCGGCGTATGCCCCTAGTTCGTATGCACAGCATTCACAGAGCGGGTCATCATTCCATCCGCCTCCTGCCCAGAGCCAGTACGCACCGTCCTACGTGCAGCCGTCCCCTCCCACGTCGTCGTTTGTCAGCGCGAACAGCGCATACATGCAGAACGTGCAGGGTGCTCCTGGTGGGTACCCAATCGCTACTTCCGGCGGATATCCACCCCTGTCGCCAAATGTTCCATTTGCAGGCGGGTACCCGAGCGCTAGACCTACAAGCGGCTATCCGCCGCCAAGCACTTTTCCACCTGCAGGTGATTACTCTATGTCACACCGTTCGCGCATAGGCGATTACTCGCAACCATGCGGCCCACCTCCAGATGGGTTCGGTCCGGGTGGGTTCCCTGACGAACACCGTGGCACCCACGGTCATGAGTTCCCCGAAGCACCGGTGTATGGTGGCCGTCATGGACAACATGCGTTCGATGACGATTATCGGCGTGGGGATGGAGACCAACAACAGGCTTCCTTCCCGTCGCCAGGAGGCCACCCACCGCGAAATGATCCGTATGATAATAGGTGGTGAAATACTCGAAGGGGCGAGCAAATGAATGCATGTTGAATGGTGTTTCTTGTGTTGTATAACACACGGATTTGGTGTCTGAATCGCACAACATGCCGATTGTATCACTGTATATTGTAGATGAGTAAATTGAATGTGCCACCATAAATTTCTCGAGATAAGTTAAGGGGTATGTGAAAGTCGCAGTGTCTTTTGAGAAAACATGATGAAAGAGCGTGGAATGGAGATAAATGAGATGAATACAATACCAGACTGTGATTGCTAGAGTACAATGTATGTGATTATGGTGATGTTGCTATAGTAACAAAAATGCCTGCAGGAGAAAGGAGCGCAGAGGCAAGTATCATCAGACACTGCTTTTACAGTGACAATTCTTCGCGGTCCACGATTGTCATCAGCCCAGACACATTCTGTACTCGGTCCAAGGCAACTGGTTTTTGAGGATCTGAAAGGGACGATCGCGAAGCCGAGGCGTGATAGCGGACCTAGACAAATGGGATGATTCAGGATCTCAGAAATCCAAATCAGACAAAGAACCCATGACGAACCTGAACTTTAAAAGATCCATGTCGTCTGTCCCTGGGGACACGTATTGAACACTCCCAGCTGATTCAAAGCATAAGCAATAGAAACGCAGCAGAGCGCCACAAGCTCCACACACCGTTCGTCTACCAATACATTTGCACCTATGTTCTCTGCTCTCTCGAACAAGCTTGCTCTCGACCCCCTCAACAGCTTGGGAACATCCACTGCATCTCTACAAAAGAACAGGTCGTTCTGCACCAGCGGTATTTTGCGTTTTGACGTAGCACCCTCTCCTCGCAGTAAGGGGTGAGTCTGTGGCTCGCCGGAAGTGGAGTCAATGGATTCAGTCTTTGACGTGCTCCGTCGTAGTTTTACGAATGCATTGGTGACGGTCATCGTGACTCTGATGGGGGATGGCGGAGACGATAACATGTTGGGTATAATGGTATTATCAACATCGTACAGAGTTTTAGGTGTGCTATAAGTATACTGCCAGCTACGGCTAGCGTCGGAGTTTATATATGACTCCAAGGCAACCTCGGAAAAGTGCCTTTCTCTTTCACAATCCAGATAGCAAATTGTGTTTCACCCGAATCGAACAAAGATGTGAAACCCTCATTCTAGTCGCAACCGCCGAGTGCTACGAAGCCCTTACAACAACTACAGTGTCAAAGAATAGTTCATGATGATTGGGGAGTTTCTTTCAATCGGTATCTTCCTTGGGCGGCAATCACCCCTCGTGTTTGGGGCTGACAAGCGTGGCATTCACACCATAGGCCACAGCGTAAATGCCACGCTTGTCGCAGTCCCGATGAGTCAGGCCGAGACCTGCAACTGCATGGCCAATAGTCTCAAAATCAGTTAATACGCATCGTGCCATCATCATTAAAACCTTGTAGGTTGATGGTTCAAACATTCATCTGTCACCATGATCGAGCTTAGGCTAAAATGAAATCCAACACGTCCTTCGACACTTTTATGGAAATGATAAGACGTAGCTTCTCATGCGTAAGCGATGTCGCAGCTGCTCACGCACTGCCAGTGAGCGCTGCAAACCTACCAAGTACCGCCCATGATTGGCCCATGATAAGGAAAATACGTAGTAAATCCTCGTGCATCAAGGCATGTATCATGAACCGAAGCCGTTCCATTCCTCTGGTTCTTCATGTACTTTTTTGTGCACCAGCTTTCGCTTGGCGGCGGCAACTAAGTCGTCCCCGGCTTCCGATTTCTTGAGGCCCAACATGGTTTCATGAACTATACAACGCAGTAAGAAAAGGGGAAAGACTTTGATCCCAAGGACTTACCATCTCCCGATATAATGTCGTCAGCGATCGGTCGGCTTCCAGAGGTGATGTACCTCGTCGAGACACCTCGGCTAAGGAGCGGCTGGGACATGAGTTCTTTCAATTTGGCTTTCAAGAGCGCCATCTTTGCGTCATTGTTCTTTTTCCGGTGCTTTGATGGGTTGCTTTCATCATCGGATTCGCTAGACCGACTTGTCAGCATCATCATTTTTATTACAGCGGGATGATCGTTCACCTCAAAATATCAGAATCAAGCTCTATCTCCATCGCTTCCGCCGTTTCCTTCAACCAGTTTCGTTCATGATGCTGTTTCTTTATTTTGTGTTGCTGAGAATCGAATTGTCGAGCGAGCAAGATACGGTTCTTGAGCTTATCAAGAAGGGTGAGCTCTACTGTTATCTCAGGGATATCTGTGTCTTCTAATGGTGCGTGTGTTGAATGTACGACAAGTGAGAAAAATTGCCGTTACTTACTACGACCCAGGCTTGCTAACAGTGCCCTTACCACTCGACGCTCGTCGGGGGCACACATCAACAAGCTAAAACCTTTTTGCATCGCACGAGCAGTACGCCCGTTGCGGTGAACGAACACATCAGTAGAACGTGGTATCTGATAGTGAATGACATGGTCAACGGCAGGTATGTCAAGACCCCTGGCAGCAATATCCGTAGCCAGGAGAACAGCATTTGTGGTTGCTTTGAACCTGCGGCATTTGTATTAGCACGGGTGTATTCAATGTCTACGGTGGACATGAAAACTACCGATCAAGATTTTTGAGGCGCTGGCGTTGTTCCATTTGAGAATGGAGAGGAAAGGCCTTAAGGTTCAGGAGCTCCATCAATGGACTGAGGCGCCTGATACCATCAATAGACGATAAGAACACGAGGGAACGGCCAGGGTACCGTAACAGGAAGTAGTACAGGTATGCATCCTGTGGAGTATGAAACGCTATCCACGCACGTATGTTTGCGCACGCACCTTATCTGTGGAAAGGCACTCAATTTTGCTCTCCTTGAGTGTAGAAACCATGCCTCCCTCGGGGCTGATGTCGATGACAGCGGGATCTGGGTCACGAAAGTCAAGGCGCAGAAGAAGGTCGTCTGTCGGTCGTTTTGTTTAGCAACGATTGATAGCGCTCGGAAATGAGCATACCGAGTGTGCTAGCTGGTTTGGACGATTTTTTATAGCCCTTCTGGCGACAACTTCGTTTCAGGTTCTTCTGGAGATCCTTGCTGAGAGTAGCAGAGAACACGAAGGTTTGCAGTGCATCCACAGGGGTAACCTCAGTGTTCTCTGCACCTTGATGAGCATCGAGAGAATCCCCCGGGGCTTCAGGGGGTTCAATTTCATCTTCTCTGGAGTGGAACATGTCAACATCTCAATGACTACAAGAATATCACAACGCATACTGGGATTTTCGAATCGTGAGTCGCAGGATGTTGTCCATTTCAGCAAAATGTCCCGCTTCGACCATACGATCGGCTTCATCCAGTACTAAGAATTTCAGCTGGCTGATTTGTCTTGCTAGTCCCTCATCCTGGACGAGAATGTGTTTAATCTGACAAGGAAAATTGTAACGCATGTCACAAACCTCTTCTAGAATGTCCCACAGCCGACCTGGCGTCGCTACTAACACGTCAACACCCCTGTCGAGTATACGCCGCTGTTTTTGCGCCGACATTCCGCCGACTATGGCAGCAATGCTGACGAGGGGCGGAGTAATATTTTTGTGCTGTTTTTCCTTAGCCTCGGTGTTTCTAAGATTGACATCTTGTTCGGCCTTTGTTTCGATAACTCGTGCGAACACATTGAGGTGATCAGAGACCTGTAGGGCGAGTTCACGGGTGGGAGCTAAGATAAGCGCCTGGAGTTTCCGCTTAGTCCTTGGCGGGCGGGGATGTGATAAGATACGGTGGAGAATGGGAAGCCCATATGCAAGCGTCTTTCCTGATCCCTGGAAAGTATACCGTAAGAGTAGCGAAGACAGTGATGACAATTAAACGAACGGTTTCTGCCACTCCAACGATGTCCCGCCCATTCAAAGCTATCGGCAGTGACTTGGCTTGTATTGGGGTGGGTGTAACAAACCCGCGCGAATTAATAACCTGTAAAAGATGAGAATGCATACAAAAAGCATGCCAATTGGGCAGCAAAGACTCGGCTGAAGGGAATCGAAAGGTCAGAAAACCAGTAAGATCACTTGCATAATAGACAACGCACAGTCAAACGACACTGAAGGATTCAGTAGTTCCGAGCTGGCAGAAGATGACACGTCTGCCTCGGGCCCGGTGGCTTTTTGTTTTTGTTCAATGGTTCAAGGACCTAGAGTAGCGCTCATCAATGTCCATCTGATGCTCTGCGTCCTGCCGCTCACATTGAACTTCATGACTCTCCCTCCTTCTGTATCCTCGTACACCACTTCCACATTTTCCACTTCTTCCAGTTCCAGTATTCCATCGTCACCATCAAGGCCAGTCTCACTGGGTCGACGGACAGCCTTTCCAAGGCAATCCGTCCAAAGACGTTGGCTGCATTTTGAGTCGTTTTCTAGATGCTGAAGGGCCTGCCTTAGCCTTCCGTTTCACAAAAGCAGGTTTTGATTTGGAGTCTCCAGACATCTAACTGCTTTGCACGTATTACGTGTACGCGGCGTATGTTCTGCTCGAAAATTGCTAGAAAACATTGGATATCGGCAAACTATCATAGGACGTACGTTGTTTGGCAAAAGCTTTAGAAATAAACAACCGCTTTCAGCCGGTCAGCCTAATCAGTTATCATTGTGGGTCCCTTTCCTTTTTACCAAAACTTTCGAAGCACTTCTGAGTTGCACGACAGGTATGACGATAATTAGGTTTCGCGCATATCTCAAAAATATCTGCAGTTAGTTTATAATCTACAAACGAGTCGGCAGAACAGTCGGAAGTGTTACTATTGTTACTCGCTTCGTTGCATTGGGTGTGTGGTGTGTATGTCGCGTTTTCCCTGCCGAAGCTGAATGTTCACCTCTGACATAGCGCATTTATCGGTGTGATGGGTACGCTGCGTGATTTGCCCGTAGAATTGTGGCGTCCGATACTAGCATCGCTCGTCCAATCGCCTGGGGTTCTCTCGTCCGACCGACAAGATCCATTCTCGGAAGTTCGGGACATTGTCATATTCTTGAACCGCGATGTGAAGACTCACTCAGCACTCCTTTTGGTTTGCAAAGTGTGGCATAACGTTGTCACAGAGCTTACCCATGAGCACCTTCACTTGACATCGGCAGAGCAAGTAGTTGTCATCGCCAACCGCTTGGAAGAAAGTCGCAGGCATTCGCTAACAAACCCTTTGGGAGCGTGCACTCGACGGATTGACTTGCAACTGTCGAACCCGTCCGATCAATGCTTAAACGCACTTGTGCGAATCCTGCGGTGTACGCCAAACATTGAAGTTCTAATCAATAGCAACTACTACATGGCGATGAATCCAACTTTCACTTTCCATATCACACCACCTCAGGCTCAGACGCGAACGGAAATTATAGATGCCCTCATAGAAACATGCTCAAGATCACTACGACGAATGGAGTGGACGTCTAACGAATATCCCTCTTGGAGTGACCTGATGCGCGTGCTTCGAACGGCTACTGGCATAACAAGCCTGACGCTCGCGAATATATATGGCAACCTCACAGAGAGACCATCCGCATCACCTTACTTTACCCAACTTAAAAACGCTTGTTCTCGGAGATAGTCCTTCGTTCTCGCACGCGTCGCTGGGCAATGTTCCCTTGAATGCCTTCCTTACGATGCTCTCCAAGTCTCCGGAGCAACTTCCGTCTTTGCAAAGGCTGGAGGGGTTTTCCCCCTTCAGTCCAGACTTCCTGCGAACCCACGGATCAAAAGTGCGCATTGTCCGCACCGTCGCATTCACGCCATTACTACATGAAATCATCGCAACTTGTCCGAACTTGGACACTTTTGTCACTATCTTTCCTCATCACATTCTGGATCTGCTATCGCATCCTTCACTGAAGCGGATTGGCATTTTCCCCATCAGTGAGGATCCTGTTGGCGTCCCTCAAGCGATATTCAGCGCGTATATCATGAAGCCGCTCGAAGATCTCTTGTGTCAGATCGATGAGTCCCAACTTCCGAAACTGACCCAGGTCCGGATTCGTAACGTTGGGACTCTAGCGAATATTACGGAACACCCCTTGTTTCTTCAGAGGTGGTGGAAACGCTGGGATTCAAGGGGTGTACGTTTTGACGACAAGGATGGACAACCGTTTCGCTCTAGTATCTTCAGGTACAGGACTACACATTCCGTCGTTGCATTACACTCAAAATCCCTACAGGGAACCACAGCGTACTCAATAACGTGCGTCGACCATGATGCATATCCTAATCTAGAGCCTCGAAGTGTTTGAACCAACTTTCCCGCATTAAGTTGGCATATTTCTTTCATTGGCATGATACCACAGCCATTATATCTTGATTTGCTGTACATATATAATTTGGTGACATTTGTCGTGGAACATTTTAGGGTACAGATAATATGGCGTTTTCACTCTCGTTCGACATCAGGAGACAGGAATGAGCGTGTGGCTAGTTGGTAGTAGTTGTGAAAAGAGTCCATCAATGTCCAAGAATCTAAAGGAATGTGAAACGATAGGTGAGTCCAGAAACTCGAGTACCAGACTACTATGAGTGTTTCCCGTCCTGAAAAGAGTGTGGGGCAGACTAGCTGCGACAAGGGATACTCTGAATGTCCAAGAAAAGAATCTAAAGGAGTGTGAAGAGACAGGTCCCGATGACCAAATCTACGAGTGTTTTCGGTCTTCAAGAGAGTGTGGGGAGCTGACCGGCTGTGACAGTGGATATTCAGTGATAATTAGTAATGAGCTGTATGCGACGCTTACCAGCAGCGCTGAAACATTGCTTTGGGAATCAGTTGCTTCGAGGAAAGAGATTGACGACCCTGGTCCGTTTAACTTCACGACCGGAGTTCTGAAAGTACCGCGTAGTGTCGAACGACCAATGCAAACTTCCGACAATCCAGTCTGCAAGACCGCCAACGTAGATTGCCACGTCCTTGTCAATCTTGGGACCCCAGGAAGGAATAAGCTCGCGATTCTCATTGAAGCGGTCGATAGACTGCTTGCAGAGCTCGCCAACGAAGTCGACGGCACACTGGAGGTCGAGGCACTCCTCGTGCATGACAACAGATATCATATTATGGGTATCTCCTTTGGACTGTTCCACGTTATAGGAGAAGATGTCCTAAACTGGGAGTTAGCGCGAGAAAAGCAATAGGCTGAAATGCTTGCATTTGACCAAGTGACTAGGTCGTTGGCGGCCTCGCCGAGACTCTGGATGATCGGGTGCTCCATGACTTCGTCGGGTATGTCGAGATTGTTAGCGTATTCGATAAGTGCCCAGCAGGGCTTGCATCCGCTGGTATCGCGACGTAGGGAGATATAGGACTCGAGGTCAGGAATGACGCCTTTAGCCCGGTCGATGGCTTGCACGTGCACAGCTTGGAAGAAGAAGTTCATTGTCTCTATAAAGCGTCTGCTCGTTCCACGCGAGGCGGTAGGAAGCATACGTTTGTAGAAGCTGTAGTACACTTAATTAGCCTGCTCGTGGTCAAGAAATGAATTCATACTCCTTGGTCATTCTATTCAATCGGGCGGACGAATAGTAGTCGTACGGGTGATGAAGTGAGTTCAGCACAACATTTGCAATGCTTTTGGTCCCAGCCTTGTCCATGTCAAGTCTGAGAGGTTGTCGAGGTGGAAGAGATAGTTCATGAAGTCGCAGCAGACACGAAGCTGAGGGAATCCCGCGTCTGGGTAGCACATAGATGTGAGTTGACCAGCCTTGAGTCCGTGAATCGCCTTGCGCGACCTCTGGCTGAGGTTGTCTCCACGAAAAAGCCACCGCTTTGATTCAGCAGTAGCCTGTTTGTGGTGGCGGTTCATGCGTAGCTTGAAATCGCAGTGGGGAAACGAGGTCAGGGAGGATGAACTTGGTGGGGAGAGCGGCGACGATCGACATCTTGAGTGAATGAAGGTTTCTAAGGAAAACAAAGCTAAAGGAGCGACGAGAACGTTCTATGAGAGCAAGATCAGGAGGAACGGGAGTGAGATGAGGTCCGTGGTAGGCTGTGGGTTTTGATGCTGAGTAGGAACCCAGTTAGATTTGAAATCAGACCCGTGGACTGAATGAAATAAGCTTTTGTTTGCTGGTTTGAGAACATTAGACTTGTCCTAGCATAGAACGAGCATCATAGCGTTATATCTGGCGCATCATGAATCGAGGCAGTCACACTACGACATAGGGGGAAGGGAAATGACGCTGAGCGTGCAGTAGGATTGCTAATCGAGAACAGTCGCAGAACTTCACGTCAGGTGCACCGCAGCACTGATATGGGCGCCCTAGAGGGCTTGAAGTGCTCGAATATGGAAATTTTGCAGCCCTTACTCTTTCAGCTAGATGATACAAGCTGTGAACTGTTGGAAACCCCTTTACAAGAGGCTAGACCCAATTCAGGAGAAGGAGATGGGGTAGAAGGTGGTATAGTCCACGATGAGACATGTTCTATCTAGTGTATCATTTGCATTCCTCGTTTCAATAGATGCGGATAGAAAATGTAGCGACTCACCAAGTCACTCGAAAAACACGGAATGCCGCGTCCGACACAGGACGTAGCATATGCTCAATTCACAACCGGTGAAGCAGGAAGTGTTGCCCTGGGCTACATGTAAAGTTGTACTGAGTATGACTTGCACTGTATGGGGGCTACCTCTTTGAAATTTATATTAAAAACCATGTATACGTACGGTCCGTGTGGACAACTTGGGAGAATGTTCCTTGTCACCCGATTACGGACACACACAGCGAGTCGTACAAAATACATACCATGCTGCTCCTGATGTTCCTGCTTTCCTTTAGCCCCAGTAGCCTAGCCCAGTAGCCTAGTTCAGAACAGAAGCAATAGTTGCAAGCTAGATTCAAAATAATTTCAAACACTGTGAAGAGTGGTTTTTGCCAGTCGATAGCACTCGCCAGATGATTAAACATTTTTCAACTTTTGGAAACGACTGGAAGTAAAAAAGGCTCGTCCCTGGAACTTCGAAGAGCGGCAGAATTTGCAAGCGGACACTGCGCGGCGCGCACAGCAAAGCAATTTCCTTTTTTGTCAAGTCATTACGTTACGCAGATTGGCACTTTGGACAGAAACTTGTAAGACACTCAAAGGCACATATATATATATTCATCATGACCACCCGTATTCCCCTCCAACCGCCAAACGTCAGCACCCGACGATCTTTAAACGCACCCCCAAGAAGGTTTTTTGGCATGCGGAACGACACTGAAGAGCACGACGACCCTTCTGGGCTAGAGCGTAGCACAAGACGGGCGTCGGGCGGTCAGGACCATCGAAGGCAGAGTTTTCTCTCCCGCTGGAGGACGAGCACTGACGTGGAGAGTGCTATTAAGTCTCCAATGCTTGAAAGACCTCCAATACCCAACGCTCTTCGCGGCAGCGAGTCCGACTCCACTCCGTTACCGGCATTATCTATGATTGTGCTATCCATCGTAAGTCTCTGCACGCACCTTCGTGATATGACTGATAAAGCGCCAAGACTATGCTTGGAGAGTTTCTCTCTGCAAATGTCGCCATGCCGTTTCTCCTTTTCATGGTCAAAGGTGCGCCATCATATGCGGCATCGTAGCTGTCCGACTAACGAACTTGAATTCAGGGTTTGGCGAGATCAGCGACGAAGCACAAATCGCCTTTTGGACTGGGATACTTGGTATTCTTGCTAACCATCTTTAGTATTTGACTTTCTCTAACAGATTACCACAGTGTCTGCGTTCTTCTTGACGCAGTTCCTGACCTCATTATTATGGGTATGTCCGGTTTCCTTCTTCTGCACTAACGTTATTTACTTAACTCTGATTCGGAGCAATAGGCAACTGCAGCAGATAGACATGGTCGTAGATTGGTGCTGACATTGTCCTTGTTTGGGAGTGCAGTAACGGTGTTGCTTTTTGGGACGTGCACATCCCTGCGGCAAGCGATCGCAGTGAGATTGTTGCAAGGAATTTTCGCTGGGGCTGTCGGAGTTGCACGCGGATGCGTTGCTACAGTCACGGACATGACGAACGAGGGGAGAGCATACGCTATCATGGGGCGAGTACCAATCGCCTGATTGAGATCCTTTTGCTGATATTATGACCAGATTTTGCTGGGGACTTGGTGGTGTGGCGGGCGCCATCATTGGAGGGTCATGTGAGCGCCTTCTGCAAAGGCATACTAGTCTTACTGACGATCGATTAGTTGAGAAGCCCGCAGACAAGTGGCCGAGCGTGTTTGGCCAAGTGCCGCTACTAGTGGAGTACCCGTACCTACTCCCGTGCGCAGTGGCTGCCAGCATCACATTCACAGGTGCGTTTTCGGAAAGCTAATATCACGCAATCACTCACTTATTCCACAGGGTCATTCCTGTCCCTGTTTCTGGGCCGTGACGGCGGACCGCGGGATGGCGCAATCCGTCTACCGCTAGAAAAGCCTGAAGATCGACACCCGACCATTCAAGAGGAGGATATCACCATCCCCAGCACCCGCGACAATGCTCCACAGTCTGGCTTGGTGCACTCCATTACGCGGAAAGTATCCAGCCAATTGTCTGGTTATTTCGGATCTCGAGATTCAGTTACCGCACAGGAAACGCCGTCATTACCAGTACCACTAACGACATCCACATCACCACCAATGGACAACCCGCGCAACTTCTCGAGGATCACCCGCACCAATGGATCCGCATATGGTTATGGGGGAGGCAACAGGGCGACAAGCACAGTCAGCACGACGACGCTTGGTGCGAGGCGTGTGAGCACTGCCAGCACTATACGAAGGAGGCACGGAAGTGCATTCGAGGGACCGGCGTCACTCACGGATCCCGGCGACCTCAACTTTGCTCAGAGACTATTAATGGCAAACGAGAACGCCGTAACAAACATTGCTGATCTTTGGGTGGCAGCGGCAATGAATGTGGATAACGACGAAACATTCGAACCTGAGCAAGACCTAGATATGAACGTCGACTCCGAGTATATTGAACATGATGGCATTCCAAGTTCCATCACATCATCTCCTGTGCATCGAGGGCGTTCCGTTGGTCGTAACCTCGCAAGCGCAATCGGCAGTCCAGGCCAGCGCTCATCTGTGATAACATTTGGGCAATCTTCACGCATACACTCAGCAACGTTGGGTTCTCCCGCACTGGACGGGGTACCGTTCACACTGCGTTCCCCTTCGATTTTCTCGCACCCTGGAGTGCGTACGCCATCCATCGTCCTCGATGCCCAGGCCCGTGTTCAAGAGTCCGCTGGTGACAATTCACTACTGCCAATTATGGAACATGGCCAATCTGTCACAGAGTCAGAGGTTCCCCCAGCGAAGCCTCCATCGTTGACCTCGCAGCTGCCTCTGGTTGTCATCTTCCAGTATGGTTTGCTAGCGCTTCACAGCACGACACACGATCAAGTGTTCTTGTCATATCTTGTTACGTGCGTAGTCTGGGTAATACTGTGTGCATCTTACTGACCTCTAATCAGCGACTACGAGTCGGGGGGTCTGAACCTCAATCCTGGGCACTTCTCTCAGCTTAGTATGGATTGAGTTACTGGACCTGAAAGCTATTTGCTGATAGTGTCCTGCAGTTGCTCTCATGTGCCTAGCACAGATTGTATACCAGTTTTATCTCTATCCGTATGGCCACTTCATCTTTTGATTATCGCTCTGCTGACTTAGTGCTTTCAGAAACATTGGGCAAGTCTTTTCTGGCTCTTTTGTAGATCGCCCCCCTGATAGCACTTACTCATAGACCCCCTCGAGGGCGTTTCTCCCACCTTGCAATGTTTCGTCTCGGGTCCCTGCTATTTATACCGGCATACCTTACTGTTACTATGTATCGGGGTTTCGCAAGTTCTAAGGACGAAGGAAGTTTCGTTCTTATGGCAGGTATGATGTGATTTTTTTTATCCCTCCTTTTCCATGGCTGACTCCTTTATGTCAGCGCTGGCTCTGAGCACGTGAGTGACGTCTGGACAGTCTACCTGAGCATTGCTGACACGTATGCAGAGCTGTACGTTATTGTGGAAATACGTTTGGTTACACCGCCATATCCATCCTCCTTAATTATAGTGCGTTTATTGAGCTTGTGTGAGAATGAAGTTCTCATTGACGGTGTCTATAGTGACACCCCCACATGCCGTTGGTTTTGCAAACGGTGTCGCGCAAAGTATAGTCAGTCTCGCACGTTGCTTTGGACCTGTTCTTGGCGGATACGTGAGTACTAGTTCTACGCTCTGGTGGTACAATGACATCCTCACACGCACAATGTAGCTTTGGGCGACTGGCATCAGAGACGATCCGTCAGGATATCCTCTTGGATTCGTGGCATGTTCGGTCGTATGTGCGCTCGCCGTTGCACACAGCTTTTTCATTCGTTGATTCGCCGCCGACTTCGTTGTCTTGAAATCCCTGCCAGATAGAGTAAACATTATACTGTTTGTATGCATATGATGATCCATGGCGATCACTTTAATGGACGATACGTGGGTTGTTGATCTGTGTGGCTTGGTCGGCGTATTCATGAGCAAACAATGGAACCATACAGTATAGGACTGGCATTTGAGCCAGCACCATCATCTGAGCCACCACACGCTCGATACTAATACTCATTGATCCACCACTTTTGACTTTTGTAGCCTAGAATTGTTACAAATACCTTTACGATTTGTTTTGAGACTCGATTGCGCACCATGCATGAAGATACGCTGCCAGTGAATCGGAGTTGTCCAGCATGGCACGCAGCCACCTAACGTAATCGGAAGGTGCACTTGGTGAGCAAAATGCACAACGGCAAAGCGAAGTCACGATGCAAGACTGCCAACGTACGCCGATGCGATGCGTTCAAAATTGTTTTTTCACTGACTGCCCTGACTCATCATATCGACAATGGCGGCACACCCAGAAGTTTATAGTAGAGTCTCACCAGGCCTGGCCATTCATAACCGAGACGGCCGCTTTTCACTGGCTGGGTCAAGACCCATGATTGGTATATACAGCACACCTGATACCAGTCCACTACATGATGAGTCCTGGGTTGAGGGACCTGGCACATATTTTAGAACTGACCGATCATGAAGCAGACCAGTCTCGATTAAACATGTCTGTTGAGTCTCCACATCTCTCGAGTCCGTCACGGTTTCCTCGCAAATTTTTGCAGAAAGTTCTATCCCTAAGTTCCATCAGCATGGCTGTTGATCCTCTCCAGTTCCTTTCCCTTATTGCCTTCCTCTCCGCCCTTGAGGCTCGCGGACTCGTGTCTCTAGCCACTGGTCTGACCGATATGACCATCTATTTTCCGCTCAACAGACTGTTGGACAGCACTTCATGCGGACCGTCAAACACTCGCACCTCCGCTTCCAATATTGGCTTCTTTGATCATGCTAGTGAAGGTTCCATACAGGATCATTCCACTCCAGACTCTGGCTCTCCTTTGGGTTTTTCGGACACGACATCTTCCACTGCATCTTTTCCTCTGCTCTACCAGTTTCTCCTTATCTTCTCAGGTCAACTGGCTTCTATCTCACAAGACATCTTGTCTCTGCGTCGTTCTGTTGCCTCGCTCGAGTCATCGCTGTCTGCAGTTGAGGATCAAATCACTTTGCTTACCAACGCTCATGAATCGATTTTGGCACAGTCCAAGGATGAATCATGCCAGACCCATACCATTGCCAAGGCGTCGTCCGATAGTGAGGAACTAGGTCAACAATTACACCACCCGTCTAGCATTATGACCACCCAGCAGGTTCAAATGAGCGCGCTGCGTGACACGGTCTGCGCGACCCACGTTAGTCCAGACCACCAACCACTTGCTGAATGCACGCGGAGTTATAAAGATTTCGACGCTCCCCAGCAATGTCTTCGTGCTCAATTTACTACTCAGATTCAGGATCACATTGAGTGCAAGAAAGACTACGCTGCCTTGCGTCAGGACCTACAAAAACTCTCGGACTTGGCCTCGATCAATTATACCAAGACCAATGTATCGTTGGATCACCTTCGTAGTCAGATCGTTGACCAGGTCAAAGACCAAAATCGGACCGAGAAAGAAGTGGCACTCTTGCGTGAACAGATGACAAGGAAATTTGGGGCGTTTCAGTCCAGAGTATCTTCTCTTACATTAGACGCGATGAAGGTACATCATAGCGTTCAATTATCGGACCAGGCTGCCAAAGAAGCTCGTCGGACAAAAGCGATGGCGGGGGTGAGCCGTCGTATCATGCAGCTTCAAGGTATGTGAGCTCCACTGATGAATTTCATTCTGACGCTCACATGCTCTTACGACATCTGGACTCAACCCGCGGCGTGTTCTTGGCTAATGTAGATACCGTCCCACAGAATAACGAAAATGGTGCGGTAGTTCCGCCCCCATGTTCTTCACCAATTTCGGTTGGGCACTTCCAGGTGGATTTCTTCGATATGTCGACGTCACCGTTCTTTCATGATTGTTGACAAGTGCTCGTTTTTTTGACCAAAAGGACTCTGACGTATTCAAGGCTTTGCCACCCTGTGTCCAACGGATTGGGACTACCGCTCCTTCCGACACCAAGGTACTACATTCACCACCCCCATCTCGGCAATACATAAATTGCAAGGGTAAGAATTGATCTACTTCTCATTCACGGAGTTGACGCAACACCATAGAAAATGTGGATGGTATTCATTCTCCTTCCACCAAAATGGCTTTCCGTCAAGAGGATGCCGTTGAGGTTGGCATCCTGAGGAGGAAACAGAAAGGATCCACAATCACTGCCTTCCAACCTAAGGGTGCGTTTCCCCTCTTGCTAGACCTTCAGATTAAGCAATAGAAAGTGCCTTGTTTCAATTAATCACAGTTGTCAACTGGATGCCGATGCCTTCGCCGTCGTCACCAGCACTCTCAGCAATACAGCGTGGTCATGTCTCTGCGTCACGAATCTTTAAGCGTACGTACCTGAATTCTGTTGATTGTCAAAGCAGTGATTTAATGCACACGCAGCCGGTGACTCAGACTCGGAATACCGTAATAAGAGCCTCTATGCTTCTCCTCTGAACAGCACCCGCGCCCGCACCCGAGGATGGATATAAGAGCCGATTTGCCATTTGCCCATCCTTCTTTGAAACCTGGCGATAAAAAAAGTGTTTTTCATGTTGTCCTGCGTTGTAATATTGTTTATGGTCAATGACGCATATATAGGTAATCATTGGACTCGTTTTTGTGCGCTGCTGGCACCATTGCCAATAATGTCTTTGTACAGAACCTTGACGGAACCTCGGGCTGCTACAATTGAATCTGCCCGACATGATTCTGACATCTGGCAGTGCCCTGCCACGTGGTAGAACGAAAGTTTTTTGCCCAAGACACTAACCTAGTTCAAAGTTCTTTGAACGGAAAGATCTGCTGGCGAGCGTACTAAGGTGCATGGCTACAGGTGAACAAGGTTGCAGCAACACTGAGTAAGGCGGAATATAACACATAACGAGCACGAACAAGTGCAAAAGTACTGGTGAAATGAAGGGAAAGAAACCTGTAGTTCTCAGCCAACCTTCTGGACATATTGTGCCAAAGAAAGAAGGCGAAATCGACGAAAGCTTCGCCGACCCGAGAGCTCGGCGGATGCCTTGCCACAAGCATGACCCACTTTCCTCCAATTAATACGTTGCCCTTGCAGATCGCTTCTCGAGCTGTGGTGGGTAGGTGTCCATCGAAGATTGGATATGCGCAGTCAGACGTTTTATAACTCTGTGCGGGTCAATTCCACGCGGAGACGCCTGTTAATAAAATGCTTTGAACGCCCATTTCTACAGTAGTAATGCCGCAAAGAAGCCGTTCGACATCCTGTTCTTCGGTCGCGACGAATTCTCTTGCAACGTCTTCAAGCAATTGCACGACGCCCGAGGTAAGTGTAGCTCATAATATGGGCAATTCAAGGTTCATGTTGACCAGTAATGTAGATGTTTGGCAGTCCATCTCAATTGCTACTAATCCAGACGTGAAAACTGGTCGACGGGGTTCTCATTTATCGATTTGTGCGTATGCAATGTTTTTCATGGCGGCAACATACCTACGGCTGCTTCAACAGCTCCACTCAAACTACTTGGAGAATCTCTCGAGGTTCCGGTTCACACTATACCACGACGAAAGGTTGACTTCAGGGGTTGGATGGTGCGCGTTACTTTCTTTCTTGCTGAACCGGCCTCATGTTCTACACAGCCTCCCCCACCATTTACGAGTACCGACGAAGCTCACGTCTCCGTCCCTGCCAGTGAAACTCATCTTCTTGTTACTGCTTCCTTCGGGCGTATTCTCCGCCCTTCACTCCTACGTCTCTTTCTGCCGGGTCAGCGACTTAATGTTCATCCAAGCTTACTGCCTGCATATCGAGGTCCGGCGCCCATCCAGAGAGCTTTGATGCGAGGAGAAAATGTGACAGGTGTGTGCGTCATTGATATGATGGAGAAGAAGGAAGGAATCGATGCTGGAAGCGTGTGGGGCTGCGAGAGAATGGCGAGTAACACGGCGAGCAAATAATCATGCATAACTCATTGTACTGTAGGTTGTTCCAGAAAGCGCGACATTTCCTTCAATGTCCGTGGAGCTGGCCCGGACCGGAGGAGATTTACTTGTCACGGTGCTTCGGGATATGTTACTAGGAAGGGTGCGTCTTCGGAAACTTGGCTGATTCTAGATGTTTACGCTTCTACCAGGCCCGTAGCATCCCGCAACCTCCCGTCTTATCTACCACCCCTCATGCTTCTGCAATATCCGCTTCCGATGCACAGGTTGATTTTACATCCCAAACTGCATTGGACATAGTCCGACTTTCTCGCGCCATCTCACACCAGCGTCCTATCACGACTACAATGCCCGATGGACGCACTCTTCAGTTGCACCATCTCAGTGTCTCCAGGAGCCATGATGATTTAGGCCCTGTTGAGCCTGGTTGGGCAGTGTATTCGCCACGTACACACACGGTACTCATAAATTGTGCTGACAGAGAGTGGCTGAGTGTTTTAAAGTTAAAGACCCAAGATCGTGCGCTTCTGGCTGCGAAGGAATGGTGGAATGGAGTAAAGGGGCTAGGCCTGCTACACGAGGGTATGCTGAAACTTCTCTAGAGAGTTCTTTCATATCGGTGTATCACTTAGTCTTAGAGAAGCACTTCTCGAGCGCTTGTTACGGGGCCAGGCTTGATTCATATTCAAGGAAGCACGCTGCGCAGTCCGGCAAAGGTCCGCCACAGTCCCGGGTCTATGGATAATGATTGTCACTGAAGTGCCTCGTGGGGATGCATGTGGTTCAGGATCGATTTAGGATTGTATCGGCTACAACCCTTGAAGAAGTGTGCAGTAGGTTTGTTCAAGTGGGTCTAATCATGTATTGAAAGCCCTGCAACCCTTGAAGAAGTGTGTAGTGGGTTTGTCCGATAAGTGTGAGCTTGGTCCGATCAGTACGCAAACATGAATAATTTACATGTAATGCATCACCTGCAGTAAACCTGCAGGGGTTTGTGATATCTATTAGGAACCGCCGATAAGCTCCCTTTCAGTATGGCCCATAAACGATCTCGACAGTATGTCAGAGTAGTACTTATCTTTGCGCACATTAAAATAGCCCAACAGCGGCAGATCGAGTTGAGCACATCGATGCAAACCGACTTCGGATACCACTTGCAACTTGAACGAAGTAGGCTATGTCCCTGGATCTGTCAAAGGATACAAATTCAAACAATCTGATCACCAGCGCTTGAGGAAGACTTGATGATGATGATCGATGACTCGTCTTGACGACGACGACATAGTGTCACGGTCATGAGATGCGTTTGTCAAGTTTCGTTTGACGCGACGCGTCTCTTTGTTCTTGTTTGTTCATAATGGTCCTGGTCCACTGGTCACAGTAATAGTCCAAGGTAGTCCAGACAAAGAACTCGTCTACCAACTTAAATTCCCAATACTCTGCACCTCATCCCTCATCTTGTAGGGCTGTCTGAGCCACAAACACTCAATTATGGGAATATCTGGGCTTTTACCGTTACTGAAATCAATCCAGCTTCACCGACACCTCTCAGACTTCGCTGGTCAAACACTTGCGGTAGATGCTTATGTCTGGCTTCACCGAGGCGTATACGCCTGCGCCACTGAGATAGCCACTGGAAAACCCACCACAAAGTTAGTGTTTCTCTGCTTGTCCGGGGGCTGTTCGCGGTTGCTTGTATGCTCACCTTCTCACCTAGGTATGTTGATTATGCTATGCAGCGTGTTCGCTTACTGCGTCATCACAAAATTTGCCCGTACATTGTGTTCGACGGTGGGCCACTCCCGGCCAAGATGGGCACAGAGACTGAGCGCAAGCAGCGGAGGGAAGAAAACCTTGCAAAGGGAAAGACGCTGGCATCCCAGGGAAGACACAAAGAAGCCCGGGAATACTTCGTTAAATGTGTCGACGTAACCCCTCAGATGGCGTACCAACTCATAAAAGTCTGTTGCCAATCCTTAGGCTAGACATTCGTCTGATATATTCTTTACTTTAGGCCCTGCGCGCAGAAAATGTGTCATACGTGGTCGCGCCGTATGAGGCTGACGCTCAAATGGCATATTTGGAGCGCATTGGTCTTGTGGATGGTATCATCACCGAAGACTCAGATCTGCTTGTCTTCGGATGTCGAAAGGTGCTCTTCAAGCTGGACTCTGTTTCAAGTACTATTGTCTCAATTTCGAGGGACGACTTTGGATCCGTGACTGCTGCTGAAGGGGGCATATCACTTCTTGGATGGTCGGACGCTCAATTCAGGGCTATGGCCATCCTTAGCGGATGTGATTATCTGCCGAGCATTCCGGGAGTTGGGCTAAAGACTGCCTGGTCATTGCTACGGAAGTATAGGAGTGTAGAGCAGGTCGTGCGGGCTATAAGGCTTGAAGGGAAAAAGTCTGTGCCAAAAGGGTACCTAGAAGCATATAGTCTGGCGGAGAAGGTGTTTTTGCATCAGCGTGTTTATTGCCCCCTGGATGAGAGGCTGGTTAACTTGACGGACATCCCCCCAGGAGTTGAGTGGGGCGATAAAGAGGAATCGTATATCGGAGGGTCAGTCTCTGAACAATCACTCGATGAAGACTCTAGCACTGATTGATTTCTCTCAAAGTGACATGGAACCTGCCTTGGCGAGAAAGCTGGCTCAAGGGGACGTTGATCCAGTAACACTTCTACCGATGATCGATATCAATTCGAGTTTCGTACCTCGCACAGTGAAGCCCCTCCCCTTTCAGGCCAACATTGTTAATCGGCCTAGCTCAGTCAAAGGAAAGGGCAAAGCAAAAGCCGAGCCTGAGAGTGGTGGATTGCTTACCTTCTTCGGTATTTTCCTCCTCAGTGCCGATGATATCCGCATGTTTGACAGTATTCCCACAGCTCCAATGCCAAAAGCTACCCTTACTCGTAGTAACTCCACTCCAACAAAGAGAACAGCAGTGTCTGGTAAAGGTAGCGGAAAGAGGACACTTGTCGATATACTTGATGAAGACCTCGCTGCAAAACGCATAAAACCAAATCAGGCTTCGTCTTCCACAGACCTTTCTCTTCTCACACATTCAAGGTTTTTTTCCTCTCCATTAACGTCAAAACAACAGGTGGAACAAGCCGCAGACGATTTGATGCCCAGTTCACGTATCCCATATCCCCTATCTGACAAAGAAAACCTCCCCGATCGTGCCGATAACGTTATTGTGGTCGAAGAATTGGACGAAATTCTTGATGAGCCCCCGGATCCCGTCACACAAGAAGACGGGTACCTGTCACCTTCCCCATCCTACTTCCGATCGGCCACACCTGATCTCTCTTCACCTGTACGGCCGTATAACCCCGCACGGCATGATTATGGCGACGGAGACGACTTCGGCGCGGATATCATCCCCAGCCCCACGGCAGTGAGAACAGTCACGCGTGCCTTGCATCAATGTTTACCGCCCAAGAGAGACAAAGTTAGTATCCTCGTTCGGGAAACGCCGCCGCCGATGAATGGTATGGATGAAATTGAAGGACCTGACTTGCGTGATATTCTCAACATTGAAGCACCTGGAGATATCGATGGCATCGATGATGACATAATTACTCTAGCATCATCATCTTCTGGACCTATTACTCCGGAAGACAGCGGTACGAATGACGAATTTGACATAGATGGATCAGCTGAAGAATATACAGTGACCGAGGCAAGTGCACGTGCAAAACGCACAGAGATAGTCGCCAACGGGTGGTGGAATAAGTGGGCCCTGAACAAGGACCTACGCCCTTCAGTTCGTATTAACTTTCCGTGACGATTGTTATCGTATTTGACATGTCTAATCGTCCACAGAAGACTACCGTGCTCAGAAGGTGCGAGACCACGATCACTCCAGATGGCCGGCAGCCTGGCCGCCGCACTCGGCTAGGATCTGCACCGCCTAAGGTTAGGTTTCCATTGTCTACCGAAGTAGCATCCAGGGCTGGAAGAACCCTGAAGGCTGTGGGAGGTACGGGGATCAGTAATAGTCCACAATTTGTGATCGGTAAGTCGTCTAGTCTCGGCCAAGAAGAGCGGCAAAAGACGATAGTAGGAGATCGGCTTGAACAATTTAGGTGTGTTCAAGTACTACTATCGTAAGGTACATTAATTTACTTACTACATGAACCATTCATTCGACAGGTGCAAAGCGCCTTAAGGTTGAATCCACTACATTCTACATTCACGCTCGTTATTTCCGATATCTACTTCACGTTCATCACTGTATATAATTTTTAGTCGGAATGAGGAAGGTCCGAGATGTCGGATTAGAAATACATGAGGTCGCCGAGCATCCAGTTAGGTACTAGTTTGCCTCCTGGTTTAATTTCTTCTAGTATTTAATGTGTTTATGTTTGTGCGTGTAGGCGGCCTGTAGCTTAGTACCTTCACATTAATCCGTTAATTAAAGCGGAATCTAATCAATGCGTGGTATTGGAGTTTGCCCGAGCGATTGAAAGGACTTTTTTCATCAGTAACCGTCAATCCGTCGGCGGTACCAAGTCAGTATTACGCGATTCCGTTCGTGAACTTCTAACTAGTGCAATCGGAATACCGTTTGTTGGGCTATTTGCGTTTGATAATCTCAATCGTGTTCCGGATTTATGTGCCATCATCAGCTAATCAGCATCTCTACAGGTCTTCGAAAAGCAAAGTCGGAATGTTATTGCAATCGTCAAGACTCACAGCGAACGTTGGGCCTCTGCCACGCAAGTGTCGCGGAGTGTAAATTCCTAGTCACGAAAACACTACATCAACGACAATGAGTCGCTGAGACTTAGATCGGGCGAAAGCCCGTGTAGCCGTCCCCCCGGTTCCAGAATGATGGGGTATAATTACCCACCAATAATTCTGGTTCTGGAGCCTTACGACGCTGATTTTTTTTGCAGCCGTTGGAAGATGTTATGCAATGTTATTGCCTCGTTGAATATGGCCGAATGGTGTCAATGATTGCTTCAGTTGATTGCAATTGGTATCCAGGGCTGTTTCCGGAACGATGGTATCAATATGATGAATCTCGACAAGATTTTCTCTTTGGGTTGGATCACTGAGGTTTCATTCATAACTAATAAAGGACATGGAGCGTCAAATAGGGCTAGTTCTCAAAACGAAGGGGGGGTGGACTTTTTCTGATTCTGAGTACCCAAAGGGTGCAAGCCACGTCTCTCAATTCGTTCATATCACCCCCGCAAGATCCAGACGCGAGCCCTCATGTTTACTGATGGACACGCACGCAGAGCACACGCCTTTCGGCTTTTATCTGACTACAGGCGAAACAAAAAGCGGCACTCTTCCTCACATAGATTCCTAACACTTCCCTGGACGCCCCAGGGTTAGAAGAGCTTATTTCTCTGAATTTATCTTTCGCGCTTTCCCTCCCACGGTACAAAAAGGTAGTCGACTACTCTTAGAGTTTGTGCGTTCGTTTGTCCTTGTTCCACTTCCTAAGCTCATGCCATCAACTACTTAGTTCTATGGGAGGCCAAGGGCTCGTGCCCCAGCTTCTTGGTCCGATAGTCATGCCGTTCGACGGCACCGAAGAACATCTATTACCGGACATCCAGTCATCCCATGCTCGCTCCTACAGGCAATATTCCTACCTTGGTGACGGCGACATTTCTCCCCAAGGCCTAAGTGTACACTTCATGGCTTCTTGTACCACCAACGAGCCTGAAGTGAATGATCACCAACAGCAATTGTCGTCTTCTTCACAGTCCGTTGGATATCCAGAGTCCTCCCAGAGGACAACCTCTGCATTCCCATCCTCTGCGCAGGTACGGCCCTCAAAACTTCGACTATTTCACTTCTTCCACGTTTCTATCATCTCCGGTCTCTCGTACTAGCCATCATGCCTCCCACATTGTCCCCGGTTGCAGGGGATGGGTCAGTGACCAGGATGACGAGCAACTAAACCCAACAGCTCGTCTCGACATTCAACCACTGGACTATCCAGGCAGCCAAAGTCCCACCGGGCGGGAGCAAGTGTCACCGGACAGCGCATCTACTGAATACACATATCCTGACGACTCCGACATAGAGACGGGTCTCGTCATGTCCCAGATGATGGCCCATTTCCAGATTCATACGCCTCCCCCGAATACGGGCATGACGATGTCCGTAACTGACCAGGAGCTACCCATACCGTCTGTTATGACCTTTCGGTTGGGTCGTCAGTCTCTTAGGCCAGTCGCGGACCCGGACAACGCAAGGATTTTGGAAAGCTTCGACGACCCTGATGAAGACGCATCGGGGGAATCGTGCGAATCGTCGTCGTCGCCTTCACCTCCCATTTTGTCTCCCAGCTCTTTTTATGATGGGCCAGCAGCAGGAAGCTGCGGAAACGTCATAGAGAGGGACACAGTGATTGGGGTGGCTTCTCCCAAGGAAGGGTGTTCGTCATATCTTCCCGATGTGATCACTCCTTACGGGGGTCCCAACGGAGACATTGACTCCCTCGCTCCACTAAATACAACCCCAAGAAGGAGAGGATCGTCTAAAAGGTCGAAAATGCACCAATGTTCCATCTGCCTGAAGATATTCCCGCGCCCAAGCGGTCTGAACACTCACATGAACTCCCACTCGGGAGCCAAACGTGCGTAGTAGTCCAGCAAATCGCTCTTTATTTTTGACTTTGCAGTGTTCAACAGCCTACAAGTGTCCGGTATCATCGTGCGATAGACACTTTGCAGTCCGATCTAATGCCAAGCGTCATCTGAAGACACATGGCATTAACCCCTCTTTGATGGAGAGTCCATCTCAGGGAACCAACTTTATGGTTGGGTTTGAGGAGCCTCTCGTAAATCACCATGTTCACGATGCCGGCCGGCCACCAACAAGACTCAGGTGGGTTCCGCACAGCCTTGCCACGAGGGCGCAACCCGTCACTGGGTGGATCGGCTCCCAATCATCGGGTGGGGACGAATCGAAAAGAACATGCCCTGTACTCTCAGTGGCGTTGCCGGCAGGGGCGCCCTCGTCGTCATTGAGCCAGGGAACAGCTTATCATTATGACGATAATAATGATTATGCTGAGGCGGGTTCTCGTCACTACCACCCCAGTCAGGTCCGTCTTCGCCCCGTTCGGGGGTTAAATCGCGCTGACTTCTAGTGGGGTAGAACGACTTCTCCAACCCACTCAACCGCTCCACAAAATAACCGTTCCCTTTGATTCGCACAAGACCATGTACTTATTTACGGGAGGCTCGATGTCTACCTACTAATGCGAAGACTGACCACACATTGATTAGTTTTGATTAAATATTAGGTGTTCGATGCACGGGTTACGATCCAAGGATCATTAGCTAGCACTTGTATTCTAGAATTCGCTGCAATGTTAAATTACGGGGTTTTATGGGGATGTTTGGACTTTGTCGACCTTGCTTGAGCTTTCGCCTGACGGTCTCTTTTCATTTGGCCAGCGGTGCGGTCCATACACCACACGATTGACGATTCCGATCGGAATGTCGTACAGCTCAGGGACAACATCCGGATCCGCGGGTTTGAAATGCTGATTTGCGTCTAGCGCAGGAAGGTGTATTTTGGTATCTACCTGCTGTTTAGACTCCTAGCGACATATATTATGTTCGGAAATTGCTCACCAATGAACGTGCTGGGGTCAGAGAAGGCTGGAGTACGTGCGATGGTGATGGCAAAATAGACAAAGTACGTCAAAAGTACGACGACAATGGAGTATGCCGGGAGAAGCAGAGTCCATTCCCTCGGTATGATGCGCAGTAAGGGTAGTTTCTCATGCAAGAAGTTGCGTGACTCACCTACTGGGATACCATTCCACGCCCAGCCAGACAATATATTCATCCGGGAGTAGGGCCCATAGCACATAAATGACAAACACAACGGATGTAGAAGTCCAGGCTACAAAACCGTAAAATTCCGGTGCGCGACTGCGGTGCTCATCAGGTGGTTCTGGAGGAAATGGAACTACTGGAGACGTGGTCTCCATGTGCGCTAAACGCAAGTGAGCAGAGCGCTGTCAGAGGTTGGGAATAATATTAATAACCTGGAGTCGGAGAATAGACGCCCGTTAGTAAGCCTTAGTAAGCCCGTTGCGTCTTTGTCTACGATCATCGTTAACTGAGCATTACTCGCGGATCTGCAATTGCGTTTCTTAACGTTAACCGAGCCGGCTTGTTGGACCCACTTCCATTTGCTCGACCAAACATTGATCTTCGCTCATATTTTGGGTCAGGCAGAACTCATGTCGATCGTTCAAAGCACTAATAAAAGAGCGCTCCGCAAAACGATCACCACGACCCTTCGGGAATTATCCCAGTCCGATATTCAGTCGCAATGTGACTCTCAAATACTAAATGCTGAGCTACTGACGACTAACATGCTTTCCGTTGGAAGCACAGGCCATTACCGAAAAAGTCCTGTCGCTGCCAGCATTCCAGCAATGCAAGACTGTCAGTTGTTATCTCAGTATGCCGGCAGCCGAGGTTCAGACGACCTCTTTGATCCTGAACATTCTTGGTGATCTAGGTGGGTGACGGCGGTCCATACCCCAGTTTGATGGCATGTGTTTATACAAATTATCAGGGAAGACTTTGTTCGTTCCTAGCATCACATCCAACAATGGCTATATGGACTTTGTGCGAGTATACACCGAAGAGGACTATCGCAGCTTTCCATCTGGTTTATGGGGCATTCCGGAGCCGACACCTGAGTGGTCAAGTAAAAAACGCCAAAGTAGTGCGTCAAGTTTATGTGCAAAATCGTCATGCAGGCTCACTGTTGCTCAAGTTTTCGATGCAGACTGCAACAATCTGGATCTAATCCTCGTGCCAGGTGGGTATGCATGAAATTGAATCAACGCGATTCGTGGATATCACTCTCTTTCGCTACAGGTGTTGCCTTTGACCGATCATTCTCGAGGCTCGGGCATGGAAAGGGCTACTACGATCGGTTCATAACATCATATTCTTCCTCTAATGGGCGATCGAAACCATTACTAGGTTGGTACATCATGGGCAACGCGGAACTACATTCTAACCGGTAATCTCAAGTCGCTTTAGCTTTAGAGCAGCAACTTTTGGAACGTGGACAAGTGCCGATGTTCGACCATGATTGGAAGATGGACATGATTATCACACCTGACAAAGTTATCACTGCACCTCAAGATTAAGATGGATACCAAGATCCGTGAAGAACAGTGGAGAACGCTTCATGCTCCATGTTGTGCTGGCGACACACCTGTCATCAATTATCGATGTGGCATGCACGGGCTGCACTTACATAGATCATATTGGTGCCGGGCCTGTCCTGAAGGGTGCGTAGGAGATGAAAGAAGCTGTACTACTCTGTCACAGAAAGTTAGCACTGGATACCATCTAAGTAAACCTTGTCTTGTCTTGCCCTGTTGTCCGTGATTCTGGCACAATTGCCAATCGATAGGATCGGCCGTTTGGTAGATAGGTTGAACCTGTGCATGAGTGAGCAATGTGTGACATTGTTGTTTTGGCGAGCTTACCTAGTTGTGGTACCATCACAGCCTTTGCTCCTGTTTCAAAGTTTCCAGGAGAGCCATCAGCATTGAGCAATTTCGTTGACATTTGGGAAGTTGTGATAATCTGTGATTGGAATGAGGCGACTGATTATGGTGAAGCGCTCTTGGCTCTCACTGTCAGATTATTCAATGCACTTGCTTGCAAAAATACCTGATGGATCTTCTCCAGCAGCGCTGTCCGTTTAGAGGACTGAACATCTGGATGAGATAGGAACGGAAATGAAATTGAATTGAGAACGAGAAGCCCCGTCTATCTGACTATTCACGTCTGGTTTTGACGTTATCGATTGGCTGCGTACCTTTGTGTGAATTTCAGATAGTAGGTTGTGTATGAATATCATTAGATCCGGGAGGGTATGGAGGTGCATATAACGAACGAGGTCCTGGTAGTCAGCGGCTGCGGAGGAATCTATTATTATTTTATTATTATTCCTCCGGCGGGAATGCGTGACGTGTTGCGTACTACCAAAGGTTTTCTTGATCGTGGCAAGGCTTGTCATATTCTGGGTATCTACACCCCATTTCTCAGAAAGGTGGAATGACACGTCAAACGTAAAATACATTACCAATAAATATCACCTCCTCGTTTGCCTCGACGAAAAATCGAGTATAATCTAGTGCAAGAGTTTCTTTAAAACTGCCTGGGGGTCCAGATATTTCTAGTATGCGTCCCCTCGGAAGACCGCCACCGAGAGCCGTGTTTACAGCTGGGTAGCTGCACGCAAAAATCTGTGATCTAGATATCAAGGAAGCCAAGGATTGACTCAAAGGCGGTCCTGGAGGCCGCTGTGATGCGGTGATTATGGATTGCGAGTCGGAGATATCAATCCCCAGTTCTGCGGGGTTATATCTTCTTCCAGCCAGATCGGCGGAAATGAACATGCTACGCACCCTTAGAAAGAGCTTCCACGGAAGTGGTGGAGAGATCTTCGAGTGTTTCGTAACCTGCGCGTCTTAGCGCTAGTTGGGTTGAGGACGACAGGTTTGGGTTGAGGAAGATATTCCTGGACATGCTTGGAACCTGGATTCAAATTACGGTATAGGTTCGATGGCCGTCCGCGGCAGCTCTTGTCGTTCGTTATTCAGATGACCGATTACCCCTCAGCACTCAGCTGCAGGAAGGACACGCTTCTTCTTTGTGACATGGTCCTACAAATGTTAAACTCACGTGAGCGGTCGCGTACATAAATACAACCAAACCCCTCGCGGACTTTGCCGTTCTTTCTTGTTCTCTTTCCATCATCGCTGCAGGTTTCGTGTCACTTACGACGACAGCTAGACATCGCACTCTTCCTTTTTATTTCTTGTCGAGCACAATCGTTTGTTTTCTATCACAGTATTAGCCCCATGACTCGCGATACATTTGCCATCAAGGTTGAGAATATCCCCGAAAATGGTTGGTCTAAATAAGCGGGAAAAGCTGGTCTAATTGTAAACGTAGTCAACTTGAAGGACGTCGAATCCATTTTCAGTAGCGCTGTTGGTTCGTATTCTCACCTTCCTGTTTGCACCAGATCGCGTCATATATCCCACATAGGTCCCATCCAACGTGCGGAGATTCATCGCGATGGAATAACTACGCCGCACTGCGTGCTATGTTTTCTTACACACGATGCCTTTAAGCAAGACTTGTATGCTCCCACCTGACTGTACCAATTGACCACATGACAGGAAAGCTCTGCGGATGTCTGGTTACAACATCGGTGGTTCCTCCATGTGAGTGCTTTCAAATACGGGGAAACTGAGCAGTGCATATATGCGCCATTCAAAGTACCGTGACACCCGCCGGTAACAAAACGTCGTCTCCAAGCACTGGCAAGAATTCAGATGCGCGCCGAAATCTCTACGTCCTCGGTCTACCCTTTGATCTCACCAAGTATGCATAATCTTGGTCCCACACCTTGCATGCTCACGAAAAACTAGGCCTGAATTTTCCGCTCTGTTTTCGCGTTTCGGCACTGTCATGCACGCCGTGATTCTCGCTACTGTCGATAACGCATCTCGCCGTCGCGGGTTCGTGGTAATGTCATCTCATGAGGAAGCCAAACGTGCGATGAATATGCTCTCGCGAACGCAACTAAAGTATCAGATCATTTTTTTCGAAATTCAAAGCTCAACTTACTGACACACCTTAGAGGACACACCCTTGATGTATCTTGGGCCGTTGTACAACGATCTCAAGGTGCGAGCTAAATCCAATCGCAAATACGTCTTACTTATCCTTCATGACAGGCTTCTTAGATGGCGCAGACAGGACGATGATGCTGGCATCCTCAAACCCTTTGTCACTTCCGGAAATGGAGTTCGATCGCCAACCCGCACCTCCGACCATTAGCTCGCCCAAAAACTGGAATATCTCGTTGGCACCTTCCTCGAAGTTGCTGGTATCGAACTTGCCGTCCCTTCTTTTTGCTCAGGCCAGTGACTTGCATCCTTTGTTCTATCCTTTCGGTCCCATCAAGGAGGTGAAGCTCATGGATTCTATCACGCTTGGCAATGGAACTACGAGCGCTCTGGTCGAATACGTGAATATCTTCAATGCTCAGGAAGCCAAAGACGCACTTCAACGACAATTCTATGGGACCTCACACCTGGAAGTCCGATTCGTCCAAGACAATATCCATCCGGTTGACTCTGCTGCTGCTGCGTATGCTCAGTCTCCCATGCTACCGAAAACATCTGACGCCGGACTTAATCCCTGTGCTACTCCTTTTGTCCTTGGATCTTGCCACTTACCACCCTTGGCTTCCGGTCTTAGCTGCGTTGCACACGATGCGTTTGTAAACGACTTCTACTCCCCACCTGGTCTTCCCAGCGATACCTTTCAAGCTGCCTCATTCGCACCTCACCCCGTTAGATATCACCTCAGGGCCCATGTTGCCGATACAATTTCCAGATCCAGCTCTGCAACGAGCTCGAGGTAAAACTGTTATCTTCAAATAGACAAAGCTAATCCCTTCGAAGCAGCTGGAGTAACGATATTCGCCCATACAGGCCTTCTCGTGCACCGTTCTCTTCCTTCACACGCGCGAACACACCCGCACAATTCACACCACTTTTCTATGCTTGATCGATCCACTTTTCTTCTGGATGGACTCACTATATCGCCCATCCATGCTCTTCGTAATTTTTATGCTTCAGTACCTTCAAGAAATGGACTCGGACTTCTTCTGGGCAAATAAATAGCACCCGTGCACTAGTCTTTATGCTATCGATTCTTGTTTTAAGTATGTCATTCGTATGTTTTAGTCGTCTTTTCGCTAAACACTTTGCAGTCTCGGAATTCCGTTTGTGTCGAGGAGACGTCATTCCATCCTTGTTGATAATAATTAGTAATAACGTCTGTCTTCCGTCTCCCTGTAGTCGCTGTTTTGTTCGTCCTGTAGGGGCTTGTAATCATGGGTTTTGTCCAGTGTATTGTTGACCTCAAGATAATAATAAGCGCTAGTGTGTGGCCTAATATCTTCAAATTCAATTAGAAGGCCGCTGCTTCAAGTTAGTCTCTAACAACCACCCTTACGGGAGCTCCGCTGAGCGTCCCGCACCATTCCTGCTCACACAAGTACCCAGTGTTCCAGGCAGCTTACCGCACTATAACTGTAGAACTTCAAAGGTGAAAAACATCCTTCCGAATGTCAGGAAACCAGGGCTTGCATTCACATCCGAGTCGTCCAACTGGCTCAAGACTTTTACAGAGACGCCTACTTTCTTCCGATTTACAGAAGGGATTTTTGGTGACTTCCCGATCATCATCAAGCAAGAGCCAGCAGCCCGATTCATTACCCAACACTGTCACGGAAGACATTGACAACTCGCAGGAAATTCATGCTCGTGTTCCATCCAGAACTTCGACCTTCCAACTCACTGGTACTAAGAAAGGCAACGTCAGTAATCCCTTTCTAGATCAACATGACTTAGAATCAGAAATTTGGATGGGAGAACCTCCAGTCGAGTCTCCAAGATCATACACAGTCGAAGACAAAAGGCCGGCGCCGTCAGTGGCAGGTGGCATTTCCAGCCCTCCTTTGAAAAAGAAATTCTCCCCTGTGGTTTCCCATGCTTTCAAGGCATCAAGCTCGTCTTCCAACACTCAGCCGCCTGTCACTGAGCGATCTGACTCAGGGAATTCTCCTACTCGAACACCTTCGAAGGTCCGCTGGGAGCAGCTACGGCAACATGTTTTGGCAGCACCTCGTCCAGCTTCGCCTCCTCCGTCTGCAGGGACATCTCAAAGTTCTTCTCGACCACCGACGCCCAAGCCATCTCGTTTTCCGCGGCTTGGCTTCCGACAGGTTGTAGAGTATGCACGCGAGGCTGCAGTGGACGAGTCCCGCCGATTTGCAGAAGAGCTGCTCCAAATTTGTTGGTCCTTTCGTGTCCCGGATCCGTCACGACAGAGCAAAAATGAGCGAGATGGGCCATTGGGCACACTTAGCTCGTTGCACCTCCCCTTCGTGTCGAGCACGACTCTGAACTCTTTCGCGACTGGGAGTACTATGGTGCAGACTCAGACAACAACTCAGAAAGGACTTTCTATTAAGAGGCCTCCCTCCACAGTGTCAGGAGGACAGAACTCCTCGCTTATCATGACGCTGCACGAGTCCATCCTTCGTTATGCGTCGAAGAACTCGAATTATCTTCCTCACGAAACTCTCGTTCTTTCCGCTCTGTTGATGCCGTTTTTATCGAGCGAGAGCAATCAGAATGTGGACGACGAGCGGTGGACTGCGATCGAAGCTTTCGAGGTTGCTGTCCAAACTTGGCAAGCGACGTCGGATGATGTACGTGGCATGACTGTGCGCCTTGCTTGTTCAGGCTGCTCACAATTTCTGTAGCTTACTATCGAGAGATGTATCTGGTGTTGCAACGCTGCGTCCATACCATCCTTCCTTCGGACTCGCGTTCTCAGTGTTCTTACATCACTCCTGTTTCCCCGCAGTGGCCCCATCGAGCTCCCGAGTGCCCATGCGTTCCTTTCTCTAGTCCAGGCGCTAGCTATAACGTTGCTCCAGATACAGGAAGATCAAGAAGTGGCTATTCTAAGAGACATCATCTCGAAACTTCGCGGCGGGACGTGTGGGAGCATAGCGGGCTTTCTCGCTGCAGCAGAGATCGATGGCTCTCCAGTGATGTTGGTCGGTGTGAGCCAGTCGGAAGTCAGGGAAGCCTTGGTCGCTGAAGCCTTGGTCCGGTGTCTCGACCATGGACCTCTAACCATGAAGCGCAAGGTCTTGCATGAACTCCTCCAGGTATAGCTTCCCTCTTTAGCGTGCCGGCAATAGCTGAGCAACCAATTATACGCAGGAATTTTGGACACCTTTACCTGTCTCAGGATCCTTTTCCCCTATGATTTCAGCTATCCGTTCTCGAGTTGTCATAACATTCGCTCATGCTGCAACTCTCCTGTGTGTGTCCGTAAAGTCGGAGCATCTGGACATGCAGAGCGTCTTGCATGTCCTGAAATCGCGTGTCATTCCTGAGATGACTTGTCTGACTGGGAAACGGGCATCGGATGCCCGCGCCAGCGTGTCTAGGCTCCTGATCGAGTTACTCTGCCTTGAGGGGGTCACTCACGAGATATCTGGCATCACTTACGGTCTCACCGTACAGTTACTGGAAATGTCTGAGTGGAAGACGTCGTTGGAAAAGATGATGCAACACTTTGTATGTGCCTCTTAGTATCACTCTGAAGGGAGATAGCTGACGCTTCCTCCTTAAACGGATTGCTGAGGGCGAATGGCCCACAATAATTAGAATTTTGACCGCACTCTTTCACTTACCGGATGAGCTTCGCGGTCAGCTGTTCACGTTGTCCATACCGTGTTTGCAAGAGGTGGGTGTTCCAACTCATTAACGATAGCAAGGTGTACATTTGATAAAATATCAGAGAATAGTCGCAGATCCACCACCTCTGGACTATCCGGAACTCACGGGTGTCCTAGACAAGGCATCACGCACATATCCCCAAGTGTTCTTCAAACCGCTTTTCACCTGTGCAGCATCTTCCAAGGCGCTTACGATTGGCCATCAACTTGGAGTTATTGCTGCTATCTCGGTATTCCTTCCCGACTTCTGGACAAGAGATACAGAGATGATATTGGTAGCGTTGATGAACGAACCCACTGCCATCTTACAATCTGGGTCCAAGAGGAAGTGGGCGCAAGCAAGGCTTGGGCAGATGATCATACTAGTTGAGCTAATTGCGTGTGTTAAGGCGGTATCACGAATTAGCCAAGACTTTTCGGTGAGTCGATCCTAAGCTGTCATATTTTAGACGGTACCGAACTTAGTTTACAGCACCCTAATAACTCGGTTGTTGCTCCAACCCAGTTTTTCAGTATGCTGGAAGCCCGTTTAGGTGTGTTATTAGAAGCGAAAGTGAGCAGAAAACACTTCGTTTTCGACGGATGGTCCATAGTCTAACTTACATCATACAGGAACGAGCTACTCTGCTACCACTCTCCATGCGCTTGTTCTACTTGATCTTGTTCACAGAGATTAGACTACTCACACGATCCGTAAAGCGGTATGCACTATCTTTTTCCCTGTTATAACTGAGGATTGAAAATTAGGAAGTCCGACTTGGCTACAATCAGCAATTGGTTGGTTGCTACAGTCGCATATCGGAGCTGTGGTGGACGAAGATGGGCCTCTGACTGTAGATGATGACGTCTTCAGTGACATCTCGCAAGCGCTGGACAAAGTCAAAGATATTTACGCCTCAGCACAGGACGGCCTTCGAGCATCTTACCAGGTAGAGTCTGCATCTCGCTTTGTTTTGCTTAATACTGAAAAAATACAGCGCCGAGGCACAGTACTCCTGTTTTCCAGCGCCAACGATGTTTCTGGGGACAATACTGAACGTAGGACTATCCTCATGGATGCGTTACATGAGAGAATGCTCTTGTTGTCGTCCCTTGGACAATCCCTCACCCGCCAAGCCCTCAATTTATTAGTGATGATTTCCGCCTGCCTTACATCAGAAGATTACTTGTTGATGGGACCTTCCTTGTGGGCACGATGTTTTGACTGGGCGGAACCGCAGACAGTGCTTTCGGTGCGTGCCCTACCTAGAATTACGAGCGATGTTTCTCACAGGTATCCTAGGCTTCTTTTCTAACCATGCAGTGTGCAGAGAAGGCCCCACATAGCATACTTGAACTCATCAGGAATGACTTGCGGAAGTGAGTGAGAACCTTACTTGGTAACGCATGGTCTTAATATTCGACTTCACAGTGAAGACAGTGCTGTGAAGATCACTGCAATCCAACGTTTGGACATGCTGGTGAATATGCGCTTCCAGATTCTGTCTCAGCCTTTTTTGTCGGATACGAATCGTCGTCGACCATTCAAGTTAGCCCGCGACCCATTGCCATTTGTTCCAACCGACATCGGTTCAAGCCTGTTCGTTCTAGAGCAGGAGGATGATAGTAATGAAGATATGCCCAAAGAACTGCGTAAACGCTTAGCCGAAGTGGGATGGTTAGATGAAAAACGACCAATGGACCAGAAACGCGAATGGGTGAGGACACCCTTGTCACTATTACCCAGTAATCTTCAAGATCGAAACGTTGGTGCCACGGAGCGCCTTCAGTCTTCACCCATATCATCCCCGACATCCACGCCAACCAAACCTCGTTCTAATAGTAACGTTTCTGATGGCCACCTCAGTAGACGATCGTCAGATCCTACAAGCCGTGGCGTCAAGCGCCGTGCGGTCTTTGTTCCTGCACTCGGGACTGTATTCCCTCAACTGGTCTCTCTGACTCTCGATTCTTGCATTGACGTTTCATGCGCGGCTCGTGACAGTGTTGTGGATTTACTACGGCATGACCCTGCTCTTCTTATTCGGCCCATCCTCGATTTGCTTGCCAGCGATAATGAAGAAGCTGCCACGACAGCTATCCGAGGGTTATTGCATCTAAATCAGCATCTCCCTCCTGCCATGGCTCATTATACATTCAACCATCTTGCTGGGTACCTTAAATACGTTGCTCGCGAAGTCACTTCGACAGATGCACTTCACAACTTCGCTCTCGCTGCTGCTCTATTGTCGAATCTAGTCATGCAAGTCAGCGAGATGTCCATCAGGGAGATTCGGCGAGCGAAGATGGATTTGTTCCTTGTTCCATCCGGGTCCTTGTGGTTTACCGCGTCGTCTCCATCTGGCCCCATGTTTCCGAAAGCTCTGTCTCTCAGTGAAAATCCATTCGAGATTCCCCCATCCTTGATGTCAATTACAATGATCCGCGTGACTCAAAATCGGTTGTTTCTGTCCATGTTGAAGCGAAACCCTCAGGACGTCCAAGTTATTCGGAAGACTATAGAGCAGATCGTTCTGCCTTCAACAGATGCCTTGTCAGCAGCACGCTTTCTGGAATTGCCAAATTTTATACCGCGACAGTTGTCTGCACAACGGGATGGACCAGAGTCAATCCTGACCACGATTTCCTTGGTGCTTTCGCGGAGTCATCTTCTGCTCATAGCCCAGATTTTCAGATCCATGTCCAGGCATCTTAGCGATCGTAGCGAGTTGACCGTCTTCATAGATGGTCTGAACCGGATCTTGCTCAGACATGGAGATGATATTGGGATTGTAAGCCAGTCGCTGATCGGTAAGCCAAGATTCTTTTCTTGTGGCCATGTCTGATCACAGATCTGATCTGCAGCGTTAATGGTGGCGAGTACCCGCTTCAGGCGTCTCTTTACGTCCGGTGGAGGTTATTCCCTCTTTATGTTATCTATCATGAAAGTGTATACGGAGCAAGAGCATCATCAGGGAATTCGGCAGGCTATCGAGTATGCCATCAGTCGCTTCTACGCTGTTCACCCGCAGGCATTCGTCTTCCAAACACTAGACGTTGTGGTACACGCCCTCTTGGAACCAACTTGCAATAGCTCTTGGCTGGTGAAGAACGTCTTTCGGATGCTGTCTTCACTGAATCGTGACAATCCGATGGCAGGTCCAGATGCTTCTGGCATTCGAAATATGAACAGACTGCAGGAGAAGGAAGCATTGATGGTCACCACCGCTGATGAGAAACCTCAAACATTCATGGCTGCCATCCGAAGGGTTGGTAGCCAGGATTCGCAACAGCTGATCATCAACCTTCCCGAGGAGTACGAGACGAGATCATTTGATATGGACAATCTCGTACGGTTGTTGTTAACTGTCATTGGTCATGACCCTTCCATCGCCAGAGCCCAAAATTTCCTATCGCTCCTAAGGTTGTTAACACCTGCACTGTACAATGCTTCCAGATCAGCCAGGAGTGTGCTTCGCGACGGCATTGATGCAGTTGGGACAATCATCCTACGTGCAGTCGCGAAGGCCAAGCTTCCTGAATCATTGACCATGCAATTGGTGGACGATATCACTACGGATGTATCACAGGATGAGGCTGATCTGGTGGACAAGCTTCACAAGAAAGCGAAGGCCCCAAGTGATCTCACCACTATGCGGATAGAATATCTCGGATTGGCGCTCGCTTTCGTTAAAGCTGGCGGCCAGCTGCCCAACACTGCGATGGAGAAGATTTTCGATATCGCGAGGATTCTTTTGCGAGAAGCATCGCACACGGAAGATAAGGTCGTGGATTTCCTATGCCAGTACTCAAAGGCCAGTCTTGTCGAACGTACACCTAGTTCCAAGGAAGCAATTGCACTTCTCGACCACCTTGCTCCTATCATGAACGCCTATGCGTCAACAATCAATTTCGCTGGTATTTACGAGGCCATAATTCATCTCACCTCTGGCAATCAACTCGCCAACGACATCACATTCTCTAATTTGGTGGTAACGCAAATCTGCAGGAGTGGGTTGGAGTCTCAAACAGCTTGGAGCTCTGAGCACAAGGAATCTTCCATGGTCTCGCTCCTTACCACGGCCATTTCCTTTCGAAAGACCGACGTGATTGCTGAGATCGAGAAACAGCTCCCATCACATAGATTCTTGTCCGGCGTCGTTTTCAAGCTTGTTCTTTCGCTCGAAACGTCTGCTTCAGCGTCGCCGGTGGGAGACCACGACGCATGGCTGCGTGCTGCCCGTACCAGTGCATGGTTGCGACTTCTTTCCTACGCGATGGCGGTTTGTGAAAAACCAGGCCGGTCCCGACAATCAACCTCCTCGCTAGAGCGAAGGAAATCTGACGATAAGCGTCGTTCTGGACCATCAAATAAAGAACAGGTCTTGACGCTGGTAGTTGCAATTCAAGTCATCAAGATGATTATCGTGAGAGCTGGAGATGACCTCTCTGCGTCCCTGCCCTCAATATGGACCCGTCTTGCTACTGTCTTTAGATCTCTGGTTTCTGATGGAGATGCGCAGTTTGCCCTTGAATCCTCTGAGCAATCTGCGCCACCTTCCCCCATCCATTCACCTCACCCGAGTTTTAGCATGACTTCAGTTGATCCTTTCAATGCTCAGGAGTCCTTTCTCACACCGTCGGTATCCTTCAACGCCCCCCGCCCGTCTCCTCCCCCGGGTAAACCACGAGTCATCGACTACGCGCTTTGGTCTCTCTTGGAGCTCCTTTCTCGCTACCGCACACCCCTCATACTCCAATTGAAGTTGCTCGCACAAGAAAAAGCCGCTATTCTCGACGAGCAGCTCCGCTGCTCCCAGAATGGTCCACATTACTCTTTCGGACATAGGCCTCCGTCTGTCTTCTCTAAGCCGAGGAAGAGATTATCAAGCATGCAGTCCGCTGTGTCGCCCTTCATCAGCAGTTCGCCGTCAGCTTCTTTTAATGCAGGCCATATGTCGCTACGCCCTCCCATGCTAGAATCCACGCCACGCAAGGCAGGGTTTGAGCGCAGCCCAAGTCCATCACCAGTCAGTGCCCAGCCCCGCATCGTTCACCTCGGTCCTACAACACCAGACTTGCATCGCTCAGCATCGTCTAGCGAGGATGTGCGTATGCTGACGATGTCAACAGTAGTGAAAACTACGTCTCTCGTGCGTGCCACATACCGCCGAATAAGGCTTGTGCAGGCATGTATGGGGTATGATTTGCTGTTACCACTGCCCGCAGCGTTCGAAAGGCATATGCCAGCTACATCTGAGATTACTGGCACGATGGATGGTACGATTGGGCTTGGAGGACATTTAGAAGGAGAAAGGAAGTGGACAATCAAGCAGGCAGTTGATGCCCTTGTGGATGAGATGCATGATCTGGAGCTTGAGTTTTGTGAACGGGAGGCGTGGAGGGAGGTATTGGACGAGAGCTTGGTAGTCTTAGAGCCTGATGTGAACGATAGTAGCGTATTTTGAGACGGACCGATAATCGATGACAAACAGCTTTACAAGAGTCTGCGTACTTTTTGAACTATATATGTTCGGGTATCCTGAAACACATTACATAGTAGCCATACAAGAAAGAGCCTACAAAAACACCACCGGGACAAGCTTTGACATCAGGTGATTTCAGCTTACAATACCAAGCCACCAAGGGCGAGCGCCACCGAAACGCCGAGCCACATGCTCATCGCACTGACACTCACGCCAATCAAGGCAGGCGCGCCGTTAATCGTACTAGCATTCGAGAAGGCGATGCTGGGCGTGTCCAACGAAGAGTTGGTACCGTACACGTAAGACGTATCAGATGCACTGGGCGTGGTGGGGTCGTTGCACTGTACTGAGACAGACTGGAAGAGCGCATAGAAGTGGCCTGCAGAAGAATTTCAGAGCTGTAGGGAGGTGGAGGGCGAGGCTCAGAAAGACGTACCAGCGGAGACATAGTCGGGGTCGTTCCAGTTGATCATGCCTCCGGCCCATTCAATCGTGCCTTGAGGCTCGGTGGAGATACCGCCCGGCCAGATGCTGCAAAGGGAGGTGTCAGATGTTTCTCCGTAATTGTATGAACTGCGTAATATAGAAGAAAGTTGCAACAGTTGGACCACACCAACCCAATACCTATACCCGATACCCCAAAGCAAGAAGCGTAGAATGAATGGATACCCACCTCAATTGAATGCGACTGGGTGTGTTGGGGAACTGGACTACGCCTGTCGCATTGTTCGTAGTCTGAACAGCTGTAATCGTGCGCGTCACGTTTCCGTCGACCAAGAAGGTCAGCGAATCAGGTTGCCAGTCGATCTATCGGAGAGACGAAGTTAGTATGTCCTAAACGCGTGCGCTTTCGTTGCTCATGAACCGAGCTGTAAAAGCGTACGTATCTTGTTCGCCGAAATAGGGAATCATGCATGAAAGCGATTGGCTGGGCAAAACCGAAGACTTACTGTAAGATCATGCCAGTTGGAATAAGTATCCGTGAGACCAGTTTCAACTACACCAGCGGTTTGTGCAGCTTTTGATAGCAATGAAACCGGGTGTGGGCGGAGTATAGATTGCGCATGAAGAGGGACAGTACATCAGCACATTCCGCATGATTGACGCAACTGTAAGAAACTTACGAATGACTCCCTCCCAGAAATAATTGGTCTGTCCGGTGGTCGTCTGATTGCCAGGGAATTCCCAATCGATCTCATCTTTAATGCTAGACATTGTGATGAATGCGGTAACGACGCCTGCCCAGCGGCCAGTTTTTACTGGGTAAAAAAGAGTTGTTAGCGCATTTTGATCCGAGACAAAAGAGAAAGAAAAGCGAAGTCACAAGAAGAGTGAACGAGAAGGGAATGAGAGATTGCACTACACAGCCCCTTGAAAAAACGAACACTCACATCTAGCTGTGACTTGACCGTAATGTACGTATCTGGTTGAAGACAGAAGAGTACCGCCACCGGTTTCAGTGAGGAGGACGGCAATTGCAGCCTCGCCGTCAGATGTAGTATTGATAATCGATCCCTGTTCCACAACCCAGTCTGGAAGTAACAAACAAGAAGCGCACATGAGTGTAACCATTAAAAATAATTTATCCTAAGACTGACCATACTCCGAGGCATTCCCGTTGAAGTAGGTATAGTTACTAAGAATGCGAGAGGTATCTGAAAGCGTGTACTAAATAAAATATTAAATTGGCGTTAGATCTACTCGCGTGCAAGAAGAGTATATGAACAGACGTTGGCATTCTCACACATAGGGCTAGGATTGCATGAGTTGAGAGTGTTAGACGCAAGGGGGTTGCACCCTCCGAGACAGTACTAAAGATTGACAAGATTGAACGGCATGCTGAGACGAATAAAATAAGACGCACATATCCATCACCGCAGAACCCGTATTCACCTAAGGGGAGTTTGAAAAATTGGCCTATAAATTTCATGTGACAGAAGATGTTGATTATACGACGCACTGCAACAAGGATACTGGGATGAACATAGGTTCGTTGAGTTGCTACACAACATTTGGAGCCAAGTCAACCTTGCGCAATAAAATTTGTAACAGTGGGAACCGACCAAGTAGCACCCTGTTGTGCCGCCTGTACCAAGACAGCGGAGGTAAGGAAAGCAAGTGCAGAACTAAACAGGCAAATTTGTTTCATTATTGTGATATTGCACAAGAGAGCGTGATGGGAAACGAATGGAGAGGAGGAGTAATCCGCCTGAAACAGAACTTGAACTTGAAGAAGATGAAACGATGATTCAATGAGCGTACGCCCAACATAAATATTATTATATTGTTGTGTTGCAGCATGCCGTGATGCCGAGTACTAGAGTATACCATAGCAAGACAAAACAAAGTAGCTGATATTTTGGGATATTTTAGATCACCGATTCCCGGGAGGATCAAGACTTGGCAAATGTCCAGTGTTAACAGTGACTTTGTCAATTCCTTACACTACCGCCTCTTACAACCTCAACTTTATCCCTGCTGTATAGTTCTAGTGGATAATACCGTTTGTCCAGTCGCGCCATTCGTCTTAATCCCCACTCATTCAACTTCTTGCCCACTCACAAACTTCTTTTTAACGCTTCTACCCGCTTTCTCTCGTTACGCTCTTTGGCAACCTTTCCTTGCTCCCTGCCGGTCCCTCGCCTCGTCAATGTCGCTTCAGTAATGTTTCCAACTGAATAATTTTCTGTCCCCAGCAGCCAAGACTCTTGTTATTGTGGCTATAACAACGTCCGCCCTGATTCTGTGACTGCGCCCACATCGCATTGCCACCTTGGTCGCCACTCACTGCTAGCGCGAGAACTCCGCACGTGGTCACTAGTGTCAGTCCCACTCCGAGTCGAGACGGCGTGGAGACAGTGACCAAACTCCAAGTGACCCACTGGGTAAATCAGCTTGGATCAAATCTCTTCGTCTCACCTACAAGGCTGTTTCATACAACGTACAATCTCATTACGGACATGCCCATGGGTACACGTTCCTTCGGGAACATCTATTGGTACACACGCCAGTTAATTAGTAAACATTAATTTGTGCATAGCAAGACAAAACAAAGCACCTATGTTACACTGATATTTTTTAGATTATTTTCAATCCTGAAGGCCTGAAGTTTAGGCATATGATGATGCGCACTTTTTCTAAAAAAACAAATGAATATCATCAGGTTCAGTGAAATGGAGCTTTGGAGCCTGAGGCCTGGGCCTGAACAGCCGTAGCCTGTCCACGACGCGTTCTTTCGATTGCCGGAACTGAGCGGGATGGGAACATTTCAACATTCCTTTTTTATGTTGTTTTATTTGCAAGTCCGTAGATCTCGCGACGTGCCCAAGGCTTTCCTTGCGTCTGGGTGTATTTGTGCCCATTTGGTCACGATTGAGTAATAGCACTCCTAGTAAACCCCTATTCTTTGACTGTAAGCTGATCATCAACGTCGTAAGTAAATGGTTTTCATCAAACATAATATGGAAATATTTGATCATAATGTGCCTAGTGCTGAACAATCGTGGATGCCATTTAGATGGCTTCAGTGGATCTCTTCGACGGACATGCAATATGTGGGTCTCAGAATGACATTTCATCTCAGCTGCCCCATCCCCCATCTGTGCGCTTAGTCGAGCGAAGTTTCATTGAACAGCACTTCAATGCCGCAATTGACAAGGTCGGCGACGACAAAATCAAACAGGAAATTTCCACAACTTTTGAATGGGATAGGCAGAGTATGCAGCTTGTACGTGAGACGTGCGATGCAGCGATTCTCTCACATCGGTGGTTGGTGGAAAGGGAAGCAACACTCAAAGGGGTGGCGAATGGTGAAGCCCCAGACAACGAGTTGCAGTTTGTATCATCTGGCGTGTGCTACATTGATAAAAGAAGTAGCGACAAATCAATTCACTCGATGTTTCTGTTGCACAGGTCGCAGGCCAGAAATGACTCTGGCGTCGTTCAAGCCACCCCAGTCAAATGTGACGCATCTCTGATACATCAACTCCAGCACACTGTTTCTTATGCGGTACCTATACATGTCCCTCATCGTCACCTCCGAGTCATTCTTGATGTCATCCCTGTAAAACTTACGCAGCTTAAAAGCTTTCGTCAAGTTGTACAAGTTGCATGTGATGCAGTAATTGGTGAGTGACTTTGAGTTTTCTGGCCGCTAGATTTTTATAATATATTCGAAGCTCACCAAGGCGCATTCACACTCTGTGGAGTTGCACGTCTTTGTATTAGCATATGCAACATTATGTTGCATGGCCAAAAGAACATCCTCATGGACTGGGATTTAGTAACATCAGTCGAGGAACCCGAGTCGGGGCGATCTATCCGAATTGTAAGTACTTTCTTACTCTATCGTCTCATGACTGATCATGAAGTGATGATGGATCAGGGGACAGTGCCTTTCGTGTCTGCTAATCTCCTCACAGACAAAAATTCTCTACGAAATTTCCAGGACGATATGGAGTCCGTGTTATGTCTAATTCTATGGCTCGCCCTCCGAATCTGTACACGATCATGCTTTCCGAACGACATCCTCGGCCATCCATATACATCAGGAAAACCACCGGTTCCTTTTTTAACTTAATTTGTCACTTAATGACGTGAAAAGTGACATTAAGTCATTTGAGTGAAAAAGCGTGAACCACTTAATTAAGCCCACTCCATCTCTGAATTTTCGCTTATTTCACACTTAATTCACTTAAAAAACCAGATAAAGCGGCACAAGCCATTCATAAAAAAGGGGGCATACACGATAAGCGTAAAATTAAGGAGACTCTCTAATACAAAAGTCGAGAGCCAGCTGGGGGTACAGGAAAAATGGCGGACATGTGGGGGCAAAAATGGTGGTGAAAATGATGATAGTATGACAGCGGGATTCCACCGGCAGCGTAGTAGAAGAGACAACATCCTACAATGATGAATGTCAGTTGGATGAAACTGGAATGACAAGTACTTACAAAGCATAGCACGCTCATCGTCCTCTGACTCGTCGTCGTTAAGTGAGTCCTGCGGTGATTCGATGGCGTTGTTTAAGGCAGTACAAGCACGCTGTCTTAATAACCGAGGGTCTTATATAAATACGTGTAAGAATGTAATGACACCACAATTACACTGGATAAGACTTCTTGCCAGTCCTCGATTAACACGGTCTACGACTTTTCTTCTTTCGTGGTAGATAACGTGTGAGTTCTTGGGAGGCTCGCTAAACCAATCAGTCAGATTAACTTAGCCGGAGCTTTATTATCTCTGATTGAAACTATGGGATTGTCTAGGATATACCGTCTAGACACTTGAACTGGTTTCCTGAATATACGGTTAACTGTTGAGAAGCTGGTCTCAAATGTGACTACGTGGACCAAAGCTCATGTTGGTCAATATACAAATACCTGGTGAGAACGCTGGTCTCACAAATAACAACAATGACAAATAAAAAAAACAATGACAAATAACAACAATGACCAAAGCTCGTGTTGGTCAGTATACAAATACCTGGTGAGAACGCTGGTCTCACAAATAACAACGGTGACCAAAGCTCGTGTTGGTCAGTAAACACTACGTGGTGAGAACACTGGTCTCACAAAACTGGGTTTCTATCACAAGAAACTTACGTAATCTCAAGGGAAACACTTTCCCTGCACTTGCCTGGACAGTTCTTACAAAGGAAATGGGCTTTGTAAGCAGCAATTTGTTCAGACTGAAGCTTCTTAGGTGAGAGTTCAATTTGCTCAAGTGGGAGTTCTTGAATGCAACAAGTGGGAGATCTATTTTTTTGGGGGGAGAATGGGCTCTCCTTATATACATTTTGTGTGGGAATATTATGTAAGTAAAAAGGTGATGTAATGACTTCAGAATGTGAGAAGAATATTCCAAAAACTGGAGCAGAATGTTCTAGCAGGTGCAAAAGAACATTCCAGAATATTCATGGTGGGATAATGACATCATTCTGAGTCACTATGAGTCACTATGAGTCATTATGAGTCATTGGAATGTTCTAGCAAATTCCATGGAACATGACATCATTATGACATCACTATGATATCATATCTTTCAACCAAAATACCTGCAGGAGTGTAGGTGAAGTCCTATGACATCATTATGACATCATACCCTGTAGGTACAATTTTATGAAGCATCTGATTAGTCAGAGCATCCTAATAGAAAAGTAAAGTAAAGAAACACTAGAGAAAACAACTCAGAAATAATGGAATAAATAATAGTACACAATACGCGGGCTTTTTAGATAGGTTTTTGTTAGGCTTTGAACTTTTCTCTATGGGTTTCTCTAGCCAAAGTGAATAAGCCAAAGGAAAGGCAATACCTTAACCTTCATTTTGCTTCTCATATCAACTAGGTCATTATGTGATTCCCATCTCACATATGACTTTTCTTCAAAACATGGTGGATTCATGAATCACTGAGGGAAAACTGAAACTATTGGACCAAGGTTTGATACCAAGGTATGGGTTGACTAGTCTGAGGACTAAGCTAACAGACTTTGTCTTTTAGGGGGATACCTAGTAGTCATGTCCATGCATGATTCCCAAATCATGCAGGACAACGTGCCATCTGTACTGTGGTCTCTACATACCCAGCAGGCTTGCTCGAGATAGACTTGATGAAAGATGCAGTGACTTTGCCCCAGCGAGCCGCTGAAAACAAAAACGGGGCATTGGTCATCTTCCCGGTGACCTTGTTGAGGACTTTGGGTAGTTTGATGACGAGTTTACCTCTGCAACTGGTCGCCAATATATCCTTGACTTTCAAATTTTTGTTCGCGAACATTCCCAGGGCACGCTCGATCTAAAACAAGAATAAGTGCGAATTAAATTATTCTCAAATCAAACTTACTGCTGCAGCACAAAGGGCAATAACACCCGACATCCTGATGGCCCTTGTCGCAAGTGCGTGTGTGTCGAGGTCAGGAACGTCAACATACCCACTAATGGCGTTAAGATGCGCTGTACCCAACAGCTGTAATACAAAAGGAGAACGGTACGTCGTGAGGGGGCTTGGCTTGTCAGGGTCCTCGAATAGGAATGCATAGTCTGCGAGAAGGTGGGTGGCAAGTTGAACAGAATCGCAGTCAGAGTTTCGTGACAAAAAGTCCACGATAATGACCAGGCCCGTCGAGACGAAGTTGCTGCGCCATTCAGAAATTCACTGCGCAGTCTAATTACGAGTACAGTCAGTAAAGCTTGATATAAAATAGGAAACTTACAAGGGAATGAATCACGCTGCCATGAACAATAGTGATATTGAGCTCCTTGAATACTGCATTGAAAATTAGCTGCGCATGAAGGAGAAGAATGTCGTCTGGGATAGTCCAGAGGTCTTCATAACTTCCGGCCCATAACATAACGGTAGGAAGATATTTCTTTGCCCAGCGTTGATCTACCTGCAACGTGGCAGGTAAATCAACGTTACGATACACACTACGAGGTTTCATGTTATCTGGCACAGTGTCCACGTTGAGCTGGCGTTTGGTGCCGTGGGCACGTGCAGCGGATGCCTCGACTTTGATTTTTTTGGGAGCAGGTGGTTTGCTGTCACTGGCAGGGACAGCAGTCACAACCGATACTGATGTCTGTACGAGCAGTCAGAGTGAGTGCGATTAAATTAAGTGTCCTTACTAAAAATGTTTTGCGCGGATCTTTCTCCTTCTTCACCTCCACTGGAGGCTCGGGCTCGGGCTCGAACATGTCTTCAAAATCGGGGCCTTCGATATCCATGGACCAGTCAGACACCATAGACTCCTCGTCGTCATTGAAGACGTCATCCACGCTAGCTTTTCGCTTGAGGGTCCCGCGATTTTCGATCTGCGTGAATGGAGCCCGAGGCTCCTGCGAGTACCGTTCCTGTTCTGTGAATGAAGTCACAGAATCATCATCCGACTCATACGCTGGTGGAGCATTAGGCTCGTTGAAGTCCATGTTATCTTCGAATATTGAGGCCACCTACAAAGCAAATAATTAGCGCGCAGATACTACTAATGATCAAACAGTGGCACATCACCTTCGATTTCCCCTTGCATTGTGCAATAGTGGCCTCGCGCTCCAACGTATCATCGATATCATCTGCAAAGTCGCCAATGAGGGCTTCTGCAACAGGAGCTGCAGGCTTGCGAATTGGGACCTGTGCATCCGAAGTTGCCGCAGTGGAGGCAGTGCCTTGTGAGAAAATTGATGATGGAGGCGCTTGAGTTGGAAATGAGGTGCTGGATGCGCGGGACATGGGTTCTGATTTTCCAGGCTTGACTGCCTGAAATCCAATTGGTCACCCGGCCACCCAATGCGAATTTTTGAGTGGTAGCATTGAAACTGGAAGTGAGATTGAGGAAATACAATGTTGATTCAGTGAGGAGTAACATTGGATGGTGAGAGAAGGAAGCCTTACGGTGCTGGTGTATCTTTCCCATCAGATACATGTGCCACGTTATTGGCGTTATCACCTTCCAATTTTGATGATGGTTCATTGATCTTCTTTTGCATGTTACTGATAGCATCCTTTATCAGCACCTTTCCACCTTTCTTTATTACCTTCCTCTTATTCGCGCCTGTGGTTCCATCCTCCATGTTATCGGTGGCCTCCATGGTCTTGACAGCCTCCACGGTCTCGACAGCCTCCCAGAGGTCGTTTGCCTCATCAGCTTCCAACATGTTGTCAGTATGATCACCACCACTCCTTGCTACAGGTTTAGTCGCCTTACGAGCCCTTGGCTTGGGCCGAACGGTGTAGAGACTCGCGTTTCTGCAGGCACATATAGGCACATTTCGCACCTTTTCACAACTCATGACAATTGGCCTTCAATGCACGACTCGCACCATCAGCTATATTCGACTTCTATCATGTCCCTAGTCGTTTTACACATAACGCGCAGTTTTCCCGCGAAACGCGCCATAGGCGCGGTACTTTCCCACACAACGCGCAGCATTCCCACACGCGCACCTTGCGCGCTTTCTCGCGCTTAAGCGCCCTGCATCGCCCTTCATCGCCTATCATCCAGGGACGTCCATCTATGTCCATCCACCTCATTGGTACGTCATATGCCTTGCCTCATGGTTTGTAACAAGCATTGCAGCGCTATTACATGTCATTACGTATTTTTAGCGCTTACTGCTCCTATCCCTTCCGCTTCCGATGCGATTTCCATAGTATAAAGTTTGCTGACTTACTACTCCATCATTATTACTCCCCTTTGCTGTACTTCCCTCGCTATTGGGTTTTACTTTAAAGTAGTAGTCACCACTTGGGCGCACTTTGTGTTTCCAATGGTTATCCTTATCCGCCTATACTAGACCTTTATCCGCGCTCGTCATAACACTCGCTCTGCGTTTGCACTCGCTTTGCACATCCGCTTCCTTATCCGTTTCCTTATCCAGTATTTTCCGCACAACGCGCGCCTTAGCGCTCACGTTCCCACGCTCGCGCTTACCTTAGTGCGCTCTCTCGCGCTTCGCGCTCACTTCGCTTTTCTTCTTCCGCTTTCGCGCATCCATCGCACTACAAGGGTCTTTCTTTCATCTGGTTCTGTGTTCAGTAGCAGTCCCCTTTAGGGTCAAACGTTCTTGCATTCTGCGAGTATAGCAGCTAGGCAGAGCCAAGACTCACTTATACTGGTTGAGCATTTTTAGATATTTCATATCAGCCCAGCCAGGTTGAGATCGCCTCAACGGGGATCGCCTTTTTGTTGAGTAATTCTTCCTGCACTTTCTCCATCTCATTTTGCATACCAGCCAAGCGCTCCAGCCCTTTTTGGACCTGTGCTTCCTGTGCTTCCTGTGCTTCCTTGAGGGCAAGGTCGTCGGCGGCCTTTTGCGCTTTGGTATGCCTCTTGATCTTTGCGTCAAGCACTATCTGGCCAGGCCAAGTGGTTGCATTTGATGTACGGGTGCGACGGGGAGCATTTTGGGTAGACATGACTGAGGGGATGAGTTTGTGACTTAGGAAATAAGATGAAGGGCAAAACTTTTGCTGGAGAGAGACAGGCGGGTTTGGAAGTTGGAAAAACTCGTAAGCTCCCAAACAAGTATGTACACACTAATCAGACTCTGTTACACAGTACATTGAACTTATTAGGGTCATCACGCATTTTCGGCCGGCTCTTCAACTTGACTACCATCGGATGCCCAAGGCTGCTCGCAGGGACCACAGCGCCCTTCAGATTCCATGTGGGTACTTGAAATGCAAACACTACTTTAAGACTCAGGCAGGGCGCAAAAAGCACTGGAATGCTTCGCACCCAACATTCATATCAGCTCCTACCACCGGCGTCTCACATACTGCTACAGTCGAAGACGAGCCCGAAGAACCACACAACGACTTCTTTGCAGGACATGATGACTTCTCCGCAGGCTTATTAGATGCGGGTCAGGCTCTCGATGAGCCTGATCATCTGGACACGCAGTTTGTGGGGCCGGGTGATAGATTATACCGCAACTATCACCCGAAACTAAATGGTACATTTCTTGGTTCTTTTCCAGCTAGTTAGAATTAACACGGGTATTCACACAAGCTTGTCCTTGTGATGCGACAGGTCAATTCCTTGAAGACGGAGCATCCCCAACGCCACCTCCAAGCAAATCACCTGATGACTGGACTCCATACCGGGATCGCGTCGAATTCGAGACTGCCGAATTCCTGTACACGCGCAACCAGATGTCTGCCGGGGACATCAATGTCTTATTGGATCTTTGGGCTGCAACCCTCCTGAAACATAACGACAAGCCGCCGTTTGCAGACTGCCGTGATTTACATAAAACCATTGACAGTACACCGGTGGGTGATGTCAAATGGCAGTCTTTCAGGGTCCAGTACACGGGGGAGAAGCCAGAACACAATGTACCACCGTGGATGGGTCAATCTCACGATGTTTGGTATCGAGATCCCCATGAGGTCATTCAAAACATGTTGGCAAACCCTGACTATGCCACGGAGATGGACTACCAGCCCTACCGTGAGTTCTCAACTGACAATGATGAACGCCAATGGCAGGACTTCATGTCCGGCGACTGGGCCTGGAACCAAGCGGTATGTTCTCTTTTCTTGTTTCATGTCACTATACACGCTGATGATCTTTGATAGGATATCATTGCCAAAGATCAGGATACAACTGGCTCGACCTTTGTTTTGGTTATACTCAGAAGTGACAAGACGACAGTTTCAGTGGCAACTGGCGCTAACGATTACTATCCACTGTATGTATCAATCGGGAATGTTCGTAATAATGTCCGGCGTGCACATCGTGACGCTGTTGCCATCATTGGCTTCCTGGCTATGCCAAAAAGTAATATTCATCCTACTACTATTGTTCTGTGCTAACTACAGCTGAGCAGCTACAAAGGAGCATGCCTCTTGCCCAAAATATCGGAAATATCGCCGGCAACTCTTTCATTCCTCTATCTCGAAGATTCTTGAGAACCTAAGACCCGGCATGACCAAACCAGAGGTTGTGCGCTTTGGTGACGGGCACTATCGGCGTGTAATCTATGGGCTTGGGCCCTACATTGCCAATTATGAAGAGCAAGTTCTATTAGCGTGTATAGTGCGCTCTTGGTGTCCAAGGTAGGTTCCTAGCAGTAATTGTAATGTATCTTCCACCTTACCATTTTTAATATACAGGTGTATGTCACACCGCAAAAATTTGGACTCTGAGTCGTTGTGTTGCAATCGTGACCATACAGAAGCACTCGTTGAAGAAGTAACCTCTACTGATCTATGGGACGAGTATGGGATCATCAATGACCTTGTCGTAAGTCATGAGTCTTCTCGTAGAACTGCAGTTGATAGAATTTAATCCCTGCTAGCCATTTACAAATGACTTCCCTCGAGCTGATATCCATGAACTTATCGCACCGGACCTCCTACATCAATTGATTAAAGGGACCTTCAAGGATCATTTAGTTGAGTGGGTTGGAAAGTATCTGCACCACGTGCATGGAAAGAAAGGAGCGGAAAAAATTCAAGATGATATAGATCGAAGGTATGTCCTTTTGTCTAAGTTCGAAGTTTTAAGGCTCACGTCATGGAAGAATCGCTGTGGTTGCTTCATTCTCAGGTCTTCGACATTTTCCACAAGGTCGAGGATTCAAACAACGGACCGGCGATGATTTGAAAGCGCTTATGAAGGTAAGTTATTTCTAGAATGTCATGACTGCCAGACTAACAACAAGTCCAGGTTTATCTACCTGCCATTGAAGGTCACGTCCCAATGGATGTCGTGCTCACGTTTCGTGCATTTCTTGAATTCTGCTATCTCGTATGGCGTAATATCATCACGGAATCCACGCTGGTTCAAATCCAGAATGCTCTCAACCGATTCCATCATTACAGGAAGATATTTGAGTCCACTGGCGTTGTTCTCACATTCTCCCTCCCTCGACAACACTCTTGTTCCCATTACATCCTCCTAATCCGACTGTTTGGAGCACCCAATGGCCTTTGTTCCTCGATCACTGAGACAAAGCACATCAAAGCCGTAAAGGAACCATGGAGGCGCTCAAGTCGCTACAAAGCCCTTGGTCAAATGCTGGTGACAAACCAGCGCCTTGATAAACTTGCAGCCTCGCGCATTGATTTCAAGAGCTGCGGGATGCTGAATGGCACTTGTCTGCCAGAAACGCTTCGAGCATTAAGTGAGTTTCTTGAGCGCTATCATCTTCATTGTTTACTTGAAATCTATACTAGAGCGGTTGCGGTTAAATACAGAACCTCATGCCAACCAGCCCGATCAACCCAATGAGAGTAGCATTCTGCTACTCCCCGACCCCGATATCACTATACAGGGCAACAATGAAGAGGGTGAAGTTATCGACGGCCCAACATTGGTGCAGGCCCATGTTCAGTTGGCAAAAACACCCCGTAAGCCAGCTTATATTTGATTGTGAATACCTTGTTTTTAATTTTCAACATTGCGCAGAACGCAATCGCGCACGAACTGTACCTGACTTATCTGCGGAATTCACTATCCCCCATCTTTACAACCTCCTCCGCCGATTCCTATTCGAACAAGTTAACCCAGATGACCAGCGGTCTCCCTTTGAAGTCCCGCTTGCAAGTTGTCCTCGATTCAATGGCAAGATTCAAGTCTTCAACTCCGCATCTTTGACATTCTATGCACCTAGCGACCGCAGTGGGATTGGTGGCATGCGCCGTGAGCATATTCGTGCTTGTCCTCTTTGGAGAAACGAGGCACTGCGATATGACTGCGTGTTTGTGAACACAGATGCAGGTGTCAAAGGGATGGGGGGGATGGAAATAGCACGAGTGATGTGTTTTTTCTCTTTGACATTCGAGGCAGTTTCATACCCATGCGCTGTGGTGCGTTGGTTTGACAAAGTTGATGATAGACCCAACGAGGACACTGGGATGTGGATAGTGCGACCTTCGTATGATGCTGACCATTCTCCATCAGTTGGAATCATCCACATTGATTCTATTTATCGCGCTGCACACCTCATCCCAATCTATGGAACACATACCATCCCACAGGACCTCAAACACTACGACTTGTATGATGCTTTCAGAGCATTCTATATAAACAAGTTTGCAGATCATCATGCATTTGAGATCGCATCTTAGGTAGGACTGTTTGACTTGGGACTGAAATAATTACTGAAAGACTAACTACAGACACTCTTTTGATGCGCTCACATGCTCAGAGGAAGTGCGGCCTTGTTATGCTTGCAGATTTGTTCGTACCCCCCTTCGCTTTGGCACACAGCAGTACTCATTCACCACCTCACAGAAGAAAATGATCCGAACTGGTGTGGTCTTATTGCGCCTCCTAGGTTCTATCCATGCGCCCCCTCATCTGCCTATGCATTCCCCATGCAATGGCACCCACCCACCGTCCTGAAGAATATGATCCGAACAGGTGCGGCCTTGTTATGCTTGCAGATTTGTTCGTACCCCCTTCGCTTTGGCACACAGCGGTACTCATTCACCACCTCACAGAAGAAAATGATCCGAACTGGTGTGGTCTTATTGCGCCTCCTAGATTCTATCCATGCGCCCCCTCATCTGCCTATGCATTCCCCATGCAATGGCACCCACCCACCGTCCTGAAGAATATGATCCGAACAGGTGCAGCCTTGTTATGCTTGCAGATTTGTTGGTACCCCTTCGCTTTGGCACACAGTGGTACTCATTCACCACCTCACAGAAGAAAATGATCCGAACTGGTGTGGTCTTATTGCGCCTCCTAGTTCTATCCATGCGCCCCCTCATCTGCCTATGCATTCCCCATGCAATGGCACCAACCCACCGTCCTGAAGAATATGATCCGAACGGGTGTGGCCTTGTTACGCCCCCTAGATCTGTCTGCCCGCCCCTCTATGCATCCCGCCATCCGGAAGAATATGATCGGAACAGGTGCAGCCTTGTTATGCCTGCCAGATCTGCCGCCAATTGAACGTACATATTCTTCACCCATCCGCTCTTCCTCGTTCATGCCAATGCCATATGCCATTCGTGTGCATCTCTTGCTCGTTCAGGCTCTGGAAAACAGATACCTTTGCCACCACAACGTTCTCGCCACCGTCGACCACTCATGACAGTGCCTTGGCTTCTCGGTTTATCAACAACAACGAACGGCGTGCCCCTCCTGAATCATCGACTCGGACTTCTGTTAGTTTTTTTTCATACTATTGAGTTTTTAAATTGAGATTTACAGCGCGAAACTGCTCATCGTCAGGTTGATATGTCAAGGCCACCTCCTAGCGCCCCAACCCCAAAGCCCGGTATGTTTTACATGAGTGTTGTTGTGACTACTGCTCCTTACTTACACCCACAGCCCGATCTCGATGGTGCCCATGACAGAGATCGTTCAACTAAGATCCCTGCTGATTCACATCGGCAAACTGAGCGTGTAGTTTCACCTGTACGCCCTCTATTGTGTGGAGATGAACTAACATGATAAGATGTGGGTCATACCTTCAGCAACCCGACGATTACGCCACGCCATGGATTCAGGCGAGTAGTGCTCGATTCCAGCGGCCCAGAAAGCCTCTCAACCTCCTCCACAACCCCACCCTCGCCCCAACTGCCTCATCCACCACATCCGGTGGCATGTCTAGCCAATCTGCCTCAACCAGCCGCCGTCGCCCTCATCCTTGTCTACGATAGACCTGTGGTGTCGTTTCCACAAGATTCGGCGCTCAGACTAACTCCTGTTGATCACACTCGTCAGTGATCGGCCATCTACATAGCACGCAGGCCACCTACAGGATCGTGAGGGCCCATCGTTCTCACAGTTGAGCGTGTTGTAGGTGAGTGGATGCTCAGCTTGTATTGTTGTCTGTACTTACTGATAGTATTTGCCAAATCGGCCTCTCCCGACACCTTCTTCTTTCAGACAAGCACCGCTTTCTAAAGCGCGGTGCTTCTGTACCACGCACGACCTCTAGTACTACACCAAGGTAAGTAATGTTCATGCTCATTTATACTACATACAAATGACGCAAAACTACTACAAGACAGCTCGATGTGCTTGGCCACCCTTCTGCGAGTGGTGTGCATGTTTGCTACACCTGCATGAGCGCTTGTTACGATGCTTTACCTTCGACGTTTGAACCACGACTCGGATTAACGGCGAGGAGAACGGGTGACTTAGTACTACTAGTACTACTACCATTTATCACTTATTGTGTAAATACAACTTTTCTCGCTTTTTTGGTGGTCTGGACTTGTGAGCCTAAGTGTGTCTTAATGCGCTTTCGCAAAAGTCAATTAAGTGGGAAAAGCAGTGTTTTCAGTTGGATTTATTCCATATTAAGCATAAAAAGTAACATAAGCGGGAAAAAGGGACCGGTGGTTTTCCTGATGTAGTTTGTGGATGCAACAATGCCTCAAATTCCATCACAGTTGCAGTATCATGAAGTTCGACACGTCAACTTTTTAGGGCCATGGCGCTCTTGATTGCTTCGTGCAAGAGTTAGCGGACGTGTTCGCTTCACGGTACACCGTACTAAAGGAGGAAGACTATGAAGTGTATAACGCGCATAAGGATAATGAGAGCTCCATCGCGCACGAACTGCTAAAGGGGAATGCCGCAGCGAAGAAGATGTCTGGCCTTGAATTGCTGAAGTCTCATGCGGGAGTCATCCAGATCCTCGACAAGCATCTTTCTGATGAAGCAAGGTGGCTTCGAGTTTAGAATGATCATTGAGCAGCGGATGCTTCTACAACAAATTCAAGTCGCAGTACGTGTCAAAGGATTGACTCATGGCTCCGTCGGACTTCATGCTGAAGCTGCAGGATTTCCATGGGATGAATACAAGTCTCGCCGTTATCTCCCCTCCAGTGTGAACTTACCATGCTTTTTGCTACACCATTCTCTTGTACGGCCGATTTCTTCATGTCATTACAACATCTATTTCTTCATCTCTTGAATAAATCCTTGTGCGGCAAGGTCGCAGACGCTGGATAGGCTAGTGCAGAGACTTTGAAAACTAACAATGATGATGATGCTTTGTATTTGACTTTCTACCCTCACCTGTGATCATGGCACCACCCATGATTGGTCGTACATAAAGATCTAAGAGTACGGACAATGGAATAAACTTCAACAAAGTAGTCGAACTCCTCGAGTTTCAACTTGAAGATCACGACAAAGCCCCCAGTAGCTTTGTTGACAATTTGCTATTTTATCAGTAAATAGGAATGATACTCTGGTGAGTCTGGTCGACAGATTATTGCACTCGGATCACCTGACTTGACGCGCGCACGTCATGTCGACCATACAACTTTAGTTGTCAATGGTCATGGCTCGTCTGTGATTTCTGCACTATGCTCGGATGGTATATCGGAGATACAGAACACTATATATACTGTACATTTACACCACGATTGCGATTGCCCTGTCGCTGAAATGTTCAGGCGATGTCGACACACGAACCTAATCCAGTCAAGTGTGTCAGTGTCTTCACAGATGCATCGGGGAATCGCGGGACAATGCGGCAGGGAAATTTCTCCGGATGACTGAAAAAAAGAGAGATCAGCAGACTACCCTCGGGAATAAATGAGATTCTACAAACACGATGAGACCCGTAGTGAACTTCGGAACGACTGGGATGTCTATGCCATGTTCATCAAGGGCATTGTGGACTGAGAACATGGCGAGGAAGCTCGTGATCGCGATCCAGAGTGACGCGTCCACGACATACCGTCCCACACTGACCAGCGGTTTTCAACAGAGCGAAGAGACTGCATGAATGTATGCTCACCAGATCCGACGACCCCAGCCAAAGCCTAAAGGCATTGTGTCGCTGGTGAGCGACCCATCATCATGAAGAAATCTTTCCGGCTTGAATTCATCAGGACTGGGGTACTTCGTTTCATCGTGTGTCATTGCCCTAAAGGTTTGGTCATTTCGATACATTCAGTATTAAGGAAGTGAGAACTTGCCATGTATTTGCAAATAAAACAACCCCTGACAAACTGGGTCGTCAGCAGCCATTGGTCGATTAGCATGGTACATTTACAAACCTTCAGGAATGAAGTAGCCTTTGTAGATGTCACTGGTTGTTGTTGTGCGCGGGACGCCTAAGTACGTTATCAGAGGAAGGTAATAAGGGTGACGGTGAAACAGACCAAATGGAACCACGGGGTGCCACCTGAATGTTTCACGCAAAATAGCGTCAACGTAAGGTAACGATGGTCTATCATTGAAATCGGGGAGTCTATCTTTGCCAACGATTCGATCAATCTCTGCTTGCGCTTTGGCTTGTACCTCTGGATTGAGCACCATAGCAAGAATGAACACGAGTAACGTGGAAGTAGTCTGGGCCGAGGGCAAGATGATTACCCCGGAGAATGCAGATCAGGGCGATACATACCGTCTCAAATCCCGCTGAAGACACAGAAACAACAATAAGTATCAAGGGGATAAAGTTCTGTAGCTTGAATACCTGCGAATGTCATACTAGCAGCCTCCTTGACTGCAGTTATAATGACAGCGTCGTCCTCTGCAAAAAGCTTCGTCTTGCTCAAGGTATCAGCCACAAAGCAAGACATCGTGATGCCGGTAGACTATGTGTGGTTCATCAGTTCATTGCACCTCTATGGATGGGATGATTCACCATTCTCTCTTCGACCATTTGAAAAGGTATCTCCTTTATATCATGGCCTGCCTTGAGACACTCTAGTGATGCTCGCTTGAATGTGGCACCAGGGAACCAGCTGGGTAGCTTCAAAACTAAAATGACCGCTGAGGTAATGACAGGCCATTATTGCATGTGCAGACATACGGAATGGGAATGTTTCGAGTATCACAGTAACACCTGGCGTCAAAGCTGTGTTTGTCCGATTCAAGTACCTTTTCATGTTGTAGGCGATGGGATCATCCTTGGCTTTCGGTTCATAATCATATATCATAGGCAGTATAAAGGAAACGCTAAACCTGATGAAAATCAGCCTCAGCAGGAACCAAAATAGACTGTTACAACCAACATCTCAAAATGTCTTGAATAGTCGCTAGGGTCCTGTAGAACACTGAACAACATTTTGTGGGCGGAACGCAGTTGCACAGCATGGTAAGTGGTTATTTCAGTTTGACGAAATGCCTGATGAAAAATTCGTCGGTGAAGGCGCCACCTGCTGGAGTTCAGACACTGATCAACACAACAGAGAACAATCCATTACCTGTCTCCATATGGCATGAGCACTGGGTTGAAGTCCGAAGCGAAGCTGACATCTTCGTCATCGATGTGTAGCAATACTCTAACATGCTGACTCACTGTGGGTAAACGATGGACTGGGGTCTGTCCGAATATATAGTAGAACGTGCTTCAAAGAGGTCTTTTGCAACCTCCTCAGAGTTAATCACAACCACAGGCTTGTTGAGGAGACGAGCATAAATGATGTCGCCTGTAGAAAACATGAGTACCAGTCTATCATGAACAGATCTTCATCATGATGTGCTAACCATATGTGGATTTCCAGGCATTGAAAGTCAGCCAAGGCTGAGCGGTATCGAGACTCAGAACATTCCCCACTATTGGGAGGGGCATAGGACCAGGAGGGAGTGGGGGACCCGACTGCTTGTCCCGATATTTTCGGTAACAACTGAAGATAACCAGCGCCAAAGCTGATGTGGTCAAGTAAAGTCTGGATCCATCGTCGAGCATGGTACGATGTATTTCTCTGGTTTTTAATGGATGGTGGTTGAATTGTGCTAAGATATATAGCACTGAGAGTCTGAGAATGAATTATGATCCATAACGGAGCGATAGGAGCCTGTAAACAAACTTCTAAGTCCGGACACCCTCCGAATCACGGCATTCAAACGACCCTAGACTCCACTTAACGTGTTCGCTATGTTGCGCCCAGCCACTCGCACCCCGCATTGTACATATGGTGGAGTGAGAGAATGAGTAATGGTGAAGTAGGGCCGGCTACGAGTGTGTTGGAGATCTGGTGCTCATGCCGCACAGCCCTGAGACTTGAAGTGCTGGCAGTGGGAAGGAGCAGGAGTGGTGACAACTGTCGAGTGTTCTGGGCAGAGAGAAAAGAGATGGGGCACTCGCGAATACAAGAGTTGAAATTTTTGGCAAAGGATGGTGCACGAACCGACAAAACTGCCACGAGACTTGAGTAGAACAAATATTAATGACGACATGTAATGATGTACGTATATAGTTTGAACAAATGAAGATACAAAAAAGGACTCGTATCTTTCCGACGAAGTCGTTTGCAGCAAAATATTAGTCTTATCTTCAAGTTCGCGTTCGCTATCACTCACATTTCCTTTTTCTTGCTGGCCTTTTTCGCCATTGGTCAAGTTTAGAGTAGGACTCCGAGCCAGAGACGAGTGGTATAGGGCTCAGTGAGAAATGCCAATTATAAGCTGGTTAATAATATGAACACCGGAGAAATTCAAAGTAATAATTGTTAACAATCGTATGTCACAAGCAAGGGCTACTGAAATGTTGCATATTACAGGGGATATCGATGATCGATGATAGTAGTCAACATCACAAAGCTTTCTTAGCTCGCTTAAGCATCAAACAAACAAGTACAAATGCGCTCCGACGCGACCGACCTAATAACTATTAGTTTTAAAAGAAACTGAACACGTCAAGATGGCACCTACGCCTGCAAAGAAAAAATCTAACGATAGCATGACGCAGAAGAGCCTCATGAACTTTTTTGCGAAACCCGGCCTGTCAAGTTCAGTTGCAGTAGCAAAGAACGCGACCAGCGCCACGCCAGCGCGAAAAAGCTCCACTGTACCAGCGATTCAAACTTCCTCCGGGTCGACAAAGACTTCCTCGGCTGCTAAAACAAAACCGAAAATTACTCCCAAGACGCCAGACTCGAGACCATCTTCCGACATCGATATCGATGCAGAGAGCGGCAAGGACACTCCACCGACCTCAGACCCCATTCCCATAGATGTCGACATGTTATCAGACGACGAGAACGCGTCGGTCAAGAAGAGCGCTAATGTGAGCGTTCTAAAATTACTTCAAAGTGCTGTGCGACTTTTTCTGACAGTTCAACTTCCCTTGCCGTACAGACGCGCCTAACGAAACGCAAGATTGTTCTAGCTGACTCGGATGAGGAGGGCGAGGGTCTTTCAGGGAAGGGCACGACACAAGCTACATACCGCACCTCATCCCCCGAATACTATGACAAATCCTCTCCTTCACGTGGACGCGCGAAGAAACCGCGTATCGCGCCTACACCCTCAGTTCCCACTTCTGATGAGGAAGACGACGAGGACGCAGACGTGCGCTCGCACTTCTCATCCCGCTTGAGCAAGTTCCGCAAGTTGCCTGCCAAACGTAAGTAGCTGCATGCTCAACCCCAGTTTTATCTGAACATGAACAGCATCTAAGAAGAAATCGAGAGCTTCTGATGACGATGACGATGACTTTATTGTTCCTGACTCTGACTCAGAGCACGAGCGTTCATCGTCACGCGCATCCTCGCGTTCAAAGTCGTCCAAATCTGTCGCCTCGGACGACCAGTCTGGTGAGGAATCAGGTGCCCCAACAAAGAACTCTACGAAGGCAAAGCGTCCGTCCGCGAAGAAATCTGGGGCAGCTGGCGGTGAAACAGGAAGCGGGACTGGACTGGGAGGAAATACTATGTTCTTGACGAAGGCAGAGCGGCGCACACAAGAGAAGAAGACCGAGAAAAAGGCCGCCGAGGATCCGTTCCTCTTTTTGGTCGATGTACGGGATGTGAGTGATCCTTTTTAATAACTTCATTTCAAAGAGATGTATCGCATTTTTGTTCAATGTCTCACTCATTTATGGAGGGCGGAAGCATTTTCCAACGCACACATGCATATATATGCATAGAAAACTCATCCATGTTATATTCCCCTTCGATTGAATGGGTATATGCCAGTCTTCATCTTCTCTTCTCGAGTACCATCTAGTAGCTTCATATTGCTAATACGGTCTACAGAAAGACGGTGTTCGCCCCGGCGAGCCTGGATACGACCCGCGCACACTGTACATCCCGAAGAAATCATGGACAGAGTTTACGCCTTTTGAAACACAGGTGCGGCTGTTCTTTTTCTTTTATTTTGACGCTTTTGCGATGTTTTTACACAGTTTTGGGAGGTACGTCGGGATGTAATACCTTATAAGGGTGTCCTTGACGCTTGTTATTTCTACAGATCAAACAGGATCACTTCGACACTGTATGTGTTAATTCAGTTACTTTTGAATTGTGTTAACGTGTGTATTTCCTACTAGATTTTGTTTTTCCAGAAAGGGTGTGTTATCTGTTCGTTCCCTTCATGCTGATGCTCATGGCCATTCCGCCTGTAGAAAGTTCCTAGAGGTGAACCAGAGGCATTACTCGGAAATTTTATGTCTGTACTCACCCACACCTAGCTCTATGAAGATGATGCGCGGATCGGGCACCGGGAATTTGACTTGAAACTCACTCAGCGCGTGAAGATGTCCATGGTGGGTTTCACTGCCCCATTTTCCTTTGTATCACTTATGCACGACTTGTTAGGTCGGCGTACCTGAGACAAGCTTCAACTTTTGGGCTGCGTGAGTCCTTCCTCACAATTGTCATTGATTGCTCATTAAGCCCCACAAACTAGCAAATTCCTCGGCAAGGGTACGTGTATGTTGACATTCTCCGCATGAACAAGTTGAGCTCAAAACTTGGATACAGGGTATAAAGTCGGCCGTGTGGATCAAGCCGAGACGGCGCTTGGCGCTGAGATGCGCCTTGCAAAGGACAAGGGTAAGGGTAAGAAGGGCACTGGAGGAAAAGACAAAGAGAAAATTGTTCGTAGGGAGCTCAACAAAGTATACACAAACGGCACGCTTGTGGACGAAGACCTCCTCACAGATGAGCAAGCGGGGCATTGTATTTCCCTGTGCGAATCTGCCGACGGGAAGGATGGCATGAGCAGTTTCGGTGTCTGCGTCCTCGATAGCGCCACGAGCCAGTTCAGCTTAAGTGCATTTGAGGATGATGTATGCACGACAAAGTTGGAGACGATGATGAGACAGCTTCGGCCAAAGGAAGTCATCTTCACCAAGGTCGGTCTGATCGTCCTCATATTACCCAACTTTCCAGAATGATTATATCTGTTGTAACAGGGGAATCTTTCAGTGCAAACGACGCGCCTACTGAAGTCTATCCTCCCCGGGTCTTGTTTGTGGACCAGCCTCCGCGACGTCGAAGGGTTTACTTACCCGCAGACGATTAATGAACTGAACAGTATGTTTTCTGAGGCTAATGCTGGCGGGGAAGATGCGATGGATGGAGATGCCGAGCTATCGAGCGCTGTCCCACAGTGTATTCGTGACATGGCGGGTTACCGTGCCGCGATGGAGGCCCTGGGCGCGCTGATGTGGTGAGTATTTCGGACATCCCAAAGATAATGCAGGACATGAATGCTACGTCTAAAAATAGGTACCTCCGTCAGCTGAACATTGACAAAGACCTTCTTACGATGCGGAATTTTGACGTCTATGATCCAATGAAGAGAGGAACCAGCGTTGTGCTAGATGGGCAGACGCTTGCCCACGTTGAGGTGGGTGTCATTCTGTTATTCAATGTTAGTCTTTCCGGCAGGCAATGATTGATGTGGTGGTGCAGGTTCTGCTCAATAATGAAGGTACAGAAGATGGATCATTGCATAAACTTCTGGGAAGATGCATCACGCCGTTTGGTGGGCTTTGCGTTTCCATTTCTTCTAGAAGGTATTGAAGCACCATGCAGGCAAACGACTGTTTAGGATCTGGCTGTGTGTTCCTTTGCGGGAAGTTAAAGATATTAATGCACGGTACGACATTCCTTAGGGTTAATGACGTTGCGACAGTGTTAATATACTCTTCCGCAGCTTGGATGCTGTGGAGGACCTCATCTCACACGCAACTTTCGAGCAAGAATTTACCGAACTCGCAAAAGGACTCCCCGATCTGGAGCGGATCGTTTCCAGGATTCACGCAAATAACTGCAAGGTCAAAGATTTTGTCAAGGTGCTTGCGGTACGTATCTTCCCGTGCAAAATGAATTTGTATTGTGGGCGCATCAGATCCGTGGATCAAGATTTGGACTGCATTTGAATCTGGCCTTTTGAACCATCCCGCTTGATATACCGCCCTCAAGATCGGTGCAATCTCTGATGTTAACTCCCTTTCGTCTCCTAGGCCTTCAAGAAGCTTAGCCGCGGCCTTGCGAAGCTTGCCGACAGCTCTGAGTCATTCGATTCAAAGACGATCCTCGGACTTTTGAGATCAGCACCAGATCTGACTCCCAATCTGAAGAACGTAGAATCGCGGTTTACTGTGGACAAGGGTATGTATTACCGTGTTTTTCGTGGATCACTCGGATTGTGTCCCTTATTGTTCGTTCCTTGTTACTGATGATAAGATTTTAGAAACAGATGAGCTGCTCCCTGTTGCGGGCAAGGATGAGGTGTATGATGAAGTTATGTGTGAAATTGAAGAGCTTGAGAAGGATTTAGACGCGCAACTCAAGAAGTTTGAGAAAAAGCTTGGGTAGGTCTTTACTTCTCGAGAAGGCAGTTTGCGCTGATAAGTTTGATACAGGCGCAATCTTACGTGGTGGCATAGTGCTCAGGGGAACAAAGTCAGGATTCGCTTTTTCGTAATAACTAATATTCATGGTTGTATCTTCTGGTAGGAGATCTATCTAGTCCAGACCAAGGCGAACGAGAAAGAAGTCCCTAATGACTGGGTCAAAAGCAGCGGTACCAAGGTGGGTAAATCAAGGTACGTCTTGAGAACATAGCTCACCGTTATACGTCAGGCAGCTACCCGTTGGATCGTGCCTTCCCTTCAACCTACAATCCGAAGTCTCAAAGAAGCACGCGAGAACCGCTCAGCGGCGGTAAAGTCCTTCAGAGGACGTCTCTATGCCGAATTCGATACTGACCGGGGCACGTGGCTCCGCGCCGTGCGTGTTCTCGCCGAACTTGACTGCCTCTTCAGCCTTGCGAAGGGATCCATCGCGATGGGCGAGCCAAGCTGTCGGCCTGAGTTCGTGGAAGGCGATGCTGCCTTCATCGAATTTGAAGAGCTGAGACATCCAACACTGGCGAGCTTGCGGGAGGGCTTCGTTGCGAATGATGTGAAATTAGGCGGCGATCTTGGCAGGATTGCGCTGTTGACAGGTCCGAACATGGGGTTAGTCAGAATCATCTTTTTAGCATGGGTTACTTACATTGTATTATGCGCAGTGGAAAATCCACGGTGGGTAGTTACACCACCCCAGAGATTTGTTTTCATTTTTTTTCTTAGGTCATGCGCATGACAGCCACAGGTGTCATCATGGCGCAGTTGGGCATGCTCGTTCCCGCCAAGTCAGCTCGGTAAGTATTTGTTGTTACCCCTTTGACAGGATGCGTTCACTGACACCAATGCAGACTTTGTCCGATAGATGCTATTCTCACGCGGATGGGTGCTTATGATAACATGTTTTCCCATTCAAGCACGTTCAAAGTTGAACTGGATGAGTGGTGAGTGACGTCCCTCAACTTGGTATCTCGGTTATAAACGAGGAGTAGTTGCAAGATCTTGCGGGATGCCACGCCTAAATCGTTGGTAATCCTTGATGGTAAGCTATCATCCCTTTTAAACGGATATCTTGCTGACCCACATTCGAGAACTGGGAAGAGGCACTTCTACTTATGTAAGAGAAGACACCCCTTTCTTCGAGACCCACTATTGACGGCTCTTTATTCAGGATGGTATGGCAATCGCCGGAGTATGTCTCACTTGCATATCATGGGACTTTCTGATTATGACCTTGTACGACATTAGGCTGTCCTCCATGAAATTGCCACCCGCACCCTTCCACTAGCATTCTTTGCAACACATTATGGCTCGCTCACCGATGATTTTGCCTATCATCCAAACATCAGAAACATGCACATGTCTACCATGCTGGACGACGAAAAACACGAGGCAAGTAAGCTCTATACCGTGTATTGCTGGTCGATTAACACTTCCGTAGCTTGTCTTCCTGTACAAGTTGGTTGATGGTGTCGCATCTTCGTCCTTTGGCACACATGTAGCCAAGCTTGCAGGCGTGCCCGAGGAGGTGGTTAAACGCGCTGAAGTTGTGTCTGAGGATTTCGCGAAACAATTCAAAGCCAAGATTGACGACCGGAAGAAGAAGTCGCTGGCATCCAAGCTACCTTTGGTCGTTCAAGCGGACTTTACTTATCTTTTAAGCCTTGCCATGGGTAATTTGAAGCTGCCAGACGATCCGTTCAAGCAGCGAGAACTGCTCAAAGGACTCAAGCAGGCTGTGCGTTCGTATGTCAGTTCGTAGTTTGCGTTGTTCAATGTTGATTGCTTTCGATATTTGCTTTCTCTATACCCCACACTACTTAATAGCACACACTGCTCGTACATTACTTGGCACCCAGCACTTCACATACCGACATTGACATTTTTCGCTGTGCATTCACTTTGACTGGAAATTGCTATGTAACATAAATTCAATTTTCAGTGAATTAGAAAAACATCAGAAGTGGCGGTGCCGGTCACTTTGACCTAGATGTTCACTAACACCGTGCAGCCGAGCATCGTTTCTCTATTCTCTTCTACGAGTAGCGAACCTCTTTCCCTATTTTCACAGCAGACAGATGTGTCTCTCGCCGCAGATTCATTCATCCATTTTCTGAACGATGCGTCCTCCCTACCATCTCCGTCTCCACCGGCCGTTCTCTGCTCGATGCCAGCACTCGATGACAATGATGAACCAAATATTGGCTATGGCCTACATCAAACTGTCCTTCATATCCAATCCCCAACTCTCCGGATGACCTTCATCCAGTCCCCACCTAATACAGATCCCAGTGACAGAGAGTTAGGTTTAAAGCATAAATGGCTTCATTTGCAAATTCGAAACGTGGGCAGGGAGTGGTCTTTTGAAATAGGTATCGTTGACAAGTCGGGGAGGCGCGGTGTAGTTCGCTGTTCTACATTTCAGGTGCATGACATTTATGATTTCTCCCGTTCCTCGGTATCAACCTTCAATGCAGACCCTGGTGTAATATGCCCATCTACTGACTTCTTCTTACCAGAAGGAACCCAAACTTGCAATATCTCCTGTTTCGAATGCGCAACCGGTCCTTCATCTGCCTCTTTCATTTCCACAGCCCTCATCTCGTCCCTTGACAGCATGGTCCACAATTACGCTCAACCTTCCGTCCTTGATACCCCACTTTAGCACACTTGCTAGCATGAATCAGCTCGATGACGACGAAGGCAGTCGTCATGACATTAATCGTTCAGCGACAAATATCCCCTGTTCCTAGTGGGACATATTCGCACTTGGCGTACATCAAGATTTATGCGACATGTCGTTTACGAAGAATATGGTTAAGTGATCTTCTCCTAGACTCACAAGTGCCATGGGAGTTTGAATTATATGGGGCTTAGATGGATCATGTGGTTGCGCAGTCATCTATTAGATTGCGCGATGATGCGGTGAGCTCAACGTAAGATGGGGATCCAAGTCTAGTGATGATTCAATGTGTTTCCTAGAAAAGATATATTATTTATCGTGATTGTCCCTGTGACAGCGTCAATCGCAAAAGCGTTGTATATCTGGTGCCCTTGTTCTACACCGATGATCATGGACCTTATACCCTCACGCTGCGTATACGTGTTCCCCATCATCATTCTCGATTGTGTGACTATGTACTGAAATGGGCATAATGGCAACACGACGCCTGCCAGATCTGCCAATCAGGTGAGTCAAGGGAAGAGTCGCGTTCAAACTTCAGTTAGACGCTGCGCGGTAACCGTTGACCTCCTGATACATTTTTCATTCGTTATCAGATATGGTGCTTCTGCTGACAACTTTTTTAAATCTTCGTCGTTGTTACCCCAAGACAGTGACGGCACAATGTACAGTAGTACCGGTGCCTTGCAGTCATGTTTTAATAGCCCCTGTAGCTGCGCTGCCACATAAGTATCTTCGACCCTGTGATACAAACTAGTGAGGATACCGCTGGTGAACCACGCTGTGGCACATCCCACGACTGCATTCACATGATGTCTCATTACATTTCTGCAGCAAGATATAGTTCTGCACGTGGCTCGAAACGATACGGCAACATATCAATCAAGTGCGTTTCATTGATAGTCTGGGTTCCCTGATAGAAGTAGGTTAGGTTTCCAGCTTGTGGCGAGGTAGGTTAGGTTTCCAGCTTGTGGCGAGCTCAGTCTTCCCGCGCATGTAAAAGAAAAGGACTCGCCCACGAAGGAGGTATACAACATCCGTCTTTAACTAAAACGAGATGCGTGCATCGTATTCATTACTCTGTACGTTTGCGTAACTGTGGCAAGAGCGTGGCGGGCTAGGCCATTCGTGGATAATCCTGAGGTAAACTTCCACCGGCACAGGGGATTCGAGTCTGACATCTGACAAAGTTAGAGCTTGGGTGAGTATTTCATGATTACGTAGCTGACAAATATTGAACCCAATATCGCTGAGTTTGAATTTCAAACTTTCGTCCGGCAGGCAGCGGTAGCACCGTGACCTGCTAGAACTCATCTAGAACAAATCATGGCGGATGCATCGGAAATTAAAGATGTCCTTTACGACGCTCTGGAAATAATGGATGGGGGGCTAGATTGCGGAACGAAGCAGAGTGGAATACGGCCCACTGAAGTTTAATATCGCTTCAAAGGTAACAATTCTGATTCTCGTTGGCATTGAATATTGAGTAATGACTGATGAGTCTCAGGTAAAATTGTAGGAAACGAAGGTTTACCTGCTCACCAAATCGCGGTGTTAATGCTGCTTGTTTGCCACTCGCAGGCCCCCTGGGGATCACCTGTTTCCACTAGCGCTGTTCCTTGCCAAACAAATCGAAAGAAATGAGATTGATTTGAGCGACAAGATTCAGAAGGGTGTGCACAATGCAACCCGTGATATACTGAGATTGTAATTTTATCCTATAGTGGTGAGGTTGTATTCTTCCATTATTGCTTGCAGCTGCCGCTTTGCCCGATGATCGTTCTCTTTCTAGGTCATCCTTGGAAACCTTATGAATAATGTTCTGTGGAAGGAACCCATGTAATTTTATTCAGAAATGTCATGTCCACCGTGTAAGCTACGAACGGAGACGAGACACAGCACAAGTCCTGTCAGTGAAATGATCGCGTAGCCCTGATCTGTCACCAATCCCGCTGTCTGTCAGTTGTCTCTCGGGTGCCCATCCGCCAGTGGCAGCTATGACATTAATTGTCGTCCTATCAGACCTGTTGCACTTCGGCGGTTCTCATCCCGTCCTAGTCACGACACTAACATCATTCCTTGTCAAGTTCGCCGATGCCTGGGTAAATATCCCTGCGGGGAAGTACACTTCCTAAATAACCTGGAATTGGACGCGGGAATTGACTGGGTGGAGTGCACGGAGACCTTAGATGACACCCACAGATGCACGTTTGGAAGGGCATGCTGAAAGGGAGTGGGCTAGTATTACTCTCCCCTTCTATTAGCTAGTACGTTCTTCTCGACATCGGACAGCCTGCCCCTGCAGCTAATTGAATTTGTCTAAAGAGGGGACAATATTAATGCTTTTGCATGTTATCATTTCCGTGATTTGAACATAATCTTTTATTTTAGTGGACAAGACATGAGTTTACATGTTAGTAATTTACGTGAATGAAGGTGTACTCCGATCAAGAAATTACTGAATTCCGCGACCACATGTTTCATAATGCAGATCTCCCTATGCTTTATTTGCGTTTTGGCTTCAATATTGCAGCTAACTTTGAGTTTACCCGATCTTCTTCTGTTCCAGGCCATGTGTTCGCGGGGAGCCATCGCGCCCCAAATTTCTCAACACTTCGTTGAAATTAAACTTATTTGAACTCAGTGACCCCTCCGAGACCAGGATATTGTGAGCCCGAAACATTTTTTGCTCTTCAAACTCTTCAATAAGTAGTTTATGACAAATAACATCGTACAGTGGATATCCGCTGTGGCCTCATTGGTATGGTGATATAGTATAAGCTGCCGGTATATTAATCAAGGCAGCTGGGGCTGGTAAGCCAAACAACAAAAAGGATATAGAAGATCGAATGCACGAAGAATAAACGAATAGACCCAAGCTCGATAGAGCGTAGGTGAATTAAGTGAATTAACACAGTTAACACCCGCTTCATACGTCTATCTCCCCCTTATCGGCAATTGCTCGACAGCCCAAGAATGATGACGCGAATCACGGTGAGTCCGGGTAGTATCCACCCGACATGAATCATGTCATTGTCGCATGTCAAATGCATTGCGCAAAATGTAGTGCCGATAGTTGAGGTCGCTGCGTGAACCATGTGGCACCCCTGTGGGAGATCATGGCACCTTCAGCCCGCCGTCATTCTCACCACCTACGGGGGATGACACCACAGCAGTGACCGACGCGACGGTCGTTCCGTTTGACGTAGTGGACTCGGTTAATAATAGTGCAGCTTTGGGAATAGTGGCAAGTAATGGTGGGGGTGCTGAGATACCTGGGGACGATCCAGAGCTGATGGTCACATTCCAAGAGTACCGGTGATGAAAACTTTTCTTCTTCCGCACACTCGCTGAATAAGCGGCTCTCATTGCTTGTGTAGCATCGCTAGTATTGCTTGCGAGACTTGATGATGAACTACGCGTAGCAAGAGCGTAAGACGAGCCTACGGATGGCACAGGAGACGCAGGGGGCGAAAGGGATGGGAATACAACCGGGTGTTCGACGTGAACTTCAGAACCAAAATCCGAAGACGATGAGGAATCCGAAGGCGGATATGCAGAATGCCACTCGCCGGAGGTAGGAGGCTCATCAGCTGTAAGAACAAATGCGGGGAGAGTGAGAGGGAAAGAAGTGAGGAAATCTTCGGGAGGGCGAAGGCATGGTATGACTACAGGAGGATATGGAGGATCTTCTGCATCTGGGGAGGATAGGACTTCTCTGCGGGCCACCCACATGGCTAAATTTGTAGTGCATTGACAAGCGAATATCTCCATTTCTGAGACAGCAGACATATCAGACACGTAAAAGGGCAGTAATAGAATGCAAATACCAGGAACAGCTTGTGCGACAAGGTCCATGAGTGGCTTGGCGTATGAACCTATAAAGAATATCTGTCCTCGGACCTGGTCCAGCGGGGATTCGGAAGGCGTGACAGATGGCGGTAAACTCCAACGCTTCTCTAGCGATGCTTGATAGGTCCATTCAGCCATGAGGGCATCTGCCCAGTAATGCGAGACGCCGGGCGGCCGACTCTACACCGCACGCAAATTAGAATGATGTAGAATATAGATGACGAAAAAGAACGAACAGGATTGCTGATGTCTGCACACTTTATTATTGCCTGGCAAAGCAGTAATTGGCGCCGATCCAAAGAATATTCTTTACCGTCCACAAGCGATTGAAAATCTCTCATGAATTGATAATGGACACTCATATCCGTAGCCAGTACAATACCAGCAAGCATTTTCCGGAAACCAGAGTCTGGTCGATCCAAGAGTTTCCCAAGGCCATGGTGTCGCATTGCTTGTATGAGGAGGGCACAGTGCATCTGTTCAAGAGCTGACTTGTTATCATACACATCAGATAAGGGCGCTTTCGCATTTTTCTGCGAATGGATGTCAGGTGGTGTTTTTGCAAGCTGCTGTGTAGATCATACCATGAACATATTCGTCAATCCGGGATGACCCACATCATGTCCAATGGCAGCAATAAACAGAGCAAAAAGACATGTGTTGTTGAGATCGAATACGAGACGTCCTTCCCTTCCCAGTTTGTTTGGTCTCCATGTGCAGTCGTCACTATCCAACAATATAGACACAGGAGGTACGACACCTGCCGCACACAGGAAGGCCTGGGAGGCCTGCATGACATCTACAGCATGCTGAAAATTATGATAACTGTTATGTCCACAGTACAGGGGCTGCATATGTTTCAAGAACACGGAGATATCATCTGTCTGAGTGATAAGAAACGTCGTCACAGACACAAAATAAGACTGACCGAGGGAGACACCTATATCCTCTCGCATGAACTCAATTCGGAACAGGCTTTCAAACAAAATTTGTGCGCAGAAGAGGACTTCCTCCTCAGGTAGGTTCTGCGGTTCGAAATGCCAACTATCAAGAGACTTGATGAGGTGCGCTCGCGTATGAGCAGGTATCACGATTGGAGAGCTGATGAAGGGATCGGTTAAATGACTTAAATGTGACAGAAAAGGACATTACATGTCATGTACATGGTGACTGACGGTAGTCTGGGTGTGGTTGTACATATCGCTAAGTAGTTCGGCATAGCTATTATCAAACAGTAGTAAGAACCTCTCCGATCAAAAATATATGAAAATAAGGCTTACCGAGTCTCTCCTTGTTCATCTTCTTCCCATCCACCCCACCCATGACCTAAGCCTTGGTTTTCGAGTGCAAGCGCCAAGCCGCCGACGTCGACGCTTCTTCGGCGCCCATGACAATATTCTTCGTTATCAAGCATGAACTAGCTGAACTTGATGGCGATGGCGGAAAACGAGAAGTAGATAAAAAGTTAAGGAGGTGGCCAGTGATTTATGTTGCTGACAGACTACCAATAGCTCGGATTGCTTCGCTCGCGTGGTCGTGGTTGTTTTGACAGATCTCGTGGCCATCGGGTCTCGTGGTTCTCGCGTGGCGGATTTTTTAATTCTCCGCCACATTTTCGGTCCGATTTCCCGAACATGCCCTTGTTGTTATTCGAGTCCTTGTTCAAGGAAAAACTATAAGCCCCTCTTTCGTTCCTGCCACCACAGACGCTTAACCGCATTCTCTTGTGTTTGAGGTCATAGCACGATTTTTTACACCCGCAAGGACTTGTTCCTAGAACGGGAAACCACACAGAGACCGTGACACGATGACAAAGACTCCTGGGAGTTCGTGAAACACAAGAGAGTGAACACGCCTAGGACTCTGACTTTAGGGTAATCCCTGACATCGATCTCAAAAGAGCGCCTGCTTCTCTCGAAGCAGCCAGCATGAATAAGAACTGCGCCCGTGCTCGATGCTAGGCCAGAGGGCATCAAGGTGTGGGGATAATTTTATGTGCGCGTCTGTCTACAACTAAACAGTTGCTTTATTAGCAGTCAATGCCTGTGACTTTCAGTCCTTTTTGTCTGCGTGTCAGGCGACAATTTGACCATTACTTGCAAGAAGTCAGTCAGTGGGACATTTACGGCATTGGTTAAAAACACAGGATTATCACCGACAGCGGAGGAAATGGGCCAAAGTGCTTAGTATTCCGATAGCTCTATGAAATTCGCAACTTGAATAAATAACGGATCGCCCAGATCGCCCAGATCGCCCGATGATCGCTTCACTCACCGTCAGTGTCAGAAATAATTATCCTGTTTCAACCTTGGTCTCGTAATTTTCTGAACTGTAACCCATCGACTCGCCTTGGTCCGTATTCCAGCAGCATATCATCACCCTCTTTATTCCTCATAAATCACCACCGAAGGTATGTCTCTTCGTCCGTTTCACAAATAGCTTTTTTTTGAGCAACTTCAGGCGACCTTGTGCCCCCCCCCCTATTTTTTTGAATGTCATATATGAGCTGTGAGGTATTATTGCCATTTTCTTGGCTGGCCTAGACTGACATTGCCCGTCGCATTCCCGGCTACCTGCCTTTAACAGCGGATCGTATCTTGATTATTATCGTGAGTGTTGCAAGGCACTGAATCACCAGCAATCGGGCGCATGCCATTGACATCTATGGGCCGCTAGTTCTGCGCCACTGTTCACACGACACGACTTACCGTAAAGTCGTGCTGATAATTAAGGCATGCAAGGTAACTTGTTGAGTTGCCGAAGCTTATCGGGCAGTGACCACAACGCCCAACAGCTCCTCTTTCTTGTCCTCTCTAGCCGCGTCATAAGTCCTTGCATCTGTGGGGTAGGTAGACACCCTCCCCGTATTACAGTTTAACTTGTCTGTAACTGACTTCAATGCATTTTAGGTGTGCTTCCGCACCTTTTAGAAGCATTGCGACGTCCCGTCCTTTCTCCCTCGCCACAAACCCATTTCGCGCCTTCTGCTGTCGTTATCGAAATCACGGAGCGCGTGTTGTATTCTGTTTCAGTGCCACCCCAGATCTTCACGGGTCAATGAGGATGTATGACCTGTCAACCATCTTCGAACGCACTCAATCGAAACAATGCAGGGTCTGTCTGTCTAGAATTCAAGACAGCGGCAAGCGGCGATACCATTCCATTGAACCTTAACAGATCGCTGAATGACTTGGCATCAGATGCTTGGTGCACAACTTTGAAGACTCACTGGAATCACTTCTACCATTGAGTTAGTCTAAGCTTACGCCCCACGTTGTAGAACACGCCGGCTTCGGACCTTCACGCGGGTTAATCTTATTCGTCGTCCCCGTGGGGCGTAGCCCTATGTCAACAGTCAGTTCATGTTGTACTGTATCATGTGCTAGTCAATGCTAATAACAATATTAATAAACAATGTTCGTGGGAGCACTATGATGTCAGTCGGGCCTTTGGTCGACCTGTCAAAAAAGAGGGTTCAACATCCTCAAACAAATCATTCTAAATCACATCCACCTATCTACCCCAGGTTCTAGATGATTCGGAGTGCACCGCCTTAGACCGCGTTGATGCTTCCGAGTCAAACGTTTGTGAATAAGTAGTCAGGGATAGATAGTAAAGTCCGTGTGCTTCTCTACTATCATGATTGGCGCTCGGATCATTCCTTCTCTGAGATACAATTGCAATACTCTGCTGGATAATACATGGACTCATATCTTCGTACACCCACATGTTACAGACTTTATGAGTACTTTGGCGCTTGTGCCATACCAAAACAGTTACCAATATCAATGTTCTCACGAGCGCGTCGTGCCGTACACACTGCACGGAACACCAAACGACCTCGCGCTCACAGGGGAGACACGACGGGGACATATGATCAACAACACGACAAGCATACATACATGCATTATATTTATAATTTCAATTTTATCAGCTATGAATGAAATTAATCTTACATCGCCTCATTGTCGGTTCATAACTGCGGGATATGGTCTAGACCGTCATCTGGAATTGAGGGCGCTTCAGATGCGTTCTTATGTGGTTCGACATATATACACATATGAGATTGAAGCTTAAGGACCCTGCAAGTCTTCTTCATGGATCGGTGTTCTGAAATATGGTACGAATCGCCACACGGCGGCGAGAACGATTAGAGGATCGGGTTTGACTGGGGAAGCGAACTAGACTGCAGCCACTGGCAGGAAGTTGTATGAATGACAGGTACTTACGGTACGGTGGCGGAGATACGATCGATAAGGTGACGTGAAGCGGTACGTGCTCCGGCGGCATGGAGGTTATGCAGAACTTCGAATGCAAGATTGGACTTGTGATATGTCTGACGTGTGATTCGACAATGAAATGAAGACGGGCACAGAGAGGGTTGTTAGCTCAAAGTTACGGTATGCGATCTCATGAAAGATCGGGATGTGGACATTGCAGCAAGATGAACAATATGAGTATCATAGGTATCATATGATTTTGCAGAGTATATTACATGCGTTCCAACCTGCCAGAAATTTAATTTGAGTTCTGTCCGTGAGCGAAGAACGACCCAAGACAATAAGAATGATCAAGAAAAAGAAAATGCAACAGTAAACGACGTGATGAGCAAAGTAAAACAAGCAGGGATGAATCACTCCAGCAACCCTCAAATGCGATAGATCGGCAATCGACAGTGGTAGCAACAGTGATTGAAAACGTTACCCAAGACTTGAGCGCTACGAGCTCGTCCGTCCTTTGATTAATCGTCATGGTAATGCAACGTGGGTGTACTTTATATCATGAATGGTGCTTGTAGATTGGCGGGAATCGACCAACGTCGTGCCATAGATGAGAGTGACGGAAGGTTATCAGTGGAAGAACCGCAGCTGCCAGAGCCATGGAGTGTATATGTGCCAGAATACTGCAAGCAATTAGTAAACGATGATTGATATTAGCTAAAAGCATACCTCTGAGGCAGACATATCCAGGGGCGTTCTTCGCGACGAAGTGGAAGACAGTGAAGGGGAGTGGGGATGGGAATTATATGACCTGAGTGATGGCAATGTATACGAATGACACGACGGGTCGTTGGTGGCCCAGCTATTATGTGAGACCGGGGGGTAGGAGAGGTCGGAGTCGTCACCCTCCGCCCACCTCGTGTTTTCGTCTGGGCCAGGTTCTGGGACCTCTATGAGAGTCTGAAGGTGTGAAGGTGCTTGTTCCTCGAGTTCCTCGTCAGAGTCGCGGTATCCAACGTCGAGTTGAAACTCGAAGACCTGAGGTTCTTCGTCCAACGGGCCTGCATCCTCCCCCATCCAGGTACTCATTGCCTGACCACCACCCTCATGCATTGAGAACGGATTGAGCCGAAATACACCCATCATTTTGCGCATTGCCTTGCTTGCTTGGGTCGCGCGCAAGGGCACTTCTGTTGGGGGAGCTAATGAGGTGCTGTCCTGCGCAGCTGGGACAGCGGTAGCAAATTCCATGACAAAGCAATCGGCGCTTGAAACCTCATCTTGTTCGAGCTTGACTGGAGGTGATCTGGACGATGAAGCTCTAGAAGAAGTACGTGCAGAAGGAGATGTGCTAGTGACTGTAGGAGGTGGTAGTGAATGCGATGGAGTACTTCTGTCATCGTGGATAGTATAAAGAGTTGCACCCCATGAAGCATCGTCGAACTTGAAAGTGGAACCTGCCGATGGGGAGCGGTGTTGGAGTACTTGACGTTCAAAGGATGAAGATGACAATCCGGATGATAGGGATTGAGGAGATGTTGATTGTAAGTGACGCTGGGAGGGTTCTGTGTAAGCAGACTGTTGATAGCCACCGTGACCGGAACCGGGGTGGCGCAGATTGACTGGATAAGATGGAGAGGATGGTACAGGAGAGGAGGAAGGTACAACTTCATTAGACCAATTATTGAGCAAATTCACGTTCCAGGAAGAAGAAGTAGAAGAATAATCATGAGGGATTTCATTTTGTGATCTGGATTGGTAGTTCCAGTGAGCAGGAGCTAAGGAAATGGAGTCATGTATCTGGTAAGACTGTCTCTCGGTTTGTTGGTGAAAACGTCTGTCGGTAAGGATTGGATAATGATCCAAAGACATGAAGAGAGTTTATCTTAAGCGGAAGCGAAAGGGAGAATGAGATAGTTTGGAGGATGACAAGTGAATAGAATGATATAGTTGGTGAAAGGGTTTTGAAGAGTTAGGACGCGAATTTAACTTGAGAAGGGTGCTCTATAAGAACGAACGGAAAATGAAGTTTGAAAGAAGTTCAGAGAATGAGATCTTAGTATCCGACATTTGACATCTGATGTAAAGAACGGGAGGAGCGTATGCAGGGCGCCCAGATCTAAAATCTGGATCGAACTCGTTGCAGAGGCACGTCCGAATGGAAGTGTCTTGTGTGAAAAAATGTCAACACATTCTGGGCAACAAGCCCTCGCCGTGACGGAATTTCATGTTATAATAAACAAAAAAAATATCCGTCTCAATATTTCATTTTTATACACCGGAATCTTACCAATTGAATCATAAACCCGGAACTAGCGGTGAACTACTACCCAATAGGCTTGAAATCCCCGTTCGTTGTCGTATACTGCTCCTCACCGTTAAGTCGGTGTCCATAAAAGGAAGTCTTCGTATTGGGATCCACATACCACCAGCGTCTAAATCTAAAACTTCCAAATCCGATATGCTTCTCCGGTCTCCGATGTTTACCGAAACCGGTTATTACTCCTTGCTTTAAATTAGACGCCCAAACTTGCATTGATATCTATCATGTTATCATACCATCTCACTATCCTATCAAAACTTTACCATCTTTGTCATATTACCATCTAAATTGCTCATAATCCCACCTTTTGCACGTTTACGTCCTATCATGGACTAGAAAGGAAATCAGCACCCGCCTTTCTTTGCCACCACAAACAAAAGCGCTAGATTCAAATATAAACTATCTGACCTCGACCTCGGACCTCCTTCCCGGTGTATCTTTCTTATTCCCCAAATTCAATGATGGGGTTTTCAAGATCTGCGCTAGCTATGCTGTGTTCACCGCATCGCAAATTTAGACCGGATCGCGTGCCGCAGCCGAGAGATGCGCGTTCGTCAAAAGGCACAGCTTCCTATCCTCGATTCTGCCAAGCTCCTGCTCCTTGAAGCTGATTAGCACCATCGACGGAGTGTAAATGTTTCGTCCTTCATGGTACCGATACGGTTCAGCGACACTCCATATCCCCGATGTCACTCCCATCCCGTGTGAAACGACCTAGCATTTACTTGGAGTACGCCACCGCAGATCGCCTTTTGAATCAATCCCCTTCGGCTCGCGTCGTGGACTCTAGGGCAACCACTCGCATCGAATCGTAAATCCATCACCTCAACCGTGATCCCTTCCGTTGGCTATCACGAAATAACCGATCTTCGCCACCCGTATTCATAATTTTATATTATCACATCGTTATTACCAAGCATTGTCCTTGGTTCCATTATCGCCATAGTAAGTACTTGTATTGTCGGGATGTCGGAAGTTAACTGATGATCTTCGATCTTAGCTCTTCAGGTGCTAACCATGATCTGATAACAATCGCTTCCTTTTCATGCTGTAAACTTTTTTCTCTCGAACCATTTTATTCTCTATTATGTGATCTTGACATTGGAGCCGTCGTCGTACGAATACTCGTGTTTTGGCCGTAAGACCTAAGTGAATCGGTCATTAACACACAACGACTACAAAGAATGGATCATTCGAGAAAATGTCCTGTTTGCACGTTCCTGCTCCCCATGCTTTCAACCAATCATGTGCAGATCTGCCATGCATTGGGCACATGCCTTGATCTTCGGCATCAGCTGGCCATCCGTCGTAGTCGTGCCACTCCTACGTCATCGTTCATGGTTCAAGATTAGTACTCTCTCGCCCCCCTGTATCATATCCGGCGCGTTCACCGAGTCTTAGATACCCTGCCGTGATCCGCCGTGACACCGGTGCAACTTGTTTTTTTCTGTCATGCACACACTGATGTCTCCTTGTTCAGGTTCCTTGCCAAGCTCGGGCTTCCAACCACCGGTACCTTTTTTTCTGAACCCCTCTGTACAATCTAAATACCGGCCGACGCTATGGTGCCACACATGATTTCTGTCCATGTGGTCACTGTCCTCGTGCTCGGATCGGCGGTGCTGCAATGATGACCATGCCGCCGCAGCGCCCCGCATAGGTTCAGGGTTGAGGCTTTCAAAGCTCCAGCGGGCTGCGCATCGATCACCCTTGACCTCTTCCCATGATGTTATCTTACTCTCAAGGAATGAGGTATATGACATCAATGTTTGTTGCAGTTTTTTTTGACCGGAGAGATTACCAGGGGAGGCGACAGTAAACCGATCCGTGTGCTTCGCGTGTATTCACGTGTTACCCGTTTACCCTCTTGGCCGACCGCGGATATCATGGTCTCCCATGCGGCGGACCACAAGCGCTATTTACAGTTATGAATAGCGCTCAAACCTCGATACTTTATCTCCATACTCTATCTGGCGGGGATAGTCCACCGAAAAAGTCAACGATACAGACAAATAAGAATCCTCGTCCCGTGGAGCACGACATGAAATCCTGCAGAGTGGTATTGATCTCTTACCGGATATTCTCCCGTCAATCATAATCTTCAACATGGTTCGACTGCCGTAAAATACGATTCCTATGCCGATCACGATCTCTCATATCCTTGGTGTTTGACAGTTACATACGGTCTCAAAAAGGAGGTTTCCTTACCTTGACGGATGTCCCTATCTGAACAAATCTGTACTCTATCCCCACCCGCCTTATTCGGCGCGAAGGTACCTGAAAGTCGGCGGCGATGCTCAACGTTGGTTCAAAATGATCTGCGTTGACCACATTAAGAACGCTGAATCCCCTCGAGGCGCCCGCGGACCAGGCTGTGTGTGATTCGCTACCTCACTCAGTTGCCGATGATGTTCTTCCCCCTTGTTATCCGCATCGCAGATTGATATCGTTGTCCTTGTTTCGTCACCTCCGGGGGAGTTTCAGGAGGCCTCAGGAGACCTGTGGGTACCTGATGGCATTCAGATCCGCGGATCATCTTTTGGGACTGCTCTGCTGACCTTTGCTCCCAAGTTACGCTGCGAAAAAAATAAAACGACAAAAAAAAGTTTCAGCTTCATTCAACGGGAAGCTTTGGATTAACAAACGTGTCTGAGATGTATTTCATCAGCCCCGACGGCGAATAGAATATTCACTCACGCCGATGCCGGTTATGCTCCGATACATTGTACTTTAAGACGTTAGCTGGTCATAATAATATTCTCCCACCGTTTGTTACGCATACGGATCATGACTGCCACACGAGATGAGGCTTAGCACCGACTATCTATTAACTTGATCTTTGGGTACGCCGTTCAGCGCGTTATGAACTCTGCTTAAATTTTCAACCGGGAGGGGAGGATCGAAAGCTGCCTTCTGTTATGTTGTGTTATTGTGTGGAAGTGGACAGTCCGCTTTGAGCGGTTTGTACGTGCATCATGATGGCTTCCAAATACTAGTACATACAGCCTTCCAAAGCTCTAGGAAAGCACAGGAACGTTGCGAGACTAGTGCCTAACGTTTGTGAGTAAGGAAGCAGCCCAGAGGCGTCCTGATTTTCTCGCGTCCTCATCGTGGCGCCTTTAGTTCGAGACTGTAAGACGCCGTGCGCATAAGCTGACAGGCTTTCAAAGAATACAAGCGGCTGTACCTGTGGTTACACATCAACATCTGAGCGTCTCGTTCTTGAGCCTCACGACCGCTTCGGTGGGCGTTAATTTGAGTTTGAGTTGAGTTTTGAGGCATCGCAAATGTTTAATGTACCTAAGGTTGTATATCCGACGCTGGCGTTCACTCCGAGCTTGTCGCTGCGCAAGAAATATTGAGCCTCGGGACGCTCGCTATGCAACTAGAGGGTTCATTTTTAACGCGTTGACACGCCGTTACTCTTGGAAGCTTGATTTTTTGACCTCGAACAGAACTTGGCAACCAGGTGATCACTAGGTCCACGATAAAACTGATGTTCAACGAGGATGGTCGTCGATATCAAAGATAATGATAAGCGCTAAGCATCCGCGGATAACGAAGAACGCATTCAACGTTGCAGCGCGTAAGTAAAGTTGTTGTTCGGATATACACCCTTGCCTCTGTCCCAGATATTGGTCAGCTCAGCCTAGACTCCGCTGCTAGATGATCGCAACTCACATCACGGGTGCCATGCAGGTGCGTTTGTACAGCTGTGCAGAATTAACACCTGGAATCTGGATGCACATGCGGCGATGACGTCAAACTTCAAGATAATGAGTTCGCCGTGACCTTGCGACATCACCGAATACGTTTGTACAGCTGAGCTGGTTTAGCTACTGGGTGCATATGGGATGATCGATGATGCATGACGTCTCACTTCAAGATAAATTCACTGTGACTTTGCGATGTCACCGGGACATGTACGCTGTTCGGTTACGTCATAACGTCTTACCACAATTTGCGCGTCCAATGATTCGTCGAAACCCCGTCCGACGTGGGTGGGTCCGTCAGCATTACATTTTCTAGCGTGACTTGAATACCAGCGTGGGGTCCCTGTTTAGATGTAAAACGAGCAGTTCAACGACCTAGTGTGGGCTGTGGTAGCCACGAGGTCGTTTCATTTTGAAGTTGCGTGCAGTACACGTCACATCTGGGAGATGATCCCGACTGAAGGTTTCTGAGGACCCGAATGGCCGCCGCAGCGGTGAAAAAAGTCGCTTAAGCCCAGATTGTTGTTTTCTGGTTTTCGGGCCTGGCTGTGGCTGTGGAGTGCCGTGGCTGTGAGTGCTGTGGCTACGGACTGCTCGGCCGTGAGTCGTGACTCCATGTCTGACATGAACATCCAGAACACCGTCCCAGACTTTGAATGAAAGCTTGAACTCACATTCCTCGTAGCACTTCCATTGACAGCCGCTTTTACCCCCCCCTGACAGGCTTTTTAATGCGTCAAAAAAGAAAGGAGAGCACGATCGCGATCATCACCCATTCGTTGCCCCAAACCTAGGATTATTTGCATCGGCGACGTTTACAAAGCTTTCACCTTTCCTAAAAACCTCACAAGCTCCCGTACCACCATCTCTGGCGCTTCTTGTTGTACCCAATGGCCTGCCCCCTCGATCAAAACGAAATCCTCATCCTGCATGCCTCCCGCGCCGCTACACATCACTTCTCGCATCTTCCTCACAGCCCCTGGAGTTTGATACACTCCCCAATCCTTGGCTCCTGATATAAACGCCGCAGGCACCTCCACTCGTCGCCCAGCTAGAGCACGTAGTTGAGCTATCCGCTCAGGGGGCGGAGGCGAGAGTCCGCTACGATAATGATTAAGCGCACCCTGGAAGCCAGTGCGGCCGAATTCAGCAGCGTATACTCCCCCAGAGACTTCGTCACCTCTGGGCCATGTAATTCGGGCGTCCATGCGAACATGACGAGCAATGACGTCTGGCATGCTTTCGTGCAGCGGCACTGACGTAGTATTCTGGGAGAGTAGCAAGGTCCATTGCCAGCTCACTGATGCTGGGCGAAGGTGATAATGCAGAAGGTAGGGGGTGTGGATCATTTCCATCCCAATTGCCACTCTTCATGTAGATATAGCCGCCGAGAAAATCGTACAGAGCCTTTCCCCCTTGACCAAGCATGTCCGCATTGGCAGAAAGAGTAGAAAAGTATGCCGTATAGTGCTTGCGTGGAGGTTGGAGCGCAGCAAGCGCAGTGGCAATGTCAGTACCCAAAGAAACCCGTTCCTTCGCTTTATCATCTCCACCTTCGCTACTCGCTTGAGACAAGGGTGGACCAACGCCCCCAAAGGGTGCGCTCATGAACACGACTGATGCAAATAGTTCCGGATGCGCGACAACGCAGTGTCCCGCAAGACGAGACCCAAAGTCATGCCCTACGAGCATCGCAACGGATGAATATCCGAGCGCTCGTACAAGGGAACAAACGTCATCTACGATATTGAGCATATGATACGAGGAAAGCGCATCTTCGTATTGCACTTGGCTGGCACTTCCGAATCTTGTCAGCGTTGTTCGCCCATAACCACGCAAGTCAGGGGCGACAACATGATAACCTTGATGAGCGTTGGCGATAGGCACCAAGACTTTGCGCCATGAGTAAGCAAGTTCTGGAAAGCCGTGGAGAAGGAGGATCAAGTGGCAGGGTGTGCTCGATTGATTGCTTGTATCTGGAAACGCTTCCAGGATATGGACGTTCAGACCATCGCGGTCACTCAAGGTGATGTACCGAGACGTAATTTGAGGAGGGAGATCAGGTAAGTCGACTGGCGTTAGTGTTGTGTTCATGACATTTGATTTGAGTATTTCTGCCCAGGGAACCCTTTACCAGTCAGTTACAGGGTTTAGTAAATGGAAAGGTACAAGCTCCAATGACACCTCGTTGATAAGATTGGACAGTACCCTAGAGCCTTAGTAGGTGCATCCAAGTCTTGATAAGTCGATATCCAGCAGACACGCTATACTCACCTGCAGAACGGACTCGGGTTGTTGCACTGGCGTGGCAATATAGAACTTGATATATGATTAGCCTGGAAGAAGGGACGTATTCTTATTCTGCTGCGGAGCAAAAACACCTGATGTTCCCACGTACCTGATCTAATTAGACGTGACAGCGAGGTTTGACGGACGGGTCTAAATCGACGTGTTTTTAGTTGTTACCAGCCAAATGAATAAATACTGGATACCAAGCGCCCTTACAGTTCTTGAAAGAAATACTAAAGACGAAGTCTCAGCGTCCGAGAGAGAACTGCTATGACATTAACAAGACCTAAAGACGAAGTCTAAAGGTGAAATACAGTAAGACAAGGACGGCGGGGAGGAAAGACGTGATACATACCTCAGCGTCCGAGAGAGAACTGCTGTCAGAGGTATGAACGTACACAGAAGACGAGCTTATAAGGTAAATTACGTAAAGAGTCCGTGATGACGAATGATGACGAATCTAAGTGTCGACGTTGTACTCTCAACACACCCCCTCAATGAGACACCAAGGCGAGACCTGAACGATGCTGAACCTTTTGTGAACACATCCGCGGTGTTCTTATGGGTAGAGAGCCAGATGGGGAGAAATGTGCCTTCTTCGACGTGGCGCTGAATGAAATGGTATCGCAAATCGATGTGCTTTGTTCGGATGTGATTGGCGGCCTCTTTCGAGAGTGCGATGGCTCCTGCGTTGTCGGCGAAAAGTTGTAAGGGTAATGTGAGTGGGACACTGATACAACCGAAAAACGACTGGAGCCAGAGTCCATCTTGTATCGCTGCTGTTAAGGCCATGTACTCTGCCTCTGTGGACGAAAGCACATGAGTCATTTGCTTTTTCGTAGAGTGTGATATAGGGCCACTGTTGTAGAACCAGACATAGCCTGAAACTGAGATGCGGTCTTCGGGATACAAAGCCCAGTCAGAGTCACTGAACCTGTGGAGGGTGGCATTCACACCGACACCCCCATAATGGATGTGCAGCCCACAGTGCCTGAGAGGTAACACAAGACATGTTTCGCAGCTGTGTAGTGGCAGGGTTTCGGCAATCCATTGTTCCGAGTGAGGCGCATCACAGTGTGAGCGATATCTGGACGAGTGTACATGGTGAGGTACAGGAGTTCACCAACAATCTTACAGTATTCAGTTTCTAGGTTGTCAACATGTGGATGCAAGTCAGTCGGGCGTCCGAACGGGAAGTTTGGATCCATTGGCAGTGCGACAGGGTTACAGTGAGACATCCCATGTTCTTGTAGAAGGTAGATGATGTAGTCCTCCTGGTGCATCCACAGCTTGTGCGTTTGATGGTCACGAATGAATTGAATGCTGAGATATTTTGTGATGGGCCCAAGATCAGTGATTCCGAATCATTCCACAATTTTCAACTTTGTCTGGTTGAGAAAAGTGCGATTGTTCGCACCTGCCAGTCCATCATTCACATGCCAGGCGATGATGCAGATGATTCTCACCCCCTCGCCATTGATATGGTCGAAAATGAATACTGCATAGTTGGCGTCACAACAGATGAACCCTAGACTGATGAGCACCGCTCTAAGAAGCTCATACCAGTCATATGTGGCCTGCTTTAGGCCATAGAGGGAGGACAGTAAGAGCCCATTCAGCAACCGACATTTGCCCATGTTTGATACAAATGAACAAAATGTGACGAGAATGGCATTGAAGCCGATGTGATGGAGTTTTAATGGTCAGCCTATGATAAGTGCATGTATCTCTGTCATATGATAAGGAGCTATATAGCTATGGATCCAAGACTCACACACCCACTGTTTGCTAACCCTTCTAACCCTTTTTTTCTACAGAGACCTCTCATGACCCCACCAGTTCAACCTGCAGATCAGACTCACCCCCACCAGGCTGATTTAACGTGACAAGCTGCAGTTCACCAATGTATTCTGCGCTATGTAGCGCTTCTACTCAATATACTGCTTGCTGCCTCAGTGCAATTCCTCCTGCTGCAGATTCAAGATGTCAGTGGCCCTGAGCCCTACCATACATCAGCCCTGACAGGGCAAGAATGGGTTATGGAATTGATTGTAGGGCATCCAGAACGCACCCGCTGTGAGCTTGGCGTCAATGTCCACGTCTTTGCAAGCTTAGTTGATGACCTTCATGGCCTCGGTCACACTGATTCACGCTACGTTTCAGCTGGAAGAACAGCTAGCCATTTTTCTGTACACCTGTGTGACAGGATTGACTGTTAGACATGTTGCAGAACGATTCCAGTGCTCGAATGCTACTATTTCTAAGTTCGTGATTTCGTATATGTCTCACACTTCAGCTTATTCCATCCCATAGATATTTCCGGAAGATGCTAGATATATTTGCCTCCCACCCCTTCTACACCACTCATGTTCACCTTCCTCCTGCTGATGCACCTGTCGCCCGCGCAATTCGTGACAGTCAAAAACGATGGCCATACTTCCAGGATGCTATCAGGAGCCATCGATGGTAGCCACATTCATGCATTCCCTCCCTCAGCCACCCATCACCTGTACTACAACCGAAAAGGATTTGTCTCTCAAAATTGTCTCTTTGTTTGCGACTTCGACCTCAATTTTATGTTTGCACTAACTGGATGGGAGGGATCTGCGACGGATGCACGGCTCTGGGATCAAGCTCACATTGATGGTTTAAAAATTCCACCAGGAAAGTGTCTCCTTGCAGACCTAGGCTTTCCCTTGTGCCGACAACTGTTGGTCCCTTATCGTGGTGTCCATTACCACCTTGCTGAATGGGGTTGTGCTTCTGTCAGGTAAGACTTACAGCTCTCTTTTGCAGTCCGGCTCATCCAATAATGTTTTAGGCCTCTCAACAAGGAAGAACTATTTAATCTTCATCATGTGTCTGCTCGTAACATCATTGAACATATTTTTGGTGTGGTGAAGCGGCGCTTTCGCATACTCTTAGTATCCCCAGAATACAAAATCACCATTCAAGCTCGCATTCCTACAGTGCTCTGCGCTCTTCATAACTACATATGCGCCCATGACCCAAATGAAGGGCCTCTGCCTCAGAGAGCCATCTTCAATGACAACCCCGCCATTCAAGTACAACCAGATGACACGCGTGATGATGATCAATCCAGGTCATAATTCAATCGCCGATGATGCAGATGCAAATGCATTTCGTGATCGCATGGCCACGGAGATGTGGGGAGACTATCAGAGGATTTTACAGGAGCGCGATTTAGAAGACAGTTTTTCATCAGTTGGACATAGACAAAGAACCGGAGGAGGAGGAAGACATAGATGAGTACTATGGGAGCGAGGATGATGCTGACAATGATCTTTAATTTCACAATGTACTCTAGTGTACATTGTGCTACAACAAAAACAAAGATGATGTGCTGCATATAAACATGCTGATGAAAATGAAGGAAAAGTGCAATGAGCAACAGAAATTACAGCGCGCCAAAGTCCCCCCTGAGAGCCTGATGGATAACAGATTGTAAGTAAGGCAGGCGATTCTCAGGCCTACTGGACACATAAGTGGTGCATGTCGATGGGCTCCTTCCAAAGACAATCATGAGTGTGACCTTGTCCTCTGGTGTGATTTCTTCATCATCTTGCATTATGGCCAAAGCCTGTGATCTCTCATCTGCCACCTGACTTTCATCCGTGTTGGTCATCGACGTTGACAGACTGTCTGTCAGGTGGTTTATGGCACTTTGAAGGTACATAAACGCCTGCAGTATTGCCTAGCCTTGGAATTGCATTGACTAGCAACATGTGACATGGTGCTGCCACCATGTGCCAAAAGCTTCGGCTTCTTCTCAGAGCTGGCGGAATCTATGTGCGACATAGGAGGATTGGGTGGTGTTACCAGAGAAGAGCATGTCAGAGTGCGAACATTTTCCGGTGCTGGAGGCTGATACTGAAGACAGGGGAAGGAGGCATGTTCATGGAACTGCTGCTGACAATTCCAATGTTAGCGGATGGGAGGGCAGACATGACCATATCCCATCCAAAGCCATCTGCATGTGCTGGGCTAACAGGTATGTTGTGAGGAGGGGGCACACAAATAGCAAGACCAATAGCATTGCTGCCCACCTCAGTACTAGCAGTGCTAGGTGCTGATTGACTGGCCATGATGCTGGCAGATGTGACAACTGCTGGTGACTGTGCAGCTAATGGAGCCAGGTTATAGGCAGCAGCGCACATGGCGCCACTCCCATTCGGCAGGATCTCCTCCATCTTGGGGAAGAATTTCCATCTGGAGTTCCTGAATGATCTCATTGCCTAAAAACAGGTAAGTAGCCAGAAACCAAAGTGATACGTGTACACACCTTGTTGCTGTTGGACTCGAGGAACTGAATCCACTGAGTTTCTGCTGCTCCCCCCACAATGTTCACGCCGGAACTCGTTATCCCAGTGGCATCCAGATCTGTTGTGATATCTGTTAATGGTGCTGTGGATATTTTTGAGCTATATAATAGGATCGTGATTAGTGATGGTGAGCGCTGATCTGAGTATGACACACACATATTGCCATTTACCCTTGCAATGTCCCCCTGTCTTGGTTGGGCCATGTGTCGTAAACTGTGTGATCACTCTTGCAGCCTGGTTGAAGACATTGTTCTTGAATCCTCCTTCTGCGACCTTTGCTTTTTCAGAGATCAAATGATCCAGGAAAGCAAAGATCTCATTATCATTCCATTGAGCGTTGGGTGGCCTCTCTGAGGCCATTGGTGAAGTAATACAGAAAAGTTTAAACTGGGTACAGATTATGATGGCAGATACAGTTGTGAAGATGTGTTGTCGCTGCTGTTGACTGATTTTGTTAAGACCGTACTCAAGTAGTATCAGATCCGAAGGGCTTCGGCCTCAGCTCGTGCGCTGTGCCCCTTTCCCGAGTCTTGCCCCTTATTTCAGAGAGCTAAAGTATCGCGTCTAGTTGAAACGGATAAGTATTGCAATGGATCCGTTAAGACTTCCGGATATCGAACGTATAGAGTAACGGCCAATCCGGATCGGATCCGGACTAGAAAACTAACGGGTGAGGACTGTCCGAAGACAGAGGCGGATATGTAGACTATAGGAATCTATCCTAAGTCTCGGAGTAGACAAGAGTAGCATACTCAAGTCCGGATGGATAACGGAGGGACTCAGAGTCCAGACGGAATGAGTGCAATCTAAGATGATATTCGAACTGATCTACTACAGCGCATATACAAAGGTTTATATACTATGGATAGCTAACGGAATGATCAATAAGCAAAGGTGCGAGGCTATGTATGAAAGTATAAGCAAAGTCTAAGTGGAGCGTATTGGTAAGTTGGATGGATCACGAATCATGAACCGGGAATGAAGTACAAGTAAAAGCGGATTCGTAAGTGTAGCGGATCAGTAAGCATAGCGGATCAGTAAGCATAGCGGATCAGTAAGCATAGCGGATCAGTAAGCATAGCGGATCAGTAAGCAAAGCGGAAGTAAAGGATAACTGGTATACCGGTGTACAGGAATACCGAAAGGAGATGAACGATAGTTAGAGTTATATGAACAGGAAATGAAATAAGAATCAAAGCGGATCTGTGGACCGGACGATGGATATGTTCATCGGATCTGGATCGGATCTGAGATCCAGATCATCGGATCTGTAACCGGATATATGGTATATGACAGATTTGACGCTTAGGAGTAGAAAGACTGGTCATAGTCAGAAGGAGAGATTATTTAAACTCCATCACATCGGCTTCAATGCCGTTCATCATCACATTTTGTTCATTTGTATCAAACATGGGCAAATGTCGGTTGCTGAACGGGCTCTAAGTGTGCAACCAGATGTTGCTCATTGGATCGAGTCGCTCAAAACCTGGAGGCTGACGCATGAAGATGTCTTCTTGCAGTTTCCCCCACAGGAATGCTCTCCTGGTGTCGAAGCAGTCAAGTTCCCAGTCGTTGGCTGCAACGTAAGCCAATAAGATGCGGATGGATGTAGATTTTGCCACTAGTGCAAACATCTTCCCAAAGTTGACTCCCAGAATTTGAGAGAAACCTTGCGCCACAAGTCTCACCTTGAATACTGGTCC